GAACTTCGGCCGGCATTTCCGTGGTGGAGGTGAATGAGAACAATGTATCGATACACGAGGTAAGCTTATCGTAATCAAGAATCACAGTGTATATCGATACACGAGGTTTGTTTACATCCATGTTCTAAAATGGCGCCCTGGACCGTAGGGGAATATGGGTAAAATGGCTTGTTCCGGGTTAACACTAAGCTGGGCCCCGTCTCTAATATCACATTATTGTTTGGCGCAAGTTGACGACGCGCATAGGGAGCCGGGAACCAGGTTAACACGACATAAGCTGGTTCCCGGCTCTCTATGCGCGTCGTCAACTTGCGCCAAGTTATATTAGAGACGAGGCCCAGCTTATACACTGAACACGATCGGTCATTTCGTCAAAACTGGCCAAATATTGAGATTGCAGCTGAGGTCATGCTGGCAGCTGAAGTGACACATTAAGGTAAGGAATATGTGAATATTACAATGATCACGTATTAAAGTAATTTACCACATGTAAGCCTGTCACATGTGACACATTAACTTTTATAGCCAACATGTAAGTAAATGTATAATTATATTTTTATATGACAAGTAGCCTGTCTATCATATGTTAGTATTTGCTTATGTATATAATGTAGAAATATGTTTACTTTAACTGGATAATTTGTATGCTAATGTGACTCACTGTCTTATTTCATATACTCCCTGTACTCTGTGAGAATGATTAATAGCCTCAACATATTTTTCCAGATGTGAAGAATCAAGAACAGCTTTAATTACAGGGAAGTTTTGCATCAGAGATCATCGTGAAGTGGAAGAAAAGACATTTTAAGGGTATGAACATTTTCACTTGAACTAGTTGAACAATAACCATGATGACAACTTTATCATGGGGGAATTTTTGGTGGTGGGGTAGCCTAGCGGTTGAAGCGTTCACTCTTCGTGCTGAAGACCCAGGTTTGATTCCTGCCACATAGCTGCGATATTGCTGAGTGTGGCGTTAAACATCAAACAAAGCTAACAGCCGCATACTTACTCACGTGGGGATTCCAGGTTGAAGTTAGTCCCCATCAACATGATCAACCTATGCTAGTTGTGAGAGATAACTTAATGGATCGGGTGATCAGGCTCCCTGACTTGGTTGATCCATGTCATTGTATCCCAATTGTGTGGATCGATGCTCATGATGTCAATCACTGGATTGACTGGTCCAGACTTGATTATTTACAGACCGCCTTCATATAGCTGGAATATGGCTGAGTACAGAGTTAAAAAACAAACACCAACATGATTCTACAACCTGCTCTTGTGGATACCATTTTGAAGATCCTACACATAACTTCTTTTCGGGTCTTAACTATTGCAATATGTTCTACTACATGTGTTTTAAACATATATTTTTTTTATAGTGAACTGGATTTGCAAACAAGCCGATGGCTTATCTAAATGATGCTGAAATACAAAATAAGTATTAATAAAATACTAATTCTATACTATTGCAAACTATCAGTTGAGCAATAATGTAATCATCTGATTATAAGTAGATAATGAAGAAGTCCATATTGATTAAATCTACCAGATTCTGAGATAAATGCACGTATTGATTGATTTATTTCCATGTTTTCCTGTACATAATTTTCAACAATTCCATATAAAGCTTTCTTATATCATATCCATGCTGTATAATAATACCTATTATTTCTAATAATAGCATAATTTGGACACACAAATAAGTAATGAATGGTATTTTTATAACAGGTCCCACACATGCGGGATAGGTCATTTGACATGAATCAGTTTTATGTGAATTTAAATCACTACAAGCTGATCTGAGTCATGAAAGGATATGCCTTCGATTCTGTGAAAATGGAAATGCTAAAACATCTCCCAATATTAACCATGCTATTACAGAATCTGTTCACTTGTTTTTGAATGTAAAATATTTTTGAACGATTACATCCATCTAATGATTGTTTGTATGTGTGATATGCCAGTAGAGGTATATGTGTACAAGCATGTGCATACACATAAAAAAAATTATGTTTGTTTGGCTAGGTACCAGTATATGAATAGGTTGTTTAGTGCGACTTGTATATTAGCATCATCATAGTTTCAACAGACAGTTTATGTATATCAAATGTTAAATGTCTTTGTAGGGAGAATTGCATATCAAAACTGTCATTATTTTATTACTTATGAGTAGAACTTTTTAAGTATCTGGCATGATACATTTCCTTGGTCCACAGACACATGTTACCAGTAAACTGACTTGATAAGTAGCATAACAGTCAGTGTGGTTGGAAACTAATTAAGCCGTCACTACTCAATTAAGTAATTAACAGACAATTGCAAGTGATAATACCCACCTGACACTAATTGCCCTGTTAATCCCTAATCCACCATGAGTTGACATTGAGCTCATCTTGCTAATGAGCTGTTGTGAGCGTAACGAGATGATAAACATCAAAGGTGGGGCAGGCTTTGATCAAGTGTTCTGTAGAAGAGATTATGTCACTTGTTTAATGTTTATTTAGGATTAGCTACATCCCTTGATGCGACCAAGACCATACTTGAGATTATCAGACAGTTTGTCTGGATACAGCCTGATGTCTCAACTGTACTTATTGGATTCTGCCTTGTAGCAAACTATGTGTGTGACAAGACTTTGACCACTCTGTGCAGATGCATAACAATGCATAATGAACTTGGGGTATGATTCAATTATGTCACACAAGTCAAAGATAGGTTCCACTGTATTTAGAAACAGACGATAGATGCAATACTGTGTAACTTTATAACAATCAAATGATTTACAATTACCCTTGAAAAGTTCCAAAACCAAATAGAACTACTTAAATTATGATTACACTTGACCAATATATTTGGCAGTTTTTGCCGTTATTGTTAATCTGAATTAAAGATAGGATAAATGATAAAAATATGATAATGCATATCACACACAAGTGTGTATTATACGCAAATAAATAAGTCTTGTATACATTGATTAATTGGAAAGGGTCCTAATTGGGATTGTTCACTAGCCAATATATTAGCAAATATTCCCATGGGCGCTTATTAGAGCGAGGCGCTTATTACGTCAAATACTTTAGTTCTGTTTTTATGTATAAGAACCTATTTTATGCAATTTGCATTGCCTTGTTTACCTTTCCTTATGTTTTGATGTAATGCAAACATTTGAGAAAAATTCAAGTGAGCCTGCCTTATGGCACTACAGGAATTGTTTTCAGAAGATCAATTACAATTTTGTATTTTCTGTACAATTTACTGTTTGCTATGGCTTTTTTACATTGGTTAACATGGTTTGGTTAACAGTTGCTTGATAAATTGTCATTACCTTACTCATTGAGAAACCAAATTTTTACCCTTTGTCAATATATGTGTGTTTCTTATATTTTTAATAACAAGCTTTTAAAGATGTTATAAATTGTTTCAGGCACCTGGATTTCACAATGACACCAGATCAGACAAGTCATACAAAGGACTCTCCGGATGATGAATAATCCTCCCCAGAACAACTAACAGGTTCACCTCAGAAAGTGATGATTCTGAATGAATAATGCCACATCAGTGTGATTCTGTAGGTTGTTTTATTACGACATTAATCAAGTCTAAAGGAATCAATACCACAGCAGTGAGACTGTTTATGTGGTGTACACTGACGCTGACTATACAAATCTGAATGACTTTTGTGGTTTACTGCACAAACATAATTGACTTTAGATATTCTTCTACCTTGAAATTCTTCTGAGATTTGACTAATTTGTTTATTTAGAAAATGGCATTGAAGCATCTGTTTCTGTTTTTGAATGTTCTTGCAAACATCTGGTTACTGAACCAATGAAATGTCATAAAATCAATAAATATGATTTTTTATCTTAACAATTTTTTTGTTTTGCTTCTTTAAAGAAATATGATATTGATCATTCATAACATAGGTGCTAACATATATCAAATATACTAATGCCCTGAATGTTTTCCTACAATTAATACAGCTCACTGAACGAAGTTTTTAGTTCCATGTCAGTAGAAAAGTTACATTGATATTTTTATGTACCAGTACTTTATTAGGTGTTTTCTGTGGATGCCATTAGTCTTATGCACCCATTTGGGTTAATGATATTCTGTTTCTAACTTCAATGAAACTCGTCTGTCAAGATGTAACAAGTATTGATACAGTTCCAAAATAAACTTTTAATCTCACCAGGAACAAAGGCCCAAGTGAGTACATAGCCAATGACTTTCATTTTTTTGTCAGAGTGAGTATGGTGTTATGCCACTTTATGAGCAAAATTCAAACAATATCATGATGGGTGACACCAAGCAATGTACCGATGTGGTGAATCGAATGCTTCAACCACTAGGCTAAAACAAACTGGGAATATGAAGATGATATGTAAGGATACCATCATACCAGGACTGAATGCTTTTCATTTAATACGCTGAACATCTAAATTGAAATATATATGAACTTGAAAAATGTTTTCACCAAAAGTACATGCCCATAGATCTCAACTTCAAGGGGATATTTACAACTAAAATAGCACAGAATATTACTACAGCTATCTGCTATGCCCAGGCTAACATTATTTACTAGGAGAAAGACATCTCGAAAAATTGCATCCGGATACCTGCCGGATACCTGCCGGATACCTTCAGCAATGTTCAATTTTCATGGTTAGTTTTCAATATATTTTTAGGTGTTTCACACTTAATTGAACAAAATGCACCCCCCAAATTGTGACATGTTTTTGGAAACTCAGAATGAGGTATCCGGTGCCGGATCCCTGGACACCCAGATTGAGGTATCCGGTGAGGTATCCGGTGCCGGATACCCAGATTCCAGGTGACATACTTTCCGGTGAGGTGTCCATGCCGGATACCACAGATCTGGTATCCGGCAAGGTATCTGCCACCGGATACCCGGACGCGTTTTGGGTAAGTGTCCGGTGGTATCCGGCAGGTATCCGGATACCGGAAACTGCATTTTTTTTGCTGTGTTTACGACAAGCATAGTCACCTTTTACGCCAAGCATGGGTTGCTGAAGACCTATTCTACCCCGGAATCTTCGCGGGTCACTAGCTGTTGAATACACAAACTCCACCCGTGGACGTCACAAACGCTTTTTACGTGACCCTTGCAAACACCTGCTGTGGACCTCACTACACTTCCTGTGGACCTCACTACACTTCCTGTGGACCTCACAAACAATACCTGTGGACCCCAAAAAGTCGTCATGTGGACCTATAAACAATTCCTGTAGACCTCACAAACACTTCCTGTGGACTATGGTAGGTCCAATTTCGTCGTACTCTTGTTTTGTGATCCACATTTGTTGGAAAGTTGAAAGCGAGGCTAAGATGGAGCCACCAATCCAAACATTGAATTTTCGCTCTGGTGGAGCAACCACCTTCACTTTCATAGTTTTCGGCACCAGTTTAATAAGTTCCTTAGTCAGCCGCTCAGTAATACCTGGAACGTAATCAGAAAAAAACATGACGAAGAAACAATTCTCTGAACCTGACGTCGTCTGGATACTTGAAAGTATCTTCAATGTACAGCGTCACGGTCATAGTCACTGCAGATTTCACACGCCTGATTGGAAAGTCTGCGCGTTGCAGTCCTATGGTGCAGGAAAGGCTGAGGGTTTGATCCTGTCAGGTCAAGCATCATAATCCACTACAAGTGGATCCTGGAAATACGGGACTTCAACGAACTTTCCAACTTTACTGAAGAAATATACGACATCGTGGTCGTTGTTTGTCGTACAATAAAACTGCAGGGAGAATAATTCATGAGTGGCGATAGTTCGGCCACTGCGTTTATCTGCTTGGCCCAGCTACATCTGTGGGGAACAACTTACTTGATACTTACCTCTCAAAAATAACGTCGTCCAATATATGACGTCACCAAGTTGCGAGCGCATATTCGAATCTCCAGAAATGACGACATGATAGAACAATGTCTTATCGTGAAATAAACCATGCTTCGTACTCCATTGTTCTTTGCGACTGATAGCGTTGCTATCTTGTATATCCAGTCAATGATGTTTATGAAAAGATTATGAGGATCTTCCGAGAGACTAGTAACGCGTCAATCCCTGAACACTACCCAGAAAGTCCTGCTGCGTTCGGTGGTGTTATCCATCAAGCAACACTACAATCAAGACTGGACGTTCAATTTCCAGTAACTCTTCAAGAATATAGGAAGTATATCAAATACTCCGCATGTTAAAAACAACCAGGATGTGGTTATTGGGTGACAGCTTGCATAAGGGTTCTACTATAATAATACACCGTTACAGACCATATATCCATTTACTGGAGTCGTGATAACAAGACTTCACACAGTTAAACATTAGTCAAACACATATACCTCTAAACACACCAGAGCCCCCAACCAAGAATATCAAATGACCGGTCCCTTACTCACCAGGGAACATGGTCGAGCCTCCAGACAGAATGAAGCTGGCGCACATGTCTCCCCTTACGTCAATATCACATTTCTTTAAAGTCTTGAACATCATCTCGTGAATGCCTCGACTTTCCATGGCTAGGAAGAGAATACATAATGTACACAAATCACATATTAATTATAGAATGTCAGCATTATCAATCGCTTTGGAATATCATTTATGCCTATATATTGTTACTGATGTACAAGAGAGATAAAATGAATTATATGCAAATCTACCATGAGTTTTGAAATTATTTGATTATGATCATTGAGAGTTTATCAATTCACGATAAACCCCCTCAAATTGAAACCGCCGATTTGGGGGCCGTATTACCGAGGAAGCAAATATTTATAGATTCCCTTCGGTAATTGTCGGTTGGCATATTAAATCATTATACGTACATTTATAGATTACAAAATACAAAGTAGGTGTTTTAACGGGACGTGTGGTAACACATTTTGTGCAGGAAACATGATAGAAATCTATAAATAGAATAGAGGTTTTGAGGACAACAGAGAGCGTTTTTCTATAAACGAATGTGACAATATTACAATACCCAGGATGCTTGGCTTGAACAGACACTCTGGAGCACGGAACCTCTCATTGCCAATAGTTACTACATTCCCGTCTGGGAGCTCGTAATCTTTTTCAAGTGAGGAAGATTCTTCAGCTGCCTTCATCTCCGCCTTAAAGTCCAGGGGAACATAACAGAGTTTCTCCTTCATGTCTCTCACTATCTCGAACTCAGCTGCCAAAACAACACAGTCAGATCCCATATTGAATGAAAGAGTTAAACGTGAACCTCGCGTAGTTACTCTGAACTGATGGTTGGTTAATGTCAGCGAAACGATTTGAACTATCGAGTGTAACTGTCCGATGCTTGTATATTTAACTCTAGCAATTCTCAAAGTTAATTGGTTAATTGAAGCATCTTCTAGAGATTGACGGTCATGTTTCGATTCATCGAGTTGTGAATCGATCATCAAACAACCATTTACCTATGCTTGTCGATAGGAGTGAGTGAGTGAGTGAGTTTGGTTTTACGCCGCTTTTAGCAATATTCCAGCAATATCACGGCGGGGGACACCAGAAATGGGCTTCACACATTGTATCCATGTCGGGAATCGAACCCGGGTCTTTGGCGTGACGAGCGAACGCTTTAACCACTAGGCTACTCGACCGCCCCCTTGTCGATAGGAATGGGTATTGGAGGTTTAAAGCGTATCACAATATTCTGCGATGCGCAATGCCGTATTGGGATCATCTTCCCGAGACAAGAAAGTCCACTTGCCTTTTTATCAAAGTCTTGTGTAGAAACTAGGCTTGATATAGGCTAGTGGATACGCTTGCCTCGGGAAGATGTATTGCGATACGTATCACGATATATTGTTTTATTCTAAATTTTGAATTCAGGACCAATATGATACATTAAGGTATGAACTGAAGTTCATAAATGGAACAAAACAAGATGCTGGGACAACATGTTTACTCAGTCAATAAATACGGGGCACCGGGTGCATGCTCCAGGGAAGCGAAGACTTTTGCCAAGTATACAACAATAAACACATGATATAAATCGCTACTTGAAATCACCCGATATATCAAACATGAAAATAAGATATCGTGATTCCTATTGTGGAAAGAATGAACCTCAATTTACCGATATTCCGGTAATACCGCACACCTTTACTTGTCGTTAGGGGTGACGTGACATGGTGGATGGGATGGGGGGGGGGGGGGGGGGATGACAAGCATGGTCGCACACGTTGCTCACGATCAACCATGAGGTTATCTGGTCCAGACTCCTGAATTATTTACAGGCTGCGGTGATATGGAATGTTGCTGACAGTGCCGTAAAAAAACTTAGACAACCAATTGCTGTAAGGTCTTGACAAGTCACCTGTGGAAGTAAAGTCGTGTCCTCTCTCGTGTAGAATCCTGCGGAGGTAGGAGGTTATGTGGTGACCTGCGAGATTCACTCTCCGGATAGCGTGGGGCAGGGCGTACCCTGGGAATCAGAGATTGGAGCTGATGAAACTTAAATGAATATTCAAAATGCATTCTAAACATACAAAGACAATAACGATAATAATGTGCGAGGGTTGGCTGAAACTCTCTCTCTCTCTCTAAGCATGCCAATTTGAAAGGGATAAGCATGCCCCGTCCTGTCACACCTGTAGCTAAAATGCTAAATGCGGCGTTAAGCCGCTGGATCGTGTATACACTGACGGTGTGCTTAAAGCTCTCTCTCTCTCTCTCTCTCTCTCTCTCTCTCTCTCTCTCTCTCTCTCTCTCTCTTGTCACACATGTCTTGACATATCACAGGAAACACATTCAGTAAGCCTAGTCACGGTCCAGCTGAAAGTGGTAATTATCAGGACCTAACAAGACGGGCCTGGAGACTCGAGTGTTCTTCTGGAATGTTCAGTACCTTCATAAATGGGCACGGTGTGAGTGACACCATCTCCACAGTCCAGCAGGAGACCACTGCCACGACCTGAGGCGTACAACGACAGCACCGCCTGAATACTGACATAGAAGCCTGGGACGCTGAATTTCTCCAACAGAATCTGCAATAATGAGGGAATGATTTTCATGTGCACACGCTTAGAACCGTAGTGTAAACGTTGTCAAACACAGAATACACGAATAAGAGATACACTGGCGCGAACATTATGGATTCTAAATTATAATTAGAAAGTTTTAAAAATCCACCCATAATGGTCCAGGAGTGATGGTCTTACCTCCGTCATTTTCTCTCTGTTACGTTTAGGGTTGAGGGGCGCCTCCGTCATGAGTACTGGCTGATCCATAGGATGTGCTCGTAGCTCCTTGAAGTACACGTGATTCCAGATGCGTTCCATGTCGTCCCAGTTGGTGACGATGCCGTTGTGTATGGGATACGCCATGCTGAGCACACCCCTCTTGGTCTGGGCTTCATCCCGCCGTTGAATCTGCAAACAAAAGGGAACACCGTCGGAGGAATATGTGTGTGTTTTGGTAAATGTGTGATTTTGAAACCAAAGTGGAAAAGAAACGAAACAGAATATTTTTATGAAGCTGATTGACTCAATAACAAATTATTCGTTCAGGGTTGACACAGCGTCGGAAACATTACATGTACACTAGAATGTGTAATTGAATGTCATAACACTGAGTGAGTGAGTGAGTGAGTTTGGTTTTACGCTGCTTTTAGCAATATTCAGGCAATATCACGGCGGGGGACACCAGAAATGGGCTTCACACATTGTACCCATGTCGGGAATCGAACCTAGGTCTTCGGCGTGACGAGCGAACGCTTTAACCACTAGGCTACCCGACCGCCCCCGTCATAACACTGAGGAGTCAGACATATTCCATATTCCAGTTACGTTACGACGGCCTGTGGGTAATCGAATTTCGGACAGGTGAAACACTGACCGAATGCAGGCATCCTGGTACCATGACACACGCTAACCCAATCCACATCACCTCTGAGAACAAGTACAGGACACTGGAAAATTATTCTGCCCCGGCATCCAACCGTGAGAAGTGTTAGAACGAGTCACATGGCTAGTTACGTGGGCCCGGGGTTCTTCAACCCACATTTACCCTATTCTTGGTTTTCTTCACCCTTACATGTGTGCATGCACGTCGCTATGTAAGTGCAATAACCTTGGACGCGACGTTAAACCCCATTTCACCATCACCTCACTTTAAACATCATATCACTAAGCGTACGTAAGACAGTAATTCGTGTAGAAACGTTTCAGTTGTTGCCACCTCATATTTGGAGTTCAAAATCTCTTGTGTTAATCGGATTCCGGAGTACACCGTGATCAAATACATTGCCATCAATAAAACCAAGGGAGACTCACTTCATATTTCGGTTTACCAGTCAAAGACGAAATCACACATCGAGGAGCGTCATCCCCAGCAAAGCCAGCTTTACACATCCCGGATCCGTTGTCAATGACGACAGGGATGATATCATCGTCGTCGGACATGGTGTTGATTAACTGATCGTCGTCGCAGAGACGTCTGTAACATAGAAACCTTATAAATGTACATGAGAAGGGACTGAGTGAGTCCCACTGTCCTCGTTCATGTTCATTACGTCCTACTCGTCTTATTAGGACATAATGACAGTCACACAGTTTCTAATCCTCGGAGTTCTCTCTATAGTGTATAAATTCATTCAATTCATTTAACCGACTGTTTCAGAGGGACATTACTGAAATAATTTTATGTCTAACGGAATTATTTTCAATATGTTACGTTATTCTGTCAATCAGCAAGTACAGCTCCCCGTATATCGCGAGACGTACTGGTAAGCTAAATCTACTCATTCAAATACTGCTTCTATTACACGACAGGTAAGTCAAGTTTTTTCTTGTCAAATTCAATTTCGTAATGAATACTGGCCCGAATTACACATACAATGCTTACACCTTCATACAGAAATTGTGGGGTAGCCTTGTGGTTAAGGCGTTCGATCGTCACGCCGAAGGCCCGGGTTCGATTCTCCACATGGGTACAATGTGAAGCCCATTTCTGGTGTCCCCCGCCGTGACATTGCTGGAATATTGCTAATAGCGGCGTAAAACCATACTCACTCAGTTATACAAATGTGGGCACCAGACAGCGGATCCTTGTCCACATTCCACATTCACACATATTTCTTACATATTTTTCACGTGTTACGTGCATACGCAATATGCACAATATCAAATACAACCAATGTTTACTTCTCGATTCGGTATTCTAGATCTAGTCATAACTGTCTCGAACACAGCACACAACGAATACAACGATTTCGCTACCTCCAACACTTTGCGATCAACTGTTTCTGTTATCGATATACCCACAGGCAGGTAGGTAATAATCTATTTATATCATGTCGTAGGGTCGATTCATAACTCAAAGTCTTCGCCATTTAAGGCAGTGCAAGCCCTGTGTACATTACTCGGGGTGACTGTAAACAAACACATCCTGTGTTATGAAGTATAATAGCATGTGATAACATCAGCTGCCGATTTCGTTGCACAGTTGCCTGTTCACCGTGGGGATCAGTCACTGCCTAACCAGTGAACAGTTATACACCTACACATGACAGAGTAGGTATCACAATAGTTCATGCGTTGTATGCACATAAAAACTTTTCATGATTAGATTGATATGAAGTGCTAAATAGAACAGTACCTAGGGGGGTGTGACTGTCCGCAAAAGTGTTCATAAAGTGCATCGGAACGGCGTTGAACAACCCGGAAACGAAACCTTTATTTTAAGGACATCAAGAATTTAGAGTTACCTCCCTTGCTATGTACCATTTGATGTTATTAGATCAGCTCCTGGATTCACTGGCTCGGAAAAGCCAAACGATCGTTCAAGGCTTCACAACTTGCAGTGTCAACTAACAGTGATACCCCCAAGCATTTTGGAATGTAGGTCACATATATATGTATTGATGCGTAATATCTGCTTAGCGAGCGTCCCCGTGATTCGATTGTCATGAATGTATTGTATTATAGAGATAATGCTTACTGTAGCTTGGCTTACATGACGAAGGCCCGGTCGTTCGCTAAAGTGAGAAAGTGTGTGTGCGTTGCACAACTCGGAAAACTATATGAACTATTTATAGCAAGGACAACAACAAATGAGAGTTACCTCCCTTGGCATGTTCAATCTCGATATGAATACCTCAAACCAAAAACCATAAATATATTCTATGGTCTCTGCTCAAACTAGTCCTGCACCACGACTGTGGAATGTTTATATTTTATGAAAACAAAACCAATATAGATTTATATGAAAGCAAATCTAGTAATGTATCGATTAGCTCTATTGTGACAACAGGATCAGGAAAGTTGTAGAGGAGAGAAAACCAAAGACCTGAGAGAAGTCTATTTTGTAATAATTCATAGACTCAAACTACCCATCCAATTACAGTGTTGTGAAAAATAACATTCGGAATTGAAATTTAAGTCAATTCAAAACATTTTATAATATTATCGGGGGAAAGGACACATACTATCAGGTTCATTTATATTCAGTATGCCTACTGCGTGCGAGACACAAAATGCAGCCGAGGATGACGAAATTAACACGTTTATTCTACCACTTTGCCAATTATGGATACCCCTATCAGAATGGAATACAACACAATGGCATCAACTGTATAGTGGCAGCGTGAACCAATATATTGTATATGTGCTAATTGTCATATCATTCTATCCGACACAGGTGTTCCAAGGGGCCAGTCATTTGATACTGGGCGGTGATCTGCTCCCGAAAGTGTGTGAAATTCCCAGGTTTTGCATACACACATACATTATTCAGCGCATAAGAATAGTCGTGACTGACGTTCAAGTCTCAGCCCTTAGTTGATAAATGCTATGTTTTGATTGTTATTTGCTACGTTTTAAGTTTTGAAATGTGACAGTGTTTGTTTCAAAAGCCTAAAATTAAATTTTAAACATGTTTTGCAAACCGACATATGTCTTGAAGACTGACTGCTATATTACTTTAAACCTCTTGGGATATTAAAAAATGAAGAATAGATTAGTGGTGGCTGCTTTTAAATGTACCATTTAGATCTACATTGGATATACTGCTGTATTCACTGTACAGTCTTATAATCCGATTCTTGTCATAAAATACCGATTATCAGCCGCGGGAGAAGGTTCTTATTTTGGTGGGACATGACCGAAATACAAATATTATTTGGATCGTAAATACCGTATTCATCGAGGTAGGTTTTAAATATAATAGAAAGACTTTTAACAGTGCGATAAGTTGAATGAGGTAAAACATGTCTTGTAACCCCAGTTGAAAATCTCTAGTACCATGAATGTGAGAAATACTCGATTTTGATTGATCAAAGGTTTTAAATCACAAAAACCACATCAGATTGAAACAGTTGCGTATTCAGTTCCAAATTAAATTTACCGTGGTTAAATTCACAGCCCAGCTGTACATAAATACACACTTATGTTTATATTCCTAAATAACTACCGCACATAAGGAGTGCGCGCCGAAAAAAGATCAGAAACTACACATAGTCAAATGTTCTCTTGACATGTCGGGTTTTCAGCACCAATACTGTTAAAAGCGGCGTTAAACCCAACTCAATCACTCACTCACTTGACATGTCGGCATTCTTGGGAACTTCGGGTAATAATATAGGTCAAAAGCAACCTATTTTTCTTGAAAGAGGCGACTGAATGTGTCGGGTGGTCAGGCTCGGTGCCTTGGTTGATTGCATGTCATCGTATCTCTATGATCGATGCTCATGATGTCAACCACTGGATTGTCTGGTCCAGCCTTGATTGTTTACAGACTGTCGTCATATAGCTGGAACATTGCTGAGTGCGGGGTTAAACAACAATCAAACATTCCGGTGTACTTTGGACTCTTTAAAACACATGCTTGTCTTTAAAATGAAACTGTTATGTTTATCGATGTAGGAGTTTACCAGTATTACACAGAAACCATCTCTGGACAACATCTCGCAAAAGACATGAAATTGACAATGTGACCAAGAGCCAAGTTCTACTGTAAGTTAAGGTGTCTGTCAACCCCTATCACTTACTCACTCATTCTTAGTTCACAGGAGGCACGGGTGGCCCAGTCGTCTAAGGCGCTGCGATTTGCTGTGCAGAGTTGCGTCCCTTGGGCACGCCAGAAACATATGATTGTGGGTTCGAATCCCGGTTCGCCCCGATTATGTTTCTAGGTTTGTCAGCACCATACCCGTGCTCATGGGTTTCACCGAAGTGGTAACCGTCTGAGACCTGCATCACTTCGGGCTTTCCTCCAACATTAAACTGACACGCCGCGATACAACTGGACTATTGTTAAAAGCGGCGTTAAACCAAACTCAATCACTCACTTAGTTCACAGAATGTTAGTTAACTGGTTAGTTTTAAAACCCGGTCACAGACAGACACCCTGACCCAGCTTTCATTACATCGATCACATTCGTCCATACATCTAATTCATGTATCGACGTTATTAATCAACAGTGTTTATTATATGAAGACTTGTGTATTACTATTATTGGAACTCTGATAAAAAATCCATCTTTGAAAAAAACCGTTTACTTCAGCTGAAAAACGATAAAAATATAATTCAATAATATATTTTACAGGAAAGATAGTGAGCGTCCATCAATATAGACATTTAATGAACACAAAATACCTTGACGAAGATAATTAATTACAAGTAAAGTATGCTTCCTTGATTATGATTATTTATTCACCTTCTTCCGCCACGAATATAAAATGGTCATGGTTCATTTATCATTGATACAATATATATTGAATAAAGAGATTCGAATAATGATAGTCTCTGCCATTGTGGTAAGCAATGGGTATAGATTCATTCACCATTTCCTCTGGCAATTAAGTTATAGTCCCCAAATAATCGTGTATCAGTATTCCATTGCTAGTGTTTACTCAGAAGTTCTAACCTCATGAGTGAGTGTTTGAGTGGACTCAACAAACACTACCGGTGGACCACACAAACTCTTCCTGTTGACCTCACAAACCCTTCCTGTGGACATCACAAACATAACACTGTGGATCCCACAAACACTTCCTGTGTACCTTTACAAACTCTTTCTGTGGATCCCACAAACACTTCCTGTGTACCTTTACAAACTCTTTCTGTGGATCCCACAAACACTTCCTGTGTACCTTTACAAACTCTTTCTGTGGATCCCACAAACACTTCCTGTGTACCTTTACAAACTCTTTCTGTGGATCCCACAAACACTTCCTGTGTACCTTTACAAACTCTTTCTGTGGATCCCACAAACACTTCCTGTGTACCTTTACAAACTCTTTCTGTGGATCCCACAAACACTTCCTGTGTACCTTTACAAACTCTTTCTGTGGATCCCACAAACACTTCCTGTGGACCTTTACAAAAAATTTCTATGGGATCCCTCAACAATTCCTGTAGATCTTTACAAACGCTTCCTGTTGATCCCCAAGATTTAGGACCTTACACAAACGTCTGTAGACCTCACAAACACTTCCTGTGGACTATCGCAGGTCCAATTTCATCGTACTCTTGTTTTGTGATCCACATTTGTTGGAAAGTTGAAAGCGAGGCTAAGATGGAGCCACCAATCCACACTGAGTATTTTCGCTCAGGTGGAGCAACCACCTTCACTTTCATAGTTTTCGGCACCAGTTTAGTAAGTTCCTTAGTCAGCCGCTCAGTAATACCTGGAACGTAATCAGAAAACCATGATGAAGAAATAAGCCTGACAAGGGTTTTTTCAAGGTACCCTCTATATACAGTGTCTTATACCCCGTTCACATGCACAACATTTACTAACGTAAGTAATTTTACACATTTGTAACTATACATACGTGCATGTATGTATATTTACTATGCGTTCACATGAAAAGCATCTAAGGTGTGTAAATAAAGGATGTAAATTGTGTAAGGCACACATATTCGTCAGTCTGTTCACGACTTTCAACACAAACCAGGTTGTTTTCCAATCAAAGTTGAATGAGAAGAGCGTTACTTCACCGAACATTTTCGCGTGAAGCAACATGTGTTTGATTTTATTTGTACACAAAGTTTTGACTCCTTGAAACCAAAAGAAAACACCACCCGCTCAACTCTGTATATACGCATAAGAGTTGGCAACTGTTGACAATTTGTTTGTTGTTGGCAAAAGAACAGATATTAATTAGATCATCCTCTTACGTTGACATAAACGTTCACATTGCAACATATACACACAGTGCAAATTTACGTATATATTTGCACCCGCTCCAGACATGATGCAAATTTGCTCCTGGTGTAAAGATACACACATGAGTAAACGCGTTCACATGACAAGTATACTCCCGTTTGTATGTCTACACACGTATACACATATACACACATGTGTACAGAGGCGCATGTGAACGGGGTATAGTCCCCGCAGGTTTAGCAGTAGTTATTTAAGCTTCACAACTCTTTTGACAGTTATAACGAACTAAAATTGCTATATTTAGACATGGTGCAATACACGGCTATATTTGGATCAGATGCCATCACTTTACATGCTAAGCAAAAATTCATATAGCCAGATTTGCACATGTAAAGTTACTTATATGTAAATATACATTTGCATGACTTCTTTTGCTCGTGTAAATACAGTAAACTACGGTTATAACGAACTCAAAGGGACTACTAATTTTAGTTCGTTATAACCGTAGTTCGTTATAAGCATATATACAGCATAACTATAGCAAATAGTCGGGACCAAAAAAGTAAGTTCGTTATATCCGTCAGTTCGGTATAAGCGTGTTCGTTATAACCGTAGTTTACTGTATGCTCCTTGAGCAACACCACTTGCGTAAATAAATGCGTTCACGTGACTCATTTGCCTACTGTAAGCAAATTTACTTACGTGTGTATAAATATTCATGCACGTATCAGTGTCCATATGAACTGCCTGGGTATTAGCCTGGAAGTCATTGTGTCAATCCGGCAGACAACACGAAGTCAAAAGTGTTATTTCATTCGACGGAAATAATATAATGTTGTTTTTCATAGGCATTTAGAAGTTGGAAGAACATGAATACATACTTCGTTTATTCTTTGTTCACCCGATGAAAGAGCAAGACGTAGCTATGAAACGTCGTGACAAAGAAAAAAAGAAGTTTCTATCTATAACAAAATGTCATGTATTCATGATATAATGTTATTTAATCCGGAAGAAATAAGGATATATATTCAGATAAATATGGTATTTCATACACACAATACATTGTGTTACTACGGTTTGGGATAACGACCTTTCACTATGTATTCACAGAGTACACGTAGCTATTTGTTCAGTCATTACTAACCAGGGAACATGGTCGAGCCTCCAGACAGTATGAAGTTGCTGCACATGTGTTTCCTGATGTCAATATCACATTTCTTTAAGGTCTTGAAAATCATCCGATGAATGCCTCGAGTTTCCATGCCTGGGAAAGGGGTATAACTTTGACGAAATTCATAAAATACACAGTTGAGCATTCATTGGGAATGTTCATCAATGGCAATCGCTGTGACGTTATCCTTACCTACCTTACACATGATCGTGCTGCTGATGCTGATCATCGTCTACATCTGAGATGAATTATCGCAAATAACACGCACGTCTGTATAACGTTACTGATGTACGAAAGAGATAAACACAGATTATTTGCAGATGTGTGTATATTGATCTTTACACTACATGTACTATACTCTCTTTTAGAAACGCTAGATGATATTAGCTTCACCATGTATTCCTTATATATTTGAGATCTTCCAGAAATTAACACCCGCGTGACACGACATGAATATGACTTAACGGCTGACGTTGGCCTATGAATTCATATAGTTTACCCAGTAGTTTGGGCTTGAACAGACACTCTGGAGCACGGAACCTCTCATTGCCGAGAGTTACTACATTCCCGTCTGGGAGCTCGTAATCTTTTTCAAGTAAGGAAGATTCTTCAGCTGCCTTCATCTCCGCCTTGAAGTCCAGGGGAACATAACAGAGTTTCTCCTTCATGTCTCTCACTATCTCGAACTCAGCTGCCAACAAAACACAGTCAGATCCCATATTGAGTGAAAGAGTTAAAATTGAACGTCGCATCTTCATGAATCGAACGTCAAAGTGCACACTATGAATCAGCGTTTATCTTAAAATGCCTGCCGACAATGACAGAAAAAGAAGTACTGTTCTATAAACAGTGATGGGGACGTCAGATCAACTGTTTCAATCAGAGGTGGTTATTGTGATTTGAAACCTGTGATTGACCAACAGAGAAATAGAATCGGCGTCTATTTTCGCCAATATCTTAGTCAACGTTTTAGTATTTTCAAACTCAATTTTGACGTGTGAATGGTTGTCAGACATATACAACCAATCAGATACTGCCTAGATATCACATAATTTTTACTCAAATCTGCTACAAAATGGCGTCGGCATTTGAGAGAAGTGAAAAGGAACAACACATATTTGTCTTGTAAAAATATGTTTTCAAACTGATGCTTCCGATGAGAGAAGGATCGGTGTTCCGGCTGGGCGATAGCCTGCCATCGTTCCTGCAATGATGTTTATTATCAACCATCATTCTATCTGGTATGGAACAAATTATTTACAGGCCGTTCTAATATGGAATATTACTGAAGGTGTCAAACAACATTCACTCACTCGAACATAGACAGCCAATTGTACATGTTGTGTTGGAGTGACTCACCTGATGTAGTACTTAAGTCGTATCCTCTCTCGTGAAGAATCCTGCGGAGGTAGGAGGTTATGTGACGGCCTGCGAGATTTATTCTCCGTATAGCGTGGGGCAGGGCGTACCCTGGGAATCAGAGACAAATCGTCCCTCAAGACTCAATAAATTGAAATAAAACTGATTTATGTTCAAAATGTTGAAAATACTACCAAAACAAATATAATAATAATAATAATAATAATAATAATAATAATAATAATAATAATAATAAATTATAAATAATAATAATAATATATTATTATTATTATATATATTCGGGTGTATTTAATCACGTAAGATTCTCGCATATTGATATTGATAACGTCACATCAGATTTATTTGTCAATCATACGAAACACCTTAAGTAATCACACTAAAAATTCAGTTACATATACCGAACACAAGATGGGCCTGGAAACTCGAGTGTTCTTCTGGAATGTTCAGTACCTTCATAAATGGGCACGGTGTGAGTGACACCATCTCCACAGTCCAGCAGTATACCACTGCCACGACCTGAGGCGTACAACGACAGCACCGCCTGAATACTGACATAGAACCCTGGGACGCTGAATTTCTCGAACAAAATCTGCAATAATGAGTGAATGATTTTCAGCAATACAACAGTTGTACCCTGCTGTGTCTGGTACAACAAGCTCAAAACTCTATTCCGACAAACAAGTATTTGTTTCTGTGATAAAAGAATTCATTTTCTCTTTGTCCGAATAAGCTGAAAACTTAATTAATTTTGTAAATTCTCAACTTTTTACGCAACAATAACAGCCGATAAATGTAAAAAGAACGCATGCTCCGTACACTCCGTTATGCTTCTACGCCAATCTCATTAAAATCAGATCTTAGTGCTCGCTATCGCTAAACAAAGATCTGAGGACATCCCATTACGGGTCACGTCAGAACGACCTTTCATCTGACCAATCAAAGCTTCGATTACCAAATCATGAAAGTGACAGTCGGAATGTGTTTTCTCATCATGCAACCTCGAAAACGTTAACACGGGGTATTCCGAACGACAGTTACGGCCCGTACGTCTGATTCCGTCAAAATTATCATCTATCTCTCGCTTCCGTGGGATAAACATTTGAACGGAGGAGGCGTTGCACAGTACGTGGGAAGCACTGCTATACAATCTCAACCATATATTAGACATTCCGGAATGTTCGTTTGTTCCGTTTTTTAAATTTTAAGCGAGAACTGTGTCAACATATTTTTCAAGCGTAGTCAAAATAGAGGTCGCCAGGTTGAAACGAGTGCCGTAAAGCTCGAGAAAGCTGCTTTCTAAATGGCTGATGTTGACTTCTTGTATCTCATTTCAGTGGTCGGTCAAAGTTCGCGAAAGGTCGTTTTGACGTGATCCGTAATGAGATGTCCTCAGATCTTTGTTTAGCGGCAGCGAGAACTTAGATCCGATTTTAATGAGATTGGCTTCCACGCGCACGAACAGTACATCAATTGTACGGAGAGAGAAGCAACTTTTAACAGTATTCCAGTCAGTCTGATGTGGGAGGAAAGCCCGTAGTGATGTGAGGCTCAAACGTTTACGACTTTGGTGAAACCCACTTGCACAGTTGCTGACAAACCAAGAAACATAATCAGGGCAAATAGGATATCGAACGCACAATCATAGGTTTCTGGGTTTCAGGAGCTTGATAGTTTTAGATAGATAAATAAACTTACGCTGGACTGCGTTGTGGGTTACACAGTAATTGTTTGGCATCTCCTTTCAAAGAAACTATTGTCCTTAAGAACTTACAAATATTCTATCTCATTACAGAAATCACAACATTAAATGATCGGTCCCAAACATCAAGTCACGTGGTCAAGGAGCGATGGTCTTACCTCCGTCATTTTTTCTCTGTTACGTTTAGGGTTGAGGGGTGCCTCCGTCATAAGTACCGGCGCTTCCATCGGATCTGTTCTGAGATCGTCGTAGAAAAGGTAACTCCAGATGCGTTCCATGTCGTCCCAGTTGGTGACGATGCCGTTGTGTATGGGATACGTCATGCTCAGCACACCCCTCTTGGCCTGGGCTTGATCCCCAACGTAATGCCTGTCCAGACTAAATCCAGCCATGTAGGCCTGAAAGTTTGGTTTGTTTGTTTGTTGTTGATCAGATGGATAAGATAAATATTCTCGTTTTGAAAAACTCAATTGAAAAAAACTGTCTAGGATATAATATGAACCGTAAATAAGAAATGTTGTTTTGTTTTGTTTGTTTTTTTTGTTTAACGCAGCACTCAGCAATATTCCAGCTATATGACGGCAGTCTCTTAATAATTGAGTCTGGACCAGACAATCCAGTAATTAACATCATGAGCACCGATCCACGCAATTGGGTTACGATGACATGCATCGACCAAGTCAGCGAGCCTGACCACCCGATCCCGTTAGTCGCCTCTTACGACAAGCATAGTCGCGTTTTACGGCAAGCATGAGTTGCTGAAGACCTATTCTACCCCGGATTGTCACGGGTCTGCAGGTCTGAGAGACACAGCAGCTCCTGCAGTGGCTGTGCTACACTAATATGTTGTAGACTAGAATACAAAAGTGAATGTTATTATCTTTAGAGGACAGCAATATTCCGATGCCTGTAAGTAAGCGAACGGTACAACACTTGAACACTGCACGAGGCAGGATCCACCCCGCCATGGTGCTTGTACCATATAAATGTTAACCGGTCCCAATTTTGGTCAGCTAGATGTATTGCGGACTGGAGAGATATTCTCCCACATAATTAATATTAAAACAAGAAAGAACGATTCTTCAATCAATATATTACTCAAGTTTTGATAGGGACAATCCGACAGGTCATTCTATTTAAATATACACTTGATTTATTATGAGTGAGTGAGTATGGTTTTACACCGCTTTTAGCAATATTCCAGCAATATTACGGCGGGGGTCACCAGAAATTGGCTTCACACATTGTACCCATGTCGGGAATCGAACCCGGGTCTTCGGCGTGACGAGCGAACGCTTTAACCACTAGGCTACCCGACCGCCCCTGATATATTATGAGAATCAGTTTGGGTAACATAGACAGATGAAACCATCCCTATCAAAAGTGGAGTAGTATATGTTAAACATACAATTCACGTAGCACACTGTGTTGTGGTGGGTACCTTAGAGGGTACAACGTTGGTTCGTCACACCTACCCACGTATCTGTTCCCCGCCGTTATATACTGGTAGAGTGCAATAAAGATTCACTCAAACTCATTCAAGTCAACTGGGTTTTACGCCGCTTTTAGCAATATCACAGCTATATCACGCCAGGGACACCAAACATGGGTTTCACACATTGTCCCCATGTTGGGAATCGAACTCGGGCCTTCGGCGTGAGGAGCGAACGCCTTAACCACCAGGCTACCCTACCGCTCCACGTTCTTGAGCCTATGTTCAGTAACTGTATCTTTTGCTCACTGATGATACCCGGACAAATATCAGTTTTTTGTTTTTATTCGTTGAAGGCAATTTGTTATTTAGGGAACGCCTGAAGAACTTGCTTGTCGTGAGAGGTGACGAACGGGATCGGATAGTCATACAGCATGAAACAAAACATACAGCCCTTTGGTTATTGTGACCCCACAGCCTATACAGTCAATAGTTGTTTAGCCTTTCTTGAATATATATGTAATATATAAATAAAATAAAAACAAACCACCCAACGCAGCTAATACCCTTTAACCCTGTGACTGACTATTAATCCTATACCCTGCCTGTACTTTAAATTACTGACCGAAGTTGGGACCTCCTTGATGGGGCATTGTCAGATGCTGATTTGTGTTGTTAACCACAGCTTATGTCGCTGGTTCCAAACGAAATTGTCGGGCATCAAATACCCAATAACACCCGCAAATCTGAAAACATGTTTTTATTTCCCAATTATTTAAACACAAATACAACAAAGGGTTACTCACTTGGTACTTTGGATTACCAATCACAGATGAAAAAACACTACGTGGACAGTCATCCCCAGCAAAGCCGGCTTTACACATCCCGGATCCGTTGTCAATGACAACAGCCTGGTTATCGTCGTTGTCGGACATGGTGTTGACAAACTGATAGTCGTCGTGGAGACGTCTGGAACATAGCATCCAGCGTAATAAACATGTATGTGGTCCCGCTGTTCTATCTGGTGGAGTGTGTGAGATGGTGTTGTTTTATGCCGCACTATGCAATGTTCCAGATTAATCTCGGCGGTCTGAACTGAATCGATTCAGGAACGTCGCATTCTTCCACCACAAAACAGGGGGCACGGATGGCCCAGTCGTCTAAGGCGCCGCGATTCGCTGTGCAGAGTTGCGTCACTTGGGCACGCCAGAAACATATGATTGTGGGTTCGAATCCCGGTTCGCCCCGATTATGTTTCTAGGTTCGTCAGCACCATACCCGTGCTCGTATCTTTCACCGAAGTGGTAAACGTCTGAGACCTGCATCACTTCGGGCTTTCATCTCACATTAAGCTGACACGCCGCGATATAACTGGAATACTGTTAAAAGCGGCGTTAAAAATCCAACTCACTCACCACAAAACAAGTGACTAAATGTGAGCACCGTTCTACGCCTTTGGTGTAGGATGACACCCAGTCAGCGTGACCATCTCTATTCGCCTCCAGTGCATTTCGCCTACAGCGCCTACAGTAATCTGGTGTTTAAAAAATAGTGCACTTTGCCTACACTATGAAAAATGCAACCCTCACATTAATTGTGGACTAGTATTGTGTATGTTATTAATACTTCTCTCTCTGTTGACAAATCTGTGAGTTGTTTTGAAACATGTTGTTGTTTAAATATTTCCTGTCAACACTCAGAAGATGAAAGGGGAATTCTTTACGATTTCATACGTCATTTATCCTTTCTAGAATGAAAACTAAAATGTAAATGAATGGTCATGTGGTCTAATGATGGCTAACCCACAGTGTAGTGTTTCTTGAGTCACAGCATGTAGGGAGACTGCTCTTACCTATACTTGATTGTATCAGGTATAGACTGAACAACAGACGGCTCACATGCATCCACTGGAAGTGTGTTACTGCTGGCTGTCCTTGAAAATGCAGTAATGTCGGTGCATTTCTGCACAGTGTCTTATATTTTTCAGTGCCTGTTTCACATTGTGAAATACTTAATTACCAGTGTTAATATATATAACATACTTCAAGTAAAAAGTTATTCCTATATTCCTTGTTTGCTGACACTGACATTGCATGGATAAGCTCATTACGGTTTAGGGATATTAAAACACTCACAAAAAAAAAGATTTTATTATCTCGTTCAATCCATAAATACATACTCACCATCATTACAGATACTGTCCTTGCTGTTTACCCAACTCAACCTAACTCACCCATTCACCTAACTCACCCACAAACCTAACTCACCAACTTCACCTAACTCACCCACTTCACCTAACTCACCAAATTTTTATCCTTTCACCTTTATACAAATACGGGCATCCTTCCATGGAACTGTGTCTTGATTTCCCTACCTTGCACTACATTGGGACGCGCTTTGAGTCCCTTATACACATCCCGACACGTGATTCCTGCATACGCAATATTATCCAAAACACGCTTGTATATACATTCAACGTCAACATTGTGTAATGTTTATAGTAAATTATACAACAAAAACAAAGTCTTTCCTACCTCCAGTACTTTGAGACAAACTGTATCCGGTATCGATATATCCACTGGTTTGTAAATAAACTATTTTATCACTTGGTGGCGCCCCATCGGAAACTCTTCGCCACGGAAGGCTGTGATAGCTCTATACAGCGGACTCGGGGTGTCTGGAAACAAGCACATCCTGTGTTATAAATAAGTATAATCACATGTGAATTAACTGCGGATTTCGTTGCACAGCAATGTCCATATACCACAAGGATCAGCGACATTCACCAGTAAACAGTGACCCTAAGCATGACAGATGAGGTATCACAAACGGTCATGTGTTATATCTACATAAAGAAAACTTCTATATGATCAGAATGTTAAATATAATCCTTACAGTACCTAGGGGTGCATAATCGTTCGTCTAGGTGCTGATCTAGTGCATGGAGACGGCATTTCACAACCCGGAAATCGATAATTCTATTCATAGGAAAGGACAACAAGAAATGAGAGTTACCTCCCTTGCTATGTACTTTCTCGTTGATCAAACAAACAATTTTATCAAGGTGTTGTGGAGAATAACAGTCAGGGATTTGACATTATTCATAAAGATTGGGATAAATGTGTACATTTGATAAAGTCAATCTCGGGAAACAAATACATAAATTAAATGTTAGATAAATTCCATTCATGCAACAACACGAGAGAAAAAATCGGCTTTTCTATAAGACAGTTCGATCACTCCTGGTAAGTAGTCACTACTAGATGTCCTGATATATGACCCTTTATAGTCAGTAATACGCACGTTCACGTTTATGGATATAAAAACTAACACGTTTATTTAACCAAGTTTTCAAATATTGATACAGCTAATTATCAGAATGGAATTCCGATCGACCCTGTTTGTTTGTTTGTTTGTTTGTTTGTTTATTTGTTGTTTAACGTCGCACCCAACGATATTTCATCTATGTGACGGTGATTAGTAAATAATCGAGTCTGGACCAGACAATCCAGTGATTAATATCATGAGCATCAGTCCACGCAATTAGGATACGATGGCATGCATCAACCAAGTCGGCGAGCCTGACCACCCGATCCCGTTAGTCGCCTCTTTCGACAAGCATATAGTCGCCTTAGAACCGGATCTTCACGGGTCGATCGCCTGTTTCCAAACAATAACATGATTAGTACGCTTCAACTGCATAGTGACCTTGTGGTGAATTGTATTATAGCCATGTTAACAGTCTCGAAATTCCCTGTCCTTTAATCCAGCACAGAAGTACAAAGTATGACAGCTCAAATATTAGTTATCTACGTAATAAATTTATATGTATAAATTGGGACTTTTCTGATAGAATAGCGATTACCAGAAGGGGGAAGTGTCAATGTTTTTATAAAATTAAAGGAAATTCCAACTGAATATTTTAAACTGGATTATGTTTAAATCATTCGTTGGTTTTTGATACACGACCCTTTTTGGTGAAAAGGGTGATCAGATAGATGAGATAAATATTCTCGTTTTGAAACACTCAACTGAAAATAATTGTCTAGGATATAATATATTCCGTAAATAAGAATGTTGTTTTGTTTTGCTGTTTTTGTTTAACGCCGCACTCAGCAATATTCCAGCTATATGATGGCGGTCTGTAAATGATCGGATAAGTCTGGATGAGACAATCCAATGATTGACATCATGAGCATCGATCCACACAATTGGGATACGATGACATGTATCAACCTAGTCAGCGAGTCTGACCACCCGATCCTGTAAGTCGGTTCTTACGACAAGCAAAGTCGTCTTTACGGCAGGCATGGGTTGCGGAGGACCTGTTGTACGCCGGATCTTCACGGGTGTTTTGAAAAACATCAGAAACTAAACTTAGCTCAACGTTCCGATGACAAGTCGTAAATGTTGTGCAGCCGTCGCTGTCAGTTTGACACCAACTTTGACTCGTTTTTGTCTCATTCGTCTGAATAATAACACATTGAGTGCGTGTGTGTTGAAATAACTACGGCCTTGAACAGTACAATGTATTTCAGTTGCACCATGGCGTGTCTGCTAAATGTTGGAGGAAATCCAAAGTGCAGCTGCTCCTCCACGAATGCTGATGTGGTGCTGACAAACTCACCGTCATGACATGTTGGAATTTAGCGTATCTAATTTCATCTGTTTGACAAGTTACAAGCCACAGTACAATTTAGGAATTGACTTTCACTTTCTGCGAGTCCATATGAGTATGAACCTTCATGGAGTGAGGGCCAAACTGTATGAACGCCGGAGCTTGCGACACATAAAGTGACAGTCAATTCTTATAATTTTTCATTTCACTATTTTTATACCTCGAGGGATGTCTTACACAATTTCATTTAGTACGTGTGATTACACTGATAGCCATACAACAACCAACTTTAACGTTGAATAAAATAGTTCGTCTAAAGGAGAGGTGACATGAGCGTGTGTTCGCTCAACTGCTCTTACACAACTTCATTTGGTGCGTGTGATTACACTGATAGCCATACAACAACCAACTTTAACGTTGAATAAAATAGTTCGTCTAAAGGAGAGGTGACATGAGCGTGTGTTCGCTCAACTGCTCTTACACAACTTCATTTAGTACGTGTGATTATACTGATAGCCATACAACAACCAACTTTAACGTTGAATAAAATAGTTCGTCTAAAGGAGAGGTGACATGAGCATGTGTTCGCTCAACTTGTTCTGCAGGAACGTCTTTTGTTACTTGGTTACACCAAATAGATTTTAAAAATACCATAATTAGATGAAGAACGGTGGATTACTGTCAGAACAACCTCAGTTTGTCAGCAAGAGTGACAGCGCGTCGTAATACATTTTTATCACATACGAGACGTCAAAATGGCCGGCATGACAAACGTGGTGGGAGTGATTTCAGAAGTTGTTCATGAACCTGTTGCGACTACAAGTTTCAGCCATCAGTGATCAGTTGGCAGATCATTGAAAGGTGATTGTGTATATTTGTCAAACAGATACTCCGGTAAATTCATGGATCGAGTCGATACTGCGATAGTTTGGATGTAAATTTCTTCGTTTTGTTCACTAGGATGGGTCGTAGCGAGGATATTCGTGAACTATCATGCAGTAAAACACTGCTAAAATGTTGATTACAGGATTAAAGGGTCTAAATGATCAGAAACAACGCTTCTGTATGGATTCGTGTTGGGGAATTCCCAGGGGTTTCCCCAGGAATGTGGAAGTTGTCCCGTCAGTGTTTACTGTCATTTCAAGAGTTACGTCTCTTCTGTTTTCACGAATTTTCTATAAGTATCATACCCATTAACGCAAACTCTGAATAGTTGCAAACCGTTTTATATGATATAGATTCATGACCTTTTTTCAACACTCAATATCCCTATTTCAAGACAAAACACAAGTGTAAAAAAACTAACACAATCCCCCCAAACATCGCATTTTCGATGTTCTTTCTCATACCGAAAACATATACGTATCTGAGTGTCAAATTAGCAAACTCCAAACCTTTATATTTTTTCAGAGTTGGTGATATAAGTAATATTACCGTCTGCATCGTACTCGTTCATGCATTCGTTGGGACCTTGTTTGTTAGTAAACAATCAATCTAAAGTAAACTACGGTTATAACGAACTCAAAGGGACTCCTAATTTCAGTTCGTTATAACCCTAGTTCGTTTTATGCATATATACAGCATAACTACAGCAAATAGTCGGGACCAAAAAGTAAGTTCGTTATATCCGTCAGTTCGTTATAAACGTGTTCGTTTTAACCGTAGTCTACTGTTTACCTATATTACACAGAAACAATCGTTTCTTTCCAAACTCAAGCCAAAAACATGAAATAGACACTGTGACCAGGCCTTTGGGTGAAGTATATCCTCAAGTATTTCATTGGAACAGGTGAGGTGAAGTGTCATGAGATTCAGCGTCGCGTTCCGGATTATTGCACTTAAATAGCTACGTACATCACGCGTATGTGTGTGGCTGCTGGTACTAGTCCGGACTGATGCCGATTTATAGTGATAGCTCACTGAGATACCATGCCGCAGTTTAACATGAATACCCAACTCATGACACAGTATACTGACTCCGAGCCGACCAGTCCTTGTTTTAGCCCCTTAATGCCGAGCGCCAGACAGGGTAACAGCAAGTACCATCTTTTAACGTCTTTTGGTATGACGCGGCCGGGGCGGAAGCTCTACCACTAGGCCACGGAGGCGGTCTGTACTAGTTGAGACTTACGCCGGATTTATAGTGCTAGCCCAATGAGATACCATGCCACAGTTTAACATAGTGAGTGAGTATGGTTTCAAGCCGCTTTTAGCAATATTCCAGCAATATCACGGCGGGGGACACCAGAAATGGGCTTCACGCATGGCACTCATGTCGGGAATTGAACCCGGGTCTTCGGCGTGACGGGCGAACGCTTTAACCACTAGGCTACCACTAAATAGCCCACTCAGTACATTGACTCCAAGCCGATTAGTCCTTGTTTTATGCCCGTTTATGACGAGCGCAGGCAGTGTAACAACAAGTAACATTTGTCTTTTGTTAGGACGCGGACGGGAATCGAACCCCCTACCTTCCGCTCTCCGGGCAGACCGTCCATGCCCAGACCGCAGAGGCGGACAGAACAAGATGTGTATAATTGCCTTGTGGTCTTAGGAGACGCAAATCGCTGTGCCTCATTTAGCCAGGCGGTGATCCGTTTATCGTGGGTTCGAATCCCGAATTCCCCCGATTCTTCTCCTTTGTTTATCAACCCGAGTAAATCACTCATTTATGTATTTTTCGTGTAACGTTAGCAACCGAGTTAACTGGTTAACTATAAACACAATTCAGCCTGAAACATGTTGTCCAAGCCTTCATTATATCGATCGCGTTCATACTTGCTTCTGTTTAATTGTTCCATCACCGAATATAGACAACTGATAATACCCTGAAAACAAACAATGGTTATTCCACGAGAGATTTGTGTGTAACTATTATTGAAGCTCTAAATCATGTTTATTCAACCCATGGAAAATACACAAAATACGACGAAATATACACATACAAAACCATCGTTTATTTCACACTCAGGTACGATCGAGAGCTTTCATGAATATAGATTGCAGGTGAGGTGACATGGGGTTTAACGTCGCGTCCAAGATTATTGCACTTATACAGCAACGTGCATGCATGTATCTGTGTGGCTGCTTGTACTTTTCGAGACTAATGCCGAGTTTACAGCGCTAGCCTACTGAGATACCATACCCCACTCAGGCACTGTATACTGACTCCAAGCCGACCAGTCCTTGCTTTGGCCCCTTAATGCCGAACAATTGCCAGGGTAACAACAAGTACCATCTTTTAACGTCTTGTGGTATGACGCGGCCGGGGATGGAACACAGAACCTTCTTCTCTCCGGGCAGACGCTGTACCACTAGACCACGGAGGCGGTCTATAAACATTGTAATGAACATACAACTATCTTCTTCCAGTCAGTTATTGATACGATGGTTAAGATGTCTGGCACATAGTTCCATGATTCACAATGTCGCACATATATCTGTGATATCTCAGCCTTAATGTATATGGCCACCCGGCGCAGGTCCAACAAGATCATACAGTTCTTTATAAAAAATACAAATTTAAATTATCAATACTACAAATGGACAAACAACTCTGTTAACATATCGTGGAGGTAGGTTTGTTGCAGTGTACAACTTGACTAACTTGTAAACCTATGTATAATATTTGCAGTATACAACTGCAAAAATAATCACCAGGAAACTGCGAACATCCATTAATAACAACGCGTTACTTGCAATGAAACCACGATTTGACTCCATTTTATCATGCGGGGTAAATGGATCGGGTGGTCAGACTCGATGACATCGTAGATTGCGTGTCATCGTACCTCATACATCGTACGTGCGTGCGTACATCATTGCATGTTATCGTACCTCATCGGCGTGGGACGTTGGTCACCGGTCTGTCTCAAGATGGCGCTCAGAAACACTTCCTGTGAACAATACTAGGTCCACATTCATCATACTCCTGCTTGGAGATCCACATCTGTTGAAAGGTCGAAAGCGAGGCTAAGATGGAGCCGCCGATCCACACTGAGTACTTCCGTTCTGGTGGAGAAATAACCTTGACCTTGATTGTAGATGGCACGATGTTGGTCAGTTCCTTCATCATACGATCAGCCAGACCTGACGACATAACACATTGACATCATTATGGTTATCGTATATAACGTAAGGGAGAATGGAGCTGAGAATACAGAAATTCAGAACTTCACTTGGCGAAAATTATAATAGTTTTCAGGAGAATCCTGTCCCCATAGAAGCATCTTAGTGAGTTACAAATGCCTTCCTGAATTAATGTGTGTTGTCAGGAGGAGCTATTTAAAAATATGAGCTATTATCATCAATCTCTCTGTAACAGTTTTATATGAGTCCAGAATAAGTGGTGAACAACCTAGAACTCAAACTCACCTGGATACATTGTTGATCCTCCTGACAGAACCACATTGCTGTACAGATCCTTCCTGATGTCAATGTCACAGTTCATTACTGAGTTGTTCAGCATCTCGTGGACGCCCACACTCTCCATACCTGAGATGAGGAACAACAGATGGCTTATAATAACAAGGGACAACAACATATACACTTGTTGTTTAAGGTATATAAAGTTCTGTTTATCGACAGTATTACTATCCTCAGTAACACATGTGACTACAACATAAATTCTATGATCGCATAGTCAACACTTTAAACAAGGAACGTGCTAGTGTTTCAGCTTCTTTGAACTCAGCAAAGTATCCCGTTAAATGTATAACATTTACCCATGAAGCTTGGCTGGAACAGACACTCTGGAGCTCGGAACCTCTCATTGCCGATAGTTATCACAGACCCGTCCGGCAGCTCGTATTCCTTCTCAATGGCGCAGGACTGTGCAGCTGCCACCATCTCCGCCTCGAAGTCCAGGGGAGCATAGCACAGTTTTTCCTTGATGTCTCGAACTATCTCCTTCTCAGCTGCAAACACATCACATGAATATATCACCGAGTGCTGATATGTACGATCTGTAGTCTTCATAGGTGCGTTCAAAACGTGTTGAGGGAGCAATATTGAATTCAAGTAAGACTTAAGTTGACATGACGTATACTGTTCTGTGTTTAAGTAATAAATGTGTATATGTCAGCAATTGTGTGACAACTCACATGATGTAGTAAAGTTGTATCCTCTCTCGTGTAGAATCCTGCTGAGGTAGGAGGTCAGGTGACGGCCAGCCAGGTCCATTCTCCGGACAGCGTGGGGCAGGGCGTATCCTGAGATTATCAGAAATCAGGTTGTATATCAAGTATAACATTGATAAAAGAAGCAAATATTAGTGGAACTTCCCGCCATGAGAGTATGCATAAAAACTTGATAGTCTATTATGAAAAATCCGGTTTTGTCTCACCTTCATATATGGGCACGACGTGCGAGACACCATCTCCCGAGTCAAGGACGACGCCAGTGGTTCTCCCCGAGGCGTACAGAGACAACACCGCCTGGATACTCACATAGAAGGCGGGAGTGTTGAATGTCTCAAACATAATCTGAAATAAAGACATAATTATATTACTAACTTTTAAATTAAAGCAACAAAATCATTTCCATACCTGCAACACGCCGAGACCGATGTACTATTTCGACTATGGAATATGTAAGACAATTGTATTTGTTATGAATCACTATCAATAAGGGATGGTAACAAGAGTCCGCGAAAAGGTGATCGTATCCCGCCCCGCCGTTGGCGCTGGTCATAAACACATACAAAGGCAAGGCAAGTGTTCACGGTACCATATATTAGAAGTGACTGTCTAAATAGGGATTTGCATCAGACATCATTTTGGTTACTGGTGCTTATCTCCTCCGTATGTCTACCTTAAACGCTTTTTTACAATACAGTGTTTCTTGATTAAGCATATTCTCATATTCTCGTCCAGATCATCACAATCCTGTAGCAAATAACTATATGTATGCTATTTCAATCAAAGATCAGTATTACATTTTCAGATCATATTTCTGTTTCCAAGTAACGTGCCCCCTACCTGCACCATCTTCTCTCTGTTAGACTTGGGGTTGAGCGGTGCCTCCGTCAAAAGTACTGGGTGCTCCTCGGGTGCCACTCTCAGCTCGTTGTAGTAGGTGTGATGCCACACACGTTCCATGTCGTCCCAGTTGTTGACGATGCCGTTCTCTACAGGATATTTCAGACTGAGGATTCCTCTCTTACTTTGTGCCTCGTCCCCGATATAGCATTCCTTGCTCCCCATGCCGGCCATGTAGATCTGTAAGACATAACAAATAATAGCGGCTAAGCAAGGACATTCTCCTTCGCTGTACATTCAGCTATCAGACTGCAGATAACTAATTAAAAATATATATATAGCAGCAAAGGCACAAGTTTTCTCCTATCAGATGGCAGACAGCTGTGCATATGACAGGGACACCACTATAACGTCCTCCGGCAGCTCTAATTGGTCTGTTGAAGACATGCTCACAGTTTTTGTATTTGTTTTACATCGATACGCTTAAAAAGCTATATTCAAATATTCAAAGAACCATATTGTCCAGTTATAATAACTAAAAACCGCTATTACCTTTCACAATTTATTTTTTTCACTCAAGCCTGTTATCACTCTTAAGACTGAACTTAAATGTACGTTTTTATATCTATATTAACTATTAGCGACGCCACAAAACGAAATTTGTTAGACCTAAAGGTAACGACAAACTACCAATGACTTAAAGGGTTTATATTCATGAAGACATTGTGTCTACTCACGTCGTACTTGGGTCTACCAGTGATAGCTGGAAACACAGCACGTGGGGCGTCATCCCCAGCAAAGCCGGCTTTACACATCCCAGATCCGTTGTCAATGACAACAGCAGCAATATCTGTATCGTACTCAGACATGATGTACTGATGGCTGTACTGTCTGGCTTGGTGAAAACTTCTGAAAAAATGTAAAATATCGTACTTGCGGTTAGTGCTTGAGAGGATACCCTGGCAAAAGTATCAGCTGAACGATCACAAACGTGCAATTACATGTATAGGTTCATATACCTCCCCGGGAAAGCATAGCCAAGTAATTGCGGAGACGAATTCTGATGAACTTAATGTCCTATATTGTATGACTATCCAAAAGTACCAATGCAGCTATAATTTGTTTATTTCAAAATGGCTTATCAGACAAGAGTTTGAGCACTAGTACAATGGAACAATTTGTGGATGAATTATTTTATAATAACGAGCTCCGAGAATGTTCCACAATGCTCCTGTCCATCAAACTTGCCATTTGTACCTCGTCCCTTCCTGGTTTTGTGATCAATCGTTTCCCACTGTGTTCATTGTACACTGTATATGAATACATGATCACATGGTCACTACACACAGACTTAATCTTAGTCACACTAAGTAGAAGGTTGGCACTTGTAAATAAAGTGACATAACCCTTTACATATATAATAGAAATCTCTGCATAAAGCAGATTCGATTGTGCAATTCCGACTATATCATGAGCATGTGTTTAAGAATCACTATCAAATAGTAATGATGCCAGGTGTTCGCGAAAAGGTGAGCGTGTCCTGCCCCACCGGTGGCACTCGTCACAAACACATGCAAAGGCAAGTCATATATTCACCTGGGAAAAAAGTAACTTTAAATATTCATTCAATAATATGTATGTATTACTGTTACGTTATTGGACTAAAATAAACACATTAGTGTTTTACAATGAGTTTCACCGACCTGTAGCAACCTCACTAGTTTCCAGTATCGAGATGTATTTGATTCCTCCACTCCGGTAAACTGCTGGGTATTTATACCCGTGAACCGACCTATTTCCTGGAATCCTCACATCGATTATTCATGTTTTTCTCCTTGTATGGAAGGGAATCCCCGATAAATATAGAAGTCGACTTACTTCCAAGAAGACAGGTGAATCCTGAGCTATAAATAGATGTGATTTGTGCCCGGTAGCAGGGCGTCGCATATCGCCGACAGTGGACAGATGTACGAGATACTATATATGGAGGTAAACATCACCCTGACCTACAGTGTATTGGTTAGATAAGTGCCATGTCACGATATTCGCTCAAGTTAATAAAATAGTCATAACGAACAACCATGTATACGTACTACGTATGTTTGCGTAAATATAATCATTTGAAATGCACTATTGTGTTTTTGTAATCCAAAGTGAAAACAAATCCACAGATCTTTCCTCTTTCATTAGTCTTGCATCAAGACTTTATTATGATTATATATTTCATTTCTTGTCCACACAGTTAGATGGAATCCACATTATTATTATTATTATTATTGTTGTTGTTGTTGTTGTTGTTGTTGTTGTTGTTATTATTATTATTATTATTATTATTATTATTATTATTATTATTATTATTATTATTATTATTATTATGTTTTCCTAGGCATGTGCCTAAACGTACTATTGATTTTAGAATGAGACGCGTGTGTAAACATAAGCACATTGGTTCATTCAGGTTTTCAACGCGAAGTGATTATTAATCAGCTCCACCCACCTTGAGTATTACTTCACCAGTGACTGAATAACTATAAATAGCAATTGTCAACGCTTGAGGGCTCGTTGCTTGGTAGATCACTAACATGGGGACATTCTCAAAGAAACCATGACTTGCCGTTAATAATACAGTTCATTTCTATGAAAATTCAAACTTAATATTCGAAAGCACATAACATAATATACTCGAAATCGGAAGCTTGTTCGGAAATACAACGATTGTGCCCCCAAAGCGATATGTAGTTTTGAATTGCGTGTTTTCGTCAAGTGCGCAGTAATTACACGCCACGACGGTTAGTATACGACCCCTGTTATAGTTATTGCCTGTATAAGGTATGTCGCTCAGTCGCTGGATGATAAGGTCGTGAACTGGCTATGTGTTGTCAATACTACAACGCAAAACAACAGCTATCATGTGTGAGTGTATACAAACTGCATGTGTTCAAGAAAATACAACAAAGATTGTTCAATAATAGATAAGGGTGGTACTAAAACAGTTTAGATTGTAAACATTCTGTGTGATATTGTATATAACATAAATTTAGAGTAGTTTACGTATAATTGTGAAGCAATTAAATATGAAATACGGTGCATGTAATTATTAATTAATAAATAAACATTCATTCATTACTCCTGAACATGATAATATATGTAAGTACTAGTTTTTACTTGCTTCTAACATAAGTACTTTTAACATCTCTTTTATTTAGTCTATCTGTCCAAGTAAGGCACAATAGAAAATTATTCACAGTGTAAACAGTTTCGCTTTAAAATGTAATTAATAGAATTAAACTTCTTAGAATAATTAACCAATAGTGATAATTAACTAGATGAAACGCTTATTTATGAGAAAAAAACATAACATCTGTATGTTAGTGAGCTATACGTGCAGCAATATATTCCATTGATGACATACACAATGCTATGACGTCACTCAATAAGATTATATTACATTTCAGTGTTAAATCCGTAGTTTAAAGAACATTGCGGCACCTGTCCCATTCGTTAATGCCATAAGCAATACAACACCTGGGAATTTGTTGCCTTTCTGTTTGATATAAAACGCCGTATCTTTGAGGAGTTGATCTTTAGTTTATGATTCTTGAAGTCGCCGCTTCATAGTAGCGACAGGTTGACTTCCATTCTATCGTTAAAACACATTCGTAATGAGTTGCGCAATGATAACTTTGGGCCCACTTGCACAAAGCGGCCTTAGCCCTACGACTATTACAATTCCCATACTTAAACCTAGGCTGGATAATGTAATTATTCATGTAGGTATGCCCTTACATAGGCTTTTCATTTTAGAACGAAACCTTGTTTAGGATATACATGTAAATATTTCGTTGTGTAACATTTGCGTGGAGCTGTGCTGATGGATGTACGACAATTTCATTTGAGCACGCCGCTCAAGCCCAAGCAACACACTTCATTCATGTTTATGATTGTATATTTAATGTTAAAAGGTAAAATTTACACCCGTTCCTCCATGTTAATGAAGAAAAAGATAGTTCCATTAATGAGTGGATACAAAGAGTGATGAGATTCAAATATTAAAGTTATGTTATGATCATTCGACAACACCTTTCAACAATCAGAGAATAGAACATACCTACTTTCACGTTAAATGTCATATTTGGATGATAAATGAATGTGATAACAGAAAGTAAAACCTTATCTCTTTACTTATCACAGTTAACATTCTCTTGTTTTTCTTTAAATAAATAATAATTTAATTTAACTTGTAACAGTCTTTGAACAACTGATTTAGACTTGAAACATCAATGGAACTTGGAGGGGGGGTGGGGGTGTAATGTATGGCGTGTAAAACAATAAGAATCAAAGAATCAAGAGCGTTTATTGTATCAGTATCTTCACTTTGATATACATGATATCCTTGGAAAAGGATTTGTTGGTTTTATTGGGCATGTTAGAGGTACAATAGCAGTTATTGTGGTAAATCAAACACATAATCAAATATATAAAACGCTTTCTCAGAAAACAAAATGCAGAATGAAGTTAGCTGGATTCACACAATGGATTTGCGTTTGAGCTATGTCTGCTGTATTTTGCCCAAATATGCATAGATATTGGGTTATACAATCAAACACAACACCCACAGTTTTTTTAGCAAAAAATAATTTAATACTATCTCAATCTAAATTTTCTAATCCAACAAATATGATATAAGTAGGAACATATTGACAATGTACTAGTAACTTTCGAACCTCAGTCTCAAGCTGTAATATCAAGTGGATAGAGCGCAAGGTCTGGGGCGTGGCATTTTTTTTAACCAAAACCAATCTAGATTATGAGAATATATAAATGACGGGCCACAAAACGGGTTCACGACCCGCATAGAGACGTGGAAAAATGCTTATAATGAACTCGGCCGGCGGACATGTTGTTTACTGAGTGTATTACTTACCGAGTCCCCTAGGTTCTGTTATCACAGACAAAATACGTCAACAATCATCTGACGTCACAGAGAATCAGTCTATCGGCAGTGAAGGCGGCCGGAGGACGTGTTGTTTGCGGAATGTACTTCAAAAGCAGGTTTTTCTTGGGACAGGAACGGAGTTTGGCATTGGTAAGTCAGCACCTTTATTCTTGATGTGAAACCATTTGCATTTAACATTAAAAGAATGCAGACACGTTTGACGCTGACATGTGTGTTTTCTACGGTCGACAGTGTAGATTAAGTTTCATATTCTTAATCATGCTGTGTCTTGTCATTCAATATGTCCAAAGGAAAACTGTTCAGGGTGGTCGGATAGCCTAGAAGTTTAAGCGTTCGCTCGTCACGCCGAAGACCCGGGTTCGATTCCAGACATGGGTACAACGTGTGAGGCCCATTTCTGGTGTCCCCCACCGTGATATTGCTGGAATATTGCTAAAAACGGCGTAAAACCATACTCACTCACTAACTCTTGGCAGCGTCAGGATGTTGATGGTGAATGTACGTACTTTTGTCTTTAACATTACAGAGTACGTAAAATCAGCCATAAGGTCATTTTTGCACTTGTTGGAAACGTTTTGAAAATAGAAAGGATCAGTGGGTTGGGACTATAAAACCGGTATAAGTCAGGACTGCTACAAGAAGCCACACACACACACACACACACACACACACACACACACACACACACACACACACACACACACGTGCATGCGCGTCGCTATAAAAGTGAAATATATAATTTTGAACGCGACGTTACACCCAGTTTCACCTCACATCATCAACTGTAATAGGCTTTCCCATCGCCTCTGGAACAATTGGTCAAGAGTCATTCTTTCAAACCGTATTATAAAATTGACATTCATTTGATGCCAGCTCGATAAGTACTGACATCATAGACACAATACGACGACAAATCAGCTGATGGTCATAGAGAATCTGTCGATCGTAGTAAACGGGGCCGGCGGACGTGTTGCTTGCGGAATGTACTACACGGGCAGGTTTGTGGTGCGACAGGAACAGGTAATTTAGCGTCTATATTCTTTGATGTAGAATCATCTTATGTGTGTACACTACGGCCGTCTGTAGATTTAGTGTTTGTATCTTGCTATGTCTTGTTATTCGATATGATGTCAAAGTCGATGATGCGAAGGAAACAGCAACAGGATGTTGGTGGTGAATTGATGGGCTTATATCTTGAACGTCATAGACAACCCAGAACTAGCCAAAAGGTCATCTTTGCACTCGTTCGAACCTTTTAGAAAACTGAGAGGATATTTGATTAACCTTATCAGAGACCATGAATGTCAAATATCATTGATTCTATTCTTTGTACAATCATCATACATCATATGATCTGTGTCGATACGCTCTCAAACTGACAAAACCAATCTGGTAAAAAACATTTATTCAAGTAACATACACAGAAATGATATGTTGTTGATGGATTGATACACGTGTGATATGTATGGATTGAATAATACATGTGTGGTATGTATGGATAAAGTTATAATTTGTGATATGTACAAACGGATTGATATATGTTTGGTATGTACAGATGGGAAAAGGAACATGTAAATATACAAAATACTTGGAAACATTAATGCCATTTTTTAAGACTTCAGACAGGACGTCTTCAACGAGGCGCAATTATATTTACAGGTTTTATGATATTGCACATGTATGTTACATACAGATGAACGTGAAGTATGTATCACATAATGAAAAAAGAGTATGAATATCGACATAAGAAAATATTTTGTGGAAACGATCTGTTTTGTTCGAGATTCCAAAGTGACCGCATCGAGCTGATGGTTACTAGAATGTAATTGAACACTCTCATTCCATTCAAAGACGTATAGCTTGCCCCCTTTTCTTCCCCAACTTTTTATCCCAGGGTGGTGTTCAGAAACATTTCCTGTGTACAATGCTAGGTCCACATTCATCATACTCCTGCTTGGAAATCCAATTCTCTTGGAAGGTCGAAAGCGAGGCCAAGATGGAGCCACCTATCCACACCGAGTACTTCCGTTCTGGAGGAGAAATGACTTTGACCTTGATTGTGGATGGCACGATGTTGGTAAGTTCCTTCATCATACGATCAGCCAGACCTGGGGAGAAAAACAATTGCATTACTATTATGATACTATACTGCACAAAATGAGAAATACTGAACTCAAACGTATATGTGGTAATTTCACTACTGGATGAAAAAAGATGAAGCAGAGGGCCATTTCTTTACAAAAGAAACATCCAAATACCAAGTTGGGGACAATAAAGTATTTAATTTTGTTTTGAAAGTTAATTCTAATGACAATCATATTACCTATTTTTTTATAATAACACACTTTTGAGCTTTGTCATTGGGAGATTGCTGGGGCGTGTAAATATCCTAAATGACCAATTGGGTTGTACCACTGATGATCTAGAGATGGTCACTGGGTCCAAGAGCTGCAACTCACCTGGATACATTGTTGATCCTCCTGACAAAACCACGTTGCTGTACAGATCCTTCCTGATGTCTATGTCACAGTTCATTACTGAGTTGTTCAGCATCTCGTGGACGCCCACACTCTCCATACCTGGAAGGAAGACATATATAACTTACAACAAGGGCAAAACAATGAATGCAGCATTGATCAGTAGGTAATGTTATCACTGGATGCTATCGATGGTCACCCGTGACTAAATATACGGGTAGATAGAATAATGCGTGGCGTCAATTGTATCTAACCGTTTCAATAGAGCAACGGACAGCATCATATATATTTAATATACATGGATCATAATATCATTTTCCTGAATGCTAGAAGACTACAATTAATTTGATCATCGTCGTTAGTCACAATGATCACGACATGTGGAGACAATCATCATGTGTGTACACTATCAACAGTAAGGGCTTAGTACACCTGGCTGTGGACGATTACTAGGATTTGAACACTTGGAGGGCGGATCCTGTCACCGCAAAAGGACGAACACTGCACAGCGTGTTGTTGTGCCCTGGACAGTGGGAGTGGGAGATCTTAATATTTTAGCATAAGCCCCTTAAAGTGGGATTTCGAAAATGTGTTGGCTGATACCGGGATGGTTGGGGTTGGGTTTAATGTTAAGAATGGACGTCACGAGACTGCTATTGTATCTTTCTGAATGTGTTTTGATGTGGTAAGGTTTTGGTATCCTACAGACTTCGATAATTGTTATCATTTACCCATGAAGCTTGGCTGGAACAAACACTCTGGAGCTCGGAATCTTTCATTGCCGATGGTTATCACAGACCCGTCTGGCAGCTCGTATCCTTTTTCAATGGCGCTGGACTGTGAAGCTGCCACCATCTCCGCCTCGAAGTCCAGGGGAGCATAGCACAGTTTTTCCTTGATGTCTCGCACTATCTCCTTCTCAGCTGCAAACAAATCACATGAATATATCACTCAGTGTTGACATTTACTATCTGTAGTCTTCAAAGGAACGTTCAGAACATGTGTTGAGAGAGAGATATTGAGTTCAAGTAATAGTTCAAGTTTCTTTGAGTTGACATGATATATACTCTTTTGTATATAGTTGTAAGGTGTATTTGTAAAACTGTTTGAGTTGACATGATGTGTACGGTTTTGTGTATAAGTAATAAATGAGTATATGTAAGCAATTGTGTGACAACTCACATGATGTAGTAAAGTTGTATCCTCTCTCGTGTAGAATCCTGCTGAGGTAGTAGGTCAGGTGACGGCCAGCCAGGTCCATTCTCCGGACAGCGTGGGGCAGGGCGTAACCTGACATTACACACCAGAAATATTACACAACGTATAAAATAACTTCTATTATGATCTCTATAATACGTCCCCCGGAAAGAGAAGTTACATGAAAACGTTGTCTGATTTCCCCTCACCTTCATATATGGGCACGACGTGAGAGACGCCATCTCCCGAGTCCAGGACGACGCCAGTGGTTCTCCCTGAGGCGTACAGCGACAACACCGCCTGGATACTCACATAGAAGGCAGGAGTGTTGAATGTCTCAAACATGATCTGTAATAATGAAACACAATCCTTAAGTCAAACGTTCATTAATGGTGGACGGCAAGCACCAGATTAATCTGATCAAAACGATCAAACCTATCTAAGCTTGAATGCGGAACTCAGATTGCTCGGTTTGTAATGGCAAAGATCTTATGGCTCTTTACGATGGCATCTTTCGTCCATGTAATAAATATATAACGTCAGCGCTAGAGATTAGCCAGTCTCTATATTATCCGCCGAAACCTACTCAATTGGGCGTAAAAGGCAAAATAGCGGTGTACATTATATGTAAGGATCGCCGAAAATCAACGATAACACCAGGTGTTCGCGAAAAGAGTCGGCATGTCCTGCCCTAACGGCACCACCTATTTCCCCATCCCTCATTATAAAGAGGGATATTTATGTTAATAAAACCATTTGATCGAGTTTGGAAACTGGACATGATTGATTTCATTCGTTTTCCTTTAGTCGGTCCTCAGGGTTGCGAATGATAAGTGCTACATCCAGACTTCATTGGCAAAGCTGGTAATTAAATACCTGTGATATCTCAATAAAAGAGGATACAAGTCTTCGATAAGTATTTAATGTTTAGACCAAATCTATGTTGTCTGGTAACATGCCACCTACCTGCACCATCTTCTCTCTGTTAGACTTGGGGTTGAGTGGTGCCTCCGTCAAAAGTACTGGGTGCTCCTCGGGTGCCACTCTCAGCTCGTTGTAGAAGGTGTGGTGCCACACACGTTCCATGTCGTCCCAGTTGTTGACGATGCCGTTCTCTACGGGATATTTCAGACTGAGGATTCCTCTCTTACTCTGTGCCTCGTCCCCGATATAGCAGTCCTTGCTCCCCATGCCTGCCATGTAGACCTGTAAGACATAATCGATGGTGGCTAAGGCACACGTTTTCTCCTACGCTGTACGTTTAGCTATTTCAGACAAGTAATTTAAAATAACTAATTTAATAATAGCATTAACATGCCTCATTTCACGCACTAAGTGAATCCTCAAGGCGCTACAGTATTAACAGGTCAGTCTATTAAATTGAGCTGCTGAAGGCTTTGTCACAGTTTCCTTTTACATTATTTGCTGCACCAGTACTAATTCGGTAGAACTAATGTACCCAGGACTTGTGGTAGTTTGTGTACAAAACTCGAGACACTGAGCAATCTTTAAAACCATATATGGTATGGAAATCAACTATTACTTTTCAGAGTTATCATAAAACTTGAATCCAAATGTATATCATGCATAAATTCACAACTGGAGTAGAAGTGGAACCATTTTTGTCAGAACCAAAAGTAACGACAAATCCCTATTTACTAAACGTGTGAATTATATTCATAAGACACCGTTTCTACTCACGTCGTACTTGGGTCTGCCTGTGATAGCTGGAAACACAGCACGTGGGGCGTCATCCCCAGCAAAGCCGGCTTTACACATCCCAGATCCGTTGTCAATGACAACAGCAGCAATATCCGTATCGTACTCAGACATGATGTATTGATAGTTGTAGTATATGTATTCTGAAATGAATTATTGTACATTTATGTTTGATTGACATAATGTCTGTCCTGGGACAAAATAAACAACTACAACAAAGTACTGCAGTTTTATGCTTAAGCGTGTGCCAGGTGTGACAGTACTTAGCCACGCCCCTCTACGTGGGGCAAGTCATACCAATTTATAGACAGAGACTCAAATGAACATACAACCCTATATTGTATTACCAGATAAAAGTACCCCTGTCGCTATATTACGATTCTTTCCCAAAAGGTTTGACGAACATGAGTTAAATCATTAGAACAACGGAGAACAATATGTCAATGTCAATGTCAACACAACAATGAGCTCAGACGACTATCAAATGTTTCATGAAGTGCCTGTCTATTCAAACTAGAGATTTGTACCTCTATTGTCCCTTCAGGTTTTTTGAATACTCGTTTCCCATTGTGTTTATTGTACATTTTTCTGTATTATATATGAACAAATGATGCATGATCACTTCACCCAGAATCAAACTTCGTCCCACGAGTTGAGGATATGTGACTTATAAATATTAACATAAATGATAAAGTCACTTTAAAGAATGACTTATCCAAGAACACATGTGTACTACTTTTCCAATTCGGCAAACATGAAAATAACAATGTTTTACAATGAGTTTCACCTACCTGTAGTAACTTGACTGTTTCCAGTGTCGAGATGTCTTTGATTCCTCCACTCGGGTAAACTGCTAGGTATTTATACCCGTGTACCGACCTATTTCCTGGAATCCTCACATCGATTATTCATGTTTTTCTCCTTGTATGGAAGGGAATCCCCGATAAATATAGAAGTCGGCTAAGACTATAGAGCTATTAATAGATGTGATTTGTCCCAGGTAGCTGGGCGTCGCATATCGCCGACAGTGGTAGGTGTGCGAGGTACTATATATGGAGGTAAAAATCACCTTGACCTATATTAGTTGTTGACAAGTCACGAAATTTCGTTAAATTGACAAAAATAATTAATATACAGCCATCCAGAGTATGTGTCTGTAAATACGTGTGTACATCATGTTAACAATTTTCGTCCTTGTTGGAAATTCAGCAAGGAGGTTTCTCTATATATTCTGTATCCTACTATTTATATTCCGTACTACATGTATGTCCCTCATCCAGTCTTGCTTGACAACGGTATAAGGATATATACTGAAACGTAGCTTTTTACAGTATTAAAGGAGTTGTTATCCATAAAATTGCGTCTACCTTGTCATCCGTCAACTTCTAAGTAAGGCCTCTCAAACAATTTAAGGAGGTTTCTGCTTTGCATACTCTTTTCACCAAATTATCTATTTTTCTCATTTTGAATAGCATGGATGAGACATATAGATATATACATTACATTATTACACAATGTCAAGTGGGATATATATAATGTCATGAATTTCAGGCCATAAACACATGTATTTCATGTTGGTGTATTTGCTGTGTAAAGATAACAGTTTATTCATTCAGGTCTAGCATCAATGTGAGCTGATGATTAAGCATGATGAGTACTTCTACCAGTGACACTGAATAACTATAATAGCAAGTTACAACGGATGAGAGTTAAGCCCCTTGGTATATCGTTGAAAGGGGGACACTCTCAAATCCACTTTAGCTTGTCCTAAAATGCTTCGTTTATTGGAAAACCTAACTCTTTGAAAGTACATTTAACTTTATATTCATATTCTTATTATGTTCCACATAAAGGGATACTTTGTTTTGAAATGTCTTATCACAATGAGCGCAGCAATAATAAGCCACGGCCTTTAGTATACCACCCCTGTTATTGTTATTGCCTGTATAAGGTAGGTCGCCCAGTCAATGCGTGATCAGCTTGTGAACTGGCTCTGTGTTGTCAATACTGCGTCGCTAAAAAAGCAGCCACTATATATGGGTGTATATAAGTAGTGGGACTAGATGTGCACACATAGAATCAATAAAGGCTGGTCAGTAATAGATATTTTCTTTAGAATAATTTTAATTTTATTGTTATCAATATTTCAAATTGTTATTGAAACATGGCTGTTATTACAGAAATGAAACTAATGTCTCATGCTTATCATATTAAATTTTCTGATGTGTTTTTTCAATGACGGATCATTTCATTTATCTTGTGACGCAATATTTACACAAGTGGTTACGATTTGGAGAACCATTAAAACATAATGTTCTTTGAAAGCTTTGTGTGTAGGATGTGAGATAGTAAAACTTTAATAGCGTATGTCACGAACCACACATTGTAGCCAAGTGCTTGAATGTGTGTCATCACCTCCACTGTGACATACATTGCTTTTTCAGAGGTACAATTGTAGCAAGTTCAAAGAAATTTCTTATGAAAATAAATATTAAAAAGTCAGTATTTTCCAAAACATTAAATTGAAGGAAAGAAGTTTAGACTCAGTTCACACTACGACTGATGTTTTGCCAAATGTATTTGTATGTAGACCGAAAACACCCCAAACACCGCTGTTTGAACGCGATCCGGTCAGATCGGTTGGAGATTTATATAAAAAAAACGCACAGAGAATTTCATTCATGACGTTATATTGTGTAGAATTCAGAGACAAATACGGGGGGTATAAGAGATTTATTCTCCTGCCCAGAAATCCACATGCAGCCTGCCTTCTTCGTGGCGGGGTATAAGGGATTTATTCTCCCGCTCAGAAATTTACATCATTACAGATCATTATTTTTGCACAGGAAATATTTGCTACAGTATTTAGTTTTTTTTATGAGGGCCCATACTACTATGACGATTCATTCAAATACTGATAGACATTTCTCTAAAACTGCCAGTGGTCGCTTGTTGCTTGTGATCAATCTGAATTCGACAAAGGGGATATATCTGTCTCATTGACTGGTTTTGCAGAATGTAGTTTGCTGGATTCACACGATGGATTTGTGTTTGAGCTTTTGTCTCTCGCATTGTGTCCAAATATGCATACATGTTGTTCTATATATTCAAACAGAACAAACTGGTTAAAGATTTCTTATGAACAGTGTTTTTACGCCCCGCAAATTGAAACGCAATATCCATTTGTGACGCCATATCTCCCACGTAAGATGAGGTCTTCACCACATGTCACGTATACCAGAACATGCATACGTGTTGTTTATTCTTTTCAGTTACCGTTATGTAACATGCGGGTACTTTTGGTGACTTCATGATTATTTTGTGCAAAGATTTAGTTTTTTAGTTTCACAGAAATAAATGAATTATATTTACACATGTTAAATGTTTTCTTCTGCCACAACTACATGTACTTCACCTTCACCGCAAATGCAAGTCACTGTGCACATGGTGCGTTCTTGAAATCATTACAGATCTCACAAAATTAACCTAGACTCTATTCATTAGCATCAGGGAAAGAAATGTATTGTGTAATACCAGATTTTTGAGACTAAATGTTAATCTAATGGTCTCCATTTTAGATCGTGTCATGATATATCAGTGGGCTATAACTATAAGGCCGACATAAATCCGGACACGTTCAAGCATCCATACACACACATGTGCACTATATAAGTGCAATATATAATGTTTTACCTCACCCACTGCAATAAGCTATCCCATCGCCTATGTAAAGATTGATCGAGAATCAATCTGTCAAACCCTGTAGTTAAGTTGGCATTTCAATCATGTTAAATACATTCAGGTGCCAACAAAGGGCTTTACGACCCGCATATAGACGTGGGAACTATCTTATGTGTACGCAGCCGGCGGACGTGTTGTTTACTGAGTGTACTAGTTATTGTGTACACACTAAGTACTGACATCATTGACAAAATACGTCAACAACCAGCTGATGGTCGCAGAGAATCAGTCTATCGACAGTGTACACGTCCGTTGATTGTGTAGCTTGCGAAATGTACGACAAAAGCAGATTTTTGGTGCGACAGGATTGGAGTTTGGTGTGGGTAGGTCAGCGCAGATATTCTTGGATGTGAAATCCTTTCTATTTAATATTCAAAGAACGCTCAGGCGATAAACACTGACATGTCGACACCACGGACCACTCACTGTGTAGATTTTGGTTTTGTTGTATCTGGGGACACCTTCGGGGTGATGGTAGTGAATGAACGTACTACTATGTTCAACATAACAGAGACCGTAGAACGAGTTATAAGTTCATATTTGCACTTGTTGGAAACGTTTTAAAAATGAAGAGAATAATTGATTAATCTTTTGAATAACATTGATTCTACTGTTTGTACAGTCACCGTACATAATATAATCTGTGTCGATACTCTCTCAAACTGACAAAGCCAATCTCGTAGGAACATTTATTCAAGTCACATTAAGTATATACAGGAATGATTCGTTGTCATATGTACAGATGGATTGATAAACGTGTGGTATGTATAAATGGAATAATACATTTGTGATATCTACAGATGGGATAAGGAACATGAAAATATACAAAATACTTGGTAACATTAAAACTATTTGTAAATACTTCAGACAGGAAGCTTTCAGTGAGGCGCAATGGTACATGTATTTACAGGTTTCATGATATTGCACAATATGTGTTACATACAGATCAAAGTGAAGTATTTACCATAAAAAGGAGAAAGAGTATGAATATGGACATAAAAAGCATTTACGGAAATGATCTGTTTTGTTCGAGATTCCAAAGTGAACGCATCGAGTTGATGATAACAGGAATGTAGTTGATAACGAAGATGAACACCTCAAAGATTTATAGCTTGTCCCCTTCCCTTCCCCTACTTTTTGTCCCAGGATGGTGTTCAGAAAGAATGCAGTTGATAACGAAGATGAACACCTCATTCCGTTCAAAGACGTATAGCTGGGCCCCTCCAGCTTCCCAACTTTCTGTTCCAACGTGGGGCTCAGAAACACTTCCTGTGAACAATGCTAGGTCCACATTCATCATACTCCTGCTTGGAAATCCAATTCTCTTGGAAGGTCGAAAGCGAGGCCAAAATGGAGCCACCTATCCACACCGAGTACTTCCGTTCTGGTGGAGAAATGACTTTGACCTTGATTGTGGATGGCACAATGTTGGTAAGTTCCTTCATCATACGATCTGCTAGACCTGGAGAGAAAAAAACAATGGCATTAATATTTTGATACTATACTGCACAAAATGAGAAATACTGAACTAAAACGGATAGGTGGTAATTTAAATATTTGATGAAAAAAGATGAAGCAGGGGGCCATTTCTTCACAAAAGAAACATCCAAATACCAAGTTGGGGACAATAAAGTATTTAATTTTGTTTTGAAAGTTAATTCTTATGACAATCATATTACCTATTTTTTATAATAACACACTTTTGAGCTTTGTCATTGGGAGATTGCTGGGGCGTGTAAATATCCTAAATGACCAATTCGAGTCGATCAAACATCACAGTTATAATACCATGGATGATCTAGACATGGTCACTGGGTCCAAGAGCTGCAACTCACCTGGATACATTGTTGATCCTCCTGACAAAACCACGTTGCTGTACAAATCCTTCCTGATGTCAATGTCACAGTTCATTACTGAGTTGTTCAGCATCTCGTGGACGCCCACTCTCTCCATACCTGGAAGGACGACATAGATAACTCACAACAGTTGACACAATAATGTGTACATTATGTAATATTATCGCTGAATAATATCGACGGTCACCCGTGACATAATACAGAGGTCGTATCCCCCGAAAACTCAATAAGAACCAACATCACAACTGAACGCCCACACTCTCAATACTTGGAAGAGTAGATATATTAATGCATGGCTTAAACCATATCTAACCATTATCATATAACAGCGGATAACATCATATATGCTTGATATACGTTGATGATATATATATATGAATCATTTTATTATTCCTAATGCTGGGAGGATATCCTTAATTTGATCATCGTCGTTAGCCCCAATCATCACATGTACAGACAATCATCATATGTGTACACTATCAACAATAAGGGCCTAGTACACTCGACTGTGGACGATTACCAGCAGTTGAACACTTGGAGGGCGGATCCTGTCGCCTCAAAAAGGACGAACTCTGCACAGCGTGTTGTTGTGCCCTGGACAGTGGGAGTGGTAGATCTTAATAATTTAGCATAAGCCTCTTAAAGTGGCGTTTCCAAAATGTGCAGGCTGATACCGGGGATGGTTGGGGTAGGTTTTAATGTTAAGAATGGACGTCACGAGACTCTGAACTGCTATTGTATCTTTCTGAATGTGTTTTGATGCGGTAATTTTTTGGTATCCTATAGACTTCGAAAATTGTTATCATTTACCCATGAAGCCTGGCTGGAACAGACACTCTGGAGCTCGGAACCTCTCATTGCCGAGAGTTATGACAGACCCGTCTGGCAGCTCGTATTCGTTCTCAATGGCGCTGGACTGTGAAGCTGCCACCATCTCCGCCTCGAAGTCCAGGGGAGCATAGCACAGTTTTTCCTTCATGTCTCGAACTATCTCTTTCTCAGCTGCAAACACATCACATGAATATATCACTAAGTACTTGTTGATATTTACCTGATGTAGTCTTTAAAGGTACCTTCACAATGTGTGACGAGAGAGCAAAATTGAGTTCAAGTAAAACTGTTGTTACTATGAGTTGACTTGATGTGTACGGTTTTGGGTATAAGTAATAAATGTGTATATGTCAGCAATTGTATGACAACTCACATGATGTAGTAAAGTTGTATCCTCTCTCGTGTAGAATCCTGCTGAGGTAGGAGGTCAGGTGACGGCCAGCAAGGTCCATTCTCCGGACAGCGTGGGGCAGGGCGTATCCTAAGATTACACAAAAGAAACATTACACAACGTATAAAATAACTTTTATTATGATCTGTAAAATCTGCACTGGTCCCCCAAAAAGAGAACTTACATGCAAACGTTTTCTGATTTCTCCTCACCTTCATATATGGGCACGACGTGCGAGACACCATCTCCCGAGTCCAGGACGACGCCAGTGGTTCTCCCCGAGGCGTACAGCGACAACACCGCCTGGATACTCACATAGAAGGCAGGAGTGTTGAATGTCTCAAACATGATCTGTAATGATGAAACGCAATTCTTAGTTCATTAATGCTGGACGGCAGGAACCAGACTAGTCTGATCTGATGTGTCATGGTCGTAGAACTGTCCAAACTATGCTCTGCATGCAGGGCCATACTGCTTATTACTGTGGCACCTTTTGTCCATGTAGTAATATGTATGTGTATGGTACGAAAAACATTTAATCGAGTTTTGAAATAGGACATGATTGATTTCATGTTTAACCGATTTCCCTCTAGTTGATGCACTGGGTAGAGAATGATTATTTGTTACATCCAGACTTCATTGCGGGTAATTAAATACCTGTAATATCTCAATAAACGGAAGATACAAGTCTTGGATAAGTATTGCATTTTCAGATCATCTCTGTTTCCATGTAACGTGCCCCCTACCTGAACCATCTTCTCTCTGTTAGACTTGGGGTTGAGTGGTGCCTCCGTCAAAAGTACTGGGTGCTCCTCGGGTGCCACTCTCAGCTCGTTGTAGTAGGTGTGATGCCACACACGTTCCATGTCGTCCCAGTTGTTGACGATGCCGTTCTCTACGGGATATTTCAGACTGAGGATTCCTCTCTTACTCTGTGCCTCGTCCCCGATATAGCAGTCCTTGCTCCCCATGCCGGCCATGTAGACCTGTAAGATATAATAAATAATACCGGCTAAGCAAGCACATTCTCCTTCGCTGTACATTCAGCTATCAGATTGCAGACAACTAATCAAAAATAAAAAATTAAAAAAATTAAATGCATTTACAGTTCCTCAGTCTATTCACCAAGTGAATGTTCAAGGCGCTACAGTATTAATATGATGAAGGGTTGATACAGTTTTCTAATTCCTGTTTACTACACCAGCAATAATTCGAGAGAAAACTAATTCAAGGTACCCAGGACCCACTACCCTTGTCGAGACAATGAGCAATCTTTAAAGCCATATTTTGTATGAGAAATCACCAGTTACCTTGCAAAAGTTTCCTAAAGTCTTACATCCAAACGTACTATATTATTCATAAATTCACAACGGGCAACGAAGAAGAACAATTTTCATTAGAACTAAAGCGACAAAGCACCAATTATGAAGAATGTTTATATTCATGAAGACATTGTTTCAACTCACGTCGTACTTGGGTCTGCCAGTGATAGCTGGAAACACAGCACGTGGGGCGTCATCCCCAGCAAAGCCGGCTTTACACATCCCAGATCCGTTGTCAATGACAACAGCAGCAATATCCGTATCGTACTCAGACATGATGGTTGTATTGTTTGTATTCTGAAATAAGGTAATGTACATCTACATTTGATTGATATAATGTCTGTCTTTGGAAAAATGAAAAAACTACGTGCATGCAGTTTTTATGATAAAGCTTGTTACAGTTGTGAGTGTATTTAGCCACGTCCCTCTACCTTTGGAGAAGTCAGAACAAAGTTAAGGCAGAGATAAACTCAATAAGCTATAACACGATTCTATTTCAAATGGTTTATCGTACATTTATTAAAGCTCTAGAACAACTGAGAACAATATGTCAATAAAGGTAATGAATAATTCATCACAACGAGTTCTTACTATTAAATGTTAAATAAGATACCTGTCTTTTCAAACTCCAATTTGTATCTCTATAGTCCCCTCATGGGTGTGGGAATAATCCCACTGTGTTCATTTTACACTGTATATTTCTATACTCAGTGCATGGCTACTGCACCCCGAATCAAACTTAAGCACAATGAGTGGAAGACATGTTACTTCTAAAGTCACATTAAGTATTTATCAAAATAAATTTGTGTACTACTTTTTGAATTTGGAAAACATACAAAATATACCTTTTTTCATCTACCTGTAGTAACTTGACTGTTTCCAGTGTCCAGATGTCGTTGATTCCTCCACTCGGGTAAACTGCTGGGTATTTATACCCGGGTACCGACCTATATCCTGGAATCCGCACATCGATTATTCATAATTTTCTCTTTGTATGGAAGGGAAATCCCGATAAATATAGAAGTCGGGTAAGACAGGTGAATCCTGAGTTATAAATAGCAGGTAGCTGGGCGTTGCATATCGCCGACAAGGGTATGTGTGCGAGATACTATATATGTTCAAACATCACCCTGACCTATATTGGTTTGTTTACAAGTCACGAATTTTGCTCAAATTGACAAACATAATTAATATACAGCAATTCAGACACACTACGTATGTGTGTATAAATACGTTTGTACATCATGATAACAAGTTTCGTTTGCTGTGCATATTGTTTCCAAAATATGGTTCATTTTTCAGTTTTGAATAACATAAACGAGACATATGGATATATACACGTATATATTTCATTTTATTACACTACACAAGGTCAACTGAGTTACATATTATATCAGGGGCGGTCGGGTAGCCTAGTGGTTAAAGCGTTCGCTCGTCACGCCGAAGACCCGGGTTCGATTCCCAACATGGGTACACTGTGTGAAGCCCATTTATAGTGTCCCCCGCAGTGATATTGCTGGAAAATTGCTAAAAGCGGCGTAAAACCATACTCACTCACTACATATTATATCATGAATTTCAGACTATATACACGTGTATTTCATGTTGGTGTGTAAGTAGTAGTAGAAAGTACTGTTATTTATACACCTGATGTAAAGACAAGAGATTATTTATTCAGATATACGTGAATTAACGTGAACTGATGATTAAGCAATATCACCCATGATGAGTAGTACTTGAATCACTGGCACTGATTTAACTACAAATAGCAACTGACAAAGCATGAGAATTAAACCCCTTGGTAGATCGTTTTAAAGGGGGACACTCTCAAACACACTTTAGCTTGCCTCCTAAAAAGCTTCGTTTATTGGAGAATTAATAAAATCTTGTTTGAAAGTACGTTTATTATCATATCCGATTTATGTTCCCCATAAAGGGATCTTCTGTTTTGAAATGTATTATCACAAAGTGCGCTTCAGTAATAAGCCACAGCGTTTAGTATACGACCCCTGTTAATGTTATTGCTCGTAAGCTACGTTGCCATGAAAAGGTCGTGAACTGGCGCTGTGTTGTCAATACTGAATCGCTTAACTTTATATGGGTGTATATAAATCGTAGGACTAGATGTGCACAGATAAAATCAAAACCGACTGATCAAGAATAGATATTTTAGTTTAGAGTAATCTTTATTTTTATTGTTGTCAATTTTTCGAAATATGATTGAAACATAAGGCTGCTATTATATAATTAGGGAAATAATTTCCCTTACTTATCATACTTATTTTCTAATATTTTTTTCTAATGGTATATTTCGTTATTTTATGACGCAATATTTACAAAAGGGATTACGAATTGGTGAAACATTAAAAAATAATGTTCTTTGAAAATATGGTGTGTAAAATGTAGGATGTAAAATAGTACAACTTTAATAGTGTATGTCACAGACCACACATAGCAGCCACGTGCTTGTATCACCTGTCATCACCTTCACTGTGATATATTAGAGAGGGGATTTGATTTGGGTTTTTTAGACTGTGAAGGAAGTACATATGTGCCAAGCTCAAAGAAATTTATAATGAAAATAAATCTAAAAAGTCAGTACTTTCTAAAAGATCAAATTGGAGGAAAGCAGTTTAGATTGAATTTTCACATCCACTGATTTTAATGCCTTTCCTTATGCCAAAAAAGGCGTAAGTATATTTGTATGTAGACCGAAAACGCCCAAACACAGCAGTTTGAATGCGTTCCGGGCAGATTGGTTTAAGATTGATAAACCAAAACGCACAGAGAATTCCATTGGTGACGTCATATTGTGTACGAGACGCATTCGAGGGCCGCATAAAAGCCCATGTAACCCGAGTGATCCTGCTGCATCACATTTGTCTTATCGACATGAAAGATCAACATTTGTAGTTTTATGGAAATATTGTTCTCAGAAATCTGTTGAGAGATTCCAATTTTACAAATTAACATAACTTGAATGTGAATGCCTGGCCGAAAAGAGTTCTAAAACAAAAAAATATACCTGTGAAACCCGCCAGATGTGGCCAGATCATTTCTTGCACAGGAAATATTTGCTACAGTATTCAGTAGGATTTATGAGAACGCACTTCTAAGACGATTCATTCAAATAATGATAGACATTTCTCTAAAACTGCTAGTGGTCTCCTGTTGTTTGTGATCAATCTGCGAAATTCCTTGTAATGTTTCTGTGTTCTGCATGCATTCTAAGGTAACTGTATGATAGATCGCAATGAATTCGACAAAGGTGCCATATCCGTCTCACTGGCCAATGCCGAATTTGCAGAATGCAGTTGTCTGGATTCACACGATGAATTTGTGTTTAAGCTTTGTCTCGTGCATTGAGTCAAAATATGCATATGTGTTGTTCAAACATTCAAACATAACAAACAAAGTTAACATATTTGTTAAAGATGTTGTATGCACATAATTTAGTACGCCCGGTACATTAAAACACAATACCCATTTCTGACTCCATAAGTCCCACGTCACGTGAGGTCTTTACCAAGTGTCACGTATACCAGAACATATATTATTCTTTTCAATAACTGTTACGTACGTGACATGCGACATCCGTGACTTTCCGTGACTTCTTGAGTATTTTGTGGAAAGTTTAGTTTTAAGTTTTACAGATATATATACGCATTATACTTGCAAGTGTTATTTTTTTCTCCTGTCAGATCAAACTAATGCATTTGTTTCACAACTACTTCACCTTCACCGCAAATGCAAGTCACTGTGCATATGGCGCGTTCTTGAAATCATTACGCATCTCACAAAATTAACGTCGTAGTTTGAATCTAGATGAACTATGTAACACTATTTCCAAATCCAACAACAATTCTATGAGTCAGAACATATGGACAATGTACTGGTAACACTCGAACCTCGGATTCCAGTTATTGTATCGTGTGGATAGGGCGTCTTCCCGAAGAGTGGAAGGTCGGTGGCGGTATCATACCAAAATACTCTGAAATATTATGCTGTTGTTAGCCTGCCTGGCGCTTTGATAAGGCAAGGACTGTTCGGCTCAGAGAGAGTACATTCTGCTAAAGTGTAGTCCTTCACTGTGACTGTGACTTATAAAAAGCCAGCCTAGCCACCGCTATTCATCAACATCAGGGAAAGAAATGTAATGAGTTATACAAGATTTCATAGACTAAATGTTAATCTAGCCTTACTGTGGTCTCCATTTTATGATATATCAGTGGGCTACAACTATAAGACCGGCATAAGTCCGGACAAGTTCAAGCTTCCATACACACACGTGTGCTTGCACATCGCTATTTAAGTGCAAAATATATTTTACGCAACGTTCAACCTTATTCCCCTCATCCACTGTACATAGGCTATACCATCGCCTATACAAAGGCAGACCAAGAGTCAATCTTCCAAACTCTGATTCATGCTAAATAAATTCAGGTGCCATCAAACGGCTTTACGACAGAGACGTGGGACCTCTCTTATTGTTGTTTATCGGCAGTGTACGTGGCCGGCACACGTCTTGTTTACTGAGTGTACTACTTATTGTGTACACTAAGTACCTAAGTACTGACATCACTAACAGATACGTCCCCAATCAGCTGACGTCATAGAGGATCGATATAGGTCTATCGGAAGTGAACGCGGCCGGCGGAGGGTGTTGCTTGTGGATTGTTCAACAAAAGCAGAATGTTTGTGCGACAGGAATAGAGTTGGCATTGGTAAGCCAGCGCTTATATTCTTGGATGTGAAATCATTTGCATTTAATATTCAAAGAAGACCCTGGCGTTACACACTGATGTGTCTCGCTACGGACGACTGTGTAGATTGCTGTGACTTGTTATTCAACATGTACAAAGGAAACTGTTCTGGACAGCGTCGGGATGATGGTAGTGAATGCACGAACATTTACCTTTAATATACAGAGAACGTAGAACCAGTTATAAGTTCCTTTTTGCACTTGTTGAAAACGTTTTAAAAATGGAGAGAAGGTTTGATTAATCTTTGATTGATCTGTGTCAATACTCTCTCAAACTGACAAAGCCAATCTCGTAGAAACATTTATTCAAGTCACATTAAGTATATACAGGAATGATATGTTGACATATGTACAGATGGATTGATATCATATGTATAGATGGACTAATACATTTATGGTATGTTCAGATGAATTTATACATTTGTGATATGTACATAAATACTTCGTAACAATTTTGCCATTTTCAAAGACTTCAGACAGGACGCTTTCAATGAGGCGCAATGTTATTTTCAGGTTTCATGATATTGCACAAGGTATGTTACATACAGATGAAAGTGAAGTATTTACAACATAAAGAAGAAAGAGTATGAATATTGACAAAAGAAAACATGTTATGGAAACGATCTGTTTTTTCGAGATTCCAAAGTGAACACATCGAGTTCAAGGATGCAGTTGATAACGAAGATGAACACCTCATTCCGTTCAAAGACATATAGCTTGGCCCCTCCAGCTTCCCAACTTTCTGTCCCAACGTGGGGCTCAGAAACACTTCCTGTGAACAATGCTAGGTCCACATTCATCATACTCCTGCTTGGAAATCCAATTCTCTTGGAAGGTCGAAAGCGAGGCCAAAATGGAGCCACCTATCCACACCGAGTACTTCCGTTCTGGTGGAGAAATGACTTTGACCTTGATTGTGGATGGCACGATGTTGGTAAGTTCCTTCATCATACGATCAGCCAGACCTGGAGAGAAAAAAATGGCATTAATATTTTGATACTACACTGCACAAAATGAGAAATACTGAACTAAAACGTATATGTGGTAATTTCAATATTTGATGAAAAACAAGATGAAGCGGGGGGCCATTTCCTCAAAAAAGAAACATCCAAATACCAAGTTTGGGGCAATAAAGTATTTAATTTTATTTTGAAAGTTAATTCTAATGACAATCATATTACCTATTTTTTATAATAACACACTTTTGAGCTTTGTCATTGGGAGATTGCTGGGGCGTGTAAATATCCTAAATGACCAATTCGAGTCGATCAAACATCACAGTTATAATACCATGGATGATCTAGACATGGTCACTGGGTCCAAGAGCTGCAACTCACCTGGATACATTGTTGATCCTCCTGACAAAACCACGTTGCTGTACAAATCCTTCCTGATGTCAATGTCACAGTTCATTACTGAGTTGTTCAGCATCTCGTGGACGCCCACACTCTCCATACCTGGAAGGACGACATAGATAACTTACAACAGTTGACACAATAATGTGTACATTATGTAATGTTATCACTGAATAATATCGATGGTCACCCGTGACATAATACAAATGTCGTATCCCACGAAAGCTCAATAAGAACCAACTTCACAATTGAACGCCCACACTCTCAATACTTGGAAGAGTGGATATATTAATGCATGGCTTAAACCATATCTAACCATTATCATATAACAGCGGATAACATCATAAATGCTTGATATACGTGGATGATATATATCATTTTATTATCCTAAATGCTGGGATAATATCATTAAATTGATCATCGTCGTTAGCCCCAGTCATCACAGGTAGAGACAATCATCATGTGTGTTCACTATCAACAATAAGGGCCTAGTACACTCGACTGTGGACAATTACTGGGAGTTGAACACTTGGAGAGCGGATCCTGTCGCCTCAAAAGGACGAACTCTGCACAGCCCTGTCAGTGGGAGTGGTAGATCTTAATATTTTAGCATAAGCCCCTTAAAGTGGCGTTTCCAAAATGTGTAGGCTGATACCGGGGATGTTTGGGGTTGGGTTTAATGTTCAGCATGGACGTCACGAGACTCTGAACTGCGATTATATCTTTCTGAATGTGTTTTGGTGTGGTAAAATTTTGGTATCCTATAGACTTTGTTTGGAATATTATTGTCATTTACCCATGAAGCTTGGCTGGAACAGACACTCCGGAGCTCGGAACCTCTCATTGCCGAGAGTTATCACAGACCCGTCCGGCAGCTCGTATTCCTTCTCAATGGCGCTGGACTGTGAAGCTGCCACCATCTCCGCCTCGAAGTCCAGGGGAGCATAGCAAAGTTTCTCCTTCATGTCTCGAACTATCTCTTTCTCAGCTGCAAACACATCACATCAATATATCACTAAGTACATGTTGTTAGTTACATGTGCGATGAGAGAGCAAAATTGAGTTCAAGTAAAACTGTTGTTACTATGAGTTGACATGATGTGTACGGTTTTGGGTATAAGTAATAAATGTCAGCAATTGTGTGACAACTCACATGATGTAGTAAAGTTGTATCCTCTCTCGTGTAGAATCCTGCTGAGGTAGGAGGTCAGGTGACGGCCAGCAAGGTCCATTCTCCGGACAGCGTGGGGCAGGGCGTATCCTAAGATTACACAAAAGAAACATTACACAACGTATAAAATCACTTCTATTATGATCTGTAAAATCTGCACTGGTCCCCCAAAAAGAGAACTTACATGCAAACGTTTTCTGATTTCCCCTCACCTTCATATATGGGCACGACGTGCGAGACGCCATCTCCCGAGTCCAGGACGACGCCAGTGGTTCTCCCCGAGGCGTACAACGACAACACCGCCTGGATACTCACATAGAAGGCGGGAGTGTTGAATGTCTCAAACATGATCTGTAATGATGAAACGCAATTCTTAGTTCATTAATGCTGGACGGCAGGAACCAGACTAGTCTGATCTGATGTGTCAAGATCGTAGAACTGTCACAACTATGCTCTACATGCATTGACATCAAAACTTTGATTAATCAGTTTAAAGTCAAGGGCCATACTGCTCTTTACTGTGGCACCTTTTGTCCATGTAGTAATATATATGTGTATGGTAAGAAAAACATTTAATCGAGTTTGGAAATAGGACATGATTGATTTCATGTTTAACCGATTTCCCTCTAGTTGATGCACTGGGTAGAGAATGATTATTTGTTACATCCAGACTTCATTGCTGGTAATTAAATACCTGTAATATCTCAATAGTGGAAGATACAAGTCTTGGATAAGAATTGCATTTTCAGATCATCTCTGTTTCCTTGTAACAGCGCCCCCTACCTGCACCATCTTCTCTCTGTTAGACTTGGGGTTGAGAGGTGCCTCCGTCAGAAGTACTGGGTGCTCCTCGGGTGCCACTCTCAGCTCGTTGTAGTAGGTGTGATGCCACACACGTTCCATGTCGTCCCAGTTGTTGACGATGCCGTTCTCTACGGGATATTTCAGACTGAGGATACCTCTCTTACTTTGTGCCTCGTCCCCGATATAGCAGTCCTTGCTCCCCATGCCGGCCATGTAGACCTGTAAGATATGATAAATAATAGCGGCTAAGCAAGTACGTTCTCCTTCGCTGTACATTTAGCTATCAGATTGCAGACAACTAATTAAAAATTAAAAATTAAATGCATTTACAGTTCCTCAGTCTGTTCACCAAGTGAATGTTCAAGGCGCTACAGTATTAATATGATGAAGGGTTGATACAGTTTTCTATTTCAGGTTTACTACACCAGCAATAATTCGAGAGAAAACTAATTCAAGGTACCCAGGACCCACTACCCTTGTCGAGACATCACAAGTTACCTTGCAAACGTTTCCTCAAGTCCTACATCCAAACGTACTATGTTATTCATAAATTCACAACGGGCAACGAAGAAGAACAATTTTCATTAGAACTAAAGCGACAAAGCACCAATTATGAAGAATGTTTATATTCATGAAGACACTGTTTCTACTCACGTCGTACTTGGGTCTGCCAGTGATAGCTGGAAACACAGCACGTGGGGCGTCATCCCCAGCAAAGCCGGCTTTACACATCCCAGATCCGTTGTCAATGACAACAGCAGCAATATCCGTATCGTACTCAGACATGATGGTTGTATTGTTTGTATTCTGAAATATGGTAATGTGCATCTATAGTTGATTGATGTAATGTCTTTGGCAAAATGAGTAAACAACGTACATGCAGTTTTTATGATAAAGCTTGTTACAGTTGTGAGTGTATTTAGCCACGTCCCTCGACCTGGGGGAAGTCAGAACAAAGTTAAGGCAGAGATAAACTCCATTGAACATAGAGTGTACCCGTCTAGATATAACACGATTCTATTTCAAATGGTTTATCGTACATGAATTAAAGCTCTAGAACAACTGAGAACAATACGTCAATAAAGGTAACAAATAATTCATCACAACGAGTTCTAACTATTAAATGTTAAATAAAATACCTGTCTATTCAAACTCCAATTTGTATCTCTATAGTCCCTTCATGGGTTTGTTAATAATCCCACTGTGTTCATTTTACACTGTATATTTCTCTACTCAGTGCTGGCCTTATGATGCATGGTTACTACATCCCAAATCAAACTTAGTCACAATGAGCGGAAGACATGTTACTTGTAAAGTCACATTAAATATTTATTAAATTAAATATGTGTATTACTTTTTGTATTTTGAAAACATGACAATTACACTGTTTTATAATGGGTTTTCACCTACCTATAGTAACTTGACTGTTCCCAGTGTCGAGCTGTCTTTGATTCCTCCACTCGGGTAAACTGCTGGGTATTTATACCCGTGTACCGACCTATTTCCTGGAATCCTCATATCGATTATTCATGTTTTTCTCCTTGTATGGAAGGGAAACCCCGATAAATATAGAAGTCGGCTAAGACAGGTGAATCCTGAGCTATAAATAGATGTGATTTGTCCCAGGTCGCTGGGCGTCGCATGTCGCCGACAGTGGAAGGTGTGCGAGATACTATATATGAACGCAAACATCACCCTGACCTATATCGGCCAAATGGCAAGTCACGATATTCGCTCAAATTGACAAACATAGTTGATATTCACCCCCTCAGACATACTACGTATGTGTGTGTTAAAACGTTTTTACATCATGATAACAATTTTCGTTTGTTGTTGGAAATTTAGCAAGAAGGTTTCTACTATGCATATTGTTTCCACAAAATTGTCCACTTTTTCTAATTTTTGAATAACATGGACGAGACATATAGATAAATTCATTACATTTCTATTACAAAAAGTGAACTGGGATATATATTATATCATGACTTCAGGCCATATACAAATGTATTTCATGTTTGTGTTTTTGATGTGTAAGTAGTACTAGAAAGTACTATTCGTTATACACCTTGTGTCAAAATAACAGTTTATTCCATTCAGGTTCCAACATCAATGTAAACTGATGATTACGCAGTATCACACATGATGAGTCGAACTTCTACCAGTGACACTGATTAACTATAATAGTAACTGACAACGCATGAGAGTTAAGCCCCTTGGTAAATCGTTGAAAGGGGGACACTCTCAAATACACTTTAGCTTGACCCCTAAAATGCTTCGTTTATTGGAGCATCCAAAATCTAACTGTTTAAAGAGTACGTTTATAATAATATTCTAGATGTTCCCCAGAAAGGGACATTTTGTTTTTAAATGTATTATCACAAAGTGCGCAGCCGTAATAAGCCACGGCGTTTAGTATACGACCCCTGTTATTGTCAGTGCCTGTATGAGGTTTGTTTCCAGTCCCTGGATAAAGCTGTGAACTGGCTCTGTGTTACCAATACTGCGTCGCTAAAAGAACAGCTACTCTATATGGGAGTATACAAATCGTAGGACGAGATTTGCACATAAAAATAAAAGACGGCTGCTCAAGAATAGATATTTTATATTAGAGTAATCTTTTTTTCTATTGTTGTCGATTGTTCAAAATATTATTGAAGCATATAACTGATCAACAATATATATCTTTATCTTAGAATAATCGTTATTTTTATAGTTATCAATTTTTCAAAATGCCATTATAAGATATGGATGTTATTACAGAAATTACAATAACAAATCAGATTTTTCTCTTATTTGTTTTTAATGGAGCATCATTATATTTATCTTGTGACGCAACGTTTACAAAAGTGATGACGAAATAGTGAAACATTAAACGTTTTTGAAAGTATTGTTTATGCCATAGGCAACAAAATGCACCAAATATATTTTTATAAAGACCTGAAAACGCTCCAAATACCGCAGTTGAATACGATCAGATCAGATCGGTTTAAGGTTGACACAGAATTCCATTCATGACGTCATATTTTGTACTTGAGATAAGGTCTTTCGTAAGTGCACGTGTCACGTGGATCGGAAGAATATACGATGCACATCTGTGCAATATATAACAGTATTGGACTGAGCACGTATTAAGTCACGCATTCATCTCTGTGTAATTTCATTTACACGTTCAGTGTTTTCCTTTCAGATAACAATATTGCAATTGCTTCTTCGATTCGTTTATGTCAGAGAGTTGAACACATCACACGTTACATTGAACGGAACAGAACAGAATGAATTCAATATTTCAGGCCATATGGCCTACATTACAATTGTAGCAGAACCCTTGAAAATGTCACATGGCAGTGTTAAATACAGAATTGATATTAACGTAGACAAACACATGTTTTAGATAAAAGCAACATGTCTCATTACATCAATATTTTAGTATTTAGAAGATTATACGTGTTAAGCTAAACAAGAAGATATTAATATTTTAAGGAGAGTTAGGAAATTCATCTTCTATGCTTCCCAGGTTATATTATTTACACACTGCACTTGAAAGATCAACATTTGAAGTGTTATGGTAATTGTTAATTTAAAACTTATGTAGAGAGATTCTAATGTTACAAATTAACATGACTGTGATGATGTCATGAGTGTACATTGTAGGTCTAAAACAGAAGATGGCACTTGTGCAGCAGGCGGGGTTTGGCCAGATCCTTCCTTGCGCATGAGGGGCGGTCGGGTAGCCTAGTGGTTAAAGCGTTCGCTCGTCACGCCGAAGACCCGGGTTCGATTCCCGACATGGGTACAATGTGTGAATTTCTGGTGTCCCCCGCCATGATATTGTTGGAATATTGCTAAAAGCGGCGTAAAACCATACTCACTCACTCACTCACTCCTTGCGCATGGTTGAAACTGCTTTGGCGCTGTCAGCAACTATTTGCTTCAAGCAAGTTCGTTGGGATATGTTTACGGCTTTGTCGCAAAATGTACTGGGCAGTTGTCACGGTGTTTCCTGGTGTTTTTAACAGAATCCGGTTGGCAGTATGAGGGCCCACTTCTAAGATGCTTCATTCAATTAATTATAAAGATATTTCTCTAAACACGTCAGTGGTCTCCCGGAGCTTCGCTACCGTCGCTAGTGATCAATCGGCGTTCTTTGCCGTGTTTTTCTGTATTTTTTTGCTATCTGTGGCAACTGTATGATAGATAGCATCGTAATGGGTTTGCCAAAGAGGCCATAATCTGTGTGACTGACCCGGACCATATGGAGCGACGCAAGGCAGATGAATGCAGGTTCCACAAACGGTCTAGAACGCAATGATAATGTCGCCAATCCGAAATCTATGACGGCAATAATGGAGTCGCGTCATTGTTTGTGTCCTAATAAGTACTGACGTCAGACACAAAGTAGCTAACGTCATAGAGAAACAGTGTATCGACAGTATACGTTCCCGGCGGGCGTGTTGCTTGCAGAGTGTACAACAAAAGCAGGTTTGTGGGGCGAAAGGAACGGAGTTTGGCATAGGTTAGTCATCGCCTTTAGTTTTGGATGTGAAATCATTTGCATTTATAATTCAAAGAAGGCATAGGCCTTAAACACTGACACATGTGTGTACACTACGGATGACTGGAAATTTGGTAATTGTATCTTCATGTTCAAATAAATCGACAAAGTCAATGATCCATAGGAAACTGTTCTTGGCAGTGTCGGCTTATTATAATTAGACTTTTTATTAGTAGTAAATGAATTAGCTTGTTTACTTTTGTTTAAAATTTATTTGATTGTGTTTCCCTATTTCAGGAAAATTGCAGAGACAAGAGACGACGGAGTCACGGTCGCTGCTGCACGCGCAGTCAGTGGAGAAGAAGAGGTTTATGCAAGTGTCACATATCGCTATACACGATGAAACAGACATAAAAGCATAAAATATGCAAGCAATACAGGCCTATGAGACACTAACTGAGTTCATTAAAATATCAAAGAATTAAACTATATAATACTGAACATATAATGCTCGCCCATGGTTATGTTACGATATACAGTATGCAGAGGCAGTATGTACGATATGCAGAGGCTTTCATGGGTGTGAAGAACAACGAGTATTTGCTATGCTTGGAAAACGAAGCAGACAGACACAGACGTAGATCTTTAACAAAGGCTGTTAATATGCAGTCAGTGGTTGACTATATGGTTGAAGGAAGTAAGTTGATCTGTGTTTAAGGCGTTGTCGCTACATCTTCTCGGCAGTTGTAGCGATGTTTCATTGCGTTTTTATGAAGTTTCAGTTGGAAGTTTGAGGAACTAATTCAATGACGCCTCATTCAACTTTAGATACGTTACATACGTTTGAAAATACACTCGTTGTTATGAGAGCTGCATCTAACGGGGCTCGTTTAGTAAGCATATCTACCTTAGCTCATGATTGTGAAAATACATTCAACGGATGACATCCATTTATGACTATTTCTTATAATATTAGCATATCATTAGCATAAGTTTCCCAGTGTCGATTCTTTCCTTACAAGTTATTGTTTTCGTTTTCACAGTTTTAATACACAGACACTTTACAGATGTGTATATTCTATAAATAATATAGTCTACGTGCTCTTTTTTCAAAGTACTTAATATCAAATCGCAGATTGACATTTTCTAAAAAATATAAAGCTCTTCTCAACCAACAATATAAAAGTATATAAATAATATAGTTTACATGCTCTTTTTTCAAAGTACTTAATATAAAAATCGCAGATTGACATTTTCTAAAAAATATATAGCTCTTCTCAACCAACTATATAAAAGTAGAACTTCGAGCGTGTACAAAAAGTGACATGACAAATACTTTAATGGCCAACCACTGACCAGGCATTTGCACCATCCTTGGGTAATTTTGCAAAGTGCCAATGTGAATTTGTATTTGTAAATTCTGAGGAAAAATTAAAAGCTTGATCAAACCAAGGATTTGATTGCTATTTTTCCATTTCAAAATAGCTACATAGATTTGTTTGTACAGTGAAACCTCGTTAAAGCGAAGTCCCTGGAACAGTGAATACTAGTATCTATCTAATATACAAAGGGAGAGTCGATAATGGGACAACATGTCTGTAATCGAAAAGAAATTGTCTCTCGAGACAAAGGCGTTAACACAAGGCAGAAGTAGGTCAAATAGGACGCTTATTACAAACATATCCTATCACAATGGAAATAACTGACTACCAAATTATGGACGTAACATATTCGGAAGCCAACACTCACGAGCACGAATCGGTGTCACAAAACACTGACACCAGGTGTTCGGTGTCAAGAGAAAATGATTAAATTATTAGTATTCATAATAATAAGAAGATGAATAATAATAATAATAATAATAATAAGATGTAAGGATATAAAAAGGCAAAAGCACAAAACAAATCATTCAGAAACATTTATTGAAGTCAAAAGACGTATAAACATGGATGATACATATGTGATATATACAGATGGATTCATTTATGCGTGATATGTACGTATTGGATATATATATATATATATATATATATATATATATATATATATATATATATATATATATATGATAAGTTGTACAGATGACCATATTGATTGATCACTGTGTGTTATATACAGATGGATCAGGTTCATGAACATATACAAACTGTTTAATAACAACAGTGTCCTTTTATTAACACGTTCTCATGATATTGCATGGTGTTCTCTACTAACAGAACAACACATTATTCATTACACTCCAAGAACCTAAATCAACATACACTACATGTGTTTGTGATATTCTGTTATCTCGCTGGGTGGATAAGATTTCATTTGCAACGTGAATACATTGTCGTTACGGTTGCAATTGCAGAAGCTGTGAAGAACACCTAATTTCCAATGAAAGACTTATAACTTGCTTCTTGCCCCTGAAATACTTTATGACCCCAAGTATCGCTCAGAAACACTTCCTGTGAACAATACTAGGTCCACATTCACCATACTCCTGCTTGGAGATCCACATCTGTTGGAAGGTTGAAAGCGAGGCCAAGATGGAGCCGCCGATCCACACCGAGTACTTCCGCTCTGGTGGAGAAATAACCTTGACCTTGATTGTAGACGGCACGACGGCGCTCAGTTCCTTTACCATTCGGTCTGCCAGACCTATATAGATGGAATAACGTTATTATTCACATGTTATACAACACAAAATGGAAAATATATGAATCGGGAACAAAATGCAATGCAAAGACGTGACATACAGACAAAAACAGTTTTCAGACGACTCTAGCCCACAAAGAAGCAACTAAGTGGGATAGAAATGTCTGCCTGAGGCCATTGTACTATAATGTGTGCAGTTAGTAGGGACGAGTTAGTGATATACTTTATTTAAAGAGCCAAGGACTTGCAATGCAAATGAGATAAATAGGTGAGGTGAAATGGGGTTTAACGTCGCGTCCAAGATATTGCACTTATATAGCGACGTGCATGTACGTGTGTGTGTTTGTGTGGCTGCTTGTACTAGTCCGGACTGATGCCGATTTATAGTGCTAGCTCACTGAGATACCATGCCGCAGTTTAACATGAATACCCCACTCAGACACAGTATACTGATTCCGAGCCGACCAGTCCTTGTTTTAGCCCCTTAATGCCGAGCGCGAGACAAGGTAACAACAAGTACCATCTTTTAACGTCTTTCGGTATGACGCGGCCGGGGATCGAACCCCGGACCTTCCGCTCTCCGGGCGGACGCTCTACCACTAGACCACGGAGGCGGTCAAATGAGATAAATAAATCGAAGAGGTATAAAAATGACACGGTTATGAAACCATGCTGATTCTATACAGGGCTATTGCCACCAGGAGTTGCAACTCACCTGGATACATTGTTGATCCTCCTGACAGAACCACGTTGCTGTACAGATCCTTCCTGATGTCAATGTCACAGTTCATTACTGAGTTGTTCAGCATCTCGTGGACGCCAGCATTCTCCATACCTGGAAGGACGACATGTGTGTTAGTACAGGGGCTCGGAATATATCACAGTTCATCATATAGTAGGGGCCAATACAAGTATCCGTGTTTATCACAGAATACTATCGATGATCACCAGTTTTCAAAAGGGACCTATCAATACATAAACTGAAGGGCAAAAGAAAGAATACACTTGGGTTTTACCAAATATGATACAAAAGTTATCAAAATGTCGCCGAAACACTGCAAACTTAAGGTCCCAAAACACAACTATGATACCCGTATCAAATACACCATTTTCTTTCTTTTGCCTTGCCCAGTATGTTCACTAGAAAAAGACAGTAGCCTTAGAATTAATATTCACCATAATAAAAGTGTCCTATAATATTTACCCATGAAACTTGGCTGGAACATACACTCCGGAGCTCGGAACCTCTCATTGCCGATAGTTATCACAGACCCGTCCGGCAGCTCGTATTCCTTCTCAATGGCGCTGGACTGTGAAGCTGCCACCATCTCTGCCTCGAAGTCCAGGGCAGTATAGCAGAGTTTTTCCTTGATGTCTCGAACTATCTCCTTCTCAGCTGCAAACACAACATTTCAGCTTATCACAAATGTATCATACGGAGAAAAGTAACCGTAATCGTAAAGATTTATTGATAACTGAATGTAAATAATAATTGTGATGATATGGACTTGATGACCTCACAGATGGGTCAATATTCTGTCGCAAACACAAACCCCTCATCTTGGCAGCCCAAGATAATTTTACACATTGGTATGCGTAGTAAAGTCAAAAGGAAAGTCACATCTAAATTTGTCATACTTCACCATAATTTGTGATTGGATGAAATGATTGCAAGGCAGATTCTTCCATATTTATTGGAATTATTTACAGTATTATTTTTCGTAAATGTCACTTGTTTGGAAAGTTTATTGGTCCCATTTCAGCCCTATTAAACCAACGAAAACTTTAAATCCTCAGTGGAAATGAGTTCTTCTTGAATATTACAAGACCCTTTTGATTGTTTTGGTGTTCACGGAGAGTTGTGTTCAAAGAGGATGTTGGAGAAAAATATTGTTGTCAGGAAAGACTATCACGATCGAAAATATTAGTTTATATGATGGGAACTTGATTGGTAGCATATACGTATTGTGCAAGCACATGTAGACCCTGTGAGATGATGTTGGACAACTCACATGATGTAGTAAAGTTGTATCCTCTCTCGTGTAGAATCCTGCTGAGGTAGGAGGTCAGGTGACGGCCAGCCAGGTCCATTCTCCGGACAGCGTGGGGCAGGGCGTATCCTGAGATGATCAGAAATCAGGTTGTACATTAAGTGTAACATCGATAAAAGAAGCAAATATTAGTGGAACTTCACGCCATGAGAGTATGCATAAAAACTTTACAGTATATCATGAAAAATCCGGCTTTGTCTCACCTTCATATATGGGCACGACGTGCGAGACACCATCTCCCGAGTCCAGGACGACGCCAGTGGTTCTCCCCGAGGCGTACAGCGACAACACCGCCTGGATACTCACATAGAAGGCGGGAGTGTTGAATGTCTCAAACATGATCTGTAATGATGAAACAATTATGAGTCATACGAAGAAAGTATTTAATAGTTCTCCTGTGTGCACACAGTGTATGAAATGCTACAGTAACTACTGTTTTGAGAAAATAAATGCTTCTCGCTTTATGAAAAACATGTCACCCACACCGCCTCATTTAGTAACAGGCAGCCATTATCACAATCCTCAAAAAGTGTGGGGGTGGGGGTGGTGGGGGGGGGTGGGGGTAGGGGTGTGGGGGGTGTGTGGAAGTAACCGAAGTAAACCCTTAAATCTCCATAATCTTAAATCTGTTGAAAATAATTGTTAAACATTTAGAGTTGATGACTGTATATGTCACGATATATGATTTATATTATATATATGATTTAAACAATGAGGCCGTCCCCTGGTCAGATCACCTTAATGACGTAACCCTACCTGCACCATCTTCTCTCTGTTTGACTTGGGGTTGAGTGGTGCCTCCGTCAAAAGTATTGGGTGCTCCTCGGGTGCCACTCTCAGTTCGTTGTAGTAGGTGTGGTGCCACACACGTTCCATGTCGTCCCAGTTGTTGACGATGCCGTTCTCTACAGGATATTTCAGACTGAGGATTCCTCTCTTACTTTGTGCCTCGTCGCCTACATAGCAGTCCTTGCTTCCCATCCCGGCCATGTAGACCTGTAAGAAATGATTAATATTAACTTCTAAGGCCTACGCTTTAACTTACACTGTCCATTCAATCACTCCTTGTAGAGTGATGTAGGAGTGATTTCGGTGGATAAGGCACACGTGTTGAGATATATTTTAAAATGGCGCAACAAAGACGCCTTCGAAATATGGTGAAATCGTGTATAGTTTAATCGTATGTTGGCGTGCATTATTATAATTATTATTGTTGGTGTTGTTGTTGTTGTTGTTGTTGTTGTTGTTGTTGTAATAAAGAAGTTGTCAAGACACCGTTTCTACTCACGTCGTACTTGGGTCTGCCAATGAGAGCTGGAAACACTGCACGTGGGGCGTCATCCCCAGCAAAGCCGGCTTTACACATCCCAGATCCGTTGTCAATGACAACAGCAGCAATATCCGTATCGTACTCAGACATGATGTATTGATGGCTGTACTCTTGTCTTGGTGAAAATTTCTGAAATAAAGTGATCGAGTTACAAGCACTATGCACAGTGAGAGTACAATACCAGTTCATAAGAGGACAAATGCATAATTGTCAAGTATCTATTGGTATCGTTACCAATGCTCATATTTATATCACAAATTCATTTCTAAAGTCTAAACGTCGAAACTATGTAATCTAAGAACATTTTATAATAAATGTTTTTAGTGATATCTCAAAATAATAGATAGTAGTAAACATGAGCTTTTCACATTGTTGTTTATCTTGATCATGGCAATTAAAATCCAAACATATATATACATGTGGCCAATGTCCCAGTGTATAAAACTATATCATAAAATATACCACAAGCGGGTAAAATGTGAAAACATATACTGGTATACACAATATACACAAATACGTTTTCGCAAATGGATGTATGGCTCAACAACCCCGTGAGGTTACTGGATCAGAAGTTACCACCATTGCATCATACGCATCGTAAAAGCGGACTAAAATAGAGGATCGGGTGGACTAAAAGAGGGGGTTTAGATCGGCAGGCTCTATGACTTAGCTAATTGCTCTGTGGATTGTTTCTTAGGTTTCAGGCACTTGTTAAGTCTGGCCAGAATCGATAATTTACGGGCCGTCGAATGATGAAGCATAATGCTAACTGCGTCGTTAAACAACATTCACTCACTGGATCAACAAGTAAAATAATAGCACACAGTAGGTGTACAAGTTTGCTACATTGTCTCCGAGACATAAGTCGTAATGTGAGTATAAAAGAATTAACATTAAGTTTCACCTACCTGTAGTAACTTGACTGTTTCCAGTGTCCAGATGTCTTTGATTCCTCCATTCGGGTAAACTGCTGGGTATTTATACCCGTGTACCGACCTATTTCCTGGAATCCTCACATCGATTATTCATATTTTTCTCCTTGTATGGAAGGGAAATCCCGATAAATATAGAAGTCGATTTACTTCCAAGAAAACAGATGAATACAACCTATAAATAGATGTGACTTATGCGAGGCTGCAGGGCGTCGCATATCGCCGACAGTGGATAGATGCACGAGATACTATATATGTATGTAAACATCACCCTTACTTTTATTGGTCAACTTAAATCTTGCAACATCACAGTGTTTACATGTTGACATGAAATATTCAGCCTAACCTTGTTTTTCTGAATATTTTTTTAATTTTAATTCATAAATATCTCCAGAAACCAAGATCGGCACCTTATTTTCTTTTCTTGTAAGGAATGAATGCACAGCATGCTGGCATGAATTTATATATTTGCTCCAGTTATGAATGTTAACTCACAACGTTGAGATTCACTCAAACATTTTAAGACAGATTATGAACTATTCGTTCACATATATTACATGCGTATATTTTTTTTATTTTTTCTGAATGTTTAAAATGTTTTGTAAAATATTACTGTTGTTTTGCGCAAAGCTGTCATAAACAACGTCAATTTTCACTCCACATATTTGACAATACGTCCCGGTAACACAATATATACAAATATAATACTTTACGTAGGGACACAATTTATAATAAACAAATATGCTCGTTAATATTATGTGGTTCGTCGTTTAATGCCATTTAGTATAGAACTAAACATCAGATTTTAGTAGAGGAGAAATGATGAATTAGTAATACAGAAAGTTCAGCATTATCATGTAAGCTGGCGGTAAGTGACACTGGCACTGACACTGCCCCACATAAATAGCAACTGACACAGCGCAAACATGAAACGATATGAGAGTTACTTCCCTTGGTACTTACACAGCTCGATCTATACAGGGACAGCCTCAAACAACCTTGGGCTATTTGTAATCTATCACGTAAAGCAGTTCTCTTTCAAAGTCGATCAAGTACATTATCAATCACAAATGTAATGTATGTTCTGAAACATATCCAGAAAAAGTAAGAAACTGCATGATCTTGAAAATAAAACGTTCAGCATAATGGTAAATAAATGCTACTTTGGTTGATATACGGCCCCTCATATTGTTATTGCCTGTATAAGGCGCGTGGCTGCCACTGCTTGATATGGTAGTAAACAAGCTGTTTCCCAGCAATCAATACTGCATCGCCATACAACCATGTATGGATGGAAACGAGGGTTACATTTACAATGGCAGCATTTCCAAATATGGATAACCTTAGCAGTTACTACCGTATTTGAAAACACGACTATACAGAGACCATATCGGTGCATGATCTCTGCACAAACCAAGAATACATTTAGCTATGTTAATTCTATGATATATCTTCGATGGTCATACTCTCATTTACACATTAAAAAATAATTGCTTTTATGTTTATCATGGAGTGTACGAATATAAGATTATATCTTAGGAGACTGCCAGAAATTTGGGTGATGTTTCATTTTGTGATTATTCTTCTGTGGGTATGTATTCCTAAATGAATTCGAAATTGTCTGAGTCTTATATTTTGTGAACACAAATGCCAGGCTTGTACAAACTTTCTGTGTAAAGATCATGTTTAGTTGCAAAGTAAATCTCATGTTTCATTTTTGAGAGGTCAAATAACAAAATACCAGATTCGTGTAACTAACCTACATTTGCTTATGACAATATTTGAAGCATAATGCTGTTTAAACTTCTTTTATACAGTAAACTACGGTTATAGCGAACACGCTTATAAAGAACTGACGGATATAACGAACTTACATTTTTGGTCCGACTATTTGCTGTAGTTATGCTGTATGTATGTTTATAACGAACTACGGTTATAACGAACTAAAATTGGTGGTCCTTTGAGTTCGTTATAACCGTAGTTTACTGTATACCAATCCGATTCAAACAATCATGGTAGAGTGAATGATATCCATACAGTTGAGTGAGTGAGTATGGTTTTACGCTGCTTTTAGCAATATTCCAGCACTATCACCAAGGGGGGAACCAGAAATGGGCTTCACACAAAGTACGCATGTCGGGATTTGAACCTGCGCAATGTTGTAAGAACAACAAAAGTATTGAGATAACAAATGATGGAAACTTAACAAGGCTTCCATTGTCTATTGCTAATCACCTAGCTATCAGTGCCAATTATCTGTTGGCTTCCCTTGTTAAGTTTCCACCTTTTGCTATCTTATTACTTTTGTTGTTCTTACATGTACATATATATGCTCTCTGCCTCTAGCATTCATTCATCTGATGAAGGAGTAAGAATATACTCCCAAACGTTGTGTTCCTCATAATAAAGAAGTTTACAACCATAAATTCTCTTCCTTACATATCCAGTTGATAGTTATTTTGCCCTTCAATACATACATAGTCCATGCATTCAATGTTAGAATCTATCTACAATACAGTTCATAATAATCATTAACATGAAATGCCTGCTGTTGTGTCCCTGCAGGACCTGCATATTGGACAGAAAAGTTGTCAGTGTTCACTTAAATTATTGAATGTTATGTGACTTAACGTTGTGATGTTCTAGCTTTAATCATTCCAATGCGTGCCAACCATCAACATTTGATAACAGTGCCATTTCAACTTGACTTATAAACCTATCACAGTGTTCCCCTATATTGCATTAGGTTCTTGACACCCTTTGGTAAACCTGGTAACCAGCTCATCTCCCAAGCCCAAGTTTTGAAGCGGTTCTCTTCCAAACCTAGGTTTTTAAATAGATCACTTCTGAACTTGCTTTGAAGTTTTACATTTCAATTGTAATACCTAGGTTTTACAATTAACGTTTCAAAAACTTGCCTCTTGATGTGAACACAATTCTGTTTGATGATTGGCTAAGAGTCACAATTCTTTTTTACATGAAAATTCCATGACGTGACTCGAACCTGCAACCCACATATCAGGTTAAGTTTTGTAACCCACTGAGCTCCCGAGGCAGGTAATGAGCAGTTGTTAAATTCATCATGTCATGACTCCAGCTAGTCCATGCTGCACATGGTTTTTCTCTCCCAAGCTTCAAGCGAATTTCTTTTGTACCTCGATATACTGTCTTGTTTACATGTCAATGGTTTCTTTTTTTTCTGGTATTTCTTGGATTTAGACGGTTCATAAATTGGATAAAACACGCCTCCTCGGTTTTGGTTGAAAATGTAAAACCTGCATAAGATGCGTGGCTGCCACTGCTTGATGTGGTAGTAAACAAGCTGTGTGTCGGCAATCAATACTGCACCGCCAAACAACCATGTATGGGTGAAAACGAGGGTTACATTTACAATGACAGTATTGAAAAACCTTGAGCTTGGGAAAGCCCTCAGGTTTTCCCTTCGCTCACGGTTTTACATCTTCAACCAAAACCGAGGAGGTGTGTTTTATCCTATACTTAATATGTACAAAGTGTCTTTTTCTAGTTTGCAAGAAAGTAACAATGGTACTAAAGAAGTAAAGGTACACAATACAAGAAAGTGTCTGATTTATCAAAGAAATGTGTGATTTTCATGCATTGTAACATAGAATGGCAGTCTTTGAATGCACCGTCTTTATCAGTTCTGAATAACATGAATCCCAAAGTCACAACTGAATGTTTTTATTTGACTGGTATACCATACAAGTGTTGTTGCTGAGGTAACATCAATCACTCGCCACAGGGGGCAGACAAAAGCCCTTGTGTATTAAAAGCCCTACAGTCAAAAGCCCACCCAGACATCATCCCTACCAAGATAAAAACCCTTATTTGTTAAGGAAACCATAAAAAGATGAAATGAGACATATTATGTTATTTTTCAACATTTAATCATAAACACAAATGTTGTGCCAACATCGATCATGTTTTTTTAAACATGTTTGAACATGAAGCCTATTTATTCTCTTTGACAGTGAGTGAGTGAGAATGGTTTTATGCTGCTTTTAGCAATATTCCAGCATAAACACAGCTGCAGACACCAGAAATGGGCCTCACACATTGTACCCATATCGGGAATCAAACCCGGGTCTTCGGCATGACAAGCGAACGCTTTAACCACTAGGCTACCTGACCACCCCGCTTTGACGGTGATGAATGTAGACATGTTGAATGTTTCCTTAACACATAAGGGTTTTTTATCCTTGTGGGGCTTTTATCTTAGTAGGGATTATATCTAGGTGGGCTTTTGAGCTATGGGACTTTTATCCACAGGGGCTTTTGTAAAGTGCCAGTGTTAATACATTTACTTTTCAATACATTTATGTATACAGTGCACAACAATTTAAAAATCCAATATATAAACTATCACATACTATACTGCATACAGTTCACAATAAGAATTAAACAAGTGGCCAATACATTTACTATCAGTTACCCTACTGTATACTGAGTAAGAGAAACTATACACCAGTGGTAAATACATGTACTATCTATTACTATACTGTAAACAGTACACATTATTGTTAACACCATGAGTTAACATAAAAGTAAAACACTTAGGAAAAGAAGACTCAAAAGTGAGTTTGGACTGTAATGATACACAATAAACAATAAACATTTGTAACTGCCAGAGAACAGTAAATCTGTGACACCACGAAAACAGTAAATCTGTGACACCACCAAAACAGTAAATCTGTGACACCACCAAAACAGTAAATCTGTGACACCACAAAAACAGTAAATCTGTGACACAATGAAAACAGTAAATCTGTGATACCACAAAAACAGTAAATCTGTGACACCACAAAAACAGTAAATCTGTGACACCACAAAAACAGTAAATCTGTGATACCACAAAAACAGTAAATCTGTGACACTATGCAAACAGTAAATCTAGAACATGTCAAAAACAAGAATAAGTAACTAGCCAAAATTAAATGAATTATTAAAAAAAAAAAAAATTTAAATGTAGCTAAAACAGATATATACTAAGTAAATGTATCATGAAAATGACAATCCAGGCACAAAAAAGTCACAATTCTTCGCACTGCTTTTATAATGGGCATCTGTTTTGAAAAAACAATTAAAGGACCAGACACACTAATGTGAATGGCAAACATCTAATGTTGTCATGTTGAGTCAGAAATAAATAAAACACATAACATGTGACGAAATATGCAGGATATATGATTGTACAGAAAACATTTTGGAGATAAACATACTGTGTTTTCAAAGTAGAGCTACGTTACCTGTAGGATTAACCACGCTTAATTGAATATGGATTTCAAATGTTAAATTCAGCGTGGTTAAAACTACAGGTAACCTAGCTCTACATTAGAAACACAGTATGCTTATCTCCATTCTACCATGATTTAATAAAACATGAGCTCTTTGGTGTTAGCAAATATATTGAGTGAAGCGGCAAGAGTTGAGTCCAGTGTTTTGAGTGGGTTGTCGATCTGAATTACAGCAACATGGACAACAGCTGGCAACAAAATATAGCGGTGTATATGCTCAAGCAGTTAGTTTATACCGTAATGATTCATTTAGAAAGCTAAGCAAGGTTGCAAGGCATTTATTCAAGACCGCACGTCACCATTATGATGTCATATCGCTCATTGTGATGCAAAAAATATGACATCACAGTCGTATATAGAAAAGCACCAAATAGCAAGCTCTCTGTTGACCCCAAAACTGAAAATACATTCTCTTTGTAGATTTGTCATGCTTTCTGCACAAATTATATTGCCACACATTCTTTGAATATGATAGCAACCGCAACTTTGCATTTTGTAACCTTTGATTGTAGATATAATTATATAAATGTGATTCTATGAATATTAGTTTCCACTGTGATGCGTCAGCCAAATCAGCTGTTTCAATCAGAGGAGGTTTATGGTGATTTGACCTCTGATTGACCTATCAGAATCAAATATTTTCCAACTTCATGATATAATCATATGTAATAAGTAATCATTGTTTTATGCTGTTGTAAATTGTTCCTGAATGCCATTCCCTGCTGCAACTCTAACACTGCAAGTGTCACATGATATACATTTACAAATGTGATGCCATGTTAGATAAAAAATACTATTAAATAGCTGACATAATCAGCCTCACAACCGTTTCTAGTTCTTTCAATAAACCCTGTGCCACAAAGTGATCACAGCATTCCAACTGTCTATGTTACGGGGTAAGACAGTCGTGGCGCTATTATGTGTGGAATGAGGTACTAATGGTCAATCTATGATTACGGGGTAAGACAGTCGTGGCGCTATTATGTGTGGAATGAGATACTAATGGTCAATCTATGATATCACCTCAATAACAAACATGACAAAACATGAACAGGGCTCACTAATACCCCTGACTTCAACTCCAACATATTTCTAAGTTCAAAACATGAAAAAAGCAATATTTTCTCTGAAAAACTTTGCACTGCACCTTTCTTATAGGTATAGAAACTGTATCCCCAATTGAAAAAGAATCCATGAAGTAGTTTTTAAGTTATATGTTGAAGTAAACAAGTGTTGAAGTAAACAAATATTCTAAGTTCAATACATGAAAAAAATCATATTTCGTTTCTGAAAACACACATATCAAAATTTAACTCTTCTATTAGTATGGAAACTGATCCCTAAATTTGTAAGGAATCCATGAAGTATTTTTTTTTTTATTATAGGTTGCACAAATGTTTCAGTAAACAAATTCCAAGTAAAAAAAAAGGAAAAAAGCTGTATTTTTTCAAAAAATCGTATGTAAATCAAACTTCGCACTGTATCTCGCCTATAGTATAAAAGTGTGAACCAAGCTTGAAAAGAATCTATGGAGTAGTTTTCAGGTAAAAGGTCACACACAAAGATGTCCTAGAAAGGGTGAGTGAGTGAGTATGGTTTTACGCCGCTTTTAGCAATAGTCCAGCAATATCACGGCGGGGGACACCAGAAATGGGCTTCACACATCGTACCCATGTCGGGAATCGAACCCGAGTCTTCGGGGTGACGAGCCAACGCTTTAACCACTAGGCTACCCGACCGCCCCTGTCCTAGAAAGGACAGACAGATGGACAGAATTTCTTGCTATAACTAGGTTAGGTCAGGGGTATAAAAATAGTTCTACCCAAAACAGGAAATGTAGACAAATGAGATTGGAAGGTTGGCTTTTCAGGTTCAATGTTCTTCTTGAGATTCAGAGTGTTTTTTCCCGGGATTTATAGACAACAAAGTGATCCTATAACAATGACTGTTGTAACTCAAATAGAAGAAATCTCTGTATAATGATGGAAATTCACAACTGTCTTCACCAGACTAAAACAAATGCAAGTCAAATGTGCATAAGGAGTTGTACAACTGTCTTTTACAGTGCTTGTGAAGATTCTTCTCACACTGACAGACAAACATGCTTGCAATGCCTCAAAGTTGTCACATATAAGTGCTTGTGGAGATTCTTCCCACACTGACAGACAGACATGCTTGCAATGCCTCAAAGTTGTCACATATAAGTGCTTGTGGAGATTCTTCCCACACTGACAGACAGACATGCTTGCAATGCCTCAAAGTTGTCACATATAAGTGCTTGTGGAGATTCTTCCCACACTGACAGACAGACATGCTTGCAATGCCTCAAAGTTGTCACATATAAGTGCTTGTGGAGATTCTTCCCACACTGACAGACAAACATGCTTGCAATGCCTCAAAGTTGTCACATATAAGTGCTTGTGGAGATTCTTCACAAACTTATAGATCAACACACATGTGCTTAAAAAGGTTTTTCAACTTCGTCACGGTCAATGACCTCGTCAAACGTGCTTATGGAGCTTCACTGCTGTCTTCTAGATCGACCCCTACAGGTCTACAAACCAGGGCGTATAACTGCCATCCTGGGCCTTGGGATACTGCAAGTATAAAGGAATTATGATCTCCACATAATTGTGAGGTGTGAAAAAAACAATTTGATCTGACATGTCATGGTACCTGAACTAGATAAAACACTCCTCAGTTATGCTTGGGACCAGAAACTGTTGAGAGGAGAACACCAGGAGCAAGATCTCAGGGCTTCGCCTCAGGGCTCCGTCTTCAGGGCTCCGTCATCAGGGCTCCATCCTCAGCGCTCTGTCATCAGGGCTCCGTCATCAGGGCTCCGTCCTCAGGGCTCTGTCCTTAGGGCTCCGTCAGGGATCCATCCTCTGTGCTCCATCCCCTATGCTCCATCCTCTGTGCTCCATCCTCAGGGCTCCATCCTCTGTGCTCCATCCTCTGTGCTCCATCATCTGTGCTCCATCCTCTGTGCTCCATCCTCTGTGCCACATCCTCTGTGCTCCATCCTCTGTGCTGCATCCTCTGTGCTCCATCCTCTGTGCTCCATCCTCTGTGCCACATCCTCTGTGCTCCATCCTCAGGGCTCCATCCTCTGTGCTCCATCCTCTGTGCTCCATCCTCTGTGCTCCATCCTCTGTGATCCATCCTCAGGGCTCCATCCTCTGTGCTCCATCCTCTGTGATCCATCCTCTGTGCTCCATCCTCAGGGCTCCATCCTCTGTGCCACAACCTCTGTGCTCCATCCTCTGTGCTCCATCCTCAGGGATCCATCCTCTGTGCTCCATCATCTGTGCTCCATCCTCAGGGCTCTGCCCTGAGGGCTCTGTCCTCAGGGCCCCGTCAGGGATCCATCCTCAGGGCTCCATCCTCTGTGCTCCATCCTCTGTGCTCCATCATCTGTGCTCCATCCTCTGTGCTCCATCCTCTGTGCCACATCCTCTGTGCTCCATCCTCTGTGCTGCATCCTCTGTGCTCCATCCTCTGTGCTCCATCCTCTGTGCCACATCCTCTGTGCTCCATCCTCAGGGCTCCATCCTCTGTGCTCCATCCTCTGTGCTCCATCCTCTGTGATCCATCCTCAGGGCTCCATCCTCTGTGCTCCATCCTCTGTGCTCCATCCTCTGTGCCCCATCCTCAGGGCTCCATCCTCTGTGCCACAACCTCTGTGCTCCATCCTCTGTGCTCCATCCTCAGGGATCCATCCTCTGTGCTCCATCATCTGTGCTCCATCCTCAGGGCTCTGCCCTGAGGGCTCTGTCCTCAGGGCCCCGTCAGGGATCCATCCTCTGTGCTCCATCCTCAGGGCTCTGTCCTCAGGGATCCATCCTCAGGGTCTTACTTTCCCTCACTTCACTTTTATCAGGGTCACAATCCCAAGCACAACCTCAGACTAATGTTTTATCCCATAATGAACAATACTGATCACCTGAATACAATGCATGAGCTGCATGCACTGGTCAAGAGTCGAGTTGTTTGTCCCGTATACAGAACTGGATATGACCTGCACCTCATCAAATATCCCTTGGCGAACTTTTATGGATAACATATTCTTTATTGTTTGTAACAATGTTTCAGGCTACTTCTTGCCCTTCATCCCTATCAAAGACTAGGCAAACACACATGAATATCAGGAGGCAACTCACATGTTGTGTAAATTCATCCTGACACGCCATCCGTATCCTGGCAGCGGAGGCTGGACTATCCAGTCGGAAGGATATACTCCTCCCAGCATCCCCTCTGGCAGACTTGATGGCATCTTTGATCGCAAAGAACACCGAGGATGCAAGGAACAGAGGTGGTTCACCAATAGCCTGGGGACAAACGCACAGTACATTTAGTGTAGTCTAGTAGTCAAGTATTGATGTGACAAGGTCAAATAAACAAAACCTACTTTAGCTTATGTAGTTATTACTGCCATTGAAGTCTTTAACTGGCATTAAGATAACCTTCAAAAAATTAAAATTGTTCATGTCAATTTTGTGATATATGGGACTCAACAAGTGGCCTCAGGGTGTAAAGGCTTTTGAGCTCATTCACTGTCACTAAACTTAGGTGTGGTAGCAACGTGGTTAAAATGTTCGGTTTAACTTGGGTTCGATTCCTAACATGGTTTCAATGTATGAAGCCCATTTCTAGCAACCCCACTATGATAATGCTTGATTTATTTTAAACATTTCAGCAAAGCATTAACTTTATTTTTCACAAGCATTGCATTCACATACAACCTTCAACAATATCATGTGGAAGGGATGCTGGTTGGCAGAGCTACCACTATTGCTGGAATACTGCTTAGAGTGACACTCACTCACTATTGACACATGTCACTCACAACATATGCATTTGCATGTCACCTTGGAGGAGTAGACTGCTCGCTGGTTGAGGCTGCCTCGTAGCAGGGACACGTTGAACTGTTCCGGAATGTTCCCGAGGGAGGGTATCTTGTAGTTGCCAGGCCCCTGGGTGATGAGCTGGCCCTTGGGGGACACCTTGTACTGCTCCAGCACCAGCATCCCGTAACCCTGGAAACCGTATCACTTTATGAGTGTCACAGTCAACCCTTGTGTCTGGACCCATGTGAAGCACTCCGTTAATCAGTGAAGATGCTAGTATTTACTGCTAGCTTGTTAGATGTGTGTGCATTAAGGAAGATAGAATATGCATATATATATATATATACTCTGAGTGAGCAGTGTTTTCAGTGAGTTTAAGTGATACTGAAGTCCTATTAGGCAAGACCTTTATTCCTTGGTTAACAGAATTATATTTTTAAACTTGGTATGTGGGTGGGAAATATTATCATTTTAAAAAAACTTAGGAGTAAGTTGCTATGTGTGCAGTATAAGTTTAACTTGTCCTGTTGTTAAAACTAAACTTTTGAATCGCAGTTTAACTTAAAACAGGATATTCAAAAGGTGTAGCCATGAACACACAAGTTTGAATTCAGTGGGAAAAAAGTGCTTTTCCAAAAAATATTTCCACTCTCTTGTGGGTTTTAGGGTCAATTAATAAAAATTCATGTCTTTCATCTTAAGACTTTTGACATCACAGACTAATCCTGCCTGACCAACTGACCACATAAACCACATAAACATTATATTTTATTGACATCCATGTACCATAATTCTCTGAGCATGTGGGTGTGAGTGAGTGAGTTTGGTTTAACGCCGCTTTTAGCAATATTCCAGCAATATCACGGCGGGGGACACCAGAAATGGGCTTCACACATTGTACCCATGTCGGGAATCGAACCCGCGTCTTCGGCGTGACGAGCGAACGCTTTAACCACTAGGCTACCCAACCGTCCCTGTGAGCATGTGGGACAGCCAAGGGTCAGTCATGAGTAGTCTAGTACACTGCTGTTACAGTTTTATAGGCAATGTCGTTGCTCAGATTAGCAGTTTAGTGTCATCCTTGATAATGAGGCGGTCGGGTAGCCTAGTGGTTAAAGCGTTCGCTCGTCACGCAGAAGACCCAGGTTCGATTCCCGACATGGGTACGATGTGTGAAGCCCATTTCTGGTGTCCCCCGCCATGTTATTGCTGGAATGTTGCAAAAAGCGGCGTAAAACAATACTCACTCACTTACTCACTCCTTGATAATGACAAGCTGGCATGACGGTACAGCCTGGATTCAAAACATTGCTGACACTTGCTATGTATTTATGTCGACTATACCCTGATCTAGTGTTTATATTGAGGATCAGCCTTTGTCAAAGGCATGTCATTTAGGTTGTGATTTTGAGGGTTGAGGTTGGGCATCGGCCTATATCCAGTCCAGTCCGCCATTGCCCAGTAATAGACTGTGACTTTAAATACTACAGACTATTGCCCTGTTATTGTCATTCAAATGTAAACGTTACATGTAAGCAGTATTTGCTTGTAAAGTTCTGACTACTAACCTGGACAAAAGCCCCTTCAATCTGCCCTATGTCAATGGCAGGGTTCAGGCTGCTCCCAACATCCATGACAATGTCTGTTCGCAACACCTGAAAGTGAACATCTTTGTTGAACAAAGGCCTTCATTATTATTCAATGCAAGAATATTCCACCAGTCCACCTCGACCTGAAAACATACCTCTTCAAATCCCACCTCCCTCTGTCCCACTTCCTCCTGTACCACCCTGACAGCCCCACCTCCCTCTGTCCCACCCTGACAGCCCCACCTCCCTCTGGCCCATCCTGACAGCCCCACCTCCCTCTGTCCCACCCTCACAGCCCCACCTCCCTCTGTCCCACCCTCACAGCCCCACCTCCCTCTGTCCCACCCTCACAACCCCACCTCCCTCTGTCCCACCTCCCTCTGTCCCACCCTCACAGCCCCACCTCCTCCTGTCCCACCCTCACAACCCCACCTCCCTCTGTCCCACCTCACAGCCCCACCTCCCTGTCCCATCTCCCTCTGTCCCACTCTCAAAGCCCCACTTCCCTCTGTCCCACCCTCACAGCCCCACCTCCCTTTCCCATCTATCTCTGTCCCACCTCACAGCCCCACCTCCCTGTCCCATCTCCCTCTGTCCCACCCTCACAGCCCCACCTCCCTGTCCCATCTCCCTCTGTCCCACTCTCACAGCCCCACCTCCTTCTGTCCCACCCTCACAGCCCTCTGCCCCATCCTCACAGCCCCACCTCCTTCTGCCCCATCCTCACAGCCCCACCTCCCTCTGTCCCACCCTCACAACCCCAGCCCCCTCTGTCCCACCCTCACAGCCCCACCTCCCTGTCCCATCTCCCTCTGTCCCACCCTCACAGCCCCACCTCCCTGTCCCATCTCCCTCTGTCCCACTCTCACAGCCCCACCTCCCTGTCCCACCCTCACAACCCCAGCCCCCTCTGTCCCACCCTCACAACCCCAGCCCCCTCTGTCCCACCCTCACAGCCCCACCTCCCTGTCCCATCTCCCTCTGTCCCACCCTTACAGCCCCACCTCCCTCTGTCCCACCCTCACAACCCCAGCCCCTTCTGTCCCACCCTCACAGCCCCACCTCCCTGTCCCATCTCCCTCTGTCCCACTCTCACAGCCCCACCTCCTTCTGTCCCACCCTCACAGCCCCACCTCCCTGTCCCATCTCCCTCTGTCCCACTCTCAAAGCCCCACTTCCCTCTGTCCAACCCTCACAGCCCCACCTCCTTCTGTCCCACCTCACAGCCCCACCTCCCTGTCCCATCTCCCTCTGTCCCACTCTCAAAGCCCCACTTCTCTCTGTCCCACCCTCACAGCCCCACCTCCCTGTCCCATCTCCCTCTGTCCCATTCTCACAGCCCCACCTCCTTCTGTCCCACCCTCACAGCCCCACCTCCCTGTCCCATCTCCCTCTGTCCCACTCTCACAGCCCCACCTCCTTCTGTCCCACCCTCACAGCCCCACCTCCCTCTGTCCCACCTCCCTGTCCCATCTCCCTCTGTCCCACTCTCACAGCCCCACCTCCTTCTGTCCCACCCTCACAGCCCCACCTCCCTGTCCCATCTCCCTCTGTCCCACTCTCAAAGCCCCACTTCTCTCTGTCCAACCCTCACAGCCCTCTGCCCCACCCTCACAGCCCCACCTCCCTCTGCCCCACCTCCCTGTCCCATCTCCCTCTGTCCCACTCTCACAGCCCCACCTCCTTCTGTCCCACCCTCACAGCCCCACCTCCCTGTCCCATCTCCCTCTGTCCCACTCTCAAAGCCCCACTTCTCTCTGTCCAACCCTCACAGCCCTCTGCCCCATCCTCACAGCCCCACCTCCCTCTGCCCCACCCTCACAGCCCCACCTACCTGGTGGTCCCCTGTCAGACAGTCCACCTCCACCTCGGAACACGCCACCCCGAACGTGTAGTATCCAAACGGGTTGCCCACGCTCTTCCCCCAGTCAAACCACAGATCAGGGGTTCTAGGGAAGAATGGTCATGGACAGTTCATATCAGATCAAATTCTCTCATAATATAATATCTGTTGATGAGTTTCATCTTATCCTCAGACCTGATGGACATATCGTCCTAAACATCCTAAATCATCAACATTATCAGCTAGAGATTAAGAACAAATGTCCACAGGAAGGATGACAGATTGCATTACCAAGAACGAAAGTGTCACCAATTCGGATGGCTTCCTATCATAAACACTATCGCATTTGCATTACTTATCCACAATGACTTTGTTAATCCATAATCCAAGCAATTGTTCCTTTTTATACATTGATATCATGAACATCAATCTACGCAATTGGGATACAACAACATGCATCAACCAAGTCAGCGAGCCTGATCACCCGATCCCGTCGCCTCTTACGGCAAGTATTGGTTGCTGCAGACCTATTCAAACCCAGATCTTCATGGGTCAAATCAGGCACCCACTTACCTAGGCTGGTCATAAGAGGCCACCCAGTGGATCGGGAGGTCAGGCTCAGATACTTGGTGGATTGTGTGTCATTGTGCCAAGACAGCATTAATTGTTGCTCACAATATCATTTTCTGGATTGTATGGTCCAGACTCGATTAATGTAAATCTTGAACGCGGGTGTGAATTAAATGCGAAAAAGTGTTTTTTGCTCGCATTATTAAACATCGCATTTATATCAACAATAAGACATTTTTGGTAGCAGAAATACCAACTTAGACATACGCTGAAAACAAACAACTATGTATTCCACATCACTGTTTATTGAGCAGTACTTGTAACAAGTATATAAACAATGCCATTCAAACACTAATTACATCCTGTGAATTGTCACTGCTGGGGTCAAGACAAGAGTTCTACTCTCTTCTGTCATCACTGATCACACCTGCAAGTCCAGACAGACACCACCAACGCAACACGGTGTCTTTGTTCTTTGCGACTGCGTCAAAGGCCGACACAAGCCAGCATGCATGTATTGTTTTAGCGGAAGTACTCTACTCAGCGCTAATAAGCAGTGCTATTTGGTGTGTGATTGGATTAATGTAAGGTTGGATTAAGGTAAGGATTCTCCTGTAAACCTGACAGAGGACATTTTCTTTTTATATAAATCCACTGATGCTTGAGAGGAGGGGGGTGTCGCATTCATATTAAGTCACATTTTTTACTAGGGGCCAGCGATCGCATTCTTTTGGAGATGCATATATTTCGTGATTTACAGTATTTACAGGCCACCATCGTATAGCTGGAGATGTTGCTGAATGCTTCATTAAACAACAACAACATTTCACAGGCCAATAGAGTGAAAGGGGCTGTTTAGTAATACAGCTTATGAGACAGCAGTAAACGTGTATTTCATTGACCCACCTGTAGAAGCCTGTAGCTGAGAGGCTGATTCGCTTCATGTAGGCCGCCTTGATCTGCAGCACCGAGGGACACAATATATGAACACAGCAGTGTTAGGAATCAGTTGGGAGAATATCATCCAACACTGGCAATACAGAGCTACAGATAGCTGCATATTGAGTAAAACATGCACAAAAACTTGCCATCACCCAATAACCGTGAGTTACTTGTGTACAAATATGCATGAAAATATCAAATTATTATTATGATCCATTGTCATTTTTTTCTAAACTTAAGAATCGTATTAGATAAATCATGATAAACATCCTTGATTGATTGCATAATGAAGTATTTGCTAAACAGGATTGACTTTTTTAACCAGAAAATAACATAACATTTTTTTTTCTCCACAATCAATTATGGTGGACACTTACAATCGATAGAGGGTAACCAAACAATCAATCATATATAAACATGGTGGGACTTCACTAAAAGAGACAATATTAATAACAAGCTCTACTTTTGACTTCAACTTTCTGCAGTTCAATGTGTGGTTGTAACTTCACAGCATCACACTCTTTTGGACAATTTTACAATCATTTTTAGCTGTTTAAATGTCAGTTGTCATATCACAGGAATTAGTTACGTGTTTAAAGTCAAATCTCACCCAGTCCTCCCATGATCCCTTGGGGTTTTCTGTCATCACGGGGTCAAGTCGATCTATCAACTCTTTACATGCATTCTGAAAACAACACAGAATTATTGTAGTTTGTGAAACATTACATCAAATATGTCAAACTCTCTAAACATGTTACAGTCCCTTCTGTTTAATGCTGAATATTCCAGCTATATGACAGCGGTCTGTAAATAATCGAGTCTGGACAAGACAATCCAGTAATTGACATCAGGATCATGTTTCTACATGATTGGGATATAATGACATGCTCCAACCAAGTCAGTGAGACTGACCACTCAATCGTGTTTAGTCGCCTCATGGTTGCAGAAGACCAATTCTTACCCAGATCTCCACAAGGAGAGAACAGTATTACAGTAATATCATTTTATAATTGTGTGTCATTGTATTGGAGGTCGTTGACATTTTCCCTATGCTGAAACTCATAATCATGGGCTGTTGCTGAAGGACCAAGAGTGGGTGGGTGGGTGTGTCGGCTGTCGGGCGGGCGGGCGTGCTTTTGCCAGGGCTCGGTAAAAAAGGAATTTCCAATCGGACTCTTGAGACCTACAGCAGTGGTTGGCCTCGTCTCAGTCCTTGTTCAAGGCACATAACTCAAAAGGGAGAACACAGCTGTTACATTTAACCTGTGCCCTTTACTGTCAGGTTGTTTTCTACAATGAAACCCGACTCACCACAATGGCCATGCCGTTCAGATCGGAGCAGGTGCTTGCTGCAGAGGGGGAGGTGTTGGGCACGGTCACAGTGCTGGTCTCCGTGATGTGAATCTTCGATGTAGGGATTCTCAAGGCTCTACTGGTAACCTGCAACAATCACACCAACCAGATAAACAGAAAGAGCGTAGGAGCTACAAGGAATTATTGTTATCTATCCAGAATGTGCTCATTTCTTTGACATTAATTCTTTAATGATCTATATGTTCCAGATGTGAGTATTATAAATAACACAGAATAATGTGGGTTTACATCACAATCACATAAAGAAAACATCAGTTCAGTCAGAAAAACAACAGACCTGTGAAGATTTAGGTCTTCAGCAACCCATGCTTTCTATAAAAAGGCGACAATACTTGTCAAAAGAGGCAACTAATGGGATCAGGTGGTCAGGCTTGCTGAATTGGTTGATGCATGTCATCGAATCCCAACTGCATGGATTGATGCTCATGACGTCAGTCACTGGATTGTCTGGTTCAGACTCAATTATTTCCAGACCGCCATCATATAGCTGGAATATTGCTGGGTGTGGCATTAAACAACAAACAAACAAAAACAGAACGCCAACATCTCCCTTATGGAGATCACCCATAAGTCAGTGATGTCTTAAACAATAAACATCCTTGTTCAACTCCAGGTGAAAATGTGATTTGTCAGCTGTTTGAATGTGTCAGTACAATATAATACAAAAGGCTGTGCATGCAGTTTGATCTGTAAACACAGGCCCTTTCCAATACCACTGCATGTTGGTATCTTGTGTCCCTCGTTTCATTCATGAACATACGAAAACTGAGTGAGTGTGTGGGTGGAGTGAGTGAGTCAGTATGGTTTTACGCCGCTTTTAGCAATATTCCAGCAATATCACGGCGGGGGACATCTGAAATGGGCTTCACACATTGTACCCATGTCGGGAATCGAACCCGGGTCTTCGGCGTGACGAGCGAACGTTTTAACCACTAGGCTACCCGACCGCCCCCCGTGTGTGGGTGGATGGTTGCATGGGTGGGGTTTAACAGTATTTGACAGGACCAGCCTTGCCCCATCCCCCAATCTACATTGCCCGTATAGGGCATTTATTCTTTCATGGATTTTGAAATCACGCATGTTTCAGTGACCTGTAGGCTTGGTGCATCATAAGGCACAACTTTTTATAACTGCTTTCCAGATTCCACTGATCCTTACAAATTAAATACCATATTCACTGTAATAAGCGTCTGTGTGCTAAGAAATTTGATGGGGTCGGGGGGATATTACGACAATACACAAGTTAAATGTACCTTCAGAGTGCAGAGAAACTAAAAGAGTCCATAATAAAAAAGAGGCAGTTATATACCCAAATACACTACTGTTAATAAAATTCTGAAAAGCACCATTATATTTTCATTATTGGAATGCAAACTTAAGTGTTCACCACACAAACATTGTGGATACAGTCCATGAACTAAAACTGCACAAAGACAACATATTCAGATGTAATCAAATACAAATATAATATGACTTCACTTTGTACATCATGTTCGGCCCAGTTATGAAGCAGGTTTTATTAAAACTGAAATTGAAAAATAGAAAAGGTCTGGCGTAAGTGTCTGTATCTGAAATAAATTAATTCTGTCCATAACCATATTATTTATAACTGCACTAATTCGCTAAAAAACATAGTGACAGTTGTCATGCAACACCGTGTGAAGCCAATTTCTGGTATCCCCTGCCGTGATATTGCTGGAATACTGCTAAAAGCAGCATAAAATCAAACTCACTCACTCACTCACTCTTGCAACACCGACCTGTATCATCTTTGTGTGCAGGCCCTGTCCCATCTCTATTCCCCCATGAGCAACAAGTACGGAGCCATCCTTGTACACATGGACCAGCGCCCCGCCCTGAAACACAGCACCATCTCCTGCAGTGTCTAGCATATCCTCAGAAAATGGTTCACTGGAATTTTGATGCTTGGAAATATTGGTGTTGACAACATTCGAAAATTCTTTCTGAGCTTCAAAATGGCAATAATGGACTTCAGCAGACAGACATGCATGGCATGATCCTATTGACTCTTACATATTGACATCTGACATTACAATAAGTTGATTCTACTGCAGTTGAATACAACAAACTGCTGAGACTGGTTGTCATGGAAACATGTCCAGGGTCCTACGCTATTAGCCTGACAAATTTCCATGACTTTTTCAATTTTGCCAGTTTTCAAAGATATTTTATCAATAAAAAGCACAACAAAATAACAAACATTAGGAGGTGTTTAACTCAGGATAACACGGATGATGAGATTTATTTAGTTTGATGTTACTGATAAATTTCTGGCATATGACTTTTCCAGGATTCTATGACCAATATGAACTCCGTGAGACTTCAATCACTTACAAAACTGGGTACACATAGAATGAGAGTGCTTTGGAAATTTCATAATAACTATGTATTTACAATCTTCCTCAAAGAATTTCTCCAGCACTCAATACTTATAAACCAGAATATGTTTCTGATAATCAAAATGACAGGTTTGAGGGTAAAACAATCTCATATTTGTCATATAGGAGTACAGGTCCTCACTTACCTGATTGAGTTCCCAGACACCAAAGCCGATGCCAAATGTGACCGGAGTGACAGCGAGACCCTTCTTCTTCCATCGGTTTTCACTGAAACATGCATGGGTGGAGATACAAACAGAACTGCTGTGTCCGGTTAACAATAGTCGAGTCAGTTTCAAGTACATGGAATGTCCAGAGGAACACTGACTGCAAACATTTACAGCTTTGGTGAAACCCATGATCATGGTATTGATCATGCATCCTAATCATGATTATCTTAATCAGGGATTCAAACCCACAACCAGTGCATCTTGACAGAAGCTCATTCAAAGCGAGTGACCCCTTCGTTATACTCTTGGTAACATGGCTGCCGTCAGTGTGGAAGCGGCCATCTTGAAATTTGCCCTCTAACCCCAAATGTATTCAGGTTTATATTTTTGAAAATCAACCAACTCCCCCTTACACTCTTACTGTACCAATTACATGATATTTGAAATAAAATAGAAATTCAAACTGACAAAGAAAATATGTCAGCTGGGGTAAGAGTATTTGGCATTATGGCAGTCATCACTTGTTTGTAAACATAACGGTCCGTCGGTTGCATGTTCAACTCCATGCACAGTGGGGAGTTTTGACTGGTGGCAGCGATAGTATAGAGAGTTCAGCGAACAGGCTATTGTTGTGAGAAGCTTGATACTGGCATGGCTAAATGCTGCAGATGTCTGGGCCTGTGTTCACTTTAGTCCATCTATATCATGTAAACAATTGAGACTGAAACCGGCAAACAATGACAAAACATGAGCAACAAGTCTGGTCATGATGACAGTTCACAGACCACCTAACCTAACTTTGTCACCTCTTGTGACCAGCATAGGTGCCGATGTCCTCTTCTAACCTTAGTTCCCAATGGGTAAACACAGAATATGTACAAGGTCATGATAAAGAAACTAAATACATTGAATGTTGTTCCCTGGATGTGGTCTGAGCGTTTTGTTCTGTGGTGCGATGCAGAAGGTATCATATGGTGTCAATGATAATCACTAAAATGTGATAATGTATGCAGGCTGTCATCACCTCACTGAGCAGAGAATACATCTCTTTACACACCAAGTAATTAACATACAAGGAATATATTCATATGCTTAAAGGTGTTGTTAAGCATATACCAAAGTATTAATCTGTAAATATATATAGGGCTTAAACAAATAGAAGAATTGGTTCTCAGGCAATGACTTTAGAAAATATAGTGCGGTTGGGTGGTGGTTTATTTTTTTTTGTCTTGTTCAAACTAGTATGTAACTAAATAAACAGTTGTGTACCCTCAACCTGGGAAAGTGAGTGAGTGAGTGAGTTAGTTTTAACACCGCTTTTAACATTATTCCAGTTATATCACGGCGTGTCAGCTTAATGTGGGAGGAAAGCCCGAAATGATGCAGGTCTCAGACGTTTACCACTTCGGTGAAACCCACGAGCACGGGTATGGTGCTGACAAACCTAGAAACATAATCGGGGCGAACCGGGATTCGAACCCACAATCAAAGGTTTCTGGCGTGCCTAAGGGACGCAACTCTGCAAAGCGAATCGCGGCGCCTTAGAATGGGCCACCCCTGCCCCCCAACCTGGGAAAGGGCCTCCCTACATAAACAAGCCTACAAACTCCTATTGCCACCATAACCACAACACAAGATGTGCAGTAAAGCAGTGTGCACATAAAGGGAAGTAACTGCGTGCTTGATTGGATCACATTGTTTATAAGTATAAGTATTTTTTGTATTTTTTTTAAATGGCAATAAAAACGAACCATGCTACAAACTATATCATCATGCAGGCAGTGCCTGAGAACCAAAACTATTATGTTTTTAGCCTAAAAGACAAGGTTAGGTAGGGCCACCTCAGGGTAAAGGTTATGAGACTGATGACAACATACCAGTGCACACCTTGAGTGAGAAAGCAGCATCAGATATTATGTCTAAATCAAGCAGCTCACTGTCTCGTTGATGTTGATTGTTGTGTAATGCAGCACTCGGCAATATTCCAGCTATATGATGGTGGTCCATAAATAATCGAGTCTGGACCAGACAATAGAGTGATTGACATCATAAGCATCTATTTATGCAATTGGGATACGATGTCATGCATCAACCAAGTCAGCGAGTCTGACAACACCATCCTGTTAGTTGCCTCTTATGACAGGCACAGTCACCTTTTACAGCAATCATGGGTTGCTGAATGGCTGAATCTTCATGGGTCTCATCAGTGTCTAGACTACTGAGATACAATCACCTGCTATGGAGGTCCACCTCCTTGTGACGCCTGTCATACTGACTCTGTCTGGACTACAGAGAAACAATCACCTGTTATGGAGGTCCACCTCCTTGCAATGCCTGTCATACTGACTGTCTGGACTACTGAGATACAATCACCTGCTATGGAGGTCCACCTCCTTGTGACGCCTGTCATACTGACTCTGTCTAGACTACGGAGATACAATCACCTGTTATGGAGGTCCACCTCCTTGTGACGCCTGTCATACTGACTCTGTCTGGACTACAGAGAAACAATCACCTGTTATGGAGGTCCACCTCCTTGTGACGCCTGTCATACTGACTCTGTCTGGACTACAGAGAAACAATCACCTGTTATGGAGGTCCACCTCCTTGTGACGCCTGTCATACTGACTCTGTCTGGACTACGGAGAAACAATCACCTGTTATGGAGGTCCACCTCCTTGTGACGCCTGTCATACTGACTCTGTCTGGACTACAGAGAAACAATCACCTGTTATGGAGGTCCACCTCCTTGTGACGCCTGTCATACTGACTCTGTCTGGACTACAGAGAAACAATCACCTGTTATGGAGGTCCACCTCCTTGCGACGCCTGTCATACTGACTCTGTCTGGACTACAGAGAAACAATCACCTGTTATGGAGGTCCACCTCCTTGCGACGCCTGTCATACTGACTCTGTCTGGACTACAGAGAAACAATCACCTGTTATGGAGGTCCACCTCCTTGCGACGCCTGTCATACTGACTCTGTCTGGACTACAGAGAAACAATCACCTGTTATGGAGGTCCACCTCCTTGCGACGCCTGTCATACTGACTCTGCTTGATACATTCCTCCCAGCATCTTCTAATGTTGCACTTTGTCAGCGGCAGATTGAACGGAGTTACATCCCCTTCCTTGAACAGATTTTTCTCCCTTACCTGTTTGCAAGGAAGGACAGAACATTATAACCATTATCAAGCCCTGAAGCCTCACCTCAAACATATAAACCCCAGCACACCGAGGAGTGGTCAACTGAGGTGAAGTAACAGCCTCAAAAACACAACAAATGTTATTTTACTAAATTTAAGAAATTGTTAAAAAAGATCTTACTGCATATGGGTTATCAGAATTTTTTTTTTTTTCATTACACTTATCAAAACTATCAACAGTCTTGCACAGTTTCAATGTTAGTGTATACCGCTTTGGGGAAATTTCAGGGCTATGTTTCTGATAGAATGAATCAGAGATTCAGACCCATGACAGCAGATAGTAGCAGCCGAGTGGCAGCCGCTTGGGCCAGTAGGCTATGCCACTACAAGCACCAGCTACCCTCAGCAAACCTGCAGGACTGTGACTCCATTCCACGGAAGTACCGGGAACAACACTTACAACTTGAGGTGAGAGGTTGAGGTAGTCTGCCACGTCCGTGATCCAGGTCTCAGCAACAAACATCGCCTGCGGTGCTCCGAACCCCCGATATGCAGTGCATGATGGGATGTTGGTCTTACACAGGTGGCCGGTGGCGCGGATGTGGGGAATGTAGTAGGAGTTGTCGACATGGAAGAGAGCGCGGTCCATCACCTTGACACATATTAGAAACACGTGAATACCATCACAGATCTGTCCCTTAATGCCATATTATCCATCTTAATAAGTCTTGATAGAGGTGTGGAGTTACAAATATCTTAGCACTAAGTTCGCCTTGTGGAACAACTCCTGGTGTCAACAGGTTATGAAATAGTGCTGTTTGTTTGTTGGTTTAGCGCTGCACTCAACAATATTCCAGTTATATGACGGCGGTCTGTAAATAATCAAGTTTGGACCAATCACTACAGTGATTAACATCATGCCCATGGATCTACACAATAAGGATTCAATGTCATTAACCAAGTCAGCGAGCCTGACCACCCGATCCCATTAGGCGCCTCTTACGACAAGCATAGTTGCCTTATACAGCAAGCATGGGTTTCTGAAGACCTATTCTACCTCAGATCTTCACAGGTTTGAAATAGTGCTGAGTGAGATGGACTTGACACCTTTTTTAACAGTATTTCAGCTACATTAAGTTGTGCCAGCATACTGTGGGAGCAGTGTCCTTTGTAGACATTTACATAATTTGTGAAACACATCAGTACAGATTTAGTGAAGACAAGCCAACAATCATTCATTATCAGGGCAAATCAGGGCCTGAAGCAGCTAAGGGGAACAACTCTGTGGTATGTAAGATAACTCCCCCTCCCCCTCCCCCTCCTCCATCCCTTACCACTCTTTTGCAACTCTTTTCCTGCTAATAATTTTGTCAGAGATACTCACTGCCTCTGACACATCGATAGAGTTGCCACAGTTTGAATATAGATGCAACTCCAAGGCCATCACACGACCATCGGCAGTGAAGCCAATCTGAAAATACATTGACAGTAAATAATACTATTCATAAATAACCAAGGCTTCTAAAATGTCTCTAAGCATGTGCTACAATGATACAAACTTCTGGTTTTAAACTAGAAATAAACTGCTGGCCCACTGGGGTTGTTTCCATAATATGGGCAGTCTGGAAACTGTAACAGTAACATCAATAAGATTACACAACATCATCATCATCATCATCATCATCATCATCATCATCATCATCATCATTACCCATCAATCATCATCAATCATCATCATCATCATCATCATCATCATCATCATCATCATCATCAATCAATCAATCAATCAATCAATCAATCAATCAATCAATCAATCATCATCCATCAATCATCATAAATCATAAATCATAAATCAGCATCAGCATCAGCATCAGCATCATCATCATCATCATCATCCATCAATCATCATCATCCATTAATCATCATCAATCATCATCATCATCATCATTGTCCAGATAAAAGTTTACTAAAAAAAGTGTTCAGATTCCATTAACTATATCAAGAGCTCACTCGTACAAGGCTGTGAACTTGCATGCAGAAGAGGCATTCTGATTGGTTGTTGATTTCACGATCATGATTGAGAGAACTTCTATGCTAGGTTAGTGATATGACAAAGGCGACATCACTCCACAAGGAAAACTATGTTGGTGAATGGGGCAAGGGCGTATATAATAATCAGGCAAAGGAAATTTAGGACCAACCCTATATGGAACCACCTGCACATCTTCCTGAGGCAAGGGAGTTAACTGAAAAAAGTCTGGTTTCCACCCTTGCCGAACTGGGCTGGAATTATGGAGTAATATTTTGGCTGGACTAATGAGTTTATGAATAGTCCAATCAAAATCGTGTTACGAAATCGACATCCGGTTCATAAACTGCTGTACAGATATCGGTCAATTGCAGGATTTGAAAGGCATGTGTTCCGCCAACTCTGCGTCAACAGATATTTTCCAAATCTTTTCATGTTTTTAATCAAGTTGCTCACGTAAGTTGATACACTTTATGAAGTAAGACTTGTTTTAGTATAATATAGATTTTGATTATTGATCAGATCATCTAAAAAGGGTACCACCATTTTGTTTGAAACAAATGTAAGGGATATGAGGTGGGAACAGAAAGGTCAGTAGGAGGGAGATAGAAGGGACATAACTCATAATAGCCACCGGTGTCGCTACGATCGAGCCCAGACATTCCAGCCTAGCTCAGCTAGGGTTGAAACTGGACTTTAAGTCAGTTAACTCCCTTGCTTCGGGATGATGCTACCTGCATTACAAGTGTACCTTGTATTTTCCCTTGAAGGGGTGTCGAGTCCCCGTGGTCCTCATGTCCTCATCTCTGTCCAGGACACACCGCACAGGATGCCTGTGTCTGCAGAAGAGTGAGTGAGTGAGTCACTGAATGAGTTTCAAACACGACAGCCTGTGGCTTCAGAGGTAAGAAATCATTTGACATTGAAGTTCCAGATTGCATGACAAGAAAAGAATGTGGAAAAATGCAAAAAATTAAAAAGCAATGGGTTTTTTACTGTCACTATCAATATAAATAAATTATTCAAATTACAAGAACTAAAATCTGTTGAAACACACAACAAATTATGACAAATTGCAAGAGAAAAACAAAAAACATATTGGAACTTGAGATTTTATGGACATATATATAATTATTTTTGTTTTCAAACTACTGGCCTTGAATTTTAGGGCTGAAAATCTGTAAAACAATCTAATGAAACAGTCAGACCTAACACCAACACCATTGGCCAAGATATCCGATATCATTCCAGGGGTCCAAACCCCCTCCTTTTGAAAACCAAATGTAGTATGTTGTAGACAAGGCCCCCCACTCCCCACTGAGAGAGGATTGTGATATTTTGGACCCCTCCCTTCTAAAAAAGCTGATTCCACCCTTGTAAAAGTTGAAAATGTAGGGGTTCCAAGATACTAAAGTAGCTAACCCACGGGATCCCAGCATCCCCAATAGACGATGCTGATGATCTTGATGATGTTGATGATGCTGAACACTTACTTGACTGCAGCCACAGCTACAGGGGCCGACACCAGGACAGTCCGTGTCTCCTTGCCTCCGAACCCTCCACCTGCGATACAAAATCTAACCAACTTACTGGAAGGTTTGTTTGTTGTTTAATGCAGCTGACACCAATATTCCAGCTATAAAATGGTGGCATCTAAAAACAAAATCTGGACAAAACAATCCAGTGACTGATATTGCTAGCAACAATCCACACCATTGGAGTATGTCACTAAGTCGGACATGAAACAAAAACCTTTCATCAGACTTGATCGCTTGCACGTCTCGTACTCCAATATTGTGGACTGTTTCTCAGGTTAATGGCATCTCAACCCAAAAGGGTGTACTGTCTAGGATATGTTTTTTATGTTCTGTAACTTTTTACTTTTGCTCAGATTGAAATTCCAATCAAGGTGGTAAAGGCACGAAGCTGAATCATTTTAGAAATCTGACACCTGAGAGAATCAAGAATCCATGCATCCTTTAGTTAGCTTGGACAATCAAAGTTCATCTGACGCAACCTTCTATGAAGGAATCTTCATGTGAAGAGGTTTCAAATCAGAGTAACAGAGCTGATATTAATGGTACGGATCCAAACATAGGTACCCAGGTGAGTTGCACTATATACTATACTACTAAACTTTACAAGACAGTTCATATCTATTTGTACATTGCAGATTATTTACAGAAAACAGCATTGTAGAAGGAGAATAAAATTGTCTCATAACTATACTTGAAGACATTTAGTTTCATTGATGTTTGTTTAAGTTTGTTTTCAACTGCTCAATCTCTGTCAACAAGATTAACTTGTGAATAGATAAGCAACCCTTTTTTCAATTTTCTGACCACCCAGGATGTATATTATGGTGAATACTGTACACTTCAAGTAATCAGTGTATCGTGGATCTATAGTTTGTTTGTTTGTTGTTTAACACTGCACTCTGCAATATTCCAGCTATATGATGACGGTCTGTAAATAATCGAGTCTGGACCAGACAATCCAGTGATTGACATCATGAGCATCAATCCACGCAATTGGGATACAATGACATGCATCAACCAAGTCAGCGAGCCTGACCACCCGATCCTGTTAGTCGCCTCTTAAGACAAGCATAGTCGCCTTTCACGGCAAGCATGGGTTTCTGAAGACCTATTCTACCCCGGATGTCACAGTTCTATAGAAATATCCCTATTTGAATTGAGTACTTTACAGTAGACAGCTGAGAATACCCACCCAGTCGCTTGGTCCTGACTGTGATCCTGTTAGCTGGAACACCTAGCACCTCGGAGATCACAGACTGACAACATAAGCAGGATTGATGAAATATATAAACATGTATTCATGTTTATCAAAAACATTCCAGATGAAGGAAACATATTAAACATATTATACAAAACTAACAAAATATGTCTGTAGTTGTGATGGCAAGAGAGGAAAGTAATGAAGATCCAAGATGGCATCCATAGTTTCCATGCTCCTTACAGCGATAGCCCATTTGCAGAGCTCTCTGAACCATCACTGCCACCACTCACAGCCCCCCACTGTGCTAGGCGGTCTACAACCATGCATGGAGTTGACCTCGCCACAGACTGACCTTTAAGTTTCCAAACAAGTGATGAATGTTGTGATGTCGAAAACTTTTCCCGAAATAAAATCATTTTGTTTGTTTTATAATTTGAATTTCTATTTCATTTCAAATATCAAATAATAAATTTAGTGTGATTGCAAAGGGGAAGTTAGGTGCTTTTCCATCTGCAATGCCAAAACAAAACAAACAAATGTAAATTCATCTTTGAACTGGTAAGTCTGTCATCAATCTTTTTCCAATTCTTTATAGCATTCCCAAACACAAACACATAAATGTCACACCATGATGCCAGGAGGGTAACGATTCTAACAAAGGTGTAATCGGCTGGGAAGGAGCTTGCATAGTTTCCCACAAGGGAAGTAACTATATCAACAAAACCCACACTCAAAAAAGTACCTGTGTCATTGTGTTTGTTTAATGCAGCACTCACATATATATGACAGTGGCCTATGAGTCTAAACAAGATGAACAGGGGTACAATTACACTCAATCAACCAAGATTCCAATGCTACCCACTGCATTAAGTTACCTCATACAGCAAGCATAGACTGTTGGTGTATGTTCTAACCCAGAATCCCCACAAATAATGCAAGGTCAAGGTCAAGGTCAATCGCTTCACGGAATAACAGTTGTTGTCTGAGATATGGTTCAGCGCATGTCTTTTTTACATGAAATCTCTCCTACTGATACATTCTATACACTCTACACATTTGGGCTGCAACTCAAAGAGCTTCAAAGTCACATAGTCACCTTCATGTGACTATGTATCATCTTTAATGAACAAAAACTAATCGCTACCACACAGTTATCTGAGTCTCACCTGCACCTCAGATGGGTTCTGAGTGGCTGCAAACACCTCCATCTCCCCATCCTCCTTCGGGATAGCCAGGGCGCCGTGCGTCTCGATGTAGAAGTGCTCCTGTGCTCCACTCCGCACCTCACCCTCCAGCACATGGTCGGACTTGGAGAACCCCGTCTCCAGGTCACCGTGTTTGATGGTGTGGGAGGGGGAGTAGAAAGAGTTCTTGGCAACAGCTTCCTACACAGGGACAACACAAGTGAGTCAACATTGATTTTGGCCTGGATTGGGAATACTGCAGCTATAAATGATAGTAGTAACCACATCATCTGGGAATGATGTCGGTTTGAAGACATGTTAAGCTTGAACAGATAGCTGGAACGCATCTTGCTTCGCAGAGAAAAGGGAAAAGTATGACATGGCATGTGCTGTCCAAGCATGTGCAAAATGAGGAAAATCAGACTTACTTAAGGTAAGTTCACTTTGGTTTTGAGATGTCGTCGCGTTAGGACGTACATTCGTGACTGTGGTTTGATAGTTCGGCTCGATAGGAAGCATATTCGTCACTTTGGTTTTGAGATTTCGTCGAGTTAGGACGTACATTCGTGACTGTGGTTTGATAGTTCAGCTCGATAGGCAGCATATTCATCACTTTGGTTTTGAGATGTCATCCTTTAGGACGTACATTCGTGACTTTGGTTTGATAGTTCGGCTCGACAGGACGCATATTCATCAGTTTGGTTTGAGATGTCGTCGCGATAGGGCGTACATTGAAAATTTCGTTTTATAGCTCGTCAAGATAGAACGTAGTAGAACGTGTTAGTTACGATAGGATGTCGCAATAGGACACAGCAATGCTAGCCAAAATAGGGCTAAACTGATAGATTGATAGCAACAGATTTGAGAATCATATCAAGTTAATTTTGTCACATTTACATTTCTTCATCTTTTTTAAGAAGAGATTCACGTTTAGTTGCCCGAATTTATTATCTGAATTATTTCATCATATCAAGATAGTCACGTTTAGTTCCCCGCATACAACAGTGAGGGAATTCACATTTTTGTTAATAGTTAATATTCCTCTGCGCAACAGATGGCCCACAATAAGTAAGGTCAAGCATGTCTACCACCCATGTTAGTCAGCTCTCTTATTCCTGTATTGAATACACACTTTTATTTTGAACTTCAATAAATTGAAGGCTTCAAAATCAATTATGGTCTACGTGGCATTAAAACAAATAATAATTTATTGATAATAAACTACAACATAATAAACCTCTGAGGTCAACGCATCTTATATTGTCTATTACAGTAAGTAAGTTTCATATCATCAATAATTTTAAAAAACACTGTCCAAGTGTCACATATTTCAATACTTGAATTTTGATCGATCGTATCACTGCATTTATTGTAAATCTGTAAGATTGCAACCTTAGCATTCAGCTGCATGTACCATCCACTTGCACAAAGAAATTGTAGGCTAAGATCTTTGTCATTGAGGATCATTGTAATTCCAAAACAGAGTTGACAAGATGGCATGTAAGAGAGGGTCTGTTAGTTCAAATGAATAATCTGCTTCATGTTGAAATATCGACAGCCTTTTTGTAAAACTGCACGATTCAAATCAACACTTCAAAAACAATGAATGTGTAAGTGTCATGTCGAAAATGTTGTTAATCGTGATAACATTCCACATAACTATCAACTTGATTGCCAAAAATATAATATGGACAAGTACAGGTTGCTGAGGACATATGTATCAGCTACAGGCATGTACCTCTATTGTGATGATGGCGTCCAGATCCTCGTACACGACCTTCACAGCCCTCGCCCCTCTCTGGGCGTTTATCTGACAGTCACCAACCACTGCACCAATCACCTGGCCCTGACAGCTCACCTGTTGAACGATACACACCAAAAAGTAATACAAAGAAGAAGAGGACTAATCAGAAAGAGAAGAAGAAGAAGAAGAAGAAAGAGGCTAATGAGAAGAAGGCTAATGAAGGGAAGAAGACTAATGAGGAGAAGGCTGAGAAGGAGAAGGCTAATGAAAAGAAGGCTAATGAGAAGGAGAAGGCTAATGAGAAGAAGGCTAATGAGAAGGAGAAGGCTAATGAAAAGAAGGCTAATGAGAAGGAGAAGGCTAATGAAAAGAAGGCTAATGAGAAGGAGAAGGCTGATGAAAAGAAGGCTAATGAGAAGGAGAAGGCTAATGAAAAGAAGGCTAATGAGAAGGAGAAGGCTAATGAGAAGAAGGAAAAGGCTAATAGGAAGAAGGCTAAGGAGGTGAAGAAGAAGGCTAATGAGAAGAAGAAGAAGGTTAATGAGGTGAAGGCTAATAGGCTAATGAGAAGGAGAAGGCTAATGAGAAGAAGGAGAAGGCTAATGAGGTGAAGGAGAAGAGGGCTAATAGGCTAATGAGAAGGAGAAGGCTAATGAGAAGAAGGAGAAGGTTAATGAGGTGAAGGAGAAGAAGGCTAATAGGCTAATGAGAAGAAGGAGAAGGCTAATGAGGTGAAGGAGAAGGCTAATGAGGTAAATGAGAAGGCTAATGAGAAGAAGGAGAAGGCTAATGAGGTGAAGGAGAAGGCTAATGAGAAGGAGAAGGCTAATGAGGGGAAGAAGGCTAATGAGGAGAAGAAGGCTAATGAGGGGAAGAAGGCTAATGAGAAGGAGAAGGCTATTGATGTGAAGGAGAAGGCTAATGAAAAGAAAGAAGGAAAGAGAGAAGGCCAAGGAGAAGTCACCAAGTTAATGCTCATGGCACAACATCACATAATAGCAAGGTTTGCTATTTTAAGAGTTATACAGATGGAGTGTTAGACATGATACTGCAATTTGAAGAGGTGAATCTTGAAGGATGAAAAGGAAGGAGACACCTTTGGGTATGCCGGATGTTGGTTCTACACTGTTGATGAGCAGTTGTGGAATGATCTCTGTCCAAACAACTTCAGACAGAATCATGGAATTCTTGAGAAGGTTTTCATTTTCAGAAGGAAGTAATGTCTGGTTGGTTGGTATTTTGTCAATGTGGTCAGTCACCAAGACACAAGACCAGGGATGTCATAGCATTTAGCGATATCCATACATTAATGAATATCTATACTAAAATAATACTCAGTACCACAGAATTCTTTTACATCTATTAACATTACCAGGGTTGAGATAGACAATGAGATGAGACAATTCAGCAAACCTCTGAAGAAGCAAATATCTCCTCCTGCCCTAGCTGCAGCTTGTTCAGGCCTGGGACGTCCTTCTGGCAGATGAAGTCCACCACTCCCGGCAGTGTCAGTGCTTCACTTGCATCAATGCTCACTATCCTAGCATGGGCTCTTGTGCTGGTGACCAGGGCCAGGACCAGTTCATCTAGAGCAGGAAAGGGCAGGGTGAGTGAAAAGGACCAGTGATCACCCGATCCTGTTAGTTGCCTCTTACAACAAGCAAAGTATGGTAAGCATGGGTTGCTGAAAATCTATTCTGACGGATGTTCATGGTTTGAATTGCTGAGTGAGCAGAGCCAGTGAGTGAGTGAGTGAGTGAGTGAGTGAGTGAGTGAGTGAGTGAGTGAGTGAGTGAGAGAGAGAGAGAGAGAGTGAGTGAGTGAGTGAGTGAGTGAGTGAGTGAGTGAGTGAGTGAGCAGAGCCAGTCCATCTGTAGCAGGTGAGTAAGTGAGTGAGTGAGTGAGTGAGAGAGAGAGAGAGAGAGAGAGAGAGAGAGAGTGAGTGAGTGAGTGAGTGAGTGAGTGAGCAGAGCCAGTCCATCTGTAGCAGGTGAGTAAGTGAGTGAGTGAGTGAGTGAGAGAGAGAGAGTGTGAGTGAGTGAGTGAGAGAGAGAGTGAGTGAGTGAATGAGTTTGTGAGTGAGTGAGTGAGTGAGTGAGTGAGTGAGTGAGTGAGTGAGTGAGCAGAGCCAGTCCATCTGTAGCAGGTGAGTGAGTGAGTGAGTGAGTGAGAGTGAGTGAGTGAGCAGAGCCAGTCCATCTGTAGCAGGTGAGTGAGTGAGTGAGTGAGTGAGTGAGAGTGAGTGAGTGAGCAGAGCCAGTCCATCTGTAGCAGGTGAGTGAGTGAGTGAGTGAGTGAGTGAGTGTGCAGAGCCAGGAAATCTGTAGCAGGATAGGGGACAGTGGGTGGGATGGGTTTGTGGTTGGCGTAGTGTGTGAGTGAGATCTATCAATAATATCCAAATAAATATAATATGAGTAAAAGACAAGACATGACAATCTCAACAGCCTATTCGAAATACCTCTATGACAGATACATACAAATGTTTGTATACTCTCCCACTCAATCACCCAACATACACAGCACCTACACAAAGACCACACAGCCTGCAGCATGTCAAGCCACACCAACCTGCCAGTGGTGGCATGTCGTCCACATACACAGCACCTACACAAGGACCACACAGCCTGCAGCATGTCAAGCCACACCAACCTGCCAGTGGTGGCATGTCGTCCACATACACAGCACCTACACAAGGACCACACAGCCTGCAGCATGTCAAGCCACACCAACCTGCCAGTGGTGGCATGTCGTCCACATACACAGCACCTACACAAGGGCCACACAGCCTGCAGCATGTCAAGCCACACTAACCTGCCAGTGGTGGCATGTCGTCCACATACAGGGCCTCTCCTGTGGCCTGCTGGTAGGCTGCGCGGTGGACGAGGGGACGTCCCACAGCATCCGTTGATGGTTGGCCAGAAGCAACATTGTCATACAGCTGACATGACTGGCGAGGCAGTCTCTCAAACTCGGAGACTGCACTCAGATAAGACTGAGGAACTGGAGCACCAGGGCCCTAAAACAAGGAATCCATTTCTTCAATTAGGTTACAGACTAAACAACACATTAGGCACAACTCTTCACTGGTGCAGCCCTTCTGCTGTCATACTCTTTTAATCCACATGTTTTCTTCTCATAGTACAGCGTTCCCTCGCTATTGCGCCCTTCAATTTTGAGCTAACTCGGTTATAGTGCACGGTACAACATGGCTTCCAAAATTTACTTACATTTTTAATAAACTCAAGTTTTCTCAAAAAACATTATCAGCTGTTCACCAAGATCCCACAACACAGGAAATACCGATCAACAAATCCGAACTGAAGTACGCGATTTAATCCTATTATTATACTTTCTGGTTATAAAAAGGTGTTCATTGTTTATTTGGACTTATGTTTGCAATATATTTTATGAATGTTATTCAAAATTTCATTCAATAATGTTTACATTATTTTCAGGAAAATCGTGTGTGAAGTGATCAGTAGATCGCACAAATCACCATAGTAACAATTATTCAATTAGGCACACATCGCCATCTATATAAAGTGATAATATAAATGCCGGGTTGACATGAAAGTGATCCAGCTGAAAAAAACATTATATCACTTCTACCCCGTGCATAGGGCAATTACCCCATTCAACCCCTGCTCTAATGTATGTCCTATCAGTGAGTGAGTATGGTTTTACGCCGCTTTTAGCAATATTCCAGTAATATCACGGCGGGGGACACCAGAAATGGGCTTCACACATTGTACTCATGTCAGGAATCGAACCCGGGTCTTCGGCGTGACGAGCGAACGCTTTAACCACTAGACTACCCGACCGCCCTGTATGTCCTATCAAGAGTGATATAGGATATATCAAATATTAAAACAAAGGCTGTAATATACTCAACCAGACACAATTTTGTGAGACATCCTAACATTAAAATCAAACCCAACACAAACATACAAGAGGGATGGGATAGGGAAGCCACAAGACAATTTCATATAGTAGACTTTATGAGGACTAAGATTTGAGAGGTATATTTAGGGAGAAATTAAGAGTTAATTACCACACAACACTCTTGTGACACCTTCAGTAAATTGAACTGAATTGGGGATTCATGACATTTTTGCATTACAAGACAGTTAACAAGTTTTTCTTGGTGAACAATGTAGCAGTGTTCCCACTGGCATTTGAAACTGCCATTTGAAACTGCCAGTCCCGGTGGACTGGTGACTCTAGGTCTTACCAGTCCCCCTCAAGTTTCGTCAGTCCCAACTTTGAACAAATAAAACAATATAGGAACATTTCTGATCTTAATTCTTTCACCATCATGTTCAATGCATGTTGATGGCTGATGTATCCAATGACATCATCTCTGAAGTAGCTTAGTTACTACATGTCATTCACACAGCCACAATTTTCTCCCTTTTTGTTCAGAATATTTCACTGTGGTTTGCGACAAAGTCATTACAAATTGATATTTAACCTCAAAGCAAAGTGAAATGTTATTTCCTTGCACTAAGCATATACAACGGGAAACCCTGTTGATTAAAAAACAAGCTGACTTTGTTAAAAAAATGTTTCTTATTGATTATTGATTGCTGATGTTTTGTTTAACAACAAAGTTTATAATGTACTTTATTTACCAGTCTACAGGGACTCATAGTCGTGTGAATTACTGGTCCAAGGCTAATTTTACTGGTAAAAAACTGGTAATTACCAGTAAATGGGAACACTGTGAAGCCCCATACATCATTCTTAAACCTGGTGTCCCCTGACGTGATATTGCTGGAATATTGCTAAAAGCGGCGTAAAACCATACTCACTCACTCACTTAAACCTGGACAGAAAACACAGCACTTCAGATTCCACGTATAGCAAAATGTCGGACACCAACCTGTTTCCCTAGCTGTGTCTTCACTGCAAGATAGAACTTGAAGAAGAAGCTGACTGTCAGTGTACTGCGATACTCCACGTTGCCCCCTGGTGAGCCAGCTGGCAAAGGGAGGTCACTGGACAGGTAGGGAATAGCCGCCCCAACCAGATTCTCATCCCAAGACCTACAACAAGCAGAGCTATCATACAGGATTTCATCATCAAGTGGGTAGCAGGCACAGTGGTCTAATGATCATGTTACACAATGCAGAGTTGAAGCCCTTAGAGAAGCCAGGATTCGCTGTTTACGGAGTCTAATTCTAGAGTCATCCCAATTATGATTTTTGGTTCATTAATACTACACCTGGGATTCACAAAAGGATTTATCATAAGCCTACACCATACCATTATAGTTTTCACCTAATAGATCCAAGAGTGTTCAACTGTACTGCGTTTTGCAAGGGCGGGAACCAGGTTTAGGACGTACAAAGGAAGAAACATTCCATTGCTATTTAGAGTGGCCTCTACCTTGTTTTATAGATGATGTTGGGAAAGTAATCAAAATATCCAAGACCAATAATGGCCCATTTCTACACTGAAGTCAAAACCATACTCTAATTATTCTGGATTTCTGTCATAAACAGACCAAATTTATGTCTCATAATGACTACATTCAAGGGCTCATCCACCATTTTTAGAAGGGAGGGAATCTAAAATATCAAAATCCTCTCTCAAATAATTTTAAAGCCTAAAACATACTACATTTGGTTTTTAAAAGGGGAGGTTCGGACAATGCAAATACAACCAACCAAAATTGCCAAAAAACCTCTTACTGACCTTTTTATTTCAAACTCTTGTCAAACATTAATTTCTGAACAGAATTCATATCTTGAGTTCAAATTTAGAAACAAATACATATATCTTCACAAAGAGAGGTACCGTATCGGATAAAAAGATCTGATTTCAATGAGACTGCTTCAAACACCTCATATAGGCATGAAGTTCATAGTAATATAAAGCCTTACAGAGCAAAGTAGTCTTACTTTCCAACAAGTTGTTGCATGGTTTTTGTGGCCATGACTGTGATTGGTGCCATTCCCCCAAATGCCAGGGATATTTCCTTGATGACATCAGAGTCCGTATCCAGCAACACCCTCATCCCTGAGTTGACTATGGAAATGTCATCATCCTTTCTGTTGGCTTGTTTAAAACCAGCAAAAAATTCTTCCTAAAACAAACAAACACTCAGGATATATAATAAATCCAATAGTCTTCTCACAAAGCACTACCTACACTGACACACAACAGGCAGGGATTTATCAAGGATTTAAAACAAAGTGCCCTTGTGGCAAGATGGGGAAAATCATTATTTTATTTAAATTTGGGATTTTTTAAAAACTTATTTTACTAAAATTTGGGATTTTTTTAAAAACTTATTTTCTTAAATTCATAAATATTTTAACATTGCATTGAAGGCAATAATATAAAGCGAAGCATCATCTGGGACTTAGAGAATAGACCCGAAAAGGTTTGGTCAAATTATACCACAGACACTAACTTGAAAGAAAGCCTTGTTACATGGTCACTATTGACTTGCCATGTGATCAATATTGACTTCGTCTGGTAGAAAACAACATTGAATCCTCAAGGATTTTCCAGAAGACCTTGGCAGAAATCTTTTACGCATGGCATATTCAGTGTGGTGCATGTGCCTAGTTTTCATTGTACTATATCATTCTGCAACAAAATCTGTTGTTGTTTGGAGCAGAAAACATAAGCCTGTAAAAATGTTTCACATTAATTTCATAATTTTGCAAAAATTCAGGTTTGGGGTTTGACAAAATCAGGAAATGGCTGTCTGACCATCTGCACCAAACAATACTTTAAAGTAGGGCTGGGACGAGTCCAAATTTACTACCTGGGTACCCGACACCCTTTCACCTGACCCTACCCGTGTACTCACTGTTGGTCTCAAAATGGGAACAAAATGTCTGATTGGGAATTGTTTTAGTGCAGCCCTGGCAAAAACTATTTAGATACATGTATCAAACGATCATATCATGCGTACACTGAAGTTGACTAAAGCTTTATCTTTAGTCAAACATATACAAGTCAAAAAGAATGTGTTCATCGTCAGACTTGAGCTATAGTGAGTTTTTGTCTTTAAACAATACATCACTTGACTAACCACAGGTCTGGGTAGTCCAGTGGGTACCTGGGTCCTACTCAGAACCCACCCGCCCCGGTACCTGAGTTACCCATCCCAGCCCCACTTGAAAGATACTCCAAGACTTCTCCACTATATTGTCTACATGAACAAATGGTATGTCAAGACTTGCACAGCATCCATGACTGATATATGTTGTAACAAGGGTCACCTTTTTAGTATGTGGAATGGTTAGCGAAACAAGGACTTCATCCGGCTTCATCTCTGTTTTACGGTAGCCTTTGAAGAATCTGGAATCCATGGTGATCTTTCTCCATCCCCCATCTGCAGAAGATAAGCAGCAAGAAAGATCTTTCTTCTTCTTCTTTTGTGACGGGTACAAAAATATTCTATGTAATTTCATGTGGAAAGAGAGGAAAAACGTGATACCATATGGCATCAGCAGAATCCGGCATGACCAAGGGAAGAAGCAATAGTGCACAGCAAACTGCACAACCTGTGACCAATTTGCCCCTCTTGCCAACCAGATGTAACATGTTTAACAAGCATGAAATACTCATATCCCCTGCCAATATGACATGTCCGGTTCTGTGCAAAACAAGAAATATTGTTTGGGTTTCAAGACCTGCTCCGGAAAGGAGCACTACTGCCATTTTCAGTCTAAGTAAAAGTCGTTGCTTTGGAAACTCAAAAAAATTTTTTTTCAAAAATCCCAAACTATCAAAAGGCACCAGTTCATCACTAGACCTATCAATGTGCCAAGATCAATGCATGCTGATTCACTGAACTGCAAACTAATGTCAGGTTGTGCTTTACAAGTAATGCTTGTTCTTGTTGGTGTTGTTGTTGTTGTTGTTGTTGTTGTTGTTGTTGTTACTATTATTTCCTCCATGACAGAGTGGTCGAGTGCCTCACCTCGTGATGCCACTTCCAGAACCACTCCTGCTGCCAAGAAGAGAGGGTTGAGGTCGGAGATAGGGCTGGCTGTTGTGATATTTCCCCCCACAGCCTGAAACAACAGCAACAGCAACAGCATAGGAGTTAACATTATTTTAAGGTTGACATTTGCATCAATTCAATACTCTCTGTTGCCAATACTGAAAGTCATGCAATGCACATGGTGAATTATGTTGCACAAGAAAAGCTAATTTGGGTGCACCTCGCTCTTTCATTGTACAGGGAATTTTTCTGGTATTTTATTTGGTTGCATACATTTCACCTTAAATACACCCTGCTTGAACAGACCTATACAAGTGGTTATCCACTCAGAAAGCATTCCTGAAGCTACTGGGACACACAGAAGTGATGACAACACCTGCTGGCACAGTCCAACTAAAGAATGGATGAGAGTGGCATCGTCACCTGTAACAGTATCTGCACATGCCCTGCCTTCAAATGCAAACTCCATGAACAAAATATTGGGATCGTCTCTGGCATGCATGGTGCCCACTGTTCACCACTGTGTACAATCTGCTTAGTCCTGGGGCTCATTCCAGAAAGCAATCTTAGTGCTACAACTACCATAAGCCTATGTTAAAGTATGGGAGTTACGATCGTCTCAGCCCTGAGATTGCTTTGAGGAACGAGGCCCTGGCCTTATAACACATGACAAAGTATCAGACTTTTTTTCGAGCGTGTTTGCTGTGTGCGGTGTGTGTGTGTGTGTGTGTGTGTGTGTGTGTGTGTGTGTGTGTGTGTGTGTGTGTGTGTGTGTGTGTGTGTGTGTGTGTGTGTGTGTGTGTGCGGTGTGCGTGCACGTGTGTGTGTGCTTGTACTAGTCTGGAACAATGCTGGTTTTATAGTGTAGTTCATCCAGGGTTAACACGAATACCCCACTCAGACACAGTGCACTGGCCAATCAGTCCTTGTTTAAGCCTCTTAATAGCCTCTTAATAGGGGATATTATGATATGATACAAAGATTACTCCCCCAGCACACAGCAGTGAGTACTCCCCTCATCCTGAGTCTACACACTCTGGTGCAGTGGTGACTTAGAATAACAACACTACCATAGGCTAATTTGTATTCTGAAATCAGAACATACTGGCCTAATGCAAGCCCTTCGGTGCGCTTTACATATTGGTTTGCATAATTATATAGATATGCTACTACAACTACGACAGTGCCGTGCATGACAATATATCTTAATACATCAAAGCGACAGTATCACTAGCTCTCCGTAGGGCTTTGATGACAGCACGTGGAGCCATGCAACCAATGTAAACATAGGATAACTACGCAAATGGAAATAGTGTTTTACGTTTTAGGATATATTCTCAGTGAAGGTTAACCATTCCATGATATATGTTTACCTAGATATGCAGACTTGTAAAAATTGAAACCGATGAGAAACACATTCAATATCTTGAATGGAATGTGTAAGATGTGATGAATCGTCACATGGCGCTGTCCTGTGGCAGAGGTAATATGCTGGCTGCCAGATGCAAGGCATGAGTGAGTGAGTATGGTCTTGCGCCGCTTTTAGCAATATTCAAGCAATATCACGGCGGGGGACACCAGAAATGGGCCTCACACATTGTACCCATGTCGGGAATCGAACCCAGGTTTTCGGCGTGACGAGTGAACGCTTTAACCACCAGGCTACCTGACCGCCGCGGTCGAGTAGGAGTAGGAGAGTGCCTGAGTCTCATGTAAAGCAATGGCCGACAGAATACAAGCTTGAAGTGAAGTCTGATACTTCGTGATATCATGTCATTGGTTGAGATAAAGCAAGATCGAAACATTTCCCAACAAGTCACTAAATTACAAAACTGTAAACTCACGGCAGCATTCCTGATCTGGTGACCACCGAACCACTGCAACATCTCAACAATGGCCGCATACACGCGGGTCTTCCACTCTGAATCAGAAACACATCACATACACAGTGATTATAGCTGACATTACTTATACGCATATATTCTTATATGTATAAATATGTAGATCTGTACGCTAGGTACACTTGGATCAGGAATAATGCAGGAGATCTCTTTGAGTCAACTGAAACCATAGGGAGTCACCTGACGTTCGAGATTCACACTGTGACATGAAAGTAACATGTTTAACAAGCATGAAATACTCATATCTCCTGCCAATGTGGCATTTCCGGTTCTGTGCAAGGCAAGAAATATTGTTTGGTTTTCAAGAACTGCTCCGGAAAGGAACACTACTGCCATTTTCAGTCTAAGTCAAAGTCGTTGCTTTGGAAACCCAAAAAATATTTTTTTCAAAAATTCCAAACTATCAAAATGCACCAATTCACCACATGACCTATCTATGTGCCAAGTTTGGTTAAGATATCTCTCATGGTTTTTGAGTTCATGAGAAACATGACGGATGATTGAAAGGATGGACTGACAGCACCTGTTCCTATATCCCCCTTCCACTTCATGGCAGGGAATAAAAAACATGCAAATTATCGTTATACCATAAATAAGAAAATGCTATAAAAAGGGTGGAAGTCCTACAAACAATACATCACACAATACAACAGTTGGTCACACTAAATCGTGCGGAGATGTTTGCATATACTTTAGGTTGGGTAAGTTGAACTAAAAACAAACTGGAACTGGTTTTATCAAATTTATTTTATGTAGTTTGGTCAGTTTCCTGGGTAAAACTTCATGTTACATGAACATATATTTACTTCTGTCAGGGAAGACACTGTTGTTTCTAGTAGGTGTTTACAGTGCCCAAGGACTATACAGTAAAGTACGATTATAACGAACACACTTATAACGAACTGACGGATATAACGAACTTACCTTTTTGGTCCCGACTATTTGCTGTAGTTATATATGCTTATAACGTCCCGACTATTTGCTGTAGTTATATATGCTTATAACGAAATACAGTTATAATGAACTAAAATTAGTAGTCCCTTTGAGTTCGTTATAACCATACTTTACTGTATATCAAAAAGATAAGTTACATTTTGTCCGATATGTATCCATATAACGTTTATTTTTTCAATCCACCAAGGAAAGAGCAATCAATCAAATAAAAATATATGTAATCAATTTTGATTTCAACTTATGACTGGCTTTGGCTTCAGTCAATCAAATCTGGAAACCCCAAAATTCTACATATTGGCCTCACCTGGCAGAGCCTGTATTTCCTGTGTAAGTGTGTGAGTCAGGTGTGACAGCGTGACGGAGGCCCCTATCTTCAGTCCAGACTCACGACGCTCAACGTCCGTCAGCTCTGTCACATGTCCCACAGCAATGAATTGTTGGTAGTGCATATGCTTACACTTCATTTCCACACCTGCAGAGACAGGTGAAAGAAGACACAATGTAGAATTTTGACATTTAAGTAAACAAGAAGCCATTGAACATCTGTACATATTTACGTGACTGGCTAATGATATTTTCAAAGGCAAAGTTTGAATTTACCCTCTATTAGGCTAAGCAAAATAATGGTCTCTTTTCTCAGGCACTTCCCACATCATAATAAAGTCTGCAGGACGTTTTGTTTTTATTTCTATTTTAATTTTTTTTATAAAAATCCTAATGCATGTACTTAAAAACAATGCAATCCAATAGAGCGCGCAGTTACTTCCCTTTACACACACACTGCTTATGGCGATGGCGGCAATAGGAGTTTGTTGGTCTGTTTATGTAGGGAGGCCTTGTCCCAGGTTGATGGTAAACAACTGTTTATCGGGTGACATACTAGTTTGAACAAACCCCAAAAAAAAAAACATCATCTGCCTGCACTATTTTTCAAAAGTCATTGCCTGAGAACCAATTCTTTTTTTTTAAGCCTTATGTGATTATGTGATAACTCCCAACTTGGTTCCCTGTAGATGATAGTCGTGGGTTCAAATCTCGGGTTCTCTCCGATTATCATCCTTGGTCCCACCAGCTCCATGGCTGTGTGTTTAAACCAAGCATGTCTACAACTTGTGGCACTTCGATCTTTGCTCTCTTATGAAGCTGACATTCAACTCTATCGGAGCACCAGAGATGCTGTTTGTTTCTATAAGATATGCAAGATAAATCACTATAACCTAAGTAACTTCCTGTTGATCATGTACAATTATGCAGGAAACATTTCACCACTCCAACAGTATAACAACACTCTGCATAAAAAACCCATGTTACCTTTTCTCCTTGTATGACTGCATTTCTTTACAGATCTTTATGAGTGAGTGAGTGAGTATGGTTTAACGCCGCTATTAGCAATATTCCAGCAATATCACGGCGGGGAACACCAGAAATGGGCTTCACACATTATACCCATGTCGGGAATCGAACCCGCGTCTTCGGCTTGACGAGCGACCGCTTTAACCACTAGGCTACCCGACCGCCCCTTAAATCTTTATGAAGTAATCAAAGGGAGGCATCACATTATTATAAATACATGAACTGTATGTTGCTGTTGTGAGTTGATGCATATGACACTGAACTTTACCTGAAACTACTCTTGATGTAGAATTATTGGGAAATAAAAATCTACTCATTTCTTAAAAAGTACCCAATAGACAGAACCCATGGAAGTAAAAATATATTGAAAACTCAAAGAAAGCTATCAATACCAATATGAATAACATGTGAATGAATAGTCCATGACTCAAAAGATTTATCCGAAGCCTTGCTATGTAACTAAATATTCCGACGAGCCTCAGTGGTCTAGTGGTAGAGTGTCTACCCGGAGTGTGGAAGGTCCGGGGTACGATCCCCGGATGCGTCATACCAAAAGACTGGTGCTTTGCATTAAAGGGGTAAAACAAGGACTGGTTGGCTCGGAGTCAGTACACTGTGTCTGAGTGGTGTATTCATGTTAAACTGCGGCATGGTATCTCAGTGGGCTAGCACCATAAATCAGCACTAGTCCAGACTAGTAAGAGCGGAGACACACACACGCATGTGTAAGCAAGGATTATATCCTACCTAAATATTATCCCGGGGGATGTTTTACTCATGAGTATAGTATCCTACCTTAGTGCCACACTGGTATGGATTAAAATTCACTAGGGAGAATCATCCTGACACTAGAGAATTTCATCCCCAGGAAAAAAAATAGGGTAGGATAATATTCACTCTTACACATGCACGTCGTTATATAAGTGCAATAATCTTGGACGTGACGTTAAACCTCATTTCACCATCACCTTATACTACTACAACATTATGGAATCCTGATGACAATACAAAAACATCCTCCTCAGCCAGCACTGGAAGGAATAGAGATTAGTAACTACAGTTGAGCACCATTGCTTTCAGAGGAAAGCCTTTTTGATGATGGGACAATGCCTTGCAGATACAACAGCACATTAGACTCAACCCACCCACTTCTGTGTTGCCCACAATTAGCCTGGCTTGGGGGTGGGTAGCCTTGAGGTCAAGGAGGGTGGACAAGTCGACTGGCCGATACCATGTCACTGTGGCTGACCTGAACACCATATACTGGCCATGGTACCGGTCATGCTGTGTCTGGAAAAAAAACCAGGCATTCGTAGTTCATGCACACTAGTAATATCCCATTGTTCTTATGCCATATGTTAATAAATAGTTTAGACAAAATGTCATAGTCAACATTTCATATACAAAATATCAAATTTCTAGACACATCACATTTGTTCAAAGTTCACTTACCATGTCAATAGTATATAAAAAGGTATCACATGTTAACTGTTTATAAAGCAAACGTGAGATGACAAAAATTATTATGTCATGTCTTTATAAACAAAAGATGACATGTCCGAAGGTCGTACGTCATACACTCACCTGCAGCTCTGGAGGGAAGATGGGCTCCTGTGTGGAGTCGTAGGGAGTAAACTCACTACTGGGGGATGTGTCATTCTCATAAACATCCTGAAACAAAACTCAGTTGTCATCCCAAATACACAATGATCATCTTCCTGAGGCAAGGGAGTTAACTGACTATAAAAGTCCAGTTTGCTGAACTAGGCTGGAATTTCCAGGCTCGATCATAGCGCCACCAGCGGCTATTACTTACATCATATAACTTGCATACCCAAACAAAATGGTGGCGCCCAGTCACAACGATGTCAACGATAATCAAGATCTATACAGTAATAAAATGGGTCTTACCCTGCGAAGTGCATCAAATCACCTGAGCACCTTGATTTAAAACATGAAAAGATTTGGAAAATATCTGTTGATGCCAAGTTGACAGTACACATGCTTTGCAAATCCTCCAGACGACCGAAATCTGCACACTGAAATCCATGTTGTTAACGAACCGGATGTCTAATTTGTTGCACAATTTTTCATTGGGCTATGCATAGACTCGTTAGGTCCAGCAAAAATGTTACTCCGCAATACCAGCCTAGCTCAGCAAGGGTTGAAACTGGACTTTCATAGTCAGTTAACTCCCTTGGGAAGATGCAAAATGATCTGAAAATCAAAATAATTTTGCCGCCATGAAGATTCCCTTAATCTCCCCATCCCTAACTCACTTGATTTGATGCCTCTTCAGTGTTCAATTGGTTCCTACAGCAGTTGTCTCCCCTCTGGCAATACTCCTGCAATACAGGCAAGTTAGAACAGTATTTTATTACTGCCGTGGCATGTCAGCTGAATGTGGAAGGAAAGACCAAAGCTACTACTTTGGTAAAATCCACGAGCATCGGTATGGTGCTGAAACCAAGAATCCCTTCTGGGTGAATATGGGATTCAAATTTATGATTAGCAGATTCTGGCATGACTAAGGGACGCAACTCTACACAACAAATTGTACTGTCCTTCCTGCATTAGCTACAATAATATCCCACCAGAGTTACGATAAAATAATGACAGATTACTGTTACAAATAGACTACTTTTCAACATAATAATTCATATCTTTATTTCCCTTGATAAAAATAGTAGTATTGATATTCAATAGAATCATTGCTAATAAGGAAAATGTTGTTGATAAAGAGTTCGCGTTCTCAGTGAAGACACTGAGGTGAGGTGAGGACGGATGTTTTATTCAAGTCAAGGGCAGGAAGAGCTCGACTTAACTTGCACCAGGTGCATGTTGACATGAAAATGATGTTGCACAAAACAAAACCAGGTTGCACCCTGGTCCTATAAATTTATCAAAGTTGGAGTGAGTGAGTGAGTGAGTATGGTTTCACGCCGCTTTTAGCAATATTCCAGCAATATCACAGCGGGGGACACCAGAAATGGGCTTCACGCATTGTACCCATGTCGGGAATCGAACCCGGGTCTTCGGTGTGATGAGCGAACGCTTTAACCACTAGGCTACCCGACCGGCCCCTATCAAAGTTGGAACATATGCCTTCTGCTGCCAGTGACATGAATTAATCACACATTGCTGTTAAATGTAACAGGAACATGTGCACATAATCGTGAAGTACCCACAGTTGAACGATGTCAAGCCTAAGAAAGTATAATAAATTACACATAATACAGGGATTAATGATGCAGTATGGTAAATAAACCCTAGAGGTATTGAGTGTGTTCACAGATCATTGTTGTGTGGACAAGTAAGCTTTAGCCAGACACAAATTTGAAAGTTTTTGACATACACTTGGTGCATGTAGACAGTAGGGCTGGGACGAGTCAAATTTACTACCCGGGTACCCATCCCCCTATTACCCGACTCTACCCGGTACCAGCTTTAGGTCTCAAGAGAGAGGTACAAAATGTTTGATTTGGAAACGTGTGACCGTACTCCTGTCAAAAAATTGATAAATTTAGATACACATATCCGACCTGGTCATGAACACACTGAAGTTGACTGAAGTTATATCCTTATGCAAAAATACAAAGCCCAGAAGGAATGTGTGTATAGTCAGAAAGAAAGTTGTCACTTATAGGGTAACCTTAGAGTTCTAAATAATTTTTGCCATTAAACAATATAATCATGTGACTAACCACAGGTCCTGTGGGTACACCGGTCCTACTCAGTACCCACCCGACCCGAGTACCCGAGTTACCTGTCCCAGCCCTAGAAGACAGAATATTAGGATGCATTTTTCAACAATGGGTTGCACTGGTACATGTTTTTCAAAGCTAAATCGAGCCCTGGCAGGGTCACCCACTAATTAACTGATCCAATGAGCTGACCGCCAGCTACCTTTGAGAAAGTCTTCATACCATCCAAGATGGGCCTGTAGCCAGTGCACCTGCATAGGTTCCCTGTAAGCAAGAGGTACACTAGTATCACAAGCACTGTACAAAGCCAATATCTAACTTTCATCTGTTAATGATACTGTCAGTGTAAAATAATAGGTATACCCCTATAATTTTCCCACAATTTCGTTTTAGCAAACAAGCACTGTCTCCTTCACGACATCTGCCAAGGGGCATGAGACGTTGCAGCTATCTCAACTCAACAGTTTGAGAAGTTGTTATTGCCAATTACATCACTTCTGATGTTCATTTTGTGATGTATTTTATACCTATGGAGGTTTCAATTCAAACTACAAAGTTTTTTTATGGGACACCTGCATTTTATCAACATATTAGTGCTATTTGGCATGTTTGGTTAAATGACAGGTCAATGGTACCCCAAAACCTATGTATAGTTATAGCCCATCAATATACAGAAGGTGTTATTAAAGGTTTGCAACACCTGAATTTAATGGCATGTTAATTAATGGAGGTTTAATGACACCTTCCTATACCATTAAAGCTGATGCTGATACAACCAGGTCTGGATTACACATTTTATTGCCTCAATAATGAATGTAATCTATCACATTTGTAAATCTGATCACAATATGATAACAGAAAAATGTCTAACCAGAACAAATTCAGTTCACTTAAAGGTTAGATCCTAACTGTGTGCTACTTGGAGGATGACATCTTCCCGAGGCAAGAGTGTTAACTGACAATAAAAGTTCAGTTTTCACCCTTGCTAAACTAGGCTGAAATTATAGGATTATATTTTGACTGGACTAACTAGTCTTCGAAAGTCCCATCAAAATCTTGTACCAAATCGACATCCGGTTCTTAAACAACATAATTTTTTACGTGCAGATTTTGGTCGACTGCAGAATTTGTAAAGCATCTGTACCATGTTTTTAAACAAGTTGTTCAATTGACTTGATGCACCTAGTTTTATTACAATACAGATCTTAATTATCGATCATACAGTCTTGACTGGGCACCGCCATTTTGTTTGAAGCAAATGCAATTGATATGATAGATGGAATCTGATTGGTCAGTAGGAGGGACATAGAAAGGACATAACACATAGTAGCTACTGGTGGCGCTAAGATCGAGCCTGGAAATTACAGCCTGGTTTGACAAGGGTGGAAACTAGACTTTTATAGTCAGTTAACGCCCTTGCCTCGGGAAGATGAAAGCATGGGAGAGTGACTGACTGACTGCCTACCATCAAATACACGTTCAATGTCCCCCAGCGGTGGCTTGGGGGTATTCCTCAGCAGTGTGTACATCGACATCACCATCCCTGGAGTACAGAAGCCACACTGTGTGCCATGGTTCTTCACAAGCCGCTCCTGCAGTGGGAAGTCACCATTAGCTGGAGGCACTCATAAAATCACTAAAAAAAACATACCATTGTATTAAAATACATACCCTGGGCCCATTTGCTACCATAGCTTCATCTTGAGTGAGATTCAAATGGTACTATGCTGAGAACATCTTCCAATCATATTAGGCCAGACCAAACTCCTAAAATTACTTTCACCTGTTGATAAACATGTCTCCAAGCTATCCTGCCATCACATACTTATTTTCCCAAAACGAAATGTCAAAATTTGTTGACCTTCATTAGTACATTACATTATAAGACCAAAGTTCTTTCTCAGAATATTTGCTAACCCAATGGGTCTTGACTCAAAAAGTATGAAAATAAATTCAATATCATTTTTTTCATTACTTTGGGGGGGGGGGGGGGGATTTGTTTTTTGGTTTGGTATTTGTTTTGGGGGGATGGGGTGTTGCAACATTTGTTGGTCAGGAAAATGTGCAGGTTGTTAAGTATATTATCATGATTAAAGTTACATCCCTGAACAGACACAACCCAACCCCATCCACAAAGGTGAAAACACCTGACTACCTGGACAAGCCATCAGTACAGACACAACCCACCTGTATAGGGTGCAGTCCCCTAGTGGTGCTCCCCAACCCATCCACAGAGGTGAAAACACCTGACTACCTGGACAAGCCATCAGTACAGACACAACCCACCTGTATAGGGTGCAGTCCCCTAGTGGTGCTCCCCACCCCATCCACAGAGGTGAAAACACCTGACTACCTGGACAAGCCATCAGTACAGACACAACCCACCTGTATAGGGTGCAGTCCCCTTGAGGTGCTATCCACCCTCCACCCCTAACAGAGGTGAAAACACCTGGCTACCTGGACAAGCCATCAGTACAGACACAACCCACCTGTATAGGGTGCAGTCCCCTAGTGGTACTCCCCACCCTCCACCCGCAACAGAGGTGAAAACACCTGACTACCTGGACAAGCCATCAGTACAGACACAACCCACCTGTATAGGGTGCAGACCCCTGGTGGTGCTCCCCAACCCATCCACAGAGGTGAAAACACCTGACTACCTGGACAAGCCATCAATACAGACACAACCCACCTGTATAGGGTGCAGTCCCCTAGTGGTACTCCCCACCCTCCACCCGCAACAGAGGTTAAAACACCTGACTACCTGGACAAGCCATCAGTACAGACACAACCTAACTGTATAGGGTGCAGTCCCCTAGTCGTGCTCCCCACCCTCACCCCCTCCACAGAGGTGAAAACACCTGACTACCTGGACAAGCCATCAGTACAGACACAACCCACCTGTATAGGGTGCAGTCCCCTAGTGGTGCTCCCCAACCCATCCACAGAGGTGAAAACACCTGACTACCTGGACAAGCCATCAGTACAGACACAACCCACCTGTATAGGGTGCAGTCCCCTGGTGGTACTCCCCACCCTCCACAGAGGTGAAAACTCCTGACTGCCTGGACAAGCCATCAGTACAGACACAACCCACCTGTATAGGGTGCAGTCCCCTAGTGGTGCTCCCCACCCATCCACAGAGATGAAAACACCTGACTACCTGGACAAGCCATCAGTACAGACACAACCCACCTGTATAGGGTGCAGTCCCCTGGTGGTGCTCCCCAACCCATCCACAGAGGTGAAAACACCTGACTACCTGGACAAGCCATCAGTACAGACACAACCCACCTGTATAGGGTGCAGTCCCCTAGTGGTACTCCCCACCCTCCACCCGCAACAGAGGTTAAAACACCTGACTACCTGGACAAGCCATCAGTACAGACACAACCTACCTGTATAGGGTGCAGTCCCCTAGTCGTGCTCCCCACCCTCACCCCCTCCACAGAGGTGAAAACACCTGACTACCTGGACAAGCCATCAGTACAGACACAACCCACCTGTATAGGGTGCAGTCCCCTAGTGGTACTCCCCACCCTCCACCCGCAACAGAGGTTAAAACACCTGACTACCTGGACAAGCCATCAGTACAGACACAACCTACCTGTATAGGGTGCAGTCCCCTAGTCGTGCTCCCCACCCTCACCCCCTCCACAGAGGTGAAAACACCTGACTACCTGGACAAGCCATCAGTACAGACACAACCCACCTGTATAGGGTGCAGTCCCATAGTGGTGCTCCCCAACCCATCCACAGAGGTGAAAACACCTGACTACCTGGACAAGCCATCAGTACAGACACAACCCACCTGTATAGGGTGCAGTCCCCTGGTGGTGCTCCCCACCCTCACCCCCTCCACAGAGGTGAAAACACCTGTCTACCTGGACAAGCCATCAGTACAGACACAACCCACCTGTATAGGGTGCAGTCCCCTGGTGGTGCTCCCAACCCCCTCCACAGAGGTGAAAACACCTGACTACCTGGACAAGCCATCAGTACAGACACAACCCACCTGTATAGGGTGCAGTCCCCTGGTGGTGCTCCCAACCCCCTCCACAGAGGTGAAAACACCTGACTGCCTGGACAAGCCATCAGTACAGACACAACCCACCTGTATAGGGTGCAGTCCCCTGGTGGTGCTCCCAACCCCCTCCACAGAGGTGAAAACTCCTGACTGCCTGGACAAGCCATCAGTACAGACACAACCCACCTGTATAGGGTGCAGTCCCCTGGTGGTGCTCCCAACCCCCTCCACAGAGGTGAAAACACCTGACTGCCTGGACAAGCCACCTGTATAGGGTGCAGTCCCCTAGTGGTGCTCCCCACCCATCCACAGAGGTGAAAACACCTGACTACCTGGACAAGCCATCAGTACAGACACAACCCACCTGTATCGGGTGCAGTCCCCTTGAGGTGCTATCCACCCTCCACCCCTAACAGAGGTGAAAACACCTGGCTACCTGGACAAGCCATCAGTACAGACACAACCCACCTGTATAGGGTGCAGTCCCCTAGTGGTACTCCCCACCCTCCACCCGCAACAGAGGTTAAAACACCTGACTACCTGGACAAGCCATCAGTACAGACACAACCCACCTGTATAGGGTGCAGTCCCCTGGTGGTGCTCCCCAACCCATCCACAGAGGTGAAAACACCTGACTACCTGGACAAGCCATCAGTACAGACACAACCCACCTGTATAGGGTGCAGTCCCCTAGTGGTACTCCCCACCCTCCACCCGCAACAGAGGTTAAAACACCTGACTACCTGGACAAGCCATCAGTACAGACACAACCTACCTGTATAGGGTGCAGTCCCCTAGTCGTGCTCCCCACCCTCACCCCCTCCACAGAGGTGAAAACACCTGACTACCTGGACAAGCCATCAGTACAGACACAACCCACCTGTATAGGGTGCAGTCCCCTAGTGGTGCTCCCCAACCCATCCACAGAGGTGAAAACACCTGACTACCTGGACAAGCCATCAGTACAGACACAACCCACCTGTATAGGGTGCAGTCCCCTGGTGGTGCTCCCCACCCTCACCCCCTCCACAGAGGTGAAAACACCTGTCTACCTGGACAAGCCATCAGTACAGACACAACCCACCTGTATAGGGTGCAGTCCCCTGGTGGTGCTCCCAACCCCCTCCACAGAGGTGAAAACACCTGACTACCTGGACAAGCCATCAGTACAGACACAACCCACCTGTATAGGGTGCAGTCCCCTGGTGGTGCTCCCAACCCCCTCCACAGAGGTGAAAACACCTGACTGCCTGGACAAGCCATCAGTACAGACACAACCCACCTGTATAGGGTGCAGTCCCCTGGTGGTGCTCCCAACCCCCTCCACAGAGGTGAAAACACCTGACTGCCTGGACAAGCCATCAGTACAGACACAACCCACCTGTATGGGGTGCAGTCCCCTGGTGGTGCTCCCAACCCCCTCCACAGAGGTGAAAACACCTGACTACCTGGACAAGCCATCAGTACAGACACTACCCACCTGTATGGGGTGCAGTCCCCTAGTGGTACTCCCCACCCTCCACCCGCAACAGAGGTTAAAACACCTGACTACCTGGACAAGCCATCAGTACAGACACAACCCACCTGTATAGGGTGCAGTCCCCTGGTGGTGCTCCCCAACCCATCCACAGAGGTGAAAACACCTGACTACCTGGACAAGCCATCAGTACAGACACAACCCACCTGTATAGGGTGCAGTCCCCTAGTGGTACTCCCCACCCTCCACCCGCAACAGAGGTTAAAACACCTGACTACCTGGACAAGCCATCAGTACAGACACAACCTACCTGTATAGGGTGCAGTCCCCTAGTCGTGCTCCCCACCCTCACCCCCTCCACAGAGGTGAAAACACCTGACTACCTGGACAAGCCATCAGTACAGACACAACCCACCTGTATAGGGTGCAGTCCCCTAGTGGTGCTCCCCAACCCATCCACAGAGGTGAAAACACCTGACTACCTGGACAAGCCATCAGTACAGACACAACCCACCTGTATAGGGTGCAGTCCCCTGGTGGTGCTCCCCACCCTCACCCCCTCCACAGAGGTGAAAACACCTGTCTACCTGGACAAGCCATCAGTACAGACACAACCCACCTGTATAGGGTGCAGTCCCCTGGTGGTGCTCCCAACCCCCTCCACAGAGGTGAAAACACCTGACTACCTGGACAAGCCATCAGTACAGACACAACCCACCTGTATAGGGTGCAGTCCCCTGGTGGTGCTCCCAACCCCCTCCACAGAGGTGAAAACACCTGACTGCCTGGACAAGCCACCTGTATAGGGTGCAGTCCCCTAGTGGTGCTCCCCACCCATCCACAGAGGTGAAAACACCTGACTACCTGGACAAGCCATCAGTACAGACACAACCCACCTGTATCGGGTGCAGTCCCCTTGAGGTGCTATCCACCCTCCACCCCTAACAGAGGTGAAAACACCTGGCTACCTGGACAAGCCATCAGTACAGACACAACCCACCTGTATAGGGTGCAGTCCCCTAGTGGTACTCCCCACCCTCCACCCGCAACAGAGGTTAAAACACCTGACTACCTGGACAAGCCATCAGTACAGACACAACCCACCTGTATAGGGTGCAGTCCCCTGGTGGTGCTCCCCAACCCATCCACAGAGGTGAAAACACCTGACTACCTGGACAAGCCATCAGTACAGACACAACCCACCTGTATAGGGTGCAGTCCCCTAGTGGTACTCCCCACCCTCCACCCGCAACAGAGGTTAAAACACCTGACTACCTGGACAAGCCATCAGTACAGACACAACCTACCTGTATAGGGTGCAGTCCCCTAGTCGTGCTCCCCACCCTCACCCCCTCCACAGAGGTGAAAACACCTGACTACCTGGACAAGCCATCAGTACAGACACAACCCACCTGTATAGGGTGCAGTCCCCTAGTGGTGCTCCCCAACCCATCCACAGAGGTGAAAACACCTGACTACCTGGACAAGCCATCAGTACAGACACAACCCACCTGTATAGGGTGCAGTCCCCTGGTGGTGCTCCCCACCCTCACCCCCTCCACAGAGGTGAAAACACCTGTCTACCTGGACAAGCCATCAGTACAGACACAACCCACCTGTATAGGGTGCAGTCCCCTGGTGGTGCTCCCAACCCCCTCCACAGAGGTGAAAACACCTGACTACCTGGACAAGCCATCAGTACAGACACAACCCACCTGTATAGGGTGCAGTCCCCTGGTGGTGCTCCCAACCCCCTCCACAGAGGTGAAAACACCTGACTGCCTGGACAAGCCATCAGTACAGACACAACCCACCTGTATAGGGTGCAGTCCCCTGGTGGTGCTCCCAACCCCCTCCACAGAGGTGAAAACACCTGACTGCCTGGACAAGCCATCAGTACAGACACAACCCACCTGTATGGGGTGCAGTCCCCTGGTGGTGCTCCCAACCCCCTCCACAGAGGTGAAAACACCTGACTACCTGGACAAGCCATCAGTACAGACACTACCCACCTGTATGGGGTGCAGTCCCCTAGTGGTACTCCCCACCCTCCACCCGCAACAGAGGTTAAAACACCTGACTACCTGGACAAGCCATCAGTACAGACACAACCCACCTGTATGGGGTGCAGTCCCCTAGTGGTGCTACCCACCCTCCACCCTCCACAGAGGTGAAAACACCTGACTACCTGGACAAGCCATCAGTACAGACACAACCCACCTGTATAGGGTGCAGTCCCCTTGTGGTGCTCCCCACCCCCTCCACCGTGGTGACAGCCAGGCCGTGGACAGAACACACAGGGGTCAGACAAGCATTCACAGCATAGTGGATGGAGGGCTAAGGACAACTACAATGTTCACATCTGTTACTGGAAATTCCATTGCATTATGTGTTAGCATTACATTTTTTTTTAAATTTGGAAAAAATATATTTATTTCTGTACTCTACTGCAGGTAGAATAAACCATGAGGGGCACTTCGTTCTTCATTGTTCTTTCCGATTGATATCTTCCGGGGTATCTTATATTTTCTGATAAAACATATCTTTATATATTTTGGTTTATGAAATGACAAACTCATATTGAAGTACAGACCATGAAATTGATTATGCAATAACATGTGTTGTAACTGTTCCTGGCAATAGTTTTTTGACTACCTTCTCAATTTCTTACTCTGTTTCTTCACCCAGTCCTTGCAACAATATGGAACACACAGGTGATGGTGAAATGGGTTATAATATTGCGTCAAAGATTTTTTTATTTTTGTGTGTGTGTGTGTGTGTGTGTCAGTTTGTACTAGTCCGGACCAGTCAGACACAGTATACTGACTCTGAGCTGACCAGTTCTTGTTATAGCCCCTTAATGATGAGTACCAGGCAGGGTAACAACAAGTACCATCTTTTAACATCTATTGGTATGATGGGCCTGGGATGGAACCCTGACCTTCCACTCTCCAGGCAGATGCCCTACCACTAGACCATGGAGGCAGTGGAGGAACATACAGAGTTCTCATACCAACATTGTATCAGGTATCAGTGTATATTAGACAGTTTCAATCTCATTAAAGTCAAATCTTAGTTCTCGCTATCGCTAAACAAAGATCTGAGGACATCCCATTACTGGTCACGTCAGAACGACCTTTCATCCGACCAAACAAAGCGTCGCTTACCAGATCATCAAAGTGACAGTCGGAATGTGTTTTCTACTCATGCAACTTCGAAAACGTCAACACAGGGTATTCTGAACGACAGTTAAGGCCCGTACGACTGATTCCTTCAAAATTACCGTCTATGTCTCGCTTCCATGGGATAAACATTTGAACGGAGGAGGTGTTGCACAGTACGTGGGAAGCAGTGCCATACAACCTCAACCATATATGACATGTTCCTTTGTTCAGTTTTCAAAATTTTAATCAAAAACTGTGTCAACTTATTTTTCTAGCGTGGTCTGAAATGGAAGTCGCCAGATTGAAACGAGTGCCGCAAAGCACGAGAAAGCTGCTTTCTAATTGGCTGATGTCGACTTCTTGTTAGTTATTCAGCGGTCGGTCAAAGTTCTCGAAAGGTCGTTCTGACGTGACCCGTAATGGGACCCGTCCTCAGATCTTTGTTTAGCGGCAGCGAGAACTTAGATCTGATTTTAATGAGATTGAGACAGTTTGCAATAAATGAATATAAAGGAGTGGTGCTGAACCTTTTTCCAGGTGCATATTTTCTACCTGGATGTTTACTACGGACTGTTCAAGATGCTGTTGTGTCACTCTGTAGTAAAGGATACTGGATGCTGTCTGCAGCGACGTTGTAGCGAGACAACATGATGGTACAGGCACCGCATCCACCCTCACCACACCCATACTTGCTACCTGTCAGGTGTACTGCATTCGTTAAGGTAAACAACTGGAAAATTATACATCATCTCATCATTCACATAGTCATCCTGACCCGTGAAGATTCCGGGGTAGAATAGGTCTTCAGTAACCCATGCTTGCCATAAAAGGTGACTATGCTTGTCGTAAGAGGCGACTATAATGGGATCGGGTGGTCAGGCTCGCTGACTCGGTAGATGCATGTCATCGATCTCAATTGCGTGGCTCGATGCTCATGATATCAATCATTGGATTGTCTGGTCCTGACTCAATTATTTACAGACCGCCGTCATATAGCTGGCATATTGCTGAGTGCGGCGTTAAACAACAAAACAACAACAACAACAACATAGTCATCCTAACTGTTGGGAATACTTTATTTGGGTAGTATTTCAGAGTATCACAGCATGCCAACTTCAATTAGAAGAAAATCTACAACTATGGTGAAACCCACAAACTCTGAATGTACAGCTTGATGCAGGAGAGTAAGTGAGTGAGTATGGTATTACACCACTTTGGGCAATATTCCAGCAATATCACGGCCCATTATCACACTTGAAAATGGGGTCCAAACATAGTACCCACGTGGGGAATTGAACCTGGGCCTACGACGGGACGAGCTGAAGCTTTAACCACTTGGCTACCCATCGCCAGTGATGCAGGAGAAAGGGATGTAGGTCACTGACATCTATCCCTTTGGTGAAATCCACTTTGGTGAAACCAATAAGCACTGTATGGTGCTGTCGTACCAAGGTTCAAATCCAGGGAAAGTTACAGTAAATACTACTTAGGTTTCAAACATTTAACATTCTGACATTTTTTTTTGAGACAAACAAATGCTTTTAACCACGCAAAAAAGTTATTTAAAAAAGTGTTATCTTCTGTTGTTAAAATTGAAGACAAATTATCCTTAATGGTATCTTCTGGAGCAATTTTTTTTTAAATAAACCCAGTCACCAGCTGTGCCGAATATCCAAGGTTAGCCCTTCAAAATACTTTTATACAAAAACATTTAGTTTCTGTGTATTTATTAAGGGTAAATGTTTCACTGGACTTACTAAAATGTGCAGTGTTCAACATAGTGGGTTTTTTTCATTTGAACTGCAGCTGTTTGTGTTAGTGCTTTCCTGGTGTATAAGCAGTTATTCCCTGCCAACACTCCACTGTGTAACAATGTCACTGATCTACACAGACACAAGGATACATTTCTTCCTCAGATAGTGCAACAATGTCTCTTCTGGGTCAGCATTCTGCTCTGTCACCTGCAGAGAAAAAATAGAAAATTAAATGAAAACCACAATATCATTAGGAACAGAAGTTAGGCCAGGATTTTTTTTATCATTAGAATTATGGATTTTTCAGCCCAAAGTCTAGGGTTGGAGGAGAAAAAAAAGCCAGATGCATTTTTTTAATGCAGAATGCATCTGGCATACTTTATGAACATATTCTGTGCTCAAAAGACCACCATTTGTGACGATAAAGCCCCTTGTAACAATAAAAATTCTATCACTTACAACATGGACAATTGTCAAGGGAAGCTATTCATGTTCATCTTCGAGATCCACGAAAAATATAAAACGCCAGGCCTTATGGATGTCAACTTCTTTATTATGAGGAACACAATGTTTCAGTGTATAACTTACTTCTTCATTAACCCGATGAAGGAGTAAGTATAAACTCCAACAGGTTGTGTTCCTCATTATATAGAAGTTGACATCCATACATTCTCTTCCTTATGTGTTTTACTTTTAAATGCCTTTCAAAGACTTCACAATATCAGGGTTTTTTTTCTGTAATACTGTTTGCACTAAGCAGGTTATTTCAACAGACATTCCCTTGCGACACTTGCAATACACAATGAATATAATGAGCCATTAAAATCATGAACAGAGATAGACCTTTGCACTGAAAAGACACAACGAAAGAATATACCTCAGAGTACAGATATATGCCATTAAACCATTAAAGAATACTTTGTTGGGATCATTGTGGCACATGTAAATAAATCAATTGCTGTCACTTATCTATCACCAGTTGCTGAGGTATGTTTTCAACTGTGTTACTTGTTGTGTTGAAACCTGTCTAAACTAAAATTATACAACTACCAAATGCAAATAATGTGCATTCATCTAGCATGATTTGTGTAAGGTACTCCCCTTTGCGAATAAGATGCATCCATGCTTATATACAGCAATCCTTCCTTATTAAGGGCATAACAACATGTCACATCCTGCCTTTAGCATTCCCGTGACATTTTTCTAACGACCTCCTACTCCAGGCTGCATAATTAACCCAATATCTTAACACTGAGTGAATGTCATCATCAGAGACTTGCTCTCCTATATCAAACAGAATTTTGGAGAAAATGGACCCAAATATTGGAGAAAGAAAACTAGCACAAATCTGTAGTGATTTAGTTTATTTATTGTTTAAACCTTTAGTTTACTTATTGATGGGACATTTGGGAATGTCACATGTTTTTTATTTACAACTCTTCCTAACGTAGTGGTCCACTCTCCCTAACGTAGCGGTCCACTCTTCCTAACATAGTGGTCCACCCTTCCTAACATAGTGGTCCACTCTTCCTAACATAGTGGTCCACTCTTCCTAACATAGTGGTCCACTCTCCCTAATGTAGTGGTCCACTCTTCCTAACATAGTGGTCCACTCTTCCTAACATAGTGGTCCGCTCTTCCTAACGTAGTGGTCCACTCTTCCTAACATAGTGGTCCACTCCTTCTAACATAGTGGTCCACTCTTCCTAACGTAGTGGTCCATGGATGACACTGCACCACACATCTCCAGTTCTCCTAATTTTTTGTTATTGTAAATCCCAAGCAAAATAACAATTAACAATATCAAAGGGGTGACAAGAGTCTCATGTAGCAATTGTATCAACTAAGATTTATTTGGGGCCAAGTATGGGGTCATTTTCTTCAACGTTTATGGCCATTTTCCCTAAAATTTTGAGCAAGCTTATCCAAGTTGTCTAGGGCCATTTTATAACATTGTCAACGTCTTTATTATGAGGAACACAACGTTAGGGAGTAAATGCTTGATGAAGGAGTAACCGTTCACTACAGTGCAAATGTAATGGATGCTGTAACAAAACCCACAAACACACAAACACCTGGGACAACAACATGTATGTCACATACACAGCCATACACATACACAAATGTTTATCAGCTGTTTATGAAGGAATCAGAACATGAAAATGCACATGCTTGTTGTTGAATCTAACCTTTCTGCCGTTGACAAAAAACACTAATTCGTGCGGTCGTTCCTCCGCTTGACACGTCGTCGCCATTGCCACTCCAGATTACCCCAGCAATTGTACCCAGTGTTTGGATCGGTGCAAGTTCGTTCAGACGTAGACACCCCTTGCCTGTTCACTCATTGCCGTCAGCACAATACCTTTCTAGCGTTGTAATAGATTGCAGCAACATTCATTGATCATGTCGGCTTCGTCTCGAGAAATAAACAAATGGCTTCGGCATGTCGTGAGGTTGAAGCATATCCTGTGTTTACGTTTTATCTAGCCTTGCTACGGGCTCTTAAATTAAAGGCAAGGTTGACCGACATAACGAACTAGGTTGGGGCGGTCAAGATCGACTTTTGTGTGGAAGCTCGTTCTGATATTTCTAAAGGAAATTATAATTTCTTTCACAGATTTTGTTACATTAATCAGATCATGGACGCTAAATAAGACGGCGTCAATGATCAGAGTGAGTAGACCTTTACGCGCTCGATCTATTGGATGAATCTACATGTATTATAAATACGTTTTCATTCCTACGCGAGTATGACTTTTGACACGTATTTTAAGCTGGACTTATTGCATTATTTATAACGATTTGTAAATATATATAACACTTTGTTGTCGCTAACAATGCATGGAGTTAGTGAGTGAGTTGGGTTATTCCAGTTATATCACGGCGTGTCAGCTATGGGAGGAAACCCCGAAATTTCAGACGGTTACCACAAGAATATGATCGGGGCGAGGTGGTGAGGTGAAATGGGGTTTAACGTCACGTCCAAGATGATTGCACTTATATAGCGACGTGCATGCACGTGTGTGTGTGGCTGCTTGTACTAGTCTGAACTGATGCCGATTTATAGTGCTAGCACACTGAGATACCATGCGGCAGTTTAACATGGATACCCAACTCAGACACAGTATACTGACTCCGAGCCGACCAGTCCTTGTTTTAGCCCCTTAATGCCAGACAGGGTAACAACAAGTACCATCTTTTAACGTCTTTTGGTATGACGCGACCGGGGATCGAACACCGGACCTTCCGCTCTCCGGGCGGACACTCTACCACTAGACCACGGAGGCGGTCTTGATCGGGGCGATCCGGGATAAACACCCACAGTCACAGGTAACATTGCACGGAGTTTATATTAAGATTTTTTTATATCAATTTGTATGTGACACATGTTTACCAGGTTGAGAACACATTCCAGTCTTATCGGACAAAACATTTGTTGTTACGCCCGTGGTTGCTTCCTTCTTCCTTTTTTTTGTTGTTTTACGTCGCGCTCAGCAATATGACGGCGGTCTGTAAATAATCGAGCTCTGGACCAGACAATCAAGTGAACGACATGAGCATCGACCCAAGCAATTGGGATACGATGACAAGCATCAACCAAGTCAGCGAGCCTGACCACCCGATCCCGTTAGTCGCCTCTTACGACAAGCAAAGTCGCCTCTTGGACAAGCATGGGTTGCTGAAGACCGATTCCCCCGGATCTTCACGAGTCCCATGGCTGCTAATTGTCGACTTATTGCCGGACAATGAATGACAGGCTGGACACAGTTCAATTTATTTCCTTTCCGTGAAGATCTTCAGCAACCCACGCTTGTCGTAATGGGCGACTAACTACGACGTCATATCAGGATCGGCGACATGGTAGATGCATGTCCTCGAATCCCAATTGCGTGGATCGACGCTCACGATGTCAAGCATAGTCGCGCCAACATTAGAGAGCTACTGAGAGGTTTTCTAACACAATTGAGTTATAGAGGTTGCACTTTCATATACCTGAAAAGGTTTTTACGTGCCAGGACATAGAAACAAGCTACACTGTATCATTATTGTTTGTTTTCCATTCACACACGCCTCTGTGGTCTAGTTGCAGAGCGCCTGCCCGGAGAAGATCCGGGGTTAGGTCCCAGGCCGCGTCATACCAAAAGACGTTAAAATATGGTTCTTGTTGTTACCCTGTCTGGCGCTCGGCATTAAGGGGCTAAAACAAGGACTGGTCGGCTCGGAGTCAGTATACTGTGTCTGAGTGGGGTATTCATGTTACACTGCGGCATGGTATCTCAGTGGGCTAGCACTATAAAATCAGCATTAGACCGGACTCGTACAAGCAGCTACACACACACGGGCATGCACGTCGCTATATGAGTGCAATAATTGTGGACGCGACGTTAAACCCCATTCACCTCACCTCACCTCACCTCACCTCACCTCACCTCACCTCACCTCACCTCACACATGTACACATATCCCGTCGGGATTCCCAAACACAATAGGTCTCAGGCAAACTATACTTTTGTCTGAATCTAAGGGATAGTCTACCGATGCTCGTGGGACACTCACTATTACCAGCTAGACTATAATCGAGTCTTGAAAGTGATTGATATTTTTATCAACGCCCCACGACGTACGGGTATGATGACACGCATAAGTTGCGTGAGGCTAGTTCAAACCTGAAAACATCCTAGGTTCCAGTCTAGACGGCTAATAGGATACACGCCCATATTATTTCAGCGATGTCGTCTTAATAGTCACTAAAGCGCACGTAAAATTATCATGAATTGTCTTGCATGATGTGTCAGGACAAAAATGTTTCGCTCTCTCTCATTATTGAAGAACAATGACTTGGAAATGGTGGAATTCAAGGCGACACTTAAAATATATTTTCTTTATTTTTAAAAGATAGACTATATATGCAAAACATCTTACATGGTGCAGGTTTTAAGACTTGTACCGGGCGGTCGGGTAGCCTAATGGTTAAAGCGTTCGCTCGTCACGCCGAAGACCCGGGTTCGATTACCGACATGGGTATAATGTGTGAAGCCCATTTCTTGTGTCCCCCGCCGTGATATTGCTGGAATATTGCTAAAAGCGGCGTAAAACCACACTCACTCACTCACTAAGACGTGTACCATGACTATCTAGACTTGCCAAGTCATTCTAGACTTAAGTTGTATTTATTTTCTAATTTATTCTCTAGGATCTGAGAAACAAACTTGATCCACCCGTTTACAAGGGAACCATGACGTTTCCCCTCTTACTTCTCTCTGTCATTTGTTTGAGGTTGTGCAATCACTCGGATAAAGAGAACAGGCAAACGAAAACCCTGCAGTTTTATATCCCTTGTGTTCTTGTTTCACGTATACAGATCGCCGGCCATGTTGAAAATCGGATTCGAACCTTTTGAACAAGTTTGTGTGTCATCATTGGTTGGAACAAGCATGTGAAACAACAGCTTCAGGTTATGACGGACGTCAGACAAACACGCGCAACGTTTTTCAAAGTCCAATTGTTTTCCTGTGTCTTGCGGAATGTACCAGGGCTATCACATGTAAAATCCATTTATCATCCGACGATAGCCAGTGTTCATGCTGAAGTAATGTAGGTAGGCGGTAGGTTCGCCCAGGTTCGATTCTACAGAAGAGTATATTTTTTAAGAGTACACATTCTTATCCCCACCGCCACCCCCTACCCCCACACACTCCATGATAAGGGGTAAAACTAATACATGTGAATGTTACCGATTCTTTTTGGTAAAACTCATCCCAAACTAATTAATTATGTGGAATTATAAGGTGAAAATAAAGATTTTTTGTTTGTTGTTTGACGTCGCACTCGGCAATATTCCAGCTTGATGCCAGCCGTCTGTAAATAACTGAGTGGTCCACACAATCCAGTGATTGACATCATGAGCATCGATCCACGCAAGTGGGATACGATGAAATGCATCTACCAAGTTAGCGAGCCTGACCACCCGATCCCGTTAGTCGCCTCTTACGACAAGCAAAGTCACCTCTTGGACAAGTATGGGTTGCTGAAGACCAGTTCTAACCCGCATCTTCACGGGAGGCATACTTTCTACCTGGATGTTTACTACGAACTATTCAAGTCGGTCTCAGTCGCAGGTCTCAGACGTTTATCACTTCGGTGAAACCCACGAGCAGGGGTATGATAGAAGTGTCACTCTGTCGTAAAGGATACTGGATGCTGTCTGCAGCTGCGTTGTAACGAGACAGCATGATGGTACAGGCACCGCACCCTCCCCCACCACACCCATACTCGCTACTGTCAGGCGTACTGCGTTCAGCCAAGTCCCCGATCCTGACCACCCGATCCATTTACTCGCCTCTTACGACCTCACGGGGTAAAGATGTGAAACAAAGATACGACATAATACAACGGGTATCATTTCATATTTATTCCAAAAATAGACGTGAAATGTATCATTTGTAAACTAAAAATAAAATAACGTTTGATGATCTTTATATGCAGACTGACATTGCAGTAAAAGGTCTGACCATTCAGTTTTCCATGGAGGTCTGGGAGCTTTTTTAGAGACACTGGTTCAACACAAAAACCAATCACAACATATTTTCCAGACGGTTGGTCGGTCCCTAACGAGACGGAATAAATTCCCAGGCGCCTTACCCAGGAGCGTAGCTCCTTGGTGTCGGAACAAGTACATAGTAATAATAATAATAATAATGATAATAATAATTTAAAAAGCGACAAAAACAATGCCATAATCTTACTAAAATGTATTTTGGACGATTCTGACTATATTATAAGCAGCTATTTATGAATCACTATGAAATAATGATGATACCAGCTGTTCGCGATATAGGTGCACCCATCACAAACACTTGCAAAGGCAAGTCAATAATTTGTGTTCACATGAAAACAACACGGGAACATGTCTACCATAAAACATGTTTAAAGCTTGACTGATGCCTTGAATATCGTAACCAAGATCAAACAAATATTGAGCAAGTCTTCGTGGAAAGAAAATGCTCGATTGTACCTCAAACGTTGTGAAAAATGTTTTTCTGGAATATAAAGGTACAGGAACAGACATTTGAACAGGCATCATTATGGTACTCATAACAGTTTCATGTCAATAGAGGAAGACCAAACCAACATATCTTCCCGAGGCAAGGGAGTTAACTGACTATAAAAGTCCAGTTTCCACCCTTCCCGAACCAGGCTTGAATTTCTTGGCTCGACCGTAGCGCCACAAGTGGCTATAATACGAGTTATGCCCCTTCTATGACCAATCAGATCTCACCACACATATTACTTTCATTTGCTTCAAATAAAATGGTGCCGCCCAGCGAAGACGATCTGATCGATAATCAAGATCTATATATAAAACGGGTCTTACTTCGAATCAAATCACGTGAACACCTTTATCAAAAACATGAAAGTTGCCGGTACACACACTTCAATCCTGCAATCAACCAAAATCCTGACGGCAGTTTACGAACCGGATGTCGATTTCGTTACGCGATTTTGATTGGACCATGGATAGACTCGTTAGTCCAGCCAAACTATAACTCCATAATTCCAGCCTGGTTCGGCAAGGGTGGAAACTGAACATTTATGGCGAGTTAACTTCCTTGCTTTAGAAAGATGAACCCCGAAGAGCTAGACATACAATAGGCTTAGTTATAATAACATGTACCATAACACAATAGTCCATCTACGTACCACTATCTCGCGATTGTGATTTTAAAATATAATATTTAATGTTGGAAACATTATGAACGAAACAGAAGCAAGGAGTAGACAACTAACAAGATTAACATGCAGTAGTAACGGTATTCCATTTTTACAATTTGTTTGGTATATTGATGAACCGATTGTTACGTCACATTCAGCGTTAAGTACAGGCTAGGAGGACAGAGGTAGATTGAAAACACGAATTTCTATTTAATGAAGTCAGACATAGCCGTGGCATAAGCAGATAGCAACATTTCAAATATAGAGTTATAACATATACATACATACATAGATGTACATCCGTTCTTTAAGTACATGCCGTGTTAAGGTAACATGTTACTGGAAGACTGTGGGAAATATCAAGTAAAGATTGTAAAGATTGTAACATTGTCTTTTTCATGAATAAATACCTGTTCTGTTCTGTAACATTACTTTGGGTCATTACACAAATCGTAGAATGCATGGACTTACTACATGGACTACTTTCATTAACATTGTCTCTAGAGAAATCAGTTCCTGGAACATGCAGCCCATGTTGTACCTGTCGAATATACATACAGTGTGTAAATAAACTCCTAGAGAAGCCCTGGCGTGGCTGGATCTAACAGTGAGTGAGTGGGGTTTTACGCCGCTTTTAGCAATATTCCAGCAATATCACGGCGAGGGACACCAGAAATGGGCTTCACACATTGTACCCATATCGGGAATCGAACCCGGGTCGTCGGCGTGACGAGCGAACGCTTTAACCATTAGGCTACCCGACCGGCCCCTGTATCTAACACAACAAATTGATGTATCATACATTATGCTTCTAAGTTTCTTTCACTCTTCTGTGTATTGATATAATGTCTAAATACTTATAATATATACATACATATGTATTTGTAGTCTCCGAAACCACTGGAGGAAATAAAAGTAATTCATTTATTCTTTATGTACATGCCGTGTTTAGGGAGCATGTTTCTGTTTAGGATAATAAAAACCTAACTCTTTCAGATCGAGATATACACACCAATATGCTTTGTGAGACATAAGGCCGCACCTGCTGAAGTAAATCTAATCTATCTCCAACCTGGTATCATCCCGAAGCGAGAGTGTCCACTAGCGTCCATCAGTATTCTGGCGACAAGCTGGTGATGCCGCACAGCTTTTGAGGCTGTTTTACATTCAAATAGTATCTACACTGACGGTGGACGCTCATTTAAGAGTAAAATATAACTATGTAGAGCTGATATGTAGAGTTGATTTAGGCGGATGGAAGACATGCAAACATGTAAACGCACGCACACACGCACACACGCACGCACGCACGCACACACACACGCACGCGCACACACACACACACACACACACGCACGCACGCACGCACGCGTCTTTTAAGGACTGAAGCATTTTATCTAACGCCGACCTGCTTTTGAACTGCCCCCCTTGCCATACAGCAATGGTGTGTTCTTGAGTAAAAGGAGCAACTAAGCGTGGCAGTTTGCATAACTATGTGTCAAGCTATTAAAGTGATTACGTATTTCATTTGTCATATTACATGAAGACAGCGACATACAGTGAGACATGCTGTATACACACGTACATCTCTTTTACGGTCGTGACTACACAAGTGACACTGACAGAGCATGCAGAATTTCTTCATCCAAAACATTCAAATTGTATATTCTTAGGAGATGTCTGCATAATCTGTTTAAGATATAAAGACATTTTATAATGTTTGGCATCATTTAGAAGGGATTATACCCAAGAGTTTGCTCTAAATTGTCAGTTTGTCTTGACCTTGTAGTGTGTGCCCAGTGTGAGACGGAGCGATCTCATTAAAAACAAATCTTCGTGCTCTCTACCGCTACACCAAAGAATCTTTGTATAGCAGTGGCGAGCGCTAGAAGATGATGTTAATGGGATTGGAGACGGAGACATTGCCTTTGTGTAATTAGCATAATCGGCAAAATGCTAACATTTCAATGCTATATACAGTAAACTACGGTTATAACGAACACGCTTATAACGAACTGACGGATATAACGAACTTACTTTTTGGTCCCGACTACTTGCTGTAGTCATGCTGTATATGTACTTATAACGAACTACGGTTATAACGAACTAAAATTAGTAGTCCCTTTGAGTTCGTTATAACCGTAGTTTACTGTATGTAACAATTGAGTTACCAGGCAAAGAAGTTGATCTTTCAACGTCTTGGACTGCCATATATGCCGGAACGCGTCGTATTCCTCCTTTAACAGTGCTTTGGTCAGTTGGTTAAATCTAACTTTGTCATCAGGTCAAATAATCCCATATACATAAACTCAGGTCAGCATAAGTTATTATGTCTTGAATAGATAAATCGTATTACATATAAACATACCAATGGACATGAATGATCAAGAAGTACGTCTCTATCATTCGTTACGCTGGATGTGACACCCATTCTTTACTGGCTGGAAAAGGTCACATATCTGTTCTGAGTGATACGACCTTTGACCCCAGGTTCCTTCTTGGCCTCAATGGTAACTGTGAATGCGTCGCCGGTGAGGGTGATATTGACGGTGGTGAGACAGGTGTTGCTGGTGACGTAGAGAGGGAGGTCAAGCTCGCTAACTAAGTCCACGTACGTCCCCCTCTCCGCCTTGAACGACTGAAACATGGAGAACAATAGCATTACTTCCATGACGGTTACCGTGGTTTCTCTTGTAAACTCTGGGTAATTTACAAACTCGGTCGAATGAATATGAATATTTCTTTATAAAAAGCCTTAATGTTTATTCAAAATATACACCTGTCCTCGTGGTTTACCCTTAACGTTGGTAATTGATTTCTTTACATTTTGTCAATCAAATGTTTTTGTGTTGTTTAATATACAATCAGGCCATTATATTTTTATTTGTTGTATCACTGATTTCTTAGTCCTAGGCCTGGCACTGGTTAAATTGTTTACTGGAAGCTTCGTATTTTGTCGTATGTTTCTCGCAAGAAAAAGAAAGGCAAAATTCCCGTATCAAGGACAAGTGACATAACTCTAGATTTATTATGCATGAAATTTCGCTACGACTCGTTGACTGAATGATTTGGTGACACATGCATCTTGGTATCAAATTGGGCATCGTATGTTTTGTAGATGTTTTTGAACACTGAATATTCTCCCATCCGATCCCGTTAGTCGCCCCTTACGACAAACATAGTCGCCTTTTACAGCAAGCATGGGTTGCTGAAGACCTATTCTACCCCGGGTCTTCACTTATTCAGTAAGATCAATAAAGAGTGTAAAGTTTGTCCTGTGATCCTGACTATATTACTGACTGTATTTATACAGTTGTTACAAAACAGCACAATTAATTTTCAAAGCAAATAATTTTCAAACTTCACGAACGTCAATCTGACGTTTAAATGTGACGTCATTCTCACAATACACTAACAGCCAACTTGAGATCAATCAGCTCATATTTTTCTATATTTTAAAAAGGCTCGGAGCTTATGGGGGGCACGGGTGGCCCAGTCGTCTAAGGCGCCGCGATTCGCTGTGCAGAGTTGCGTCCCTTGGGCACGCCGGAAACCTATGATTGTGGGTTCGAATCACGGTTCGCCCCGATTATGTTTCTAGGTTTGTCAGCACCATGCCCGTGCTCCTGGGTTTCACCGAAATGGTAAACGTCTTAGACCTGCATGACTTCGGGCTTTCCTCCCACATTAAGCTGACACGCCGCGATATAACTGGAATACTGTTAAAAGCGGCGTTAAACCCAACTCACTCACTCACTCACTCGGAACTTATAGCCTTAACACAGTCGAGACATATAATCCGTCATCTCCTCGTAACGCGTAGGTTGTTCACGTATTCAGTTTTGGAAAACTGACAACTGTTTAACAAGAACACCACACATCACAGCTTGGCCGTACAACACTGTCACTTTACAAGGAATGTACATAGCCCAGTCACCTTCAGGGCGTTGAAGACATCAAACAGCGCCTGGTACGTGACCCATCGCTTGCTGGTCACCACTGGCTTGGACTGTCCGCTCGGAGCGTCAGTCTCAAAGAACAGAAGACCCCATCTGCAGGTGAAAATACATTTTGGTTAGGAAAGAATGTCCGAATCTCTAACGCGTGACGGCTGGATTTAAATTTTGTGAAAGGTTATCAGGCTCCAGCAATGCCGTCACGTTAACGGTTGTTAGTTAAAGAGTATGTTTAACTGCTACTCTCTGTTCAAATAAGTCTTGTTGGAACAAAAGAGAACAAATATTAATACTGTGGAACAGCTTCGTCCAATTGTGAATGAGTGACTTAAAATATAACGTCGCATCGGCATTATTTCAGCCAAACAGTGACCATAAGATAGTGTCTGTGGACATATTTATTTTTTTAATTAACTGAAAACCAATATGAGCGATTTTTATTTTATAATTGTTTTATTTACTTATTTTAATTTAACAGTTTTCATTTTATTTATTCAGTGAGTGAGTGAGTGAATATGGATTTACGTCGCTTTAAGCAATATCATGTCAGGGTACACCAAAAATGAGCTTCACACATTTCGCCCATGTGGGGAAACGAACCCGGACCTGTGGCGTGACGAGCGAACGCTTTAACCACTAGGCTATTCCACCGCCCCTTATTTATTTGGATCCTCTTTTATTTTATTTATTCATTCACTTCTTTTCGTTTTGAGATCACAACCTACTTGCTTGGTAATTCATAATGGCAGCAGGGAGTTAATTACCCTGGAAGGTCGAGGATGAGATCTACACCGATCACCACCTACTTGCTTGGTAAATATATAATGATAGCAGGGAGATTAAACACCCTGGAAGATCGAGGTGGATGTCTACAACGATCACCTTCTTGCTTGGTAGATATATAATGACAGCAAGGAGATTAAACACCCTGGAAGATCGAGGATGGTGTCTACACCGATCACCACCTACTTGCTTGGTAGATATATAATGATAGCAGGGAGATTAAACACCCTGGAAGATCGAGGTGGATGTCTACAACGATCACCGTCTTGCTTGGTAGATATATAATGATAGCAGGGAGATTAAACACCCTGGAAGATCGAGGATGATGTCTACAACGATCACCTACTTGCTTGGTAGATATATAATAACAGCAAGGAGATTAAACATCCTGGAAGGTCGAGGATGAGGTCTACACCGATCACCACGTACTTTCTTGGTAGATTTATAATGACAGGGAGGTTAAACACCCTGGAAGATCGAGGATGTCTACACCGATCACCACCTACTTGCTGGGTAGATGCAGGTTGACGGCCCCGGTTGGGTTCCATGAATACCAGGAGGCTTCTGTGCCGGGTTTCTGTAGGCCAATACAAACACGCAATCGTTATGCACAGTGGGTTATGTCCAAACTGTACAGGCACAAAATATTACAGTATGTAATTTATACAACGTTCGTGTTATAATCCAAGGTGATTCATTAAAGCTGTTTACAGCTTTCGGGTTATGCTGTGTCCCTATATACAGATGCAAATCCGGTTCATCTTTTGTCCTCCTGAATCATGTATTTACTTGTGTCATGCTTCTGAATCGCGCCTATCCCATCCTATACCTCTTCATGAGTGCAATAGTGAGAGAGTTGGGTTTATAGCCGCTTTGTATTCTAGTTATATCACGGGGTGTCAGCTTGTTGTGGGAGGCAAGCCCTAAGTGATGCAGCATGTAGGCATGAGTAATACCCACCTGTTGATAGGACCCGTTTGCCAGAGCTACAACGTCATACCTAGGCCTGCAAAAAGTCAGACAGTAATTAAATAAGCGTCATTGTGAAAAAAGGAGTATGTTGTTTCACCGATCTATCATTATGTCAGATTAGAGGGGTTGGGGTTGTTAACCATTTGGATTAGTCGCCAAAAACATCATTTAATGTTCCGTTATCGAATACATACAGTTCTGATTGGTAATCAGCTCTCATTGTTATATGTAGTCTATCAATACACCGACGTACATGCGCATGGTTCTCGTGTGAAAAGGCTTGCATTTAAAGGTATCAAATGGGATTTGATACCTGATATTAATCATGTTTTCGCAAGACAAGATGTCTTCTATGTCTTGGCAGAATAAACATTCTCATCCAGTAGCAAGTGTCCCTTACCTTATGTGGCCACCCACACAAAACCTGGCCCCACTATTTGTGAATACAGTACCTGGCAAGGGTCATGAACCACATCTCTCCATCCACTGGGGCGCGATCTGACCGGCTAGTGTTCTGGCTTAGATTAGCGAAAGGGAAGGACATCTCGATGGACCAGAACGTTGCTGAAACGGTAACGCTATTTTTCAGGGCATTATAATTTGCAGAAGCCCGAGGTCTTCCATTAAGTGCCCGACAAAGGAGGTAACGCTATTTTTCAGGGCATTATCATTTGCAGAAGCCCAAAAAGATCAAGGGCTTCTGCAAATGACAATTCAATGAAAAATAGCGTGATAATGGCCCGTCGTCAAGCAATATGAAGGCATTATCAAGTTACAGTGGTCCGCTCATTTCTGATAACATGCAGGCGGTTTAATGATAATTCTATCCATTTTAGCTATAATTTCAAATAGGATGCATGTAAAAGGCTTAGTACCATGCAATTGACGTAATAAGGGTTTCAACTTGCATGGATAATGTTATCGCTTTATTATTTAGTGATCAGATATTCCTACATTCTTAACTTCCTCGTTTGGAACCGTGCTTTCTAAATCATTCATAATATTATTGATAAGCGTCTTGATACAGCATATAGTTAGGAAACAGACATTGGAATGGACCGATTATTTACTCATATCATCACTCGTGGCGTTGTAACAGGAAAAGAAAATCAAGTTGCTTGACAAAAAAGGATGTCTGGTGCAATTTTCTATTTTGATTTGTACCATATGTGCCCATGTGTGTTTTCAGCTGAACAATTATCTTTCCTTTGCATGTGTTTGTGACGGTGCCACTGTCGGGGCAGGATACGCTCACCTTTTCGCGAACACCTGGCATCATCACTATTTGATACTGATTCGTAAACACGTGCTCATGGTGTGGTCGGAATCTTACAATTTGATCTGATGATGACATTTCTGATTATGGAAAGTGTTTTGTCGCTTTCATTGACGTTCGAACGTTCTAAATGACGCTTTTTATTGGTGACAATAACGTTTGTTTGTTTGTTTGTTGTTTAACGCCGCACTCAGCGAAATGCCGGCTATATGCCGCCGGTCTGTGCATAATCGAGTCTGGACCTGACAAACCAGAGCTTGACATCATGAGCATCGACCCACGCAGATGGGATATGATGACAAGCATCAAGCAAGTCAGCGATTATGGCCACCTGATCCCGTCAGTCCCGCCTCGCACGACAATTATAGTCGCTTCTTACGACAAGCATGGGTTGCTGAAGACCTATTCCGTACCTGCATCTTCACGAGTCTGACAAAAACGGGGATGTTAGGTACCTGGGACCGTGGCGTTGTTTACTGCCCCATCCGTGTAGACCCCCTTCTGCTGGATGCCCTCCCAATCCTGCCAGTCCCCCCCGTCCATGTAAGCCTGTAAAGGGAGAGAGTAAGGATGATTCTAAGCCTCTTCGAGCGATATTCCCGCAGTATCGCGATATAACTCCAAGATTGGGGCATCGCAGTATACCCAATCTTATAAAAATCAGATCTTTGTTGAACAAAGATCTGAGGACATTCCCTTACAGGTCACGTCAGAACGACATTTCGCGAACGACCAATGAAATAACTGACAAGAAGTCGACATTAGCCAATTGGAAAGCAGTTTTCTCGAGCTATACGGCACAATCACGACATTGAGGCAAGAGCGAAAAAGTGGATCTGGAGGCGTAGGTGCCTTTTCAAAAGCTCCGTTTTAAACCAGTTTGTTGTTGACGTATTAAACGCTGTTCAATCAACATTTTATTGTATTTTAAAGTGTAATGATGTCTCATTGGCCTTGGGTCCTGTTGCTGTCCACCCATTGTTAGACAATACGCACCTTACACCTGGTGTACAGCACGTGACAATAAACTGTAATCTTACTTCGCTACATACTTCCTCAATGAGCTATGCAGACCAACCTATCCCTTATATTAACCGACAAATGTCAATAAAATGTTATTGTTGAATAAACATGTCTTATCATGTGACAATCGATGAGGTTCACTGAGTAATTTGATTTATGAAAATGTCCAAAAGATATATGGTACACATGTTGATCAAAGAAGCCTGACGAAAAATAGAAAAGGGTTTTCTGATATAAATATGTTAGTAGCACTTGTCTACTTGAAGACTTTGAAAGTACATGACAAATGGGCGGTGGTGTAGCAAAGTAGTTGAAGCGTTCGCTTGTCATGCCGAAAACTCGGTTTCGATTCCTCACATGGGTAAAAAGGTGTCCCCCGCCATGATATAGCTGGAATATTACTAAAGGCGGTATAACACGATTCTCACTGACAGACATGACAAATCTCTGTTGACAACAAGTCAACAACCCACCTTAACGTACTTACCCGTGACAGCATGAGATCCCAGGTCGTCCTGAGGGCGTTGATCTCTATTTCTTTGTACCTGCACCAACACAAGCAAAATACGGTAGACAGCATATTATTCTAGATTGTCCGACTTGTTTCTAACCAACCTCAACAACACATTAATTGGTTTCAGGAATGATATTTCAGCCGATCAATTTCACCGTCATTTTTGGACTTGGAGAAAAATAATGTTTAAATAAGATTTAAACAGTTCAAGATGGCTCCGATTCCATGATAGCTATTAACATTCCACAGCCTGAATGTTTAACAAAAGTTTTTAAAACTTTGTAAATGAAATTAAATTTGCTCGCAGATTTGTTAGATATTATTACGTAGATGCTCACATGCTCATGCTGTTGTCGACGTCAAGGAACACCTGCAAGAGGAGAGAGCCATTACCAGTAATATAAAATACTCTATATTTTACTACAAGGCATAAATGTGAACAAAATTAATTATCTTTTATCACTTTTGGTCCACGACCGGTAAAACTCTGGGTTAGAATAGGTGTTCAGCAACCCAAGCTTGTCGTAAGAGGCGACTATGGGATCGGGTGCTCAGGCCCGGTGACTTGGTTGATGCATGTCATCGTATCCCAATTGCATAGATGTCAATGCTCTTGATATCAATCACTGGATCGTCTGGTCCAAACTCGATGAGTTACAGACCGCCGTCATATAGCTGGAATATTACTGAGTGCGGCGTTAAACGACAGTCAACATCAACGAGACAGTGAGCTGCTTGCTTTAGACATAATGCCTGATGCTGCTTGCTCACTCTTGGTCTGCCTTGGTATGTTGACACCAGGGTCATAACCTTTACCCTCTGATGACCCTGCCTAACCTTGTCTTCTAGGTTATAAAAATAATAGTTTTGGTTTTTAGGCACCGCCTGCATCATCATTAAGTCTGCAAATTTGCTGCATCATCATAAAGTCTGCAAATTTGATCCAGAGTGTTTTATGATAATGGGTAAATGCGCGTGGAAGTTGTTCAGCAATGTTCCATCTGGGCGAGTCACTGCTGGCAGTTATCAGTCAGGTCGAACAGTGCGTCCATCAGTAGAGGGTGATAAGAACCCTCATTGGATTAAGGACTGCCACTGTGGTCTAGTGGATAAAGCGGAGGGTCGGTGGTTCCATCCCCTGGTAGCATCACACCAAAAGACGTTGTTGTTACCCTGCCTGGCGCTCGGCATTGAGGGGATACGACAAAGACTTATCGGTTCGGAGTCAGTATACCGTGTGGCATCCATGTTGAAATTAAGTGCGGAATGGTGTGCTTGCACTTTTATATTGGCATTAGTCTGGACTAGTACAAGCAAGCACACACACACGCACGCGCGCACGCATGCACGCACGCACACACACACGCACGCACGTCGCTATATAAATGCAATAATTTGGAACGCGACGTTAAACCCCATTTCGCCTTAACTCACCTCGCTTTATAAGTGTAATAATCTTGCACGCGACCTAAAACCACATTTCACCTCACCTGACTTGATTAAATGGTCATTACAATAGCGGAATGGCTAACCGAAGAAATAACTGTATTCCTTACCTCAAATGCATTTTCTTGATATACTGGAAAAAGAAATGGATGGTATTACATATATGTGTTTGACCCTATAGGTTGTGTATGTTACGACATGTTGACAAGAAAAAAACACATGTACCGGAGAAAGGCCAAACGAATGGCAGTATAGTGTGGACTCACAACCAGGCTTATTAAAGACAGGCTAGTATATATCACCGACAAAAGTAACGCCAACCATATATGTTGGCTAATATGTGAAGAATTACCCATATTGAAGAGATACTAGATTAGTACGATGCACAAACGTACAACTGTTATGTTGTGTGAACCGACGCTCATGAACGCATCACATGTGACGTCATAGATCCATGACTCGAGATGCACCATTTGTCTCGTGCAGGATTAGCGTGTAAAATCTGGATTTAACGTGCAGCACATCGTGATAAGAATAAAGACCCTGTATTAACACTTAACTGATTGTTAGTTTTGTCATTAAGTTGTACACATTGGAAACATCTCTTCTTAACGTACATGTTGTTCTATATGTTTCCATGGTTCGCGTTTCTTTTGGCGGTGAGTATATAATCTTGCCATATATATGAGAAAGAAATGCAGGAAAACTTCTGTTATGGATATTTATCAAATTATTATAATTGTAATTTCCAGGCTTAAAGAGGTTCTGTTGTTGAAAGTTGTTATCTTGTGTTGTGACATACTTCGTGTGTCTTTCTGTGTCATTGTCGCCCAGATGTGCGGCTCTTGCAGGTACGCCCCAACGTACAGCAGCTGGTCGTCCCAGCGTAGTTTCACCTTCGTCTCAACAGGGGGCGCTGGGAACTGAGGACCCCGGATGTCTAGCAATAAAGCAGTTTAAGATTATCTATAAAATACACATTAAATAAGTCCGTTACATTTTCATACATCGGCTTTATTTCCAGGTTTGTTTGAGATTGTAGGAAATGATACTGTACTCCATTACGACTATAAAGTTTCCAGTGAAATATTTCAGTCAACTTTCACGATCTAGATTATGTGTTTCTTTGGCATGACGTGACGTGGCATCCACCGACCACCTAGCGTGACGTGACAACCACCGACCACCTAGCTTGACGAGACAACCACCGACCTCGTAGTGTGATGTGACAACCACCGACCTCGTCGTGTGACGTGACAACCACCGACCTCGTCGTGTGACGTGACAACCACCGACCTCGTCGTGTGACGTGACAACCACCGACCTCGTCGCGTGACGTGACAACCACCGACCTCGTCGTGTGACGTGACAACCACCGATCTCGTAGCGTGACGTGACAACCACCGACCTCGTCGTGTGACGTGACAACCACCGACCTCGTCGTGTGACGTGACAACCACCGATCTCGTCGTGAGTCGTGACAACCACCGACCTCGTCGTGTGACGTGACAACCACCGACCTCGTAGCGTGACGTGACAACCACCGACCTCGTAGCGTGACGTGACAACCACCGACCTCGTAGCGTGACGTGACACCCACCGATCACACAGCGTGACTGGACACCCACCGACCACACAGCCTGACTGAACCCAACGACCACATAGCGTGACAAGACAACCACCGACTACACAGCGTGACTTGACACCCACTGACAATAGAGCGTGACGTGACACCCACCGACCACATAGCTGACTGGACACCCACAGACCACACAACGTGACATGACACCCACTGACTATAGAGCGTGACGTGACACCCACCGATCACACTGCGCGTCTGGACACTCAACGACCACATAGCGTCACTGGACACCCAACGACCACATAGCGTGACGTGACACCCACCGATCACACAGCGTGACATGACACCCACCGACCACACAGCTTGACTGAACCCAGCGTCCACATAGCGTGACAAGACAACCACCGACTACACAGCGTGACGTGACACCCACCGATCACACAGCTTGACTTGACACCCACAGACCACACAGCGCGACTGGACATTCAACGACCACACAGCGTGACAAGACACCCACCGACCACACAGCGTCACGTGACACCAACCGATCACACAGCGTAACTAGACACCCAACGACCACATAGCGTCACGTGACACCCAACGACCACATAGCGTGACGTGACACCCACCGACCACACAGCCTGACTGAACCCAACGACCACATAGCGTGACAAGACACCCACCGACCACACAGCGCGATGTAACACCCACCGATCACACAGCGTGACATGACACCAACAGACCACACAACGTGAAATGACACCCACTGACCATAGAGCGTGACGTGACACCCACCGACCACACAGCCTTACTGGACACCCACAGACCACACAACGTGACGAGACACCCACTGACCACGCAGCGTCACTGGACACCCACTATAGAGCGTGACGTGACACCCACTGACCACAGAGCTTGACGTGACACCCATCGACCACACAGCGTGACAAGACAACCGCCGACCTCAACGACCACACAGCGTGACGTGACACCAACCGATCACACAGCGTCACTGGACACCCAACGACCACACAGCGTCACTGGACACCCACTGACCACACATCGTGACGTGACACCCACTGACCACACATCGTGACTGGACAGCCAACCACCACATGGGGGAACGTACCCATAAAGTTTTCCGTCCAAGGTACCTCCTTCCACGCATCATCGTCGAGTCGTCCGTCAACGGTGATGGTTTTGCCGTTCAGGTGATTAGCCACATAGTGACGGGGAAGTTCGGGGGAGCACGATGCTGCCACCTTAGCCTCCTCCGAACATTCCGAGTTGCAGCTAAAACAAAAACAGCAAAATATCAGGGGTTTCACACGTGTGTCTTTGACAGAACAAAAATAATGAGAGCTCCAGTTTCACAGAAACCGACGCCCGCGAATCATAAACTAGAGTCCATATATTGTCATAACATGAATTTTAACGGTGCGGCTAAATGTGCAAATGGTCATCATGTAGCTGTGTGTTGATATCATCTGGTCATTTCGGGCTAACCGCCTCCGTGGTCTAGAGAGCGGAAGGTCCGGGGTTCGATCCTCGACCGCGTCATACCAAAAGACGTTAAAAGATGGTACTTGTTGTTACCCTGTCTGGCGCTCGGCATTAAGGGGCTCAAACAAGGACTGGTCGGCTCTAAGTCAGTACACTGTGTCTGAGTGGGGAATTCATGTTAAAATTGCGGCATGGTATCTCAGTGGGCTAGCACTATAAATCGGCATCAGTCCGGACTAGTACAAGCAGCCTCACAAACACACACACGTACATGTACGTCGCTATATAAGTGGAATAATCTTGAACGCGACGTTAAACCCCATTTCACCTCACCTCACCTGTCCTATAGGTCTATCGGCCTCATATACAATACAAAAGCATTGATTCCATTTATATTCTTATATACATGTCAAAACATAAAGAACATGATGAATTACATAACATTAATATGTAACAGTGAATGATATGTTGGTTTACCAGTCTCTGACATGTGTGGTGTTCACCATCTGTATGTGGTGTAAGGTGTTAGCACCCATGCATCCTATGTTTACAAAAGACATTCTGGTGTTTACCAGAGACATACGAAGATAGGTAAACTACAGTCATGAGGATTTCTTTCTTTGGAGATTTAGTATTTCCATTCTGCCCCGTACAGACACAAGAAGATTGTCACATGTGTAAACACTCCGTAAATTTGATATATTGTGAAAGCTACTCTGTCAACTCCTTCTGTAAACATCATCACCTTATTCAAACTGTGAATAGTTGCAGTGTAAGCCTGGATGGTAACTCTCATGCCTCTCCCATATTTGATATCTTTGTTGGTCAGCAGTGAACCCTTATTGTTATGGGTAATTGTGTTTGCAAATATCACATCGTGTATACAGCCATACACAATGAACATTCTAATACAAAGGTAGGTTCAGCACATACACTGACGGGCATAAGAAAGTATATGTTTGATGGTGGCTAAATATGAAATAAACAAGAAATGGTTAATATTTGCTTTAAATCACATTTTAGAAGCTGTAAAATAATTTATTTATTTATTTATTTATTTATTTATTTATTTACTTAAATCCAAAACTCAGTTCTGTCTTCAATGTAATATCAATACGTGTATTTTGCTTCACAAACACAAACATATTTATTTATTTATTTATTTATTTATTTATTTATTTATTTATTTATTTATTTATCTAAATCCAAAACTCAGTTCTGTCTTCAATGTAATATCAACACGTGTATTTTGCTTCACAAACACAAAAATATTTGAAGAAGAGCGAAAAACGATTCCTGTTGGTGGAGGAACGCATGTCAAAGGATGGTGAATATATTATACATTCGCGGGATGTCTATCGACCCAAACCTGTATTTGTTAATAGGTTTTCATTTCGAGGAAGGCAAGCATGCATTTGTTCCTACAGCTGTGGATGTTGACTATTTATTCATTATTCATGTACACATAGTACAGGTGTATGGGTGAATACATGGCATTGCTCCTTCATGTAGACTTGTGGCTGACTCGAGTAACATCGCTTTGAACCTTGCCATCTTTCACGGTTGACCTGTCCCCCTCATGTGAACGTTCCATATTTCATCAATTTGTTAAGCGGGACAAGTCATGTGAACTCCTTTTACCCCATACTATATCATGGGACAGTCATCAGTCTGTGTTGTCGTTTGCTGATCAGATTTTACATTTCAAAGATAGGGCTACTCGCATTATTCAACAGTTCAGTCATGAAGCAGATGACGAGAAAAACAAATCTTGGTTCGGATAGGAATGATAGCATAGGTGTGAACAGTACCTAAAGTGTAGGCGTGAGTGAGTATGGTTTTACGCCGCTTTTAGAAAATTCCAGCAATATCACGGCCCGGGACACCAGGAATGGACTTCACACATTGTACCCATGTCGGGACTCGAACCCGGGTCATCGCCTTGACGAGCGAACGCTTTAACCACTGGGCTACCCTACCGCCCACCCCCTAAGTGTAGGAAGCATTAGAAATCGGTTCCCAAATTTACAAATAAAGTGTAACACCATAATATATCAGAGGCTTGTAATGTTTCAATGGGCTTTTTAGTAGATTATTAGGCGAGCATGTGTGTCATACTGCTTTTACGAAATGAGCCTCAGAATTTTTGTATTTCCCCAGCGAGAGCGAGGGTCTTACTAGTCTTAATTACTAGCTATTTCTTAATTCTTTTGAGTGCCCCTTTAGAAAATTGCTCTGATCGCGAATGCCATCTTAGAAAAACACAGTTGTCGATTGACGTCAACATTCTTCCGCTATGACGTCGTTTCTAGTATGATGTCAATCCGACCTTACGTCACAATATGATTTGAATGACGTCCAAAATGCCGTCCGGATGACGTAAACAATCAACTGCTCCTCGTGAAGTTAAATGTTGCACTAGTGCTATACGTTTTTTCTAGGAACTCGGTGATTTCTAACTCTATGGGTAATAAACACTAATGTGAATGAAGTCTTAAAAACACTAATGTGAATGGAAAACTTATTTGGTGTTCTAAGATGGTTATATCACAGCTGTATGATCATCTACCACGATTATATCACAGCAGAGCGTCCGCCCGGAGCGCGGAAGGTCCGAGGTTCGATCCCCGGCCGCGATGTACTAAAAGACGTTAAAAGATGGTACTGTCTGGCGCAACATCTCTACAAGCAGATACACACACACACACACACACACACACACACACACACACACACACACACACGCACGCACGCACGCACGCACGCACGCACGCACGCACGCACGCACGCACACACACACACACACGTCGGTATATAATTGCAATAATCTTGGACGCGACGTTAAACCCCATTTCACCTCACCTATATCACAGCATGTTACATGTGTAACATTACACGGTTATATAACAGTTGTATGATACATGTAGCACAGTTTTCCACAGCTGTATGATACATGTACTGCTGTTATATCACAGCTGTATGATACATGTACTACTGTTATATCACAGCTGTATGATACACGTACTACTGTTATATCACAGCTGTATGATACACGTACTACCGTTATATCACAGCTGTATGACACATGTACTACTGTTATATCACAGCTGTATGATACACGTACTGCTGTTATATCACAGCTGTATGATACACGTACTACTGTTATATCACAGCTGTATGACACATGTACTACTGTTATATCACAGCTGTATGATACACGTACTGCTGTTATATCACAGCTGTATGACCACTATATCCACAACATCGAAATGAAATTCAAGTAGGCCAATGATGTCTGCACCATGTATGTATATGTTCTATGTGCATCACTTCCTTCTGTGTAACTTGTGATAAAAACCTCACAGCCTCGCCAGCCGGCTTGTCAAATGCAGGTTGTGACATTTACTCCAGCTGCTTAACAACAAACTAAGGTTCCATGGTCCCGGCGTTGATATACGTGAATTATGTGAAACTGCGACACAAAGAGGGTTTAAATGTCTGGTATCAAACATGCGAGTACTGTTCCTTGGTCGAAGCCTGGCATCTGTATAAATGTTCAACAACATTAACGCTACCTGTACAAAAGCCCTTCCTTACATGACGCCCATAAATAATCGTATATATAGGTTGCAATGGCTGCGTACATTCTTCCCCCACCTTGTCATACAGTAACATACAACAATACTAAAATATCCAGCACCTGGCCGTTAAACCAAATCATAACCACATACATGTACATATCGACATAATCTATGTCAACAATGGAATGCACGGACACTAATATCACATTTCCTTTCGAATGAGATAGGGTGTTCTACTTGAAGATTGTAAACATTCATATGATTCATTCAATGTTGGTTATTTTCTCTGAGGTCCTTAATCAGCAGGAAGTAATTAGTGTTTGATGCAAATATCATATGGTAATATACACCAAAATGACGACGTCATTATATGGACTGACTTGATTTTCTGATTTATCGGACTAATCAAATAAAACGTCTATGTTGTGTGATGGGTGTGACAAACCGGTTTTACAGACAGGTTGTTCAACGTTGTAAACAATCTTACCTCCTCTGATAGTCGGGGATTGTAACAGTGGGATCGTCATCCTCTTCGGTAGGGTTTTTTGACCAGGCTAAATATCCAATTCCAACACCAAGACCAAGACAGGCAGCGCAACCGATCACCCCGATGAGAATAGCGAGACGTGGAGACGATGACCCCATGTTGTGTCTCCGGAGTAAGTATTCAACTGTAGCTGGCCGGCGAGATCCTGGTGTCCGTTGTAGACATGCGGGCGGGAGGCGGAGGGAGATTACTGTCGCTGCCCTTCGGCTAGCGTGATTACAAAAAGTCTCGGAGGATGGTAAAAACAGGCAGTATGTGCGACTGTTGGTGTGGGATGTTGACAGGTGTTATTACCAGCTTTATAAATTGGCTATTGTTGTAACGGTGCAAAAATAGACATAATGGCTCGGTAGCTCACCTTTCACGAATATACAAAGGGGTGAGGTGAGGTGAAATGAGGTTCAACGTCGCGTCCAAGATTAGTGCACTTATATAGCGACGTGCATGTAGGTGTGTAGGTGTGTGTGTGTGTGTGTGCGTGCGCGCGTGCGTGCGTGCGTGCGTGCGTGCGTGCTTGCGTGTGTGTGTGTGTGTGTGTGTGTGTGTGTGTGTGTGTGTGTGTGTGTGTGTGTGTGTGTGTGTGTGCTGCTTGTACTAGTCCGGACTGATGCCGATTTTATAGTGCTAGCCCACTGAGATACCATGTCGCAGTTTGATTTCCGCACAGGTAACATTTAATGACAGGGCATTTAGGCATCCATTTGGGCTCTAATTGTGCTCCCTCCCTGGTGATCTGTTTCTTCATTCACACGTGTCAGAATTTCTTCTTGGATTGGCAAAATCAACTCAAGTGATTTTGACAAAGAAGTCGGTCAATAATGGTCAACTGGCCACTCCTCTACCACTGCTTTGCCCCCTGAACTAGTAATAAAAGAGACCAGTGAAACCATTCTTTCATATTCAGATGTATGCACACATATTCAAGGTGACACAACTCCACCATTCTGTATGACAAGAGGGACTACTTATGCTTTCCAAATGTCATATTCCCTTCATGTCGATATTCAATAAAGAGATAACAGCGGCTGATGCCTTGGGTGCATCCTTGTCACAACGTTCGAGATACAATCAAGCATACCACTTCCTAGATCGTCATACGACTCTTGCTCAAAAGAGTGTTTTATTAGGGTTACAACATTCAAGGCCTTAGTGCATGCTTTAGGGTACATTTTAAGTGGAAGACATTTCCAAATGTGACGAAAATGTCCTCCACTTAAAATGTACCCTAAAGTATGCACTAAGGCCTTGAATGTTGTAGCCCTAAAAAACACACTTTTGAGCAAGATTCGTATGACGATCTATGAAGTGGTATGCTTGATTGTATACAAATGTAACGGACCCGTGAAGATTCCGGGGTAGAATAGGTCTTCAGCCACCCATGCCTGTCGTAAAAGGCGACTAACGGGGTCGGGTGGTCAGGCTCGCTGACTTGGTTGATGCATGTCATCGGTCCCAATTGCGTGGATCGATGCACATGATGTCAATCACTGGATTGTCTGGTCAAGACTCGATGATTTACAGACCACCGTCAATAGCTGGAATATTGCTGAGTGCGGCGTTAAACAACCAACCAACCAACCATCCAACCAACCAAATGTGACGCATCAGTGACCACAATGATGTCCGATGCAATTCTCTATGTTGCCTTGAACCATATGTCTCCGTGTTCTTTTCAGGTGAACAATTGTCCTTGCATGTGTTTGTGACGGTGTCACCGGTGGGGCAGGATACGCTCACCTTTTCGCGAACACTTGGTATCATCACTATTTGATAGTGATTCATAACACTCGTCGGGATCGTTCAATTGACTCTTCTTCTGGATCCTGCCGGACTTTTTATGATGATTGAAGGGGTTCTGTCGCTTTAATGTAATAGTTGTAAGTTCAGGGCAGGAGTGTATGTGGATTGCAGCAGGTAATCAAGTTGTTTTACACTGTTTCGTCCACAGTTTGTTGACATGAACTGCACTAGCATCCTGTTTGAGTGACGAGTAAGCCTTGTTTTTGTGTTTTTGCCCATTAGCTGAGATAACACTTCAACAAGTCCATCAGTAGGGGCTTCGCCTATCAAACATGCTATGTGCTATACATTTCTGAATCGAGACATCTTACACGACGTTTAAAGAATGTTTGAGTTTACATTTGCAGCATGACAACACTTCCTTCTTGGTCACCACTATCAGTCTTGATCAGAATAGGTTCTAAGTTTCCCTTACTTGTCGTGAGAGTCAGTTTGCTCAGTTTGACTGATTTCATGTCCTCGTGACCCCATTTCCGTGCTGATTTTACCTGCCTCTGCCTCGACAAGAACACCCGGGTTCGATTCCCGACATGGGTACAGTGTGTGAAGCCCATTATAAGGGGGGCTTCACCCCCTTAACCGGGGTCCCCCGGGGTCCCCCGCCGTGAATTTGTTTGAATATTGCTAAAAGCGGCGTATAACCATACTCAGTCACTCAGTCACTCACTCAGTCACTCACTCAGTCACTCACTCACTCACTCACTCACTCACTCACTCACTCACTCACTCGACAAGTTACAGGACACCGTGATACAACAGCTGGGATATTGCTGTGTAATTCAACAGACACAATTCAGTTTCTTATCATTTTGACTCATTACTTCGTGTTCACGTTTTCCGCACCATTTGCCATCTGACTTAATGCAATAAAGTGAATTTGTGTAAAAATGCTGTTTTCCTTCGTACAATAATCCACATTTGGAAACTAACTAATTATAAACATACGCTAGCAGGTTCATTGGCAATTTTAGTCCGGTCCAGTCCTACCAGTCCTACCAGTCTGGTATCGTCCTACACGCACAACGTGTCACGCTACTGCCTTATTCTGCTGATGCGAAGTTTCTATGGAGTATTCGCCCCCTTTAGCAGTGAAATGCGAAGGTCACGAATGCTCCCTGACATATCTTTTACGTATACTTGCACTTGACGGTGAGATATAGTATAATCTTTGACGTATACTTGCACTTGACGGTGAGATATAGTAGAATCTTTTACGTATACTTGCACTTGATGGTGAGATATAGTAGAATCTTTGACGGATACTTGCACTTGACGCTGATATATGGCAGAATCTTTTACGTATACTTGCACTTGACGGTGAGATATAGTAGAATATTTTACGTATACTTGCACTTGACCGTGAGATATAGTAGAATCTTTGACGGATACTTGCACTTGACGGTGAGATATAGTAGAATCTTTGACGGATACTTGCACTTGACGGTGAGATATAGTAGAATCTTTGACGTATACTTACTCTAGACAGTGAGATATAGTGAAATCTTTGACATATACTCTCTTTAAACATTGGGATATGGTGAACAATGTCCGGTTAAATGAACTGTTGATTTATATATATATGAGAGCGTCTATGGTCGTGTAACATGCAAAAACCCGCTGTGACCTCACCTCGCAGATCGTTTGTCAGTTGTTACGCAGCTGATAAATTGGATTATCTTATGTGTAACGACCAATCTCCTGTGTAGACCCAGACCGTCTCCGTGGTCTCGTTCCATCCCCGGCCACGTCATGTTAAAAGAAGCTTCTTGTAGTTAACCTGTCTGGGGCTAAAACAAGGACTGGTCGGCTCGGAGTCAGTATATTGTGTCTTAGTGGGGTAGTCATGTTAAACTGTAAAATTCGGCATTAGTCCGGACTAGTACAACAGTCACTGTGTGACGTATGTAGCTTGAGGATCTGCGTGACAGTCACTTTAGCAATAAGACGTACATGTTAGTAGCACCTGCTTGAGGATCTGCGTGACAGTCACTTTAGCAATAAGACGTATGTAGCACCTGCTAGAGGATCTGCGTGACAGTCACTTTAGCAACAAGACGTACGTAGCACCTGCAGGAGGATCTGCGTGACAGTCACTTTAGGAATAAGACGTACGTAGCACCTGCTGGAGGATCTGCGTGACAGTCACTTTACCAATAAGACGTATGTAGCACCTGCTGGAGGATCTGCGTGACAGTCACTTTCGCAATAAGACGTATGTAGCACATGCTGCAGGATCTGATCGAGTGTCACCATACAACAGTATGACGACGTAGCCCCTGATTATCTCCTATGAGTCAATTCTTATGTACCCACATGTGATTAAGACGTGTAAATGTTGCATCGCCTTTTTGTAAATGCGCGATGCAATGTACATAGATTGACATACAGGTTGCTAAAACACCCCTGATACACAGTTAGACAAAATATGACTCCCTTAATGGGGGGTAAACATTTTAGGACTAATCCAACATCCAGGATTAAAGGGGGCACGGGTGACCCAGTCGTCTAAGGCGCCGCAATTCGCTGTGCAAAGTTGCATCCCTTGGGCGCGCCAGACACCATTGATCGCGGGTTCGAATCCATCTGTCATATATCTGCAGAGGACAAAGGCAATGTGTGCTTGGTTCTTGCGTTGACTCTCCTCATGATGTCGTCGTCATTGTCAAGGGAAATCTTGGAATCGGGCTGACTGAGTACAGTCATTTTACTGTACGGTCAACGGGTCTCTGACCGTTGTGGCTCCTATCAAAAGTGCACACGTGTATCATGATTCGATCCAGTTTCATAAACACTTGAACGATACGATACAATACCATTCATGATTGCAAATTCTATTTGTCTCCATGAATGGACGTTACGTTTTTATCTCTTCCTCAGCCTTATACACCGCCTCCGTGGTCTAGTGGTAGAGCGTCCGCCCGGAGAGCGGAAGGCCCGGGGTTCGATCCCCGACGGCGTCATACCAAAAGATTGTACTTGTTGTTACCATGTATGCCATTACATGAAACCATGTCATCTGTTATCTCAACGATATGCAAATTTCATTTGTGATAGTAAACGTCATGTTATAGGCTCATCTTGGATAGGCGTTACAAATATGAAGCAATGGAGTGATGACGTGGGCATTAGGAAACAGCAGATTGTGGATAACATAGATCACAAAATTATCTATAAAATATAAATATAAATAAAATTATAACAGTAACGCCGTTCATTTCAAAACGTTTATGATAACCTGTGAATTATTATTTTTGAATTTCAATGTATTTTATGTATTTTAACCGTGATCATTTCGAATGTGTCACGGCATGGTTACATACAGCTATAACCAGTGTTTTCACCTCTCTAGTGTGTGTACCTGTCTATGCAGTATACACTTAGCTTTATCATGTAAATCGGAATGTTCGCCACCACGAACATTACAATGAGCAGTGTGGACTAGCCTCGGGCACTTTCACTGGGTACTCTGAGTGTGTTTACTATCTCATATTCAACAGAGCGACACACCTTTGACTATAATGAGATACTTTGTGTTATATATATTTTTTAATCACGTCATTGTGATTTTGAATAGTTTGTTCGATTTGTTAATAGGTCCACCACATGAATCGCTTTGGGTTTCCTGACAATGTAAGCTGATTCTCCATGATCTAGCCAAAGACTGTTCATATCTGCGTTAAACAATCAAGAGCATGCGTTGTATGAATCACTATCAAACAGTGATGATACCAGGTGTTCGCGAAAAGGTTTGTATGTTTCTTGTTTAACGCCGCACTCAGCAATATTCCAGCTATATGACGGCGGTCTGTAAATGATCGAGTCTGGCCCAAACAATCCAATGATTGACATCATGAGCATCGATCCACGCAATTGGGACACGATGACATGCATCAACCAAGTCAGCGAGCCTGATCACCCGATCCCGTTAGTCGCCTCTCACGACAAGCATAGTTGCCTTTTACGGCAAGCATGGGTTGCTGAATACCTGTTCTACCCCGGAGTTCACGGGTCTCGCGAAAAGGTGAGCGTATCCTACCCAACAGTGGCACCATCACAAACACATGCAAAGGCATGTCAGTTGTTTACCAGCAAAAATAAAGGCACATATTGTACAAGTCAAAGTAGGGAATTGCATCGGACTATTTTTGTCACTGATGCGTCCTATTTGGAAATGTCCTCCACAACACTGACACTATATGCAAAAAGATCTTTATTCAGCCTGATTAAACTCAAATGCTTTCGTGTGGGTTCCATGTCAAACACAGCACGTGTTTCCTTGTCGCGATGAATTGGAACACAAGAACTGTGTTTATTCTCTGACAATGCGTTCATGATGTATCAGTCCCATGTAAGATCGTTCTATTCTATATACAGTGTGACCTGTCAGCAGAGTGCGATATAATATACGTCCACAGGCTGTTTTAAGTATTTTTTTACAAATCAATTATCTAAAATATATACAAAACCTTCAAGATATATCGTGCGTCTGTCCTGTAAAAAGGTCGAGAGTTACATATTATCATTCCCAATAATCACAAGACAGTTGTCTGTATACATACGTGTTAATAATCAAATCTATCTACATACAGATGTTTTCTGCCATTTAAAACATGACCTGGCGTTTCATATATTTGGTACAGTATAACGGTTCTGCCAAATCACAACGGTAATGCAGTGGACATAACTTCAACAAGTGTCCCACGTTGTGATCACATCCGTTGTGGGTAGTTGTCGTGGAAAGGGCATCAGCGTGTGTCTCTCAGCACGTTGCGGCATCTGAACCTACCAAGTGTTTGGCACCAAGGAATTGTTAATTCCAATACTCCACCACAAATCTGTTCATCTTTTGAGTATCACCACTATGTCCGAGATTCCAAGTGTCCGAGTGTCCTTGTGGTCGTGTCTCAGTATAATTCCTCATTGTTCTCGCCGAACCATACGTATCTGTCCGTCCGCGTGTGGCCTTCCTTCATCTTCTCGTCAACAGGAAACGCTGTTGCCCTGAAGCCTCCCCAGTCTAATTTAACCTCCATATCACGGACACACCTCTTGGACAACACATATGGTGGTAGTTTTAACAGCTCCAGTTTATCGGTGTATCTTCCTGTAGTAGCCCTGTATGCCTGAAAACAGAACACAATATTAATTGCCGAGCAAAAGAAGCACACCCTGGTTATTTGTGGTTATGTATTTGATACGGATATCATAGTTGTGTTTTTGGACCTTAAGATTGCAATGTTTCGGTGACTGTATTGAGCCTAGTAACGGTAATGTGTTGGTCAAATCTAATTTTCGAGTGTTTACTTTCTGCATCTTTCCGATGCAAGGGCGTTAACTGGCTACAAAAGTCCAGTTTCAAGCCTTGCAGAACTAGGCTGGAATTTCGTGGCTCGACCGCAGTGCCACCAGTGGCTATTTCGAGTTATGTCCCTTCTATGTTCCTCCTATTGGCCAATCAGATTCAAACTTTCATATCACTTTCATTTGCATATCATTTGTATACAAAATGGCGGCGCCCTGTCAAGACTATCGGATCGATAATCAAGATCTATATTGTAATAAAATGGGTCTTACCTCGTCATATCATTTGAGCACCTTGATTAAAAACATGAAACGATTTAGAAAATATAAGTAGACGCCCAGTTGATGGTACAAATGCTTTGCAAATCCTGCAGTCAAACGAAATATGCACGTTGAAATATACCTATGTACTAAGGGGCGGTCGGGTAGCCCAGTGGTAAAAGCGTTCGCTCGTCACGCCGAAGACCCGGGTTCGGTTCCCGACATAGGTACAATGTGTAAAGCCCATTGTTGGTGTCCCCCGCCGTGATATTGCTGGAGCTAAAAGCGGCGTCAAACCATACTCACTCACTCTATTGGACTATGCATAGACTCGTTCGTCCAGCCAAAATGTAACTCCTGAATTCGAGTCTAGTTCGGAGTGGAAACTTGACTTTTGTAGTCAGTTAACGCCCTTGCCTCGGGAAGATGACTTTCGCCTGCCCAGCATTTTTTTGAGTATCGCGTTTGTAGTCCATATTATCAGTATCTTTCCGAGGCAATCGAGTTAACACATTTATAGTTTGCAGTTTGTACCTTCTCAGCTCGGTAGACCTCCAGCAGTGCGTTCCGTGTGACCCAGTCAGTAGATGTGACGAACTGTGTGGAGTTGACAGGCAGCTTCCTGAACTGGAGGAGACCCCATCTGATAACACAACACATGCCCATTATTCTATCTAGATACAGGGAAACGTGTCCTCTCTATTGAAAATTGTCCAGAATAAAAACTAATGACGTGACGTAAACAATGACATTATATACGACGACGCTGTTTTGAATGAGACGTTATCCTGGATAAAAATAGAAAGAAACTTGTCTTTCTTCTGACAATTGTTTCCAGAATAAAAAGTGACATGACGTCAACAATGACATTATGTGACGTCATCATATACTGTGACGTCACTATATATGACGTCAACAATTGTATCTATGTTACGCCAGCAATGGTGTCCTAATTACTTCATTACATTATTACACATGTGATTTGTATGTATTACTATCAACTCGCTTGTCTTGAACCATATCGTAAGACGAGGGCGTGAAGCCAAGCACTTACTTGTCGGGTAGATGAATGTTGGACACCCCGGGTGAACTCCACACCCACCAGTCGGCCTCCATATCTAGTCTCTATGGAAAGTAAACACAAAATAAACATATTGTACATTCCTAGGTTTACATTTTCAAAACGACAGTGATGCACTTCTTTTCACAGTAGTTAACATTATATTTTGGATAACACTTTGACACTTTAGGGTAAGTACAGATTCTAGTAGTGTTTGAGCTCCACACACCAAGACACATTAACTACTATGAGATATGTAGCTATGGGCCTAGTACCGACCCTTCTATGACTGTCGGGTCACATGTTTATATGCAATCTCGGTAGCTTACAATGCAGCTCGGTACTCTCCAAGTTGGTAACGTCAATGTCACGCGTCTTGACACAGATAAGACTCAGATTCTCTACAATATTCCCAAACTTGCATATTTGAGTTGAACATCTTAATGTCAGAATTAAAAAAACTGCTAAAAAAACAACAATAAAAACTAACCTTGTGATATTTTCCTCCAACAACTTCTGTCATCCACTCGGATCTAAACACAAAAAAGCACATTATTAAAACACAAGTTGCAAATTCGGGTTTACTAGTATTCCATAAAATACAGCGGTTATATACAATAAAACGTGACGTAAAGTACACCAAGTGGTTAGCTTTGGTCTATTGCACTTGCTGAGGCCAAACGCCCTTGATATGATTGACTGAAGGGCTATAAAATCTCCCCATGAAGACCGACTGTCTCTCCTCACGAAGCGCACGTATAATATCACCCTTATGAATGGGTCGACTCACCTGACGAAGTTCGCCCTCCATGTTTCTCTATCATTTGGTACATCCGAGTTTCTCTTGATTCCAGCGAAAAGCGTTTTAAATGGAATAGACATTTCCAGCGTCCAGAATTTATCTGCAAATGTCAATATATTCGTAATGTCATAAATAAGGGACTTAAATCTTGAAGCACCTCCAGGCCTGGAGTGAGTGGGTATGGTTTTACGCCGCTTTTAGCAATATTCCAGCAACATCACGATGGGGGACACCAGAAATTGGCTTCACACATTGTATCCATGTGGGGAATCGAACCCGGGCCTTCGGCGTGAAGAGTGAACGCTTTAACCACATGGCTACACCACCACCCCTCCAGGCCTGGAGCTCTTTTGAGGAACGCAAGAGGAATATTTTATAAATGATTTATAAACTTAAGTACAAAAAGTAAATATCGAAGATTGATTGGGTGACTTCTAAAAAAACCACAGGTTATTCTCCACTTTGTCAGATCTTAACTTAACTATATGTTCACGATAACGCCCTTAGTCACGCAGAGTTGTCTCCCTTTGATGCAAAAGCTCTGATTGTCTGTCAGGGCGACAGCCACGCTCGTCAGTTTCACCCACGTGGTTGAACGTGTCTGACCTACTTTGATTCTGGGGGAGAGGTGGACCAGTCGTCTAAGGCGCCGCAATTCGCTGTGCGGAGATGCGTGTTGTTGGCGTGCCAGAAAACCTATGATTGTTGGTTCGAATCCCAGATTCGTATGTTTTCAGGTTTGTAAGCACCATACCCGTACTTATGGATCTGACCAATAAATGAGTCCTCCAACATCAGTCTAACACGCAGTGAAAATTTGAAACAGTTCAAAAACGTATTGGGGGCACGGGTTGCGCAGACGCCTAAGGCGCCGCGACTCGCTGTGCAGAGTTGCGTCCCTTGGGCACGCCAGAAACCTATGATTGTGGGATCGAGTCCCGGTTCGCCCCGATTATGTTTCTAGGTTTGTCAGCACCATACCCGTGCTCGTGGGTTTCACCGAAGTGGTAAACGTCTGAGACCTGCATCACTTCGGGCTTTCCTCCCACATTAAGCTGACACGCCGTGATATAACTGGAATACACTGGAATGTACTGTTAAAAGCGGCGTTAAACCCAACTCACTTACTCAAAAACGTATTTATGTTATTCCTGTCATATTCCAGGTTTTCTCGCCGCAATAATTCGACAGGCCCTGATATACGTCACACTTGACTGGCTTTTTAATGACTGAACCTATTGTAAATATAACACGTCAACGCCAGAGAATAACCAGTCTCGATTATCTGCCGAAACAGATTCCATTGGTCGTAAAAGGCGGTGAAAATTATATGAATGGATAACTGAAAAGCAAACATTTCCCGAAAAGAGTAACTCACTTTTTACGTTGGGGTCATTGATTGGTCCGTCTATGTGGACCCCTCTTATGACGTCACTCTCCCAGAAACTGAGGGGCTCTCCGTCATCCATATATGGCTATTGAACATAAAACACAACTTAGCATACACAACGTTATTATGTGCCTAGATATCAACAATATACTATAGAATAGTTTCTGTATAATAACTGTAAGGTCCATGTTGCGTTACGTACCCTCGTCAGCATGATATCGGATACTGTTCCCAATGCGTTCATTGTTATTTCTTTGTATCTGTAATCGATGAAAAAGACCAGTCAAGATCGACGAACGACGACTTGGAGAAAGCAGTTTTCCATGTCTACTTATAAACGCCTTTACTGAAAATATTATCTGGCAGATACTCATGAATCAGCTATGTTGTAATGAGTGAGTGCGTATGGCTTTAGGCCGCTTTTAGCAATATTCTAACATCATCACGGCGGGGGACACCAGAAATGGGCTTCACACATTGCACCACGTTGGGAATCGAACTCGGATCTTCGGTGTGACGAGCGAACGCTAACCACTAGGCTACCCCACCTCCAAGCTGTTGTAGCTATAGCGGCCTGTAAATTATCCAGCCAGTGATTGATAGCATAAACGTCAATCCACATAGCCTGTGTACGATGTCACATTAGGAGTAACGTCACACAGTGTAAAGGGCGGTGTGATGGCCTTGACGTTTAAAAGGGGCGGTCGGGTAGCCTAGTGGTTAATGCGTTCGCTCGTCACGCCGAAGACCCGGGTTTGATTCCCGACATGGGTACAATGTGTGAAGCCGATATCTGGTGTCCTCCGCCGTGATATTGCTGAAATATTGCTTAAAAAGCGGCGTGAAACAACAAGCACTCACTCACTCACTTGACGTTAAAACCTTTGCTCGACACGCATAAGAGCCGAGTTCGAATCCTCATATGGGTACATGTACTTGATTAAATATTGCTAAAAGCGACGTAAATCTCTCACTGTTTCGTCGATAAAATAAGTTCCTAAGTTCTTAATATTATATTATTGAATGATGATTTACTTAATTCATATACTTACTTATGGTTGCTCTGTTCAGTGTCTAGCATCACCTGTAGTACAAAGATACAGAGCGTAATGGGGAGCAAGTCTTGAATGGCGTTTATATGTAATACGCATAAGGAAGAGAATTTATGGATGGCAACTTCTTTATTATGAGAAACATAACGTTTCGGAGTGGATGCTTACTTCTTCATCAGGCGAACCTTCATCAGAATGAAGGAGTAAGTATATACTCCGAAATAATGGGGATTTTACTACATTTAGCAATTGTACAACATTTCTTAAACGCTGAGCTTGGGATTTCTCAAGCGCATATACTACGTGTATTCTTTAAGAAAATCCATTTTCAACAGCTACTTTAACAAGCAAATACCCCAGACCTCCGGACGTTATACCTCTACTACAGTGCATTGACATGCGCAGTCTGCGACGAAGGGACACCTTTCATTTGGATATTCCACGCAGTAAATATTTGACGGCATATTTGTGAAACATTTGGCACAAATTCAACCCACGCACATTATACACGAATTTTGTGAAAAAAGCATTGACGCATTTTTTTTCAAGTTTTCGTGAACTAAATACGCTACGAATGGCTGGCAAACAGACATTTTCATTAAATAAGCAAGACGGGTCGTGTTGTTGGCAGACGAAATCTCCTGCACGTATACACAAATATGTAATGAAATGGGTTGACTGATAACTTCCGGTATTATCGTCTACATGGAATGAATGTTAATCTCACCTGAAATGCATTGTCCTGGTAAACTGAAACAAAACAGAAGATGTTCAGAACAAACAAGCTTCAGAAATAACGCGACACATTCGAAAACTAATGTGTAGCCTTTGCAGGATCACCATCGACTTCATTATTAGTGTATTGTACATAGTGAACGTCGTTCGTCTGGAAACCCCTCGGCTATCACTGTTTACTTCCAAATATCATTTAAGGACACCACTACATTGTGAAATTTTGTAAATACAGACGATTTCACTTGGGACGGTCGCATCTGGATAAACTTATTATTATTTTCCAGTTGTCCGATGGCGCGGGTCAAGTCATTCAACTTTCAGGTGTTTCCAGTGTTCCGACAGCAACAATAAACATGCACATTATACATCGGGGACTTTATACATTATAACGTTGTAATGTAATGTTTAACATGCTGGACTCGCTTCAATGTTCCAATTATTGCCTTTCCTGCATGAGAGGCGCATCTTGTTTATCAGCAGGTTTTTGTCTTTTATATTTTGCCCATCCTAACCATTAGGCAGATATATTATTACCTATTTTGTTTTAATTTTATTACCATATTTTTATTGAAATGCATACACAATTGTTGAAAGGATGTAATTAAGCGGTCGATTTCTAATGTCTTATGTAACAATCAACGTTGTTGTTTTCATAAATTATTGTTGTAAAGTAATTAGATTGTATTCTTGTAAAGTGAGTTTAGATGGCTTTACAGTTTCATGTGAACTATGTTCTTCTTTTTTCTACCTTCGCATTATCTTTATCTTCAGCAACTTCTAAATTCAGTACAGATGGAGGTCATCGGCCCATGGCACATTATCAGTACAGCTCAGTTCACTTACACATTATAACACTGCGTTGAGCTTGCGGATCATAATAGCTTACGATCTCTAACATCCATTGCATGGTACATAAGGGGAGCTCAATTTATAAAAAATGTTTAATTTCAAATAGACATGAGTATATTAAATATTCCCAGTGAAGGGTGGACATAATCTTTCCGGAGTTAGTACATTTGGCGGAGATATTTAAACAAATTGCAGATTAGCAGAAAATGGTAGTTCAGAAACTTAATCAGCATAGCTAATCAGCGAGGAAAATAACAAACATTAAAAACCCAAGTTATGAATAATTACATAAGCTAATATGTCATCCAACATTCAAAATATATTACCCTTACATCTTATTTCAGGCTTTCCATTCAGTTTCTCCATAGAAGGATACCACCTTTTCTTATATTTTCTCTTGTTCTACCGTGTACTTTACACCCTTGTTAAGCTAAACTCAAGCTTTTAACGTATTTGCAAATGTAAACGTCTCCCTATGTTGCAAGTTTGAAATATTCTAAACATCTCAATGTTGACTTTGTGGTAACCGCAAGGATGTGGTATGATAGTGTTGGCCCACAGTGGGGTAGAACAAGTACCTGCTATGCTACATATGCCCGCGATGATTACCCGCGGAATGACCAGGGAGGAAGCGTGGAGGTTGTCTCACCTGCCGCTCCACCCATTCCCTGTTTGACTTTTACCGAGGTATCACTAAACAACCATTTCTTCAACATTTTCTCACATCTAGCCGTCGGGCGTCTAGGAGCCCCCTGGTGACAAGACGCGAGACCTCCTACACGGCTGTGCAGCCCGAGATATGGTGAGGTATGCACTTTTTGTGCCGCGTTACCATGGCTACTCGTGTAGCTGTAATGAAAAGGTTCGCTGGCGACATTTGGGAGGTAAGGTAGAAAATCCTCCAGGATTAGCTGTTTCTTTAGATACAACTTGGGTAATGGAACTCCTAGTAACTGTTTTGATGAAACTATGTGAACTATTGTGTCTATAGGTGTGGATAGTTTAAATAAGTATATGACTTATACGAGAAGCATATTCAAGATTGAAATTGACCCATACGCTATGACAATAATCTTATTCAAACCTTACTGTTATCTAAGTTCTCAAATGACTGTTTATGACATGGAGTCGACGATAACAAACAGGCATATTAATGTCACGACGTTGTCAAAAGGTCGTGTGACTTTGTTTTCATTTAGTTTATTTGCCAGTGAAATACCAAGTACGTTTCAAAGTGCGCAGAAGCTCGTTACCCCAAACACCTTTAACAAACGAGAAAAATAATCGACATTAACACCTTAAGGTATATATTGATATTTACACAACTTATATGTTCAAGATCTAGGATGTTCTTGTCTTTGATGGGCAGTTTGAAGTCAGAAGTACATGGAGACGTGCCCTTTTACTGTTCACATGATGATTGAGTATGGTTTTACGCCGCTTTAGGCAATATTCCAGCAATGTCATGGCAGAGGATACCAGCAATGGGCTTCATACATTTTACCCATGTGGGGAATCGAACCCGGGTCTTCGGTGTGACGAGCGAACGCTTTAACCACTAGGCTACCCCATGCCGCTTCACATGATGTAGGGACAAGAAATAGCTCTTAAACGTCTTAAACAATAAAGACGTTGTTATTTATAGAAGTTTCAAGTCTTCATTTGATGTTCTGTCTGCCTGAGGTCTGGTATTGTTATTTCTGCGTCATCTGTTAGTAAGAAAACTACTACTTAGAATGTTAGAAACATCACTTCTATTACTAACCACGTATAGGTCCGGGGTAGAATAGGTCTTCAGCAACCTATGCTTGTCATAAGAGACGACTTTGCTTGTCAAAAGGGGCGACTAACGGGATCGGGTGGTCAGGCTTGCTGATGCATGTCATCGTATCCCAATTGCGTAAATCGATGCTCATGATGTCAATCACTAGATTGTCTGACCCATACTCGATTATTTATAGACCGTAGTCATTAAGCTGGAATATTTCTTGGAGCGGCGTTAAACAACAAACAAACAAAAGAACTTCTATTGTTACGTGAACCCCAGTAGTCCCAGCTACAGGCTTTTTACTGTTGCATGATGATCACTATACTATTCTTAATGCTCTACACGCGTGCTTATGTATGGCCTATGTTTCTTGTATTCGCTACATGGATTATTAATAACAATACTGTGACTCCGGTCAATGTATAGATCCGTGACACAGAGGTACGGCTGTCATAGGAGCATTGCTACCTATCTGTAAAACCTCGAATTGCTGACAAAGAAATTATCATTTTTCATCTTCAAAGTTTTTATATTTATTTCAAACAATTACCCAAAACCCTTGACTGTATATAAGAAATAAGTATAACTCAAATTCCTTCTCAATTAATTGATCTGTGATGTTTTAACAATTCTGTGACACGCAGATCAAAAATGGCTACGTAAGTCTATTTGTAAGGTTATTTGGCGCATTACATGGGGATTTCATCAATTGGCATAATTGTTCTCTATTTCAGACAGTTAAAAAGTACTTCACGTTCACGAATGTCTGAGAAAATGAAAGAGCAACGTTAGAAGAACAAGCCCCTGTGAGACAGACAACGAAGGATCGGAGCTGCATTGTGGTTCGCGAGGTAACCTTGCGGCAGGTCCGCTTCCGTCTTGTGTTTGTGGAGGCATTAGGCGTTGGCCGTATCGGTACACTGGGTGTTTACCGAGGACTTGACACCTCCCTCTCGCACACTGCTGCCTAACATGGACGCGGCCAGTTTACTCTCACTATGCACATTTCACACAATTAATATTGGTTAATTAGATGTATTGGAAAGCGGGTTAATGTATTAAATGTTTATCTTGTTTTAAAACCTAGGTTCTATTGTGTATATTTATGTATATAATATTATTGATCCTCACATATCACTTACTTATATGTTTACTTTGTCTTGTAGATGTTATGTGGAATATCATAGAAAACCACGATAACAGAAGCACTATTTGAGAAAAGCCAAACAAAATTGGGGGGATATTTTTTATGAATTTTTTATTTTTTGTGCTGTCATCACAAAACATATCCCCCAAAATATTCCTGATCCCTAACTTTTTGTTAGTATATTTTCGAGACGAATGCATACAGTGGAAACACGGAGGAAACAGACTGTATTGTTTGCAGCATTAAGATGATAATGACATTGTTAATCACCATTCTCCTCTACATCACACTTCCTCATTTTACGTTGATTTGAAAATGATATCTTAAAAACGAAAAAGAACATAACTGTGGCTATTTGAATACCATGCTTATAGAAACAAGCAAAGGCTTGATCAATACACTGTTTACACGTATAACCTATCGGTACATTCTACATGTATATAGAGCCTGTAGCGCCAAAGAAAACACAGTATTGCAAAAGTCTGTCATATTTTGGCCAAGTTCCCCCCAGAAGGAAATAACCCCTTATCTAGTACAGGCCATGTCAGGTTTGACCTATTGCTTGCCGTGACCGAGTGTCCGTCTTAAGATCGCCAACTTTCACAGCCCAAGTCTAAGTGTGAGAATTTGGTGTATCTTCAGTCTAAGTAAAAACTAATTGCAGCGCAAGATACATGCAAAGACTACATGTTGATTTCGCCAAGTGCAGAGGAACACACGCGCTCACTGTGATTAAGGTGTGTGTGTTCAGCTGGTTCCAACTGCCAGTGTATGCCAAAGCAGTGGGTTGAGCTATACTTAAAGATTTGATACTAGGTGAGGTGAAATGGGGTTTAACGTCGCGTTTAAGATTAGTGCACGTAAATAGCGCGCGCGCGTGCGTGTTTCGGTATGACGTGGCCGGGGATCGAACCCTGGACCTTCTGCTGTACGGGGGGGACGTTCTACCGCTATACCACAGAGGCGGTCTAGATTTAATGCTTAATGTGCACCTTATAACCATGCGTGAAATCACAAAATGACAGATTATTGCATATTTTACATTCCTTTATGGTTCCACGAAATAACCTCAATGTTAAATTATGAAATGAGAATAGTGCTGACATTGATTTGTGGACTGCTCTGGTAATGAATTGGTAAGGCTGGCTTCTTTAGCTTTACTTTACCACGACACAAGTCCAGGAAAGGGTTTTAATCGATCTTAAATATTCAGTTCTATTTATTCTCCTCACTACCAATTGACGCATATTACTAGGCGTATTTAAATCGTTGACGAATTAGAAATGACACGATATCAATATGTGCCTACAGTGGTAAAGGTAGCCAACGATCGCTCATTCTAAACGCTGCTTAATAATGATAATAAGTGCATTTATAATGCGCCAGATTCCTTTTACCAAGTGGATGCTCATAGCGCTACACTATTATTACCCCGGTCAATGGATCAGTGAGCACTCAATTTTCATTCTCAGCTCCCTGGGGAGTATACAACCCAAGCTGCCTGTGAGGCGCTAGAAGGTTAACAGCCATCTCATCCTACCGGGTACCCACTCACTGCTGGGTGAACAGAGGCACATTCCGAAGAAAGTCACTTGCCCAAGGAGACACCACATGTGGTACATGTGCTTAATCCAACAACGAAACTTACATTATCGTAGGTTTAGAGTTACTATGTTTTCTACACATAAATCCTAACATGTAGTTACCACACTTGTGACGTGTCAGAACGTAAATTCCATTATGACGTATTTAGGTAACGTGTTTCTTTAAGTCTTCCAGTCTTTGGGTATAGATCGATAGGTACCTTTAAGCACAACTACGAACTGCTTCCATATCTGCCTACCTGTGGTATCATGCAGGGACCTGTTGGCCCAGACGTCGGTTTCCTCGAGATAGGCAGCTACGTACAGGTTCTCGTCATCCCACCGTACCTTGACATTAGTCTGGAACCTCGGCGCCGGGTAGTCGCTTCCCTTGATATCTGAAATATGCATTTCACTGGGTGAAGCTCGGTCTCAATGGCTTTCACGCCACTTTGAACATTGTGTCAGTTATAATTATCATGGCTTCTCGGCTTGATGTGGGAAGAGGGCTCACAGATACGTAATTGGTTGAGGTTACCTCTTGAGTGAAATCCAGGAGTACAGGGAGGGTGCAGATACTCTAAGGATCGTAATAGGGCCACAACCAGAGGATAACGAATTGGTCAAGCGGCGCTTCAGTCACAGCAACATTTACTTAATGAGCTCGTCGCTATATAAGTGTAACAATCTTGAACGCGACGTTAAACCCCATATTAACCTCACCTCACCTCACCTCACCACACCTCACCTCACCTCACTTAATAACCGAGCTGTTGTATTCTTGTGGCGAGCTACCATTTTACTCCTGTGTTCCTTCTCCGATATACATTGCTATTATTACCTTCAATTATCTTGAACTGTTGTAAATGAGTAATAAACCCCACAGAGTTAACTAAAACATTATAATTACTGAAATACGTACAAAAATACTCTTAGAAATTATGTTTGTAAATCGTTTCGTAAACACTCACACTCCTCATGTTGACAATGAGATAACAATGACACAAATGTTGTTAATATTCATCTGCAATACGACTCCCTGTTAGACTCTTGAATTTGCTATTGTTGCAAGTTTAACACAAAGTATAAAGAAGCCGTTTCTATTTCCAGTCCCACACCGTGTTGGTGAATGATTGTAAGGCAATCGGCAAAGGATTACAGTAGTGCATGAAAACAAACGTCGACTTGGGAAGGGAACGGTGGCATGGCTTGTATGGATCTTTTCGAGGTCAAATAACTTTTCAACTTGTAAAACATTGCCATTCACAAAAATAAGTGAAGTCATTAGTCCTGATCGCAACGACAAACGTGCGTCTCCTATGTACACAGATAAACGGTTGAGTACTTCATGCAGCTAACGATGAGAACATCACGTTGAAACGTTGTCAGAATGAACAGGGACACGAGAAAGGAAAAAGAACATTTCTTAACTACCAGGTTTTTGATAAAGCAATCAACTTAAACAGCTCAGCGTGTGTGCCTTTGTTAATCAACAAACATGTAACTGAAAATTGCAACCTCTGCGTTTCATTCATATTTCATTGGTCGAAACAGGAGTATGGTTTTACACTGCGTTTGGCAATATTTCAGTAACATCACGAACCAGACACACTTAACTCTAAAGGGGGGACTGTGGACCACTGTCTGAAGCTATTTCTAATCAAACCTAGACGTTGTTATTCGTGCTGTATGAGAAATTGAGACATTGACACTGTGTAAAAGGGATAATTATCGACTGCTAAATCTATATATACATTATAACGTGTGATTCAGCAACGCGAATCAAATTTTCCTTGGACTGCGTGGGCGCTGTCCTCTTAAATAATTACAAGGGCGATTTTAACTACCCACTTTTGTTCATCTTATAAGTTTCTTTAATTCTTCAAGAATGAAATCTAACATACACTTATGTGTATCTACAATTACCCATTTATTTTACCTATAATGGATACAAGGAATGAATTTGCACTAAAACAGAAACATAAAACATAGAATATATATTTGAAGGATTTTACCGCGATCACCTGAGATCATCACTGATTTGTAGTGATTTGGAAACTGTTTCGACGGATAATCGAAAGTTGTGAGTCTCTGACGTTGACGTCTTATATGTAGATACCTGATTTGTTTGTTTGTTTGTTTGTTGTTTAACGCCGTACTCAGCAATATTCCAGCTATATGGCGGCGGTCTGTAAATAATCGAGTCTGGACCAGACAATCCAGTGATTAATATCATGAGCATCGATCCACGCAATTGGGACGGATGACATGCATCAACCAAGTCAGCGAGCCTGACCACCCGATCCCGTCAGTCGCCTTTCACGGCAAGCTTTGGTTGCTAAAGACCTATTCTACCACGGAATCTTCACGGGTCGTAAATACCTGAATGTTGATTAAACAACCTTTCTTACTCGAAATTGACCAAATTGTGATGACTATTGATAAAGGGATTGGTGATTCTGAAAAAAACATAAACTAACACACTGACGTTACGAAGCCATTGTCTAGGGTCCAAGGACTTCGAGTTAACGAAGATCCACATGTACATGCATATTAACGTGAGAGTAAAGCAGATGCTGACCAATAAATGTTTGACTCCAGGCAACCTCCTGCCATGCCTTCTCGTCCAGACGGCCGTCAACCTCGATCTTAGCCCCGAGCAGATGGTACACCTGATATGTCTTGGGGAGGGGCACACTGCAGGTGTATGCCTTGCACGCCTCGATCTCGTGAGAAAGCAAGTACCTGCAACAACAACAATGATGAAGACATACTTCCTTCATCAACATCTGAACATGAAATGGCCTCGATAATACTAAAATGATAGCCAACAACGCCAAAGTTCAAAAACACTTTTCTCCATGGTCAAGTGACCATGTCATGTATGGATCTGGACGTTATAATTAGTGCCCTGTGATAAACTTAAATGGCTCCTCGGTGGAATTTGAGGGATCAGTGCATGCCAGTTTGACATACATTCTAAAATTTGAGTTTGTAAAGTCATTTGCTTGGACTGTAAATTAGCCCATGTCTAATCCCCATGTAATTCCTCGTAGGTTTTGATGCACCTTCAAATGGTACAACACAGCCGCATTTAACGAACCTTTCTGCATGCACGTTCCATACATAAGGTGCTGGATTCTTTGTAAAAAGCTCCAATGTGTTTGCACGCCCCGACCCTAGAACTCTATTGAGGTTCTCTCCCTTACCTCTGAATCTCTGGCTCATCCCTCGCCGCATCTCCACAGGTCTGGAGCAATCTACCAAGTGTCCTATTTCTCACTGTGTTAAAGTCAAAGCTCTGCCTATTCGACACCTGGGGACGGAGAAGGTATCCTATAATAAGTCCAGCACCCATAGCCAATGCTGCCACCACAGCGGTGACAACAATAGCTGACGATGAGGCACCCATAGCCATTGTTTCAAAATGGCGGACGACTGTTACAGCAGACGCTGGTTTTGTGTGACGTTCACCGTTCTATTAAAGATGACTTAGTGTTCTTGTGTGAGTGAACTTCAACGCGGGTTTCTTTCACAAGTTTTGTCATTAGAGTGTTTGTCCAGGACATGCCATAGCTTTTAAATGAGCGACGACTGACGTATGGTTTGCATGCCTGCGGCGGGAGACTCGGACGTGTAATGTCACCGATGGGGAGGATCTCCCGCCAAAAACAAGGTCGTCTGCCGTTGAATCACGAGGAAGTCACGTCAGAACACGCTCTGGTATTGTTTTAATTCTCGCCTCCACAGACTCTGCACATTTGCCTATGTCAACTGGAAGAAGGAAAGGGTCAGTTGGTCGTCAGAGGTGTTAGAATGGTATCGTCTTCTTAAACGGGTTGGTCTGTAGCTGGACCGTACAACTCCTCTGCCCTCTGTTGCAGGTGGCTACGGGCAGGATGAAGGGATCTGGTTGTTAATCCTCATAAAGGCTTTGCATCTTCAAACGGAAGTCAAGTGATGGCATGTGCCGTCACGATTTTCCTGAATATTACCCGCATTTGTAGCTTTGGCTTTTTGTGGTTAAGTGGAGCAAATCCATGTAACCAGCACTGTCATAATCAGATGTCATATCTGACTTCCGTGATACCTTTTGTTACAGGAAACAATAGGTAATCTGGTTCAGAGGGTATTTACAACTACATTCAATTTGTTTAGGCATGCTTTACCCCTAACTTGTGTGTTTTATGTGCTTTGGTGTTGCTTTCAAGGAGCAATTACATGAAAAACGGTAATGATGTAATGCGATTCGCATGGCTATAACGTATTCAGTTCAGCAACCGCTACCTGTAGGTTGCAGATACCTTTCATTGCAGCCTATCACTGAAACTGGACACATGACGAATACTGTCACTCAGCTCACACTGTCCTGGGATAGGGATCGGTTGACCAATACCAGAGTCATTAACATGCCACAAAAAGCAAATACAGCACCTACTGTTCGAATTCATTGCCATGGTGACTATTTGTTCACGCCAGACATAAGTTAAAAATCCTGACATACCTTTCCAAGTTTTCCCACATACGCAGTCCTTTTGACATAAGTCGTATAGGGTTTGCTGCGTGAATAGTTTTTTGTGTGATAAAGGTTACAGAGTGTGTTAGTTTGTACGCTTCAATGGTTGATTCATACTCGGATTCGAACCTGAGGATATTTTTGCATATCATGGTAATAAGGTGCATGCCTGGGATCAACACAACTCCGTACTGTGGAATATTGTATATTCAATGTGTTTATAACCCCTCGGGGGGCACGAGTAGCCTAGTCGTCTGAGACGCCGCAATTCGCTGTGCAGAGTTGCGTCCCTTGGGCACGCCAGAAACCTATGATTGTCGTTTTGAATCTCGGTTCGTCACGATTATGTTTCTAGGTTTGTCAGCACCATACCCGTGCTCGTGGGTTTCACCGAAGTGTTAAACGTCTGAGACCTGCATCACTTCGAGCTTTCCTCCCACATTAAGCTGACACGCCGCGATATAACTATAATACTGTTAAAAGCGGCGTTAAACCCAACTCACTCACTCACTCACTAATAACCCCTCAATTGTTTGAGTCAATATCAATAAAGCCATTAACAGTACAGTATAATTGTGTGGAAGATGATGTTATGTTGTATAACATCTGAAAATATGCATTTCTATAGCTATTTTTATCATAGTAAATTTTATACACAATATGTTAATTTCATTTCAATTGTTTGTGTCAATATCAATTAATCGGTACAGCGTCATTGTATGGTTGATAATAGTATGTTTAAATACCTTTTAAAATAACTATACAGCTATTGTAATTCTGTGTTTATATATTTTGGGGCTTGTGTCTATTGCAATCCAGGGCGTTCAAACATTGCTGCAAATAAACGTTCTTAATTTACGTGTCATCTATTTTCATTGTGTATTATCACTAGATGGTCATCGCTTCTTTGAAACAATGTAACATTCACATTGCTGTTTCACATCCATCCCGACAGTCCTTGCTATCCGATTTCAGCAAATGTCACTCACTCGACGTCGTAAGTCAACATTTACATTTTAAGAATACACCTTTTAAAGAACATGTTAGTTGAAACAGCTAAGCCATATTTAAAACATGTAGCATGCCTCCCTTACATTGTAATTCTTATCACGTATGTGCGTTCACCTGCTGAGTACGGTGACAACAATGCAACGCCAACACACATTTATCGTACAGCAACATCGCGCCAATTTCTGTTGAAGTTCTAGGACAGCACAGCATGGGTGCTAATCTTCTCACATATCCGGTATACCGTTCTGAATGTAGCAAGGCGGGAAAGAAGCAACATGTCACACAACAGGGAGTGTCGTAGAAGGGAACCCTGTCAAACACCAATCTTCTCTAATCTTGTGCTTTAAATTTAGATATTAATATCTTTCACATATCCATGTGTAGTGAAATTTTGTCGGCCTTCGCGAACAAGAGTCATATTGAAAGGCATCTAATGCATCAACAGATGTGACACGTCCCCGTCAGGATAGTATGGAATTTAACTTAATGAGAAAAGGCCTCTTTGAAATTCATTGTTCCCTCGCTTAAAGAAACCTTCAATCTACCATCCTAAATTGAATTATTCTGTATGTTAAGTGTTGTGTTTACAACAACGAAAACATGAAATTCATCTTCAAGTATAATTTCTTATTAAATACAAAGGTACCCCTTCCACTAATAGGATTTGCTTAAAACCATAAACTGGTATTCTAAATATTCTGCGCAAGACGCGGAATGATATGACGATATATTCTGTTCTGTTCGTAAAACAAGCTGAATTCTGATGTACACGATATCATAAGAGGCATGAATAGTGCCTGATATAATGTATATAATGCATTCTGAATGAATCTTCAATCGAGATGTATTTGTGTCGCCTTTACAGTAAATAAAGATGTTGTTATGCATAAATTGTGTTTACTTTGCTGTCCATAGTAATTATAAATATTTCATCTATTTTCATTGACCATCGATAAATGTACGATGTAACTATAGTTCGATAAACTGTTAGACCCCTAGGGTCTCCATGACGTAGGGTTGTCAGTAAAACTTGAATGGATCATCATTATGTAGCATTAAAATGTAATTTTAAAACGACACAAATGTAATGCCACCACACAGGGGTGGCAGCTTGGTAGTTGGAACACCAGGCACTTTGGCAAGGATAAGAAAAAGGGGTCCCGCAACGGTAACACCCGCCATGTGAAGGTGAAAGTCACTATAGCAGGTGTACATCAGCTGGAATATATAGATAGACGCCAATGCCACGGTTGTGATGACACTGTCAACACCTGATCACACTTACGATAGCGTGATGTAACTAATGGCTGACTTCACTGCAATCGCCTACTCGTCATGTGTGTCGGTCATGTCCTGTGATAGGCTGAACAAGTAAAGGTCACATAGTTTGTTTCTATGGAATTCCCTGCTGACCTCTACATTGGTAGGTGCTTGGTGTCTGACACATGGAATCACATATCTATTACAATATTCTTATTATATGGAGTAATTCTGTCAGAATATATCAAGATCAGTGTAATAAGAGCTGATGGAATGACTACTAGGTCAGTGTTTGTTCTTGTAATTTGCAGTTGCTATAACCTTAGGGGCCGACCATGGGATATTTTGCGGGTGGGGTGCGGGGTGGGGGTGGTGGTGTTGGTGCTGGGATTCAGCTACAGCTACAAGACCAGATAAAAGAAATTAAACTATGAGCCTGATTCTTTATCAAAAGAAAAACACACTACATCAATGTAACTTTTGTTTTCCACAATCTGAAGCACAAATATTTCTTTCACGTATCGGGAACAATTGAATTTTTTCGATAACATGCCAACAAGTCATTGGACAGATCATTCTAAATTAATTGCTAGCTATGTCATAAAACCTACAAATACAGCCAAAGCTTCTCACTTTGGTTTCCGTGGTTTATATTACCTTCTAATACATCACATCCTTTCGGAGACAGTGCCCTAATCTGGTTTATCTGTATTTTAAAAGTAAAGATCGTTTGTAACAACCGCCCTTTGTCACTGATGCAAGTATATGATTAAAGTGTCAAACAACCATTGATGTCTTCCTATGAAGCGACCGTATAGGACAAAACCTGTTCGTGTGTGTGCTTCTAATACCGAGATATGGGTCGCGTTGATCGGATTCTCTCATCGGATCCTTTAAAGGTCATTGCTCGACAAGGAGCCTTGGCTATGGTCAGGGTTAACATCCCTCAACATACACTGACTACCTGACAGCGATTCATATGCTGACTATGTACGTTATCACATAGCACATCTGGATGTCCCGGAATGAATGTTGACAAACACATTGTCAGGTATTGATGACATTCTGATACAGATGGTAAACATAGACATGTCAAATAGCAGCATATCCTACAATGTATTCATGTTATCGGTTGGTAGGATTCGACCTTACAGAACGTTTTTGTTGATATGACCATGTGTCATTGCTACAGAGTCGTTATGTCGTGGATCTGCAGAACGTTTGACTTCAGAACGTTTGTCTTCAACGAGAAATGGTATGTTTTAAATTATGAAGTTTTCATATTTCGTCCGCTGGTTGTATTCATATTATTTACAACGTACTTTGTATTATGTTTTTGTTGAATATATTGTATATTGTTTGACCTGCATCTTACTTAATTTTTATTAGATCTCACAAGGTTGATAATAATCATCCTCATCCTGATAAGAACTTTTTTTTAATTTTTTTAATTTACAGTTTCGACGACATTCCCATTGGTTAAGAGGTTGGTCACATGACCTCGAAACTGACACAATTTGACGTTCAGACGTTTTTTTACGAGACTGTATTCTTGAAATGTCGTAAACACTGGCGGACTATTTCCATATTCCTGGGGAAACCCTGATGATTCCCTAGCATGAAAACACACAGAAGCGGTGTTTCTCATCATTTAGTCCCATTTAACTTTAGCTCAGGGTTTAATATGTAGTATACATTTGGAAGAGTCAGAAAGAGTGCACGCCCGTGCAAGTATATCCTCGCTACGACCTATCCTGGTGAGGAAACGAAGAAGTGCACACCGAAACTATTGACTCGATCCCTGTCTTGACTGACAGTGACTGTCTACAGCAATAAATGAATATATCAGTATATTTTTTAGATATCTTTATAATCAACTTCCAATGATCGGTTATCACTTGCAAGATCCGACGTTCGTTGCTTGATCTTCATTCTGTGAAGGTTCATACACCAATGAATATAAATTATCAATGCAAGAGAATAACCACTCTAGGTTATCAATCGAAACAGATTAAAATTTGATGCAAAGGGCAAAATAGTTGTGAAAATTATATGAATAGACCACTGAAAATCAGTGATGACACCAGGTGTTGGCGAAATTGGTAAGCATGTCCTGCTCTAACGATAGCACCGCCATTCGCACAATTTGCATAAAAAAGTATGTATTTACTGCATCACGCCGCACAATACTCACAAAAAGTGATAATCAATATTAACTGTACGCGTGAATCTTCCTAATCCCACACAAAGCATACTAAATATATATATAAAGTGTATAACTTACTATATATATATTTAACTAAGTGATAATAAACTAAGTGATAGAATTAACTAAGTGATATAATTAATAGTGTATAATTTACTTAGTTAAATATATATATTTAACTTAGTAAATTATACACTATTAATTATAATATATATATATATTAATTTAGTAAATTATACACTATTAATTATATACATTATATGTCAAGTTGGGGTTATCATGAAATAAGTTGGGTAGCATAATTAAAACCTACTAAGCACTATGTATATTACTGACAGGGCATCACTGATTTGCAGTGACCCATTTACCGTTATTTTGCCTTTCACGCCCAATGGAATCTGTTTCGGTTGAGACTGGTTATTCTCTGGTGTTGCCGTTATATATCTTAATCTGTACATTGGCAAAAACAATACACTGGATTCTGACATACGAGTTACAACTTCCTGATTTTGACGTGAAGACAAGTTTGTTTTCTCGGCTTCCCGCTAACAACATCGTGTCTAAGATGTCACGCCATGTGTGACGACAGTGTTATGTCCTAGCATCGAATCTAACGTCACGTCCTGATATTGACACTGTGTCGCAGAGGACCTGCGCACTGGCGTGTTGTGTAGCCATTGTCGCAACACAAGAAAAGCGGAGAAATATGTGCATGCACTTACTTATTTATACATCACGCTGTTTTCGATTTTTGTACTTCTAGGTATTTTTTTTTAAAATGATTTTTGAATTTATCAGTGCTCGATGAAGGTTGAAGGTCACGTCAATGGCACAGAGTATGACTCATATGTAGTAATGAGAGTGACCTGATTTTTGGCGAAATTCCGAAGCCACCGTAATGTTATTTGTTCATACCCAAGCTAGTTACGTTTGTATGTATAAAGGTTCTATCAACCAAACCAGAGTGAGTGAGTATGGTTTTAGCAATATTCTGGCAATGAGCTTTACACATTCTACCCATTTGGGGAATCGAACCCGGGTCTTCGGTGTGATGAGCGAACGCTTTAACCACTAGGCTACCCCACCACCCCTTCTACAATCATAAAATGTTTGTTACATTAATGATGTTTATGCATTGTGTTTGCTGGTTGTGTCTGATTTCTTGTTTCCATCTATGTTCGGTAAACATTCTCAATCTAACAAAAAATTGAACAGAATTTGTGTGTGTGAATTCGAACTGATGATCAGAATTTGCTGAAAAGCATCGAATCCGTGCTCATTGGTTTCACCAACATTGTAAACGTTTAAGACCTGACTTTGGGCTGCCTCATGATATAGTCGGATTCGTACAGTCGACTCTGCTTTATACAGGGATTTCTTATGAATATGGAAAGGGTTTTTTTCCACTTTGCTTATTCACAGCGGAGTTAAGTTTACCAAACTCACGCGTGGAAGCATTTTAAGAAATATATTTATGCTATGAACGTGTACACGTGTGAATTTAGAAATAACGATGGAATAACTGTAAACAAGTAAAGAAATCAGGTTTGAAACGAGTAGTTCTACTGTGGGTTTTAGGATTGCGTCCCTTAGCCCTGCAAGGATCCAATGAGCATGGGTTTGCTCAACATGATTCCTGTTGTGTCACTCACTGAACTTCAATATCAATGAGTCTGATATGACCGACTCCATTTCAAATCACCCCTGGCATTGCCCCGGTTACAGACGAATTACCTGACAGTTTATTTAAAATTCGATATTTGAAAATATAAATATTAGATTCACCAAAAAGATATCTAGAAGTACCTACTCATACGTTCTTGGCGAAAGTGAATCATTAATATACTGAACAAACAATGTTAGGGATCATTCCCAGGTTGGTTTGTTGTTTTACGCCGCACTCAGCAATATTCCAGCTATATGACGGCGGGCTGTAAATAATCTAGTCTGGACCAGACAATCCAGTGATAAGTATGATGAGCAATTGGGATCGATGACATGCTTCAACCAAGTCAGCGAGCCTGACCACCCCATCCCGTTAGTCGCCTCTTACGACAAGCATAGTCGCCTTTTACGGCAAGCATGGGTTGCTGAAGACCTATTCTTCACGGGTCTGCAGGCTCTGAAGCCAGACAGATTATGTATATGCCGGGTCACCGAAACAAAGCGTCCATTCGAAGCTACAACAGAGAATGCTTGGCTTAAAAGAAATCACTGAGCTCCACACTGTCGTGTATTGCTTCGGGAAATCCAACCGCGCCGCCTCAAGCAGTAATCCCCGTCATCACCAGCCGTAGTTTGACTCAAACACACACCCAAAGTTCACAGAACGTTGATATCAATCCATTTTAAGCATCAGCCGGGTCTGGATATCTTTCCAACGCTAACTTTTCTGGATGCAACTTTTATTTCGAGTGAATCACATTGCCGTAGCCGCCATTTTCTGCCGTTTGTAAAACCAAGGGATGTCTTTCCAAATGGTATGTTTGGGATAGATGACGTCACAACGTCACGACTCTCCGCGTTGATATAGTTCGCTTTAAATAATTAGAATCTGATGTTTAATGGATTGTTTTGTTATGATTTATGTATCTGTCAATATAAGGATTGAAGTTGTATTTGTTGACGTTCATCAGTTAATGAAGACAGTACCTCATGGAATTTGCTCACGTGAGGCACTGTCTTCATCAGATGATGAATGTAAACAAATACAGCTTCACTCCTTAAAACAGAAATGTTCAAGTCTGATTCAATGTAGCAACTGAAATTGATTTTAATGTAGCAAATAATTCACAAATATGTAATTTTAGTAAGCAGCACAATGTGAAGCTATATTCTTGACATGATTACTGGTGACATATGTATAGATGTATTATTTTTCCAAAATACGAAACCACGTGTTGCTTTTGTCAAACATGAACATGGCTATTATTTGTAACTCTGCAAAGTCACCCATCTTTCATGCAACCCCACCACAAACACAAAACGCCAACGCATGGGTACAATGTATGAAGCCCATTTCTGGTGTCCCCCGCCGTGATATTGCTGGAATATTGCTAAAAGTGGCGTAAAACCATACTCACTTACTCAATCATGTCGAGGCGTGGTATGAGAAATATGAGGCTTCCTAATATTCAACAACAAATATTTAAAGACCATTAATGGTCATAACCTTCAGTACAGCTATATCAACATTCCACCAATTCAACCGAAATGAAAACTCGCATAAAGTTCCAAAATGGATACAATCTTGTTAATATATTTAGTAACACTAGTTATTGAAATCACACTATCCTTGACATTACATTTATAATAAATACGTTTAAAATAAAATTGCGAAAAAATAATTAGTTTTCATCCCATTCTAACATTACGAAGTTATTATGCCTGTAGTACCGACACTATTAGCGCAATGTCATGTGGTGATATTGAATCAACTGAAATACTGCCACAAATCTAAGGTCAAACATGAAGCATTTTATTCATCCTGTGTTAAGAATCTCCCAAGTCTCCACACAAATCAAATCAAACACAACACCAGCGCCTGATATCTCTTCATATTACCCCTGTGTGCGCTTCGAAATCAAAAATATTGATAATGTAAAAGAATGCGAGGCATTAAACAAAATGCATGATTTCCGTCCTACCAAGTTCTGCTAATTAGAGAAGATTTCTGAAGCTTGTTCGAGATATGCTAAGCTCGTAAGAAGATCGCGCGCCCACGACAGAGCAGTTAGACCCTATTGTCAGCAGTAAGATGGGCGTGCGAGGAAGTCTCTTCCTTCTATGAAATAACATGCAAGTGCGACAATCGATACAAATGCGTGCAAATTTGACATAAATTTGGGTATGAAAGTTTGCAGTGTTTGCATCCTAAACCTGACAACACTGTGGTACACAGATCTTACAAATTTTCAAACAGAGCGGAGAAGGATTCCCAAATATTTAAGAAGGGCATCGATCTCATGTGTTGAGTCCATCAGCGAGGTTTGAGCCGAGCTGGCCGCCATTTCCCTCTCCTTACATCACCCTTAGACATTTGTTCATATTTGATTATCAGGTTTCGACAACACCGTCCGCTATAGACACAGCCGGCACTGTAAATGAATGCATTCCTCAACGGGTAGACCCCAATATTTGTTCCTTCCGCTAGGCGGAGCCCCCACTTCCTTGTCAGCTATCCCAGCATGCTCTTCAACAGTGGCAGTTCCTATCTGGATCTGTATTGCAAATATTTTTGACAAGTGGAACAGCTCGATGACCAATTCTAATCAGTTGAAGGGTTGATCTGGACGCGATTGGAAGGTGGTCTTGATTCAAGCAAGACTTCATGTGATACCTAAGGAGTATTATATCGCCGGAACATAAATAAGTAAGTTGCAACGATTTTACAATCATATTTTTCATTTTGCAATTTTGATTAAATTGTTTTTTAATTATATATTTTCTTCATAGTCCGGAACAAGACTTAAACATATTGTTTATGATGTTATAACTAATAAACAGCAAGTTAATCCATCGATTACAGACTTAAGGTTCCATTTGAAATTGATATTTGACATAGTACATGGACGTTATACCTACCTAATTATAAAGTCTTTGAATGACATTTAGATGTGATACACATTAGAGAGGGAATTACAACACAACAGACTATAATCAGTTAAGAGAGAGAATTTATGGATGTCAAATTCTTTTTTATCAGGAACACAACGTTTCGGAGTACAAATACGTTTACTCCGAAGTAAGCATCTACTCCAAAACTATGTGTTCCAAGCAATAAAGAAGTTGACAGCCCTACATTCTCTCTCTTACCTGATTATAGTTGTAATATAGTAATATAATATAGATTATAGTAGGTGTTTCAATTCATTGTATCTAGCAGTCTGTTTACTTTTGGTCAACAAGATATACCTAGTGTTCTGGACAAAAAACACAATCTCGGACGTCTGGCAGCATAAGTGGTGGCTAATATTTGAATGAATAATGTCAATGCACGAGGGACATTCCTGTCGTCTCTGAGTCACATAAGGCGATGAGGTAGCCTTGTGGTTAAAACGTCACGCCGAAGACCCAGGTTCGATTCCCCACATGGGTACAATGTGTGAAACGCATTTCTGGTGTCCCTCGCCGTGACATTGCTGTAATATTGCTAAAAGCGGCGTAAAACCTTACTCACTCACTCATTCACCCTGAGTCACATAAAAGAAATACATTGAAGCGATTGTTTCAAAAGGATAGATCACGAATCATTATCACGAACGTATTCTGCCTACCGGAAGAACCTATGGTGCACGAATTATGGAATCATGCACGGCAATAGTGTATTATTGTATACTCCTAAGAGTTGCTCCGAATGTGCATTGACCAGGGTAATAATTATGTAGGTTTATGAACATGCTTAAGTCAGGGACATGGCGCAACTATAGTTTTAACGTTAACTCATACCTCGCATAGATTACGGGTTAAAGTTCGTCTAAAGTAACCGATGCTTGTTGTACAAGGCGACTATCTAATCGGGTAGTCAGGCACGATGACTTGGGTGATTGTGTTTCGTTGTGGGATGGCGTGGGATGCTGTTCATAATAGTGAGTGAGTGAGTTGGGTGAACGCCGCTTTTAACAGTATTGCAGTTATATCACGGCGTGTCAGCTTAATGTGGGATGAAAGCCCGAAGTGATGCAGATCTCAGACGTTTACTACTTCGGTGAAACCCACGAGCACGGGCATGGTGCTGACAAACCTACTGGGATTCGAAAACAATCAAAGGTTTCTGGCGTGCCCAAGGGACGCAACTCTGCACAGCGAATCGCGGCGCCTTAGACGAATGGGCCACCCGTGCCCCCGCTGTTCATAATATGACCAATCACTGGATTGGTTGGCAAATACTCGGATTTATACGACCCACCGTGATAAAGTTCGTATATGGCTGACTGCGGTTTTAAAACACTATACGTACAAACTAAAAAACGTTTGAGTGAGTGAGTATAGTTTTACGCCGCTTTTAGCAATATTCCAGTTATATCACGGCGGAGGACACCAGTAGTGGGTTTCACACATTGTATTTATGTGGGGAATCGAACCCTGGTCTTCGGCGTGACGAGCGAGCGCTTTGACCACTAGACTAGTTTGAATTCAGTCTGACATGGAATGGTCTTTTCAAGAAGACGCTACTATACCCATTTAAATATTTGTGTAGTCTTGGATCCCGATTCACACAGCGGCAGTAACGCTACGATTAATCGGAACTCTCCAATTGCTAAGTGAATCCGTTCTGCTCTTTTGTCAGTGTGTTTTTCACTGATCGGTTCAATGTGCCTTTTTCGCTAAGATATCAATCAAGGCACAAGGACAAGGAACAATGATTGATTTGAATCAACAAAAGGCTGGTTAGCCTTGGGCCACGCTTGGAACAGGTGTCAGAATTCTGGCAACAATTGATTATGTCTCATGTTCCGAATTTCGCACATTTCCATTCCTTGATTGAAAGGTTTTCGATGAAACTCCCTAAAATCTAACGCCCTTTCGCAACATTTCGTGCCTCGCATTGGATTCATTTACAAACATTTTCATGAGATACCTGAGACCGGATGACTAGAAAAGTTTGATCTTCCCTCCTGTACTTTCCACGGTATGTTTTTTTTTCAAGTTCGTATTTTTCAAAAATGATCAATTTTGTATCAACAATGAAATTATGCGTTCAAACATTTGCTGGGAGTGTGAAATACAAAAAGATAATGCCTGATTCCTTCAATACTTTTGTCTTCTGAACGATTATGTTTTTTAACAGTGTGGCAACATTGTCTGATATTTAATTTATTTATGGGTTTTATGACAATCTGCTGGATTATGATAGTGGGCCTATTATCCGTGATTCACAGTAATTTATCACATGTTCAGTGAACTATAAAGGATGGGCCCTTTTGGGCAACTTGAAATGTCTAATATCATGGTAATGGAAAATCGATCATATGACTGACAACGAGTACACATGCATGTAGTTTTTCTAATGACATCACCACATATATAAGTCACAAGTGTAAGAATGTTATTCATCAGACTTCAGGGAAAACCGAACTGTGATCAAATCAGTGACATAATAACATCTTACCATATCTGTGAACCGTCTCTTCCTATATCTCTATAGGTAGGGTCAAAGAAAAGCTCAAGTTGTAATACAGTAAACTACGGTTATAACGAACACGCTTATAACAAACTGACGGATATAACGAACTTACGTTTTGGTCCCGACTACTTGCTGTAGTTACGCTGTATATGTACTTATAACCAACTACGGTTATAACGAACTAAAATTAGTAGTCCCTTTGAGTTCGTTATAACCGTAGTTTACTGTAGTAGAAAATGCTTCATGAAAAAGAATCATTGTAATTTGGCGCTGTCACAAGTTCAAGACATGGAAGTATTGACAAGAACAAAGTTCAATTCTCTTTCATATTTACACACCTGATAATTTTTACAGTTTAGCTTATTTCTTTAGGTCATGTGGGCCAAACTTCTTCATACCTTGTTCTTCGTCAATTTCAATATGGTTCTTTGATGCTAAAAGAATAATTTGACAATCGCTTTCTAGTCCATGCGTAATGAACTAACAAGCATGTAAATGATCTGTCATCATAAGACAGGTAAGCGATGAGATTATAATATAATACTGATAACAACGGTAAGATAGATGAAGATATTCATATTTTATCCCATCACTCGTTCTTTTTCATTACTGCCATGCCAAGAAAAGATGGCCTTACACGAAAGTAGCATGTATTCGCCTGGCATGAATTGTCATCCATTGCCTGGTTGTGTTCACAATGTGTTCATCTGATGGCCAGATGGCGGTGGCGAGTGGTGCTATTAGTAGAACATTAGTTCTTTGTGCAACGGCTTGGTCAATACTGAGTAGAGATGTCTTGGTGCTGATTGGCCTTGTGTCACTCAAGGGGAATTTAGAAAATTGTAGTGAAACATTCCCTCGATGTTTGGAGAACATCAATGAATATTTTGTCAGACAATGTTTGATATTTGAAAGGTATCACCCATCTTATAATCTATTTTTTCCACTGAATTTCAGTGATCCATTCCCAATGGAATCTATTTCGGCTGACAATCGAGACTGACTATTCTCTGTCGTTGGCATTTTATGTATATTTGAAAAAATTGACCTTTCCAAAACTACTGGTCATGTAACCTTATGACCCTTATCGGCAAACATAAAGCAAAATTAGAAGTTCCCTAAGTCTAAAGGCACTTACTGTTGGGATATGAGTAAAACAAAAATATGCACTTACACTTGACACATGGAACGGCATATTGACTAATATGTCAATATGTCACATACATGTTAATATAACCTCGCATCTGGTTGAAGGTCCTTTCCTACATAAGACTATCCACGTCTTCAAAGATGTGGTATAAGAAATGTAGTTGCCGTCGTCCAGATTGTAATATGCACAGTTGTGGTACATCCACCTCATAACTTACCTTCAGGACAGATCTTACAGAGTATATATAGCTGGCATTTCCACCCATTAAAAGACCGAATTAAACATTTTGCTTAGCGTTGTGTTCTTCTAGGATCTGAACAGTCTTTAGACAGTACTGCTCTTCAGAGTTTAAAATATCTGCTTTATTTTTTAGTGTTAATCTGCTTGTGTTTGGTTGCAATAGTCTCAGATGCCATCAATCTAAACCGTTTCGATATCGACCTTGCCCTCTAAATTAACGTTTGATGTAGATTATTTTCGTTCATGCATCCCTCCTATTCGCCACGTGGGTACACGCCGTGTGTTCTCCCAGTGCCTAATCTGATTCTAACAAACTTTCATCTTGCATAAAAACACTTGCACAAAGCAGTCCTCAAATACCCAGTCCCTCCAGAGATACCTAACCTCTCTTCGTCTCCTACAGGCACTCTCTGGACGCTCACCAGATTATTTGCCACAGGATTTGCTTTAATCCCCCGTCCGAATCCCGTCCCCATAAAGCGCTCAGGTTGTTTAAACAATCGTATATCTGTCCCCCATCAATGCTGAGAGTTTTTTTGTTCCTTGTCTTCTCTCCCCTACGTTGATGCCACGTGAGGATTTCCCTGATCCCAACAACTCCAGATGGTAGCTCCACGTCATCCCTAACCGTCTCAGCTGTGCTGGTGTCTTTCCGTCAGGTGTAAATGCAGCTCTAGTTGTGTGTGACGTAGTATCAGAGGATTAGTGTAGACTCCCATGCCACAGTTTGTTGTGGATTACGATGCTGGCCACATTTTCAAGGGTAAAAAGCATATGTAGATTACCCATGTGGTAACGCCGAGGTGTCAGTTAGGACTTGTCCAAGCAGGTGAACAGTGGTAATCTTCCTGGTCCAATTAAGTCTTGACTGTCACAGAGATACAATGGAATGTATGTGAGATCTAGGAGATCTAACATAATGAGGTATATTCGTGAAGGTAGGCAACTACAACGATTTGTAAGACAAAACACAAAGGTGGATCAGTGTGTTGACGAATACCAGGTGTGAATAATAGTAGATCTAGTGAATGTATAACGATTTGCAATTGTTTGCTTTCATATGCCCGAGACAACATCTTGAGTGAAACTATGCATAACTTTATCACTGGCGTTAATATACGTACGTCTTAATACTTTTCTTCATATTGCACGTATCAATCACGAGAACAAATGTATTGAATTAATCATGCATCTCATTCACATTCAGTGAGTAAAGCATTGAGGTACCATGTCTCCCGACGTTGCTCATTCTCTGTTATTTAATTACCTTCAATTGCAAGATAACCCTGTATGCATCAGAGATATTGGTAACTAATGTCCATGCTTCATGTCCCATAAAAGATCTAATTCGATGATTTACATATGAATTTTCGCGAATGTTGTTTGAATATTTGATATCTTGAATAGGGTTATATATATTTTGTTAAGGCTGTATGAAATTAGCATGATGTTGAGGTTATACTTGTAACCAATGTAACAGATTGATCAATACATGTTGTTGTATCCCAATGTTTTAACATTTTTCAACCCGTAGATAGTTTCTATCCTTATTTCGCATCAGCTCTGCTGAAATGTAATGAAACATGCCTCAATTCAAAAACATCAAAACCCCAATCAATAAGCTTCTTGTCCTTTTCTGAAATATATTGTTTTGAAAACTATTCTTATTGGAATAACTCATTTAGTAACAATAACAGAAATGTAATTTTATACCTGTATGCCTATTTTAGAATTGACTATAGTAAAAAGTGTCTTGAAAACAAGAAGTTTTATAATATGTCCCTGCCCTCATGACTGAATATATAACACATCATTAATATGAAAGAAAAGCACATCAGGAAAGAAATATATCCTTTGAAAACAGTTTACGTGTCCTATTCAGTTCATGATTAAAAACGACAGTGCGTTTCGTCCAATCACTTAGAAGCTGAAACTAAAATGAAGCACCAAGTAAATGATCCTACAGTAGTGAATCACAGTAAAGATCTACACGGTATATAGCGTATGTTTCTGCAAAATCATGAAAAATATTGATTCTTTTGAAAAGAGACAGACTTCTGTATGGCCACATTAAATTTTCCAGGCAATGACATAAATATTTTTATTTGTAAGTGCATTGCAGCATTAACTATTCTCTTGAGTATAACGTCATATTTGGGTTACATTTTCTACCTATAAAATCAAACTACTCACAATTCACGATTATATCTCGTTACTGAATTAGTTATTAGTTTTGGGTGATTTTTTAATTGCATGTAAAAGAAATAATTGAATTGGTCTGGCCTAAACGGGATTTAATCCACTATCAGCGCAATCAATCATCCTTCACCGACATGTTTACCAGGTTTCAACACATAAAAGTTCATAAATATGTAGCGCCGTCTAGTGCAATTCGTGATTTTTGTGAAATAACACAAGTGCATTTTTCGAGACGCAGGTCGTAAAGTTGTGTACATTATTTCAGACAATCTTTCTTGGTGATACTGAAGAGGAAAACAACTATTTTGCTAATCGCTTTATTTGACTGAATGGCACATATAGTTTCAGAAGATGTTTGTTTGTGATCATGCTGATCAGCTCATTTAACTGGGCGCGTATTCGTGCATCTCATTTCATCAACACATTGAAATACTAAATTACGCTCTGTCAGGAACGCTTTCCAAGCATTAAGTTGATAATCACGGCGTATTTTGCTTCATGCATATGAAGGAACTCGTATACTTTCAAAAATACAGTACGAGTAAGGAACCTGACCTTTCTTGTGGCACACATGCTTGTTTGTTTTTCCAAGCTTAATACTCGCTGCAAATGTTTGCATTCCGGTTTTGCATTAAAGACACTTGTTTTCCTTGTATTAAAAGTGTAATGCACTGTAACTCTGTTAGGTAGTTAATGGGTCGTTTGTAGATTGGTAAGGTTTGGTAAGTGAGTGAGTTAGTATGGTTCATGCTCAAAATGATAGTCCAGCCATTTTCGGACATTTGTCAAACACACCTCTATTAACGCAAGGAAACACCAGATAACCGTCATCGTCAACGGGTGTTACTGGAGCTAGAAAACTCATGGAACGTACAGACATAAGGCGTACCTTTGATATACACACCGATTTCGCTTTCACCAGCGTTGTCAAAAATAAATGTGGACGTGGTCATTTTATGAAATTGTCATTAAATATAATGGAGTTTCAAACAAACGTTACTCCCTAACAATCAAAATTCATAATTTTTAAGTAACTGCTGCATAAGTTTATGGCCAGTATATTATGTTATATCTTATTTTGTTCATAGCAACATTATGCATGTGAATGATGAAAAATAATTATTCAAAAATGAAATATGAAAGACTAAAATGTTTTGACTGAAGTGATTTACCATAAAACGGTAGCTTTATATGTAAATACCAATGGGTCTGTTTTCAAGTCTTCTGTCTGTAGTACCTGGCACGGATACTCTTAGATACTGCCAGATAAACACACAAGATGTGTCTCTATCAAGGTTCATTACCATAGTCTGCCAGAACCTGGTTTAGGTTAGGTAAAGGACAATAGCCCTCAATACATTAGGATTAATCCTCACCAAACTACCCTTCTACCATCAATTCAGTGTGTACCGTCATTGTGCCAAATTAAATGCAACGGCGTCTGGTTACTGAATCGTTTCCAATTGGACTAACTTGACTTCAAGAGTAGACACGTGAGAAAGGTTATTTCAATGAACAGTGCATGGTAAATATAATGTGAAATGCACTCACGATTTCCCAACAATTTACAGGACATACGTGCTTTATTCGAAGCATTTCAGAGCTTGTGCAATAGTGGAGAGCTTCTGGTGTGGAAGGAAGCTCAATATTTGCCACCTTGACACTTTGTTACAACACGTAAAGGTAATATGTGGATGAAGTTCGGTATGACTGCTTCGTCGGTTGCAATGTGATCATCAACAATGTAATATTGATTGTTTTCAACGAGATAATATCTGTTAATTCTCTCCATTATTACATTCATACTTTATACTTATACTTTGAGGAATATGTTCTTAGTAGTTACAAAGTACGAAAGGTATGGGAATGGATTTGATAGTTATAGAGGGATGATGATGATGATGATGATGATGATGATGATGATGATGTTGATGTTGATACGTTTTAAGAAAAATAATTATGAGTTTGTTTGTTGTTTTGTATATAACAGGTGTCAGCGTTATATGCTTAGAAAAGCCAGAATACAAAATGAAAATGTTATATGTTGTCATAATACATGAATTGTTTATAGTTTATTCGTTCAAATAAAAGTTGTTAAAATGCTTTTTGAGGTACGCTTAAGCTATAGCCTAGCCACACGACAAGCGTTTGTAGATCGGACATTTGTACAAGATATATGTGAGAAATATATAAGGGAAAAGATAAGGTCAAGGTCTTCCAAACACGGTCTTATCAAGCATAAAACTTATCTCAGTTTGCAAGTCATATTTAGCATGATCATATCAATGTTATCATTCTTAACGAACCCTTTTTCAAGTTCAGTTTTATTTAGGTATAAGTCTTTGTCTCATAGTTTTACTGACATTATTCCCGTTCCTTTTTCGTGATAACTAATTATGATTCTTTATGATTTTTTTATATAATACTGATGGTTATATCCACTTTCAACGAAGGCCTTGTGGTGCCTTGCTGTGAGTGAAATACAACCTTGAATTTACAATTTACTACATTATTTATCAATGATTATTTTATCAAAAAGCACCTTAAATTAATTTACAATGTCAATATGTAGAGGGTTTATTATGTTTCATTTTCAAATATCGAATGTAAAGCGAAACACCCAAAGAATTTTACATGACATGAATAATAGTTTGGAAATAGATATGATTCGACAGATTATATCACACTACTTGCGTTTAACAATACACTATTCCCAGTTTGTTGAAAGACTCTCACAAACTTCATGTCATTAATGCTGGAACACAATCTAACTGTTTTTCATAATCTCTGTATACTTGCAGAACTCGTCATGATTGCTGCATTGTCCCTGGCTCTGGTCCTAGCGTCTGCCTCTGTGGCCCGGGAACATGGATTTGTATATTGCCCAGCCTACCCCTGTCTGTGTGAGCCGAGAAATGGTGAGCTTGTTATAAACTGTCGCTACCTCTACCTTACCGAACTTCCCAAGTTCCTGTCATTCGACGGCAGAATCAAAGAGCTCTCTTTGCGCAAAAACAGCATCCGATTCCTTCCAGACAACTCGTTCAGAGGGCTGAATATCCAGTCTATTGACTTAACTGATAACATTGTTACCAAGGTGGACGATGGAGCATTTAGTGGCCTAGAGAATGTGCTTGAAGAATTGGACATGCAGGTGTATGCTATGGAAGGTCTTCCAATAAAGGCGTTGGAACCATTAGTTCAACTAACGAAGCTGAGAATTGTTGGTTGTCGGGTGCCAAAACTTCAGCGAGATACTTTTGCCAGATTGACGCAGCTGAAAGAACTTCATCTCATTTCGTGTCGTATCAATGACATTGAAGCTGGCGGTATTGGTATTCTGAGGAACTTGCAGGTTCTCGATCTTTCTGGAAACAATCTCAAGTACCAGCACTTGAGAGAAATCTCCAAATTGTATGACCTTAGAAAGTTGATTCTGACCAATAATGACATCAGGGTTTTGGGTAGTAACGCATTTGATCACTTGCTTCACCTCCGCCATATTGACTTATTCTCCAACGCAATATCCAGCATCGATCGCAACGCGTTCAAGACACTTGACTACTCACTTGAGTTTCTTAGCCTTGAAAAGAACCAGATAAAGAATAAGGCTTTATATTCGCTTAAGTCTCTCCGAAATTTAAGAGAGTTAAATCTTGCAAAGAATAACTTGACAAAGGTGACCGAAAGTGCTTTCATGAAACTGGAGCTTCTTGTTGACTTAGATTTAGAGGACAATCAAATTTCTCTCATCAAGTCAGATTCTTTGTCGGGTACAAGCAAGTATTTGAGAACATTAAAATTAAGTGGAAATCCAATTAGGGAAATTGAAAATGGCGCTTTTGCTAAACATTCCGCTTTAAAAAAGCTTTCCATGAACAAGGTCAAAATGAGTAAACGATTTAAACATTTCACCTTCAGGGGTCTTGAACGTAGTTTAGAAGAACTAAGTTTACAAAATTCTAGTATATCAGATGAAGATCTATCTTCTTTGAGAAATCTCACGAGTTTGAAAAAATTGGCTTTGAATTCCAACAACATCAAGAAAATCCCAAAAGGAATATTCCAACAGATGCAGAACCTGGAGAAGATAGATCTTTCGGACAATCAACTTTCAAATATTGACGACAGAACATTTGATGGTCTACAGCTAACACTTCAGTTAGTAAACTTCCAAAATAACAACATATCAAGCATTTCAAAGTGCACATTTGATGGGTTCCATCGTCTTGGTGACATACGCCTTGGCCTCAACCCTTTGATCTGTGATTGTCGCCTAGGCTGGCTACACAACTGGTTGAAGATGCATTACCAGGAGTTCCAGAGATCTGTGAGTGATTGGAAATGTGTCGCTCCACCAAGCCATGCAAAGAAACCGTTTCGTCATCTTGCTTTGTCTCAGCTCACCTGCTCCGGGCCACAAGCCAAGAATCAGACATGTGATTGGACCGTGGACGAATGGACTCGCCCTATGATCCCCATAGCAACCGATGTTGTCCCTTCACCCATGCTTCCTGTAGATCTACTAGGTACGGAGGTGAACCTTGCACTTGATGGATCTGTGTCGAAGGTCATTTCCGCCATCTGGAACTGCAGTAGTAAGCATACTGTCGGAGGATACAGGATCGTGGTCCGGCGTACTAATGATTCGTATGAAGAAAGGGATGTCGTGGTTCCTCTTGAGACGGGGCGTTACATATTTTCCGATCTAATGCCAGGGTTCGAGTATGAAGTGTGTTTGACTGTCCTGTCGGATGAGGAGGTTCCTCTGGGTCGGGATTGTCAATTGGAAATTACAGAGAAGGAATCAAAGACACTGGGCCGCTCTCGACACTCCCAGACTCCATTTCTCACTCTTCTGTGGACCTACGTGGCCGGAAGTCTGGCTGCAACGCTCCTTTTCGTCACCGTCGCCATCTGCATTCGACGTCACCGTCAGAAGAAGTTTATTCATGGCTTTGCCCCGGGTTATTCTGCATGGGGTGGAGGCATGATGTACGGCATGCCGAACAGCCAGGCGACATCATCCTGCTACTTTAACTCCACCACTACCGGCTACGACGACGTTGATCTCGGCGATGCCAGTGAATGTTGCCCCAGTCATGGTCGCTGCAGTGCAGTCAGTACATTCCGAAGACATTTACCAGCAAATTATATTGTCACTGCAGCAGACCTGAATGACGATTTCTACTTTCATTTCTAAAGAGTGCTGTGATGTTATTTATCTGGCTGATATTGGTATGATGTGTGTATGGTGTATCATAAGGACATTGTGCTGGACAGATACAGACATTAACAGTATCCACGACTGTGTCAAGAAATGAACTTATATTGATGTTAAAATCAATGAGTGTGGACTGTGGGTAAGTATGTGTGAGGTGGATACGTGTTGCACCATTGGTGTGTCTTCATATCGTATCTTTATACGTGTTCCACACCTGTCGAAACCTGTCGGTATTTTGTATAAAGATGTTACATATTTTTTATACTGTTCAAAGTGACACTGTGACGTTACAATGTATAAAACTAGCTTTGAAAAGCGATTTAACATAGGTAATTTCCACATGTTTGTATGAATATATTTGTTTCACATTGTTATGCTCATTAAGGTTCACATGTGTTATACCCATGAGATCCTTTGGTATTTGTTCATGAGGTTAATTATTTGTTTTCGTTTTGTTACATTCATCGGGTTGTTTACAATATGTTAAATGTCGTCAAATTACAAACCTCGCACCTGCTGTTATATACATGCATCAGCACGGGACATAGCGTATCTGAACTGATGTTATTCAGCTCCACTCGACTTTAGTCGCTACCATGGGCTTTACTGGCGTAGTAATATATAATTTCTCCATACACCGCCATATCCTGCCACAGAAATAAAGTTCGTTCAACACAAATGTTGAATCCGAAAACAACTAATTGCAAACGACTTCTACAAAAAAAATTGAAGTAAAAACAAATAGAAACACCATTTTTATATACATAAGGGTCACGTTGTACGAAGTCATGTGATAGTCACGTGACTAGAACTAGTTCCAAAATGGATTCCTACAGTCCAGATGACCTAACGGACTGAGGTGGACCGTGTGGAGCTGATGTATACGTCATATGCAGTAAATCTGCAGGCATAGATTGTGAAGCTTGATGTCGCTATTGCGCTTGTACATTTTCAATGTGTTTTTAGTGTGATGTTTCATGTTTTAAGTTGACAACAGTATTAGCTAATGTACTAGTATTTACTTTTTAATTAACGTATTCTAATGTCCATTTCAACATGCTTCAAGTTGACACCTCCATTAAGACATTGTTTCTCTCGGCCAGATGTGAATTGTCACATCCTCAATACATGTCAGAACATTACAGAAGGCGCCTTTTATGTTAACTGTTATAATATTTAACTGAACGTTTGCGGGCAAATGTTACGAACACTCGGTTATTTCAGTCAATCATTCAGCTAGGAAGTGTTGAGGAAGTGTACATTCAATTACAATCATTGTAAATACCGTTTGTAAATATTTTTGTACATCTGATGAATGTTTTTGAATAAAATGCGATATGATACATTCTAGTTACATGTTATGCACAACAGTACATTTCAGCTTTAAATGACAATCCTGGAATCGACGTTGTTAGCCCTCCGACAAACATAACTACTGTCAGCGTGGGTACAAGCTCAGCCAGTTCTCAGGTTCATTGATGGATTGACAAAAGCAAACACATGGGGAACGTTTGTAACAAAATGGTCATGATATCATCGAATGCGTTAAAATTCTTGTTTTAAGTTCTTTATCATAATATGTCCAACATTTAATGAAGTGCGCACACACTACTTGTGTTTGAGATTGGGACATCATACTTGAGAAGTCCGTGTAAAAGTTTAATACATGTATGCTCATATTGGTATTACTAAAATAAAATGCCAGGCAAAAGAGAGTATTCACCCACGTTTCATGGTGGCTAAAAATAAAACAAACAAGAACTGATTTCTTTGAGAGGCATTTAGAAGTTGGAGTATTAAGAAAGGATAAGATATATGGATAAACAACTTCTTTATTACAATGAGGAACTTGCTCGATAACGATGTTAGAAATTCCATACCAGACACAATTCTCCCACAGCAATATGAACACAATAACTGAACGCTTCTCTAAGGCAGTGTCTGAAGCACTCTCACGCGTCATTATGAGAAGCAGGAAATGAATAGCTAATATTCAGCGGATGTGATTGAATACTGTAATTATATTGTGTTTATGCATTGTCAAGGAAATGATTGCTCCTATAGGCGTAGGCTGTTGAAACTTTCAATCAGAAGGTGGGTGTCAAATTTACCAGTGAATGCGGCTGTTTGGAGAGTTGACCAGACCAGCAAATAACGGGCCGATTATCCGGTGCTGTCAAGGGATTAAGCAAACAATTACATTAACGGACAATTAGCGTGTCTAGCACAAGTACATATTTAGGATGCTTGGAATAGAACCCGCCCGCTCGTATTTCTAACACTTCAAACATCCTTCATTGATTCAAAACGGCAAGCATGGGATTTTACAAAGGTTTTGAACATATCTTAAATAAACTTCATTCATGAATGCAAAAAGTTTATACACACAATAGATGTTAGGCTTTGGGTAGGCCTAAACCACATAAGAAGACTAATCCTATCCAAAGCCTAACATCTATTGTGTGTATAAAACTACATAAGAAGGCATATTCCGAACACCATACTCGTATGTTGCATGTACCTTTTAACTTGTCTTTGAAAGGCTTTAAGAAGTTGATACATATAATAAAGAGATTTATGGATGTCAACTTCTTTATTAAGAGGAACACTTACTCCTTCATCAGGTGTAATGATGAAGGAGAAAGCATATGCTCCGACACTTTGTGTCCTATCTCTCCGTCTATGGCAGATTTGTCCATGGCATGTCAACAAACGTAATAAATACTGACGTTAGTTTTGTATAAATATGACTTTGCTAAAAACGACACACAAAGACACACACAAAGGATAGTGATAGTCACCATATGGCAAAGATTGTAAACGGAGGAGTGAAGTCATATCTGGTATGTCAGGAGAGCGGAAAGTCTGTGGTTCGGTCGCCGACCGCTTCATGCCAACAGACGATAAATGAAGGTACCTTTTGTGTCCCTGCCTGACGTTCGGCAGTAAAACAAAGGCTAAGAGTAGGGTTGGTCTGCTCGGAGTCAGTATACTGTGCCTGGTTAGGTTTTCAGTGTTCAACTGCGGCATGGTATGTTAGTGGGCTAGCAATATAAAGCCGGTGTGAGAAGATGGTGCTTGTTGTTACCCTGTCTGGCGCTCGGCATTAAGGGGATAAAACAAGTGCTCTCTAGCACGGAGTCAGTATACTGTCTGAGTGGGTATCCATGTTAAACTGCGGCATGGTATCTTAGTGGGCTAGCAAAATAAAGCCGGTGTGAGAAGATGGTGCTTGTTATTACCCTGTCTGGCGCTTGACATTAGGGGGATAAAACAAGAACTGGTCGGCACGGAGTCAGTATACTGTGTCTGAGTGGGTATCCATGTAAGGCTACGGTATGTTTTCTCAGCACTCACTCACTCACTCACTCACTCACTCCAAGTCGAAATTCCTATTCATACGCATAAAAAATCTTCGAGGAGGGGGGCACAATTAGTGCCTATGCAGAAATACAGTCAGGGCAAATATGATATTATAATTTTGAAACAGTTCCCATACAAATTTGTGATCTGTGCGGGTGGCACGGGTGGCCCAGTCGTCTGAGTCTGTGCAGAGTTGCGTCCCTTGGGCACGCCAGAAACCTATGATTGTGGGTTCGAATCCAGGTTCGCCCTGATTATGTTTCTAGGTTTGTCAGCACCATATCCGTGCTCGTGGGTTTCACCGAAGTGGTAAACGTCTCAGACCTGCATCACTTCGAGCTTTCCTCCCACATTAAGCTGACACGCCGCGATATAACTGTGCTTAAATAATTCACACTTGGAGACGATAAATGACACACATTGAAATGCTTTGAGCTGAAGCATTTAAAAGATCAGCATTATGATCTAATAATTATTGTAATCGTATGTATGGCAGAATTCGTTTTAAATATAATTTTAATGAAACCATTTGGTTCGTCAGATAGTTGTAACGTTGTTAATATATAACACCTGGCACCATGATTCATAAACACATGCTTATAATATGGTCAGAATCGTACAATCGACCCTGATTTTAGTAAAGATTTCTTTTGAATATGGAAAGGGTTTTGTCGTTTTTATGATTACTATAAAAGCTTTTGAGGTCTTTCTGAATGAGCTTTTCGCAAACAACTGGCCATGGTATCATCAGTATTTCATAGTGATTCAAAATCGCATGCAAGTCATATAGTCGAAATCGTTCAATGGAATCGTACAAGACAGTTCTTGTGATCACGGAAATGGTTTTGTCACGTTTAAGTTGTTTACCAATATTATAGCAATATCACGGAGAAGATATCAGAAAACGTTTTATATATATTGTACCCATGTGAAGAATCGAACCGGGTCTTCAGAGTGACGAGAGATCGGTTTAACCACTAGGCTACCCCCACAGCCCAGAGAATGTTGAAGCACGTGCGGAATGATCCCATGGGCTTAAAACATCCGGCTTAAACAAAGAGGACTCAAAAAAATTAAATATGTATTTACTCAGGATTTATACATTGTTTACAAGGGGATCTTTGGAGGGTACAGATTCTCATATGGACAGCCGGCGGGACCTTAGAGAACATGTTTACACATCGCTGGAATCGATAAAAATTCAATCTAAAAGAAACATACCTTTATTCAAAGAGAAACGAAAACAATAAGCTGTTTATGACAGAAAAACAAACATAAGCGGAAACGCTAACTTCCTACATGGTGTCGTCATTGTTTGTAAAGACAGCCTCGATTGATTTATCTCAGACAGAGGGAGTTGTTATTCAACACATTACCAGACCTGGGTTTTGTAACTTAATCTTTGAACTGAAGGTCGTTGTGGTTCATCCAGGAACAGACTGACGCATCGGACACCAGACAATACGAGGAAACCACACAAAGACAAGAAAGATATGCTGCTTCAATGTTTGAATGTTTGAAAATTTCAATGTTTGAACACAACTGAGATATGAAAAAGAGCTTTCTGCACACAGACCTCATGGATTAGTATTCGATAGCTTTTTGTTTGATAGGCATTACTTTGAAGTTGACAGGTGATATGGTAGACACAATTTTATGGATAACAACTTCTTTAATACTGTAAAAAGCGCCGTTTCGGTATAGATCCTTATACCGTTGTCATGGCATAAGGATGACTGCCTGGCAACGGCATAAGGATCTACACCGAAACGTCGCTTTCTACAGTATTAAAGAAGTTGTTATCCATAAAATTGTGTCTACCTTGTATAACTGCCCTGATATAAAAGTATCCTCTCATTTAGACAAGTAAAACAACATTTCCTGATGGATGCACTGCAATGTAGCATCTGATACCTTAACTTGGCAATGAAACAACCCAGGTAGAGTAAAACATAACACCATGTAAGTCTTTTCTTATTAAAAGCGACGATTCGGTAAACATCCTCAAACCGTTGTCGTTGGGTGGGTGAGAAACCTACTCTAATAAACTTTGGGCTTATTGGCTGGGGTGAGGGAGGCGGGTGTCAGGGGTAAGTGGCGACCGTGTGCGTGTGAGCTGGGCTTGGGTGAGCGGCTGGATAAACGGGCATGGTTATAAGTGGCTGGATATGGGCGAATTTTTCGCGCGGACGTCGACTGAATGAGTACATAATATATATAGTAGGTGGAGGATTAACAGTAACAACAATATCATACATGAGTGCGATAACATAGGTAAGTGTTGACAACAAAGGGATAATGCTGTCACAACACGATGGACGGAGAAAACATAGGTGGAAGCCAATGGGACATGAAGCCTATTAAACAGGATAAGTGATTATTGCTTGATAAGTTCATAGCAGGCGGATGGGATGAAATAGCCTTGATTTCTCTTGATTGATGGCTTGTGGGGGCGAATGTGGACTGGTTCTGTTAGTTTTCTTTAAGTGAAATCATGGAGGTTGTTGGAGAGGATTTGGACGTTGTCCCAGTTGATGTTACGATTAGAACACTATAATCTACCAAATCAAAATTACATAAACAAACAAACATCCACAATACCCAGCTCCCTTAGTTCTCCTCCCCAATCCCATCGGCATCTATTCCAAATCTCAAAATTCCCAAATTCTATATAAGCAACCCCTAAAGCCCCCTCTTGGGTTGCACACACCACTTTCGCCCCTTTCGGAAACACATTAAATGGCCTGGCCCTGTCGGATATAATGGTGGAGGTTTTGCGCTCTATTATTCTGGTGTTGATCTGGCGGGATGTTTCACCTACGTAAAGTTGCAGTCAATTTTGTAAACTACACCTTTAGGCTCTTGGGGTTTGGTTGTGTTCCTGCCGTTGGCTCTTAGCATGGTGTCTGGGGAGTTGGAGCTGGTGAAGTGGGTGTCGATGTTGGCTTGCTGTTTGAGGAGGCGGCTGATGATGTGGGAGGCTTTTCCTACGAACGGGAGGACGATGCGGAAGGGCGCGGATTCGGGTTTAAGGGTCGCAGGTCTGGGTGTGGGATGGAGTACAGAGGAGATGACTTTGTCGACGAGATTGGGTGGATAATTGTTGAAGTGGGTGAAGACTTGGCGGAGGTGTTCGATATGCATTATTATTTTTACTCTCAGCTCCCTGGGGAGTATACACCCCAATTGCCTGGAAGGATAACAGACACGTTACATTTGCATCAGTGGTGGGCTGGACCAAAGCCCTAAAATCAGAGCACATATCTTCAAACTTAAGGTAAACTGTCTGAATGTGTATTCTTGTTTATATCACGTGTACTTAGGCTATCATTCCTGAACACTACAGCTGTGGTCTCATCTGTCATGGATGTGGTGCAAGAATAAATACACAGTAAACGCCAGTACACTTACTCATTAAGAAATAAACGTGCATTTATATTGAATCTACATAGCACCAACCGAAGTTAACATTAATTCATTAATTCTATTTTGATCATTCAGACATCAATAACAAAAGGTTCTCTGATATTGTTCCACTGACCACAACCTTTTGGTCTGATGTTCACGACTATTCTTTTTTATGATTGCACAGCATTGTTTAAACTTTTTATGGATAACCTGTTTAAATGAAGACATGTTCTTCCAACTTCTAAATGCCTGTCAAATTTAAGCCTTTTTTATTCATATGAAGGTAAATCGCCTATATCGAGACACTAATATGTAAAGTATATACATGTATATGTATGGTACATGATTAATATATCCTAATTTAACATTTAGCTAGTTTGATCTTGAAGTATTACTTTGACATACACATTTGCATAGGTCTCTAAGTAATATTACACAGTTCGAAGTGTAGCAAACATATATGGATTTTGATAATACTGTTAAGTCTGATGGTCGTATACAAGCACATATTATAGTAAATGTTATTCATCTTCAGTCCTTTTTGTTGCAAAGAGGACAAACATGTACACATAGATCGGATCCCGTCTTCCAGTCTTAACACCCTTCTCTAAGTCCTATAAACACGTTACGGCGTTTCGTATCAAGGTAACAAGGTTAGCTTCCTTTCTGGCCCCAATAAGCCCTTAAATTCAGTTTGTATATACAATTTGTATCTCTAATCTATTTTACATAATTCTATTCAAAGATTGCAAATGCAAATGCAACATTTTTAAACATATAAAGGATGCAATATTTATAAACAGCAACCTGCGAAATCCAGTCAAAGCGAAATCCACATGAACGGAAAATCTACAGTGGGGTTTGATTGTATTTTATGGGAGCATCGCCCACAATTTTTCTTCAAAACTTATTTCCCTTGTACTAGGGATGGAGTAGTCTTATTTCGAAGAAAACTCCAAAGAGTGACGTTGTCCATGCTGTTGTAGAAATACAAATGGTGACGTTGTCTGTTGCTTTAATATTTGTATAAACTTCACTATTCCCACGTGCATGTTAATGCACGGTGCACAATTTGGATATGTGTGTGTTTGTTAGGAGTATGACACTCATACATATTTGTTTAATGTGAACAGAACACAATGATTGTTTAGCTATTAGGTGTGCAAACAAACGCTTTTGTTTAATCGTAAATAACGCTTACGCAATGCCACGGCGTGCTTAAACTCAATGTCTACGCGCCTTGGGTGTAGTGCAAACAGGAATGGTGCAAAACTAAATTGCAAGACATTTTAATTTTGATCGAAACTCAATATTATCTCTTTGGAGACTATATCTACAACAGGGCATCACTCATGACTTGCTACGGGCCAGTCGTCCACGTGTGACGTCACGTCTATATGACAATCTTATTTGGTTGGTGCATCTACGGAATCGATACCAAACTGCCACATTAAGAACTCGGACAATTTCTGCGTTGAAACCAGTTAGTGGCAGAACAGTACTCAGCCGGTTGAAGGAGCACAACATCTAGCCCCGACATCCAGCGATCTGCCCATGTTTGCTTGTACGTCACCGCCAGCCACGCCTAGCTTGGTGTGGACAGCATCTGGGGTTCAAAAGCCAAGACTGGGACTGGTTAGTGTTCACAGATAAGTCCAGGTTGCATCTGGACAGCTCTGATGGTCGTTCAAGGGTCTACATGCGCCCAGGGGAACGTTTCAGCAACGCTTGCGTTTCTCAACATCGTCAGTTTGGGAGTGGAAGTGTTATTGTATGGGGTCGCATCACAACTAATGGGAGAAGGCGGCAATAAGTGGTGTACTTGGGCCCAATCCCTTTGTCGGTTTGGACAATAAACTATGTTTAATGTATAACTAATGGGAGAACACAGCTCATCATTGTTGATGGCAGTTTGAATTGCGTACACAACCAGGAAGACATTGTCCGAGATCATGTTCTACCCGTTGTGCAAATGCAGGGAAGTATACGTTACGTTGCAACAGGATAATGTCCCCCACACGTTGCAAATGTTGTAACAGACTAATTGATGCAGCATAACATTGCTGTACAGCCCTGGTCAGCTGTTTCTCCAGGCCCTTCCCTGGGATGACATGGAACAGAGGCCTACGACAGGATCCGAACCAGCCGGTAACGCCAGCTCAGTTGGACCAATCTTTGGTTGACATTTGACATTCACCGGGCTGTTATTAATCATCTGGTGTCTTCTGTGCGTCACACTGCCTCACCTTTATCAAGCAAATGGTGGTTACATCATATATTGACATTATTACTTGAGGTGTTACACCACCCCTCTTCAAGGGCGTGTCCTTCTGTCGCCTGTTACCAGGTAGGGATTTTGTCCATGATAAAACATTGACCTGACAAATGACCAAATATTGTTATGATATTTTTAATAACATTACATTTACACAACATTATATAAAGCAGGGTTACTTTTTCCGCTCTTATAATTATATGTTGTGGTTAAAATTTGCATCCTTGTTTAGTTACTGCACAGTGAAGTCTAAGTAGAAGATGACATTGGTGCCTATCACTGTTGACGACGTCGTGTTGAAACTGATAGCTTCTTGGCACAGTTTTCAATGTAGAAGACATAATTTCTCCAGCTTTTGGACTTAAGCTGACAATAAGCCCACATTAAGCTGACACACCGTGTATTATTTTGTAATTTTCAACCATAAATCATGAGGGACATTCTATAAAGTACATAGAATTATCAAAATAAAATAAAATAAAATAACATAAACTCATATTACTGAGGTCATGACAATGCATTGTTATGACATCATGTTTTTCAATAGCCTCTCAACCAACGATCGTGGAACAACAGGCATGACCTAGCCAATCAGCATAAAACAACTTTATATTTCTTGGTAAGATTTAATTATCCCAATGGTTAATATACCCATAAAATACTGCATACGATAAAAATTGTTATTCTTATACACGTTCCGTAGAATCAGTTTGATAAACCGAATCGTATATCTATGTACTAGCACAGGCATGAAATATCTCATACAGCAAAAAAATGCAAAGTTATAATATGTACATGGGTCATATATTTGCATAGCTACACATGTGAAACAAATATACATAGATACACATGTATGCATGATAACGTGTGTGCCTGTTAGGTTCCATGTCATGCTTTGTGCCAGTTAGAGAAAGGCTTCCCCTTATCGACTTTTGCCGTGTGGCGATTCTGATGAATCATCTCCCACTTCATCATGTGTGGACCCTGGATCGTCGTGTCAAACTCATCCTCCTGTAACATATACCACCATATAACTCATTCCACATACTGCTACATTAGTGTCACAACAGCGACTGATTGGCCATGTTATGTTCAATAGTGTGGGATTATCCCTTAACATATTTCACTTTCGTCATTGTTTCCACGTTTTGAATTCATTGTCAATGCATTTTGGCTATATCAGGCACTATTACAGCTGTTGGTCTCTTTTATTCTTATTGATAGTGTACACGAAATAACGTCAATATGAATATAGGTTACTGTGGTGAAAGTTAATTTCGTTTCTCTGGAATTGACCACATGTCGTTACCTTCTCGCCCTTATTGCAAGCCTGTTTTGAAGTGACGCTTCTGTCCACAGCTACAAATGGCGACCAGTCAATCTTGTGGTTAGGTTTGGACGGATCCCTCATCAGTAATCCCTCCTTCAAGCCGTAGAAGCCGACAGGTTTAGAGGAATCCTGCCAACGCAGGTCCATGCTCCATCGAATAACGTTGGAAAGATTCGGCAGACTGAATAAATACAAAGAATGGGTATCAATTATTATCAAAATATGAGGAGTGGGAAGTTTACAAAGGAAGGTATTTTTTGGCAAAAAGCATTATATATTACCTTCTGTGGGGGATCATGTTGTTGATCAAAAGCATCCCGCCGTAGGGAATTGGGCACAGTTTGATGTCTTTGTCCAGATCCACACCTGGAACAATCCATGATCTGTGCATGACACGACAAAACGCTCTGGCACCCAGCTGAGTATAAAACGTCGTCAACGTCTTCCAGCCATGACAACACCTAACGTTCTTATTTCTGAGGTGGGCGATGCTTATCGGTCATCTTATGATCATATCACAGTTCGTCATTACATTAATACGTAAACGATGTATGCATTATCATTAATGCAGACGGAAAATAATATCGCATATCCGTGCCCTGATGAAGGCGACCCCTGACGATCCGGGGTAGAATAGGTCTGCAGCAACCTATGCTTGCCATGAAAGGCGACTATGCTTGTCGTAAGAGGCGACTAACGGGATCGGGTGGTAGACTCGCTGACTTGGTTGATGCCTGTCATCGATCCCAATTGCGTGGATCGATTGTCATGATGTCAATCACTGGGTGGTCTGGTGCAGACTCGATTATTTCCAGACTGCCGTCATATAGCTGGAATATTGCTGAGTGCGGATTAAACAACAAACAAACAAACAAACTTGTGAATGCGATGTTTCTTAGGTGCATTGATGAACGCAGTGGCATCCATGCCCTGTTAAATGCATACACCAATGAATGGGTATCCACATGGATGTGTGGTTGTAACGACAGTTAAACATATTTCTTGCCTAATATACATATTTAATGCAGTGCAATAAGAATGGGATTCCCATCTTACCCAGAGTCTTCACCATCTCCTCCTCTGGAAGTTCCACATACCACGTGTCCGCCCAGCAGCACGTGTGACGGCAGATGCGACCTGGTCGGTGACCGCCGGTGACGACCTGGGAACCAAGGAGCTTTGAATTACACCAGACAGTGAATGACATGTGTAGTCCACTGGTATTATTACTTTTACAGAACTCTGTCACTTGTTGAATGGGTTGGGTTTAAGGTTTAGGCGAAATGTCACGTTTTTTTCAGGTTTGTGGATTTTTCCCTCAAGTTTGCTTTTTTGTTCCCATCTGTTCTCTATACAACAAGGCTTAAGAAATCCATTGGTCCACCTTTTTCGTCAGCCATTTTGGTCATTTATAGTATAAAGAGTTGGGTGAGCCAAACAATATCAAACTTGAGCAAAAGAAACAGCAAACGTACTAATTTCCTATTACAAACACTATAACTATATATTATCGCAGCTTTGAACCAACAGCATTTCAGTTTGAACGCAGCGGGTCTTATGTCGTAGAAAATCTTTTCTGATGAAGGCTTACCTTTTATAGTAAAACCCCTATAGTAAAACCCATGAGCACCGATACAGAACTGACAATCCAAGGATTAATAGTGTAATTGCTGGGTTCCAACTAACCCTCACAACTGATGGCATGACAAGTAAAGGGTTTGTTTTTTACTGGACCCTATCTTGATCACATGTTGGTCATATAAAGCTCAGAAAATCACATTCAGATTCATATTTGAGAAAACTGAGTGCAAGGTTACCGACATTATAAAACCCACGAGGTTGGTAATGGTACTGACAGATCGTGGGTCGTATTTAGAGCTTTGAATCCAAGGTTCTTGGCACAGTTAATCATCGCAACAAGCAGCGGGGTCTTCGTTCACTGGGCTTCCCGCACCCCCTTCTTATGCATGGAGAAGGCCCATCTCCCGTAAGCCAGAAATCTGACAAGTGCATAACAGTCACCGAATATCTAATCGCATGATGTTTTAGTTATCCTTACTAACCTCCATACAGCCATTTTGAGCAGTGGCATCGAGAAGCGGAATCCAAGCCGTTGGTTGCAGGACTTTGTAAGACTCGTTGTCAAGGTAACCACAGTCTTAAATAAAACAACTATGTATTATTAATATCAACATGGTCAGCTTGATTGAAATATATCTGAAACAATACATAATAAATGAGTGAGTATGGTTTTACGCCGCCTTTAGTCATATTCCATGAACACCACGGCGGGGGACACTAGAAATGGGCGTCACACATTGTACCCATGTGGGGAATCGAACCCGGGCTTTCGGCGTGACGAGATAACGTTTTAACCATTAGGCTACGCAACCGACCCTAAAAAATGAAAGTCTTACGAGGTTACAGTGTACTGAAAGGAAGCCTCTATTTACCTTGATGCCATGGAACTGTAGACGCGTTGTTCTGAGGTGTTTTTGTCCGCAGATTCCACACTGGGTGTCCAGCTATGTTTGGTCCAACCAGTTGTTCAACCAAATTCAAGAGTCGGTCATTGCTCCAAACTGCACGGAATTCCTGCATTTTAAGAAACATTCATATTGAAGGAAGGGTCAGTGGTTAGTTTTTGACATTCTGATTACAGATAATTACAAACCTTCACTGATAGGACAAGATGTTTTAGCAACTTTAACAGATTACATGAAGACTATTATTATTTACTGTGTGTTTACATACCGGTGGGAGGATACCTGCTTTATGTAAGATGACATTGGCACCAGGAAACTCTTTCTCAATAAACGACAGGCGTTCGAACAACCCTTTGTCTTGGTACAAATCTGCAATGGCATACGCACATCAATCAATGTGATATCCTTGGTTTTGGCATAAAAATATTTATGTATACCATTGTTGAACATATCTTTGCAAATCTGGATTGCGAAAAGGGCATTGTGCACAGAAACATTTGAAAGTGTAAAGCAACTTGTGTCCTCTATAGAAATAACATACTTTTAATCTTTCCTCCTTTGTACAATTTCTGAGCGAGATCCTCAACTTGTTTCTCTATGGCTTTTCTGCAAGGGTCCAATTCCTCCTTGGAGAAGAACTTATCTACTATCAGATAGCCCTGGGGAAGAGCACAATATTTAGAACATCATCGTCATATCATTTTAGATACCATCGACAGTGACAAATTCAAAAAATAATAAATAGTGCTAAATATGATTATGAAAAAGTAGAAGATCGCATGAACAATTCGACCAGCAATCATCCGAGAGCCGGCATAATGTTCTTTGATGTTTCCATGGCGATAATGACAGACTTGAAAACAGGCCCTGATATCTCAGATATCGCATATGCATCTGAAATAACACCACACATTTAGGGAATCGCCAATTGGTTACTCACCAAATGAAGGCGGAGTTTGCCGATAACTGAGTCACCCTCATATAAAACATTGTAACAACATCAAACGAAGTCAGGAGAAGTAATAACATTTTCATTGCATCCATTGTAATAATACAATGGAGAACGAGGTTTACACAAAGGGATGCCGACATTCGTGATCTCATTGAAAAGTTTGGCCCTTCCATGTCAGACATTTTGATATGATAAATTAGATTCCGCGCCCGAAAGATCTCGTTCAGATGTGACCTCCTCACTGAGGGGCATGTTCGTCGGCCATTGGATAAAAAAACAGTAACATGATTGACACTCGCCTCGCTGATATTTTGCATAGTCTCGCGTCATCATATAACTTTTATTTAATTATTCCCCGCACACTTATGCAATTTGTTCGCGGAAAATGCATGAAGAAAGTATGCGAGCTTGTCTTCGTCACCCAAGGATCGACGTGTAATACTAAGAAAATCAAAAAAGCAACTCTCTAATTAAGTGGATAAAACAAGGATTGGTCGGCTCAGTATATTATACATTTAGCATGTGTGTGGGGTGTCTATGTTAATCTGCGGCATGGTATTTCAGTGGGCTATCACTATTAAACTGGCAGACGTCTAGTAACAGCAGCGACACACACACACACACACACACACACACACACACACACACACACACACACACACACACACACACGAACACACACACACACACACACACACACACACACACACACACACACACACGAACACACACACACACACGAACACACACACGAACACACACACAAACACACACACACACAAAACAAACACACACACACACGAACACACACACACACACACACACACACACGTTATTGAAGAAAATAATTGTCTGACCTAACATATTATTTTGCATACTTAATAAATGTAGAATAAAGTAAAATATAATATTAATAATGTTTCACAGATTATACAAAACATTCACCTTGTCAAAGAAATGATCAACTTGAGCCTTTGTGAGTTGTCCTGGCTTTGCTTCAGTTGGCTGGGGTGGAGGAACGGTGAAAACTTCGGGGTAAGCTTCGTCACAATCCCCAGGGTAGCGCGTTGCTGTCGTCGACATGATTGTTCCTCTACTATGATGTGTGACCAGTAATGCCTGTGTGCTTGTGAGTTGATTGCTGTTTTGAGTTTATCTAATTATCCGTATCACATCGGAAACACATTCATCTGAAATGCCTCGTCGTTGTTTCAAGCACTGCGCTCGGTAGGTATTGCCGTCTCTAACGACGTTTACATCCGAATGGACTAAGGCAAATATATGGATTCATACTATTTATGTTAATATGCGTGTGAATATACATATTGTGCGTTGTCTTAAACTTGTGTTTAAACTCAAGATACCTTAGATTCTATTTTAGGTGACATACATAGATTACATGTTAGACTGCATGATTCCTTCCCGTGCTTTTGTATTTCTATCATATTTTAGAACACATCAGACTGTGAACTATAAAAACCCACGGTGCCCTGTTTACGTTTTTCATCAAATTAAGGGGACGGTCGGGTAGCCTAGTGGTTCAAGCGTTCGCTCGTCACGGCGCAGACCCGAGTTCGATTCCCGACATGGGTACAATGTGTGAAGCCCATTTCTGGTGTTATTGCTGGAATATATCTGAAAGCGGCGTAAAACCAAACTCACTTAAGAATTGGATAACTTGTAATAAATAAGTTTGATACGATTTAGACGTTCATTTTTATTTGAGTACGTTTTGTTCAGGGGTGCTATTTTTATACTTTGTTGACAGAAAGTGAGATTGGTCGTTTAGAACATATTCCCCACGCGTCAGATATTTAATGAAAATTAAAAGACAAACGTTACTTACATCATAATAGACATTTACAACCCGAAAGTAGTAAGTGCGGGTATAATGCTAGTATGATCTAAGGTTTCGAACCCACAGCTGGCATATTCTGGTATGGCTAAGGGAGGCAACTATGCGATTCTGGTGTTACGGGGATATTATGACAGGTGTTAAAGGTACAGAGCATGTACGACGTGTGTTGGGAGTATAGTATGACTGTGTTGTGAGTACAGTATGACTGCGTTACAGGTGCAGTATGACGGTGTTACAGGTACAGTATGACTGCGTTACAGGTACAGTATGACGGTGTTACGGGTACAGTATGACCGTGTTACAGGAACAGTGTGACCGTGTTACAGGTACAGTATGACCGTGTTACAGGTACAGTATGGCCGTGTTACATCGTACAAGTACAGTATGGCTGTGTTCCAGGTTGAGAGTGGTTGCTGTTACATGTGGAGTGTGTCTGGTTGTTACAGGTCCTAAGTAACTGTTTTACATCTATAGAGTTTGATTACACTGAAGCACATGTACATATGATGTCTCCTTGTGACTGTGTTTAAAATGTGCTTCTGTTCACCAGGAGTGGATAGGTACCCGGTCGGATGAGATGGCAATATCGTTAACTTTCTTGCACCTCACAGGCATGTTGGGGAATATACTCCCCGGGGAGCTGAGAAATGATTGTTGACTGCACACTGATCCACTGATCGGGGTAACAATGTCGAAGCGCTCAGGGCAAGTTTATGCATGGAGTACAGCGCCACAGAAATGGACTATTATTCTTTATCCAAGGTGCGTCGACCAGTGGACCTACATATTCGTCCTTGGACTTACGAAGCGTAAATGTTTAGCCACCTCCGGGCGAGTAAACATATACCTTTTCCGTTTACACGGAATAGAAATGATAGTAACGGAAACAGTTATAACATACTCAGTACACATGCCTTAAAACATAAATAGATTTCATGTAGCTATCCATTATGTTCAATCTCATTAAAATCAGAATGATCTATTATATACTTCAGTGTGAAAGACTGAGTTTTCTGAAGTTGAGAAAAGTGATATTTTCTTTGCAGTGAAAAAAACCTTTGACGGAGAATTACCTTCCCTTAAATTTTCCCGCTTTATCGTAACTTTCAAGCCCGTACACAAACTTTTGACGTCTTTGTTACGTTAGGTCCACATTGACAAGGCAAAATAATGAAAGATAGTCATTTATGGACTTAATATCACTTCTTGCCGTTTGTTATTCTCTCGAATATGTTTCGTTAATTTCTCCTTTAACTCGTCAATCGAGGTTGTTCGTTTCGCAAAGCGACATTTTTGTTACTTGACCAGTGTGTATTCTTTCGCTTCCAACAGCGGTTTTCAAGAATATTTTTTTGTTAAAATTGATTTTGTATATAATCATATCAAAATGTATGACAGAGAATTTTCGTGACTCTAAATATTTTTTGATACTTTTGTTTACATTTGTTAAGATTTGTAGTCGCAAAGTCCCTGTGCGTAAGGTAGGGAAAATTTACGTTTCAAGGTTTTACATTTGTAAAATATAATTTATTTTTCCGGGGGAAGACTAGACAAAATGTATATAATAAATAGGATATTTCATGTGTCTCGTGAAATATCATGTTTCTCTCATCTCGTGACGGGGGGTAAAAGGAGATATTTTCACTCGGGCTTACGCCACTCGTGAAACCTCCATAGGAGGTCGCGTCAGGTGAACTCTGAACGAACTTTAACCGCCCAGCCAAGAAGAAGGTTGTGTGCATTCTTGAGCCAATCAGCTCTCAGCTTTCTAAAACGATTCGGCTTAATAGTTTATCACCTCGATTCAGAAATTTCGATTCGTTCAAATGAAAAAACACAAAGAACACGAATATTCCTCCGGTGGTATTCTCTTTTGGATGTAGTTGGCGTGGCGGTCAGAAACGACAGGGTGTACATCTATGAAATGTATTCAACAATATAATGGCGCCGCTATACTTTCTACTTTCGGAATTTGTCGTGTTAGTTCTTTTTCGAGGTGCTGAAATCACATATGATGGTTCGAATGTTTCGATCACTTTTACCGAGAATTTAGCAACATCGACGCTGATTGGTTCATTTACCTGACGGGACTTTCGTTGGCGCTGATCCTCAGATCCTCGAGCAGAGAGCTATCGCATCGGAGTAAAACATTAACGAGACAGCATAATGTTGCCAGATGGTTCGTATCTCGTATCCCATGCGGGAGAGTTACTACGTTCTCTGTACCGTATTCACGTCAGTAATTACAAGTAAGCATAACAAGAATGATTTTAGTAGGAACGTCAGAGACGGAATTGTTGTGAACCCTACACTTGTACTGAAAGAGTGAGTGAGCGCGTTTGGTTTAACGCAGCTTTGGACAGTATTCCAGTTATGTCACCGCTTGTCAGCCTAATGTGGGAGACAAGCCCGAAATTATGCAGGTCTTAGACGTTAACCAACAATCACGGGCATGGTGCTGACGAACCTAGAAACATAATCAGGAACAATAGGGATTCGAACCCACGATCATAACTTTCTAGCATTCCTAAGGGAAGCTGCATGGGAACAGCGAATTGCGGCGCCTTAGACGACAAAACAGTGCATAAATAATCAGGAGAGGTGTATCGACCACAGAACTTAAAACAAACATTTAAAAAAAGAGCAACGAGAGTCAGAGGGATTAGTGTTAAAGATGGTATATGCTGGATATTCCTGGACAGTGTCTGGCGCTACAGCTATGTCTGCGTTAAGTATATTAACATCGAGGAGAGGTAACGTACGCGTGTCTAAATATGAATATGACCAACGTTCAACTCCAAATGACACAAATAACCAACATGAAGTAAATAATATATGTTTATTGCCCATATGTTTCAAGAAGAGCGAACTAATGTTAATCCAGACCAAACAAACATGGCCGAATTATTCCAGGTACCCTACAACTTTGATGACGTAATGTAGGCGCCATTATTGACATATGACACACACAGGATTGGCTACGCCATTTGCCATGACGACACAGTTAATACTGTCATTGTTGAAGTCCTGTTGCAAGGTTAGCTTGCACGTATTCCCTTCACGAATTTAACTGTGTGTCGGTTCTCGTGCGTCATTTCCCACTTCTCCATATGGGGGCCCTGGATCGTGGTTTCGAAGGCATCGTCCTACAACACATAGGGTTAATATACTACGACACCTTCCCAATGCCCGTTCATCTACCATTATCACCAAACGTGGTTAGGCCTGAGAAGTTGTTCGTTACGCCATTTGTCTTTTAGGGAAACATTATTTACCGATCGCGGACGTATTTTAAGATTAGATTTTAAGAAGTATGTTATGTTACCTAAAAGAATTTTTAAATAAGGTCGGTTCATGATGGATCACACGAAGCCATTAAAAAGTGGTCAAATGTCACAAATGTTATATTTGCGATAACACTTCCTTAGTAAAGTATAGATTCTAGTACTTTGGGGGGTTGAGTCCAATCCGGACTTACTTATTTACACTTGTCATAGGGGTACACAAAGTACGTGATCTCGACAACCAGTTGTCGGACTTTCATTTTAGAAAGGGTTAGGTCGCTGACTTTGTGTGCTGGCGACTAGGTGCCTCATTCTGGCAGTGTGGCTTCGATACCGGATAGGACTCAACCCAAAAAAGTACTAGAATCTGTACTTCACAAAAGAGTGCTTTTAGCAATATTCCAGCAATATCACGGCGGGGCACATCAGAAATAGGATTCACACATTGTACCCATGTCGGGAATCGAACCCGGGTCTTCGGAGCGAACGCTGTAACCACTAGGCTACCCGACCGCCCCACTTCACAAAGGAAGCGTTATCCTAAATATCACATTTGTTACGGTTCATGATAGGTCTACAAGCAGTTTTTGTAAAGCACTTAGATTTACTGAACGAATAAGTCTTATCCCCGTTTCCAATGGGACTCATGAGTCATATGGGTACTCGTCAGCTTGACGTAAGCTATCTAATCATACAACCTGTCATGGACTACACAACAAGCAATTGTTAAAAAGCAGATTTGAAGATAGACATCACATTACAAGGATGATTATTTGATGAGGTTATGTGGGAATATAAATCATTTACAGAAAAATTATTATTCTAATGTGTAATTGGGGAAATATTGAAAAGATGTTCGAATTCGATTTTTAAAATGGCGCCTAATTGAAAAAGGCTGTTTACGGCCACGACACAATCAGTTTTGTTCAAAATGTAATGAAATTAAGCATTTGTTTTTCGAGTTGTGGCATTAAACACAAATATATATGTTCCTTGTTTGCTATAATTAAATGTTGACCTTTTTATTGCTGTGCTCATATGGTCTCTCTCAAAATACTCTTATCATTGGTTCTGTAATCTTCTCCTTTGAAATTGCCATACCGAGGGAGCTGCACATCAATTTGGCACGTATGTTTCACCTTTTCATGACACCATATTTTGTTTCAATGGGGCCCCTAGTATGTTGGCTATATCGGCATGTTCATGTACATATGTTTACTATGTTTACATGTTCAAGTGTCTGTTTTCATTGTTTCAATGTTACATGAACCTGTATGTTTACAATGTTTCCATGTTCACCAGTAAGTTTACAATGTTTCCATGTTCATGTATATTTACAATGTTTCCATGTTCATGTATGTTTGCTATGCTTCCATGTTCATGTATGTTTACTATGTTTACATGTTCATGTATGTTTGCTATGTTTCCATGTTCACCTTATGTTTACTATGTTTCCATGTTCATATATGTCTACTATGTTTCCATGTTCATGTATGTTTACACTATTTCCATGTTCATGTATGTTTACACTGTTTCCATGTTCACTTTATGTTTACAATGTTTCCATGTTTACCAGTAAGTTTACAACGTTTCCATGTTCACCAGTAAGTTTACAATGTTTCCATGTTCATGTATGTTTACTATGTTTCCATGTTCATGTATGTTTACAATGTTTCCATGCTCATGTATGTTTACTATGTTTCCATGTTCATGTACGTTTACAATGTTTCGATGTTCACCTATGTTTACTATGTTTCCATGTTCATGTATGTTTACTATGTTTCCATGTTCATGTATGTTTACTATGTTTCATTGTTCATGTATGTTTACTATGTTTCCATGTTCATGTATGTTTACTATGTTTCCATGTTCATGTATGTTTACTATGTTTCCATGTTCATGTATGTTTACTATGTTTCCATGTTCATGTATGTTTACTATGTTTCCATGTTCATGTATGTTTACAATGTTTCCATGTTTACCAGTAAGTTTACAATGTTTCCATGTTCACCAGTAAGTTTACAATGTTTCCATGTTCATGTATGTTAACAATGTTTCCATCTTCATGTAAGTTTACTATGTTTACATGTTCATGTATGTTTACTATGTTTCCATGTTCATGTATGTTTACTATGTTTCCATGTTCATGTATGTTTACTATGTTTCCATGTTCATGTATGTTTACTATGTTTCCATGTTCATGTATGTTTACTATGTTTCCATGTTCATGTATGTTTACAATGTTTCCATGTTCACCTTATGTTTATTATGTTTCCATGTTCATGTAGGTTTACTATGTTTCCATGTTCATGTATGTTTACACTGTTTCCATGTTCACTTTATGTTTACAATGTTTCCATGTTCACTTTTTGTTTTCAATGTTTCCATGTTCATATATGTTTACTATGTTTCCATGTTCATGTATTTTTACACTATTTCCATGTTCATGTATGTTTACACTGTTTCCATGTTCACTTTATGTTTACAATGTTTCCATGTTTACCAGTAAGTTTACAATGTTTCCATGTTCACCAGAAAGTTTACAATGTTTCCATGTTCATGTATGTTTACAATGTTTCCATGTTCATGTATGTTTACTATGTTTCCATGCTCATGTATGTTTAATATGTTTCCATGTTCATGTACGTTTACAATGTTTCTATGTTCACCTTATGTTTAATATGTTTCCATGTTCATGTATGTTTACTATGTTTCCATGTTCATGTATGTTTACTATGTTTCCATGTTCATGTATGTTTACTATGTTTCCATGTTCATGTATGTTTACTATGTCTCCATGTTCATGTATGTTTACTATGTTTCCATGTTCATATATGTTGACTATGTTTCCATGTTCACCTTATGTTTACAATGTTTCCATGTTCACCTTATGTTTACTATGTTTCCATGTTCATGTACGTTTACAATGTTTCGGTGTTCACCTGCATGTTTGCTGTATTTTCATGTTCATGTATGTTTACTATGTTTCCATGTTCATGTATGTTTACTATGTTTCCATGTTCATGTATGCTTACTATGTTTACTATGTTTACTATGTTTCCATGTTCATGTACGTTTACAATGTTTCGGTGTTCACCTGCATGTTTGCTGTATTTCCATGTTCATGTATGTTTAATATATTTGCATGTTCACCTGTGTGTTTACTATATTTGCACGTTCATCTCTATGTTTACTCTGTTTCCATATTCACCTGTATGTTTACTATGTTTCCATGGTCACCTGCATGTTTACTATGTTTCCGTGTTCACCTGTAAGTTTACAATGTTTCCACATTCACCTGTATGCTTACTATGTTACAAAGAGAGAGAGAGAGAGACACACACACACACACACACACACACACACACACACACACACACACACACACACACACACACACACACACACACACACACACACACACTCACACCTCTACACGATTGAACAATAACCACATCTATCCTGGGATTACTATCGATACCTTTATAAGTAATATTCACTCTTTCCTTCTTCGTATTATTCAAACCAGACTAAATAAACAATACCTCTTTCTCTTCGTTCAACACTTCGGTTTTGTGTCTGTCCACAGACTCAAATGGCGACCAGTCAATCTTGTGGTCAGGCTTGGAGGGATCTCTCATCAGAATCCCCTCCTTCAGGCCGTAGAAGCCGTAAGGTTTAGCGGGATCCTGCCAACGCAGGTCCAAGCTCCACCGAATCTCGTTGGAAACATTCGGCAGACTGCATAAAATTAATATTTATACCGTTATTTCCAAAATTAGGCGAATATGTCAATTGAGTTATATGGTTAAACGTATGTATTATGTATGCGCATGTATGTATATCAATAATAATAATTATAATACAATGCGTTACCTTGGTAAGTACTACGTTACCTTCTATGGGGGATCATGTTGTTGATCAAAAGCATCCCGCCGTAGGGAATTGGGCACAGTTTGATGTCTTTTTCCAGATCCACACCTGGAACAATACAGCAGTGTCTGATATCAACTCACTGGCACTCACCTTGGCACTCAGCTGACACTCGGTCATGTTCTGTCGGTGTAACATGATTCACAAGTCGGTATTACACAAATTTAACTCGCCTGATATAACAGTTAAACATATGTCTTGCGTAATATACATATTTAAGGCAGTGCAATAAGAATGGGATTCCCATCTTACCCAGAGTCTTCACCATCTCCTCCTCTGCAAGTTCCACATACCACGTGTCCGCCCAGCAGCACGTGTGACGACAGATGCGACCTGGTCGGTGACCGCCGGATACCACCTGGGAACCAAGGAGGTTTGAATTACACCAAACAGTGAATGACATGTATAGTGCATTGGCTTTTCCCGAATATCTTTGTTGGAAATGAATGAGTGGGTGACTTGGGTTTAAGCTTTGAGTAGTATCCTAGCATATCACGACGTGTCAGCTTAATGTGGGAGTAAAGGCCGAAGTGATGCAGGTCTCGGACGTTTACCACTTTGGTGAAACCCCGAGTACGGGTATGGTGCTAACAAACCTAGAAATAAAATCAGGGCGAACCGGGATGGGAATTTCATACATTTCTTGCGTGCCGAATGGACAATTGGATTTATTGACGCTTTTTTCAGTATTTCAGTCATACGTTGGCGTGTCACACTAATGCATGAGAAAAGGCCAATGATTCTGTTTTAGTGAAGCCCATGATCACGGACTGTTTGCTATTTGCTAAGGGTCGTAACTGAAGGATTTGGACAAATGACAAGCGGACCCAGTTTGTTTCTTGAGACAATCCAGTGATTGACATCATGAGTATCAATGTAAGCAATTTGGATACGATGACATGCATCAACCAAGTCAGCGTCCCTCACCACTCGATCCCGTTAGTTGCCTCTTACAAGTATGGATTGCTGAAGACTTATTCTCTACCTTGATCTTCACGGGTCGATTAATACATAATATACAGTCTACATACATGATATTTAAATCTATGTATCGTTACTAACCTCCATGCATCCATTTTGAGCATTGGCATCTAGAAGCGGAACCCAGGCCGCTGGTTGCAGGACTTTGTAAGACTCGTTGTCAAGGTAACCAGAATCTTTAATGAAAACAAATCGTCTTATATCGTTATCAACATCAGCATTGTTGGAACGATCTGAAATAAATGTGTATTAAATAAAGCAAAAAGTGAGTTCGTTGTAAGGTTACTATATGTTGAGATACAGCCTCTATTCACCTTGATGCCACGGCACAGTAGTGGCGTTGTTCTTTTGTGTTTTTGCCCGCAGGTTCCAAACTGGATGTCCGGCTATTTTGGGTCCAATCAGTTGTTCAACCAAATTCAAGAGTCGGTCATTGCTCCAAACTGCACGGAAGGCCTATCATTCGAAAGAAAAGTAGTCATGAGGGAGTGCGTTGGATTTGACGCCGCTTTGAACAGTATTCCAGCTTAATGTGGGAGGAAAGCCCGAAGTGATGAATGTGTCAGACGTTTAACGCTTTGATGAAACCCACAAGCACGGGTAATGTGCTCACAAACCTAGAAACATAATCGGGGCGAACAGGTATTCTAAGCCACAATCACAGGTTTCTGGCGTGCCCAAGGAACGCAACCCTGCGGCGCCTTAGACGACTAGGCCACCGGTGCTCCCAATTCGTAATGAACACATTGTTAATTATAATCGTAATACTGAAAAGAACCATTGTCCAAGAATGGTTTTAATCGACCTTTGATATCCACGTACCGGAGGAAATTTCCTTGCTTTATGTGAGAGTATATTGGCTCCGGGAAACGCTTTCTCAATAAACGACAAGCGCTCAAACATCCCTTTGTCCTCGTATAAATCTGAAAAGATACATACATTAATTAAATTGTTTGTCTTTTTGTTTGTTTGTTTGTTTGTTTGTTTGTTTGTTTGTTTGTTTGTTTGTTTGTTTGTGTGTTTTACGCCGCACTCAGCAATATTCCAGCTATATGACGGTGGTCTGTATATAATCGAGTCTGGATAATATAATCCAGTGATTGGCGTCATGAGCATCGATCCACGCAATTGGGATACGATGACATGCATCAACCAAGTCAGCGAGCCAGACCACCCGATCCTGTTAGTCGCCTCTTACAAGCATAGTCGCCTGTTATGGCAGGCATGGGTTGCTGAAGACCTATTCTCGCCCGGATCTTCACGGCTCGAATTAATTTGTTATGGGATCAGACAGAAAGCATAGATGAACGGATTTTATATCATTGTTGAACATGAATTTGTCAATCTAGATAGCGAAAAAAGCATTGTAAATTGGAATATTTTAAAAGTATAACCTCGTGTTTCCTCTGTAGAAATAACATACTTTTAATCTTTCCTCCTTTGTACAACTTCTGAGCGAGTTCTTCAACTTGTTTCCCTATGGCTTCTCTGCAAGGATCCAGTTCCTCCTTGGAGAAGAACTTCTCCACTATCAGATAACCCTGGAGCATATCAAAATCTTTTAGAACAGATCATCGCTATAATGATTCTATTTCGTCTCCATTGTGAAGTAAATGTTGGGGATCGTGCATATTTCGGGGGGATATTTTAATGTAATTGTATGCTCAGTCTTCACTACTAAACGATATCCCAGCAAGTATTCATGATCCTACCTTTTTGTATTCAGTATATACAGAAAGAACGTAAAAAACACAATGGGGCAGATAATGTGAGTGAGTAAGGCTCATTTTCTACTCAGAAACCACTTAATACAAACAAAATTATGTAGCTAATTATCTTTTCAATCAAACACAGCCTTTTTGAATGTGTATTACTTCGTTAAGATGAAAAAAGGATAAATGATTACTTTACACACTAAATAAAGGTAGAATCATTTTATCCTCTAACATTCACCTTGTCAAAGAAATGATCAACTTGAGCTTTTGTGAGTTGTCCTGGCTTTGCTTCAGTTGGCTGGGGTGGACCAACGGTGAAAACTTCGGGGTAAGCTTCGTCACAATCTCCAGGGTAGCGCTTTGCCGTCGTCGACATGATTGTTCCTCTTCTACGATATGTGACCAATAATGCCTATACCAGTAATACCTCAGCCGCCACAGGGTAAATACCGTGATACGACGTTGTAACAAGCAATACCAGAGTGACAGGAAGGCAGGTGACAGGCTGGGTGTCTATAGTTTATCTCTAATTCTATGACTTTGAACGAATCACATTCCTCAAGTACCTCGATAGTTACTTTTAGACACTGCTCGCTCTGTGTGAATGTTCCTAGATGAAGCCGTTGCGAAAAGCCCAAAGAGTTGCTGATGCTGAGTAGAGAAGATTTGTTATTTCATAGATGAAGAGATGAAGACATTTGCGTCTGAATTAACCAAGATGGTATAAAGAGTTCATGTTATATCAACATGTTTTATATACTCGTGAATGTCGCGTATGTGCGTGACAAAGCGTTCGGGCGGTATCCCACTTTTAACACTAATGGTACCCTAGTGTCTTTATTACTTGCCCGTGAAGAGATCACCCGTTTAATAAACATACAGCTTTATTACACATTGTGTAATACCAAAACGCGTGCTCTTGTACTCTCGGAACACGTTTCACGAACAAATATTGAAAGCTCTCAACATCCCTTGGCGTATTCAACGACATTGTGTGTGGAGATGATAGATCACTGGGAGGAGCTTATGCACACTCGATGACCCCAGCAACCTTGTTGCTAGGCTGACGTCACATGTTTCGCCGATGGATCTTGCAACAAAATTCAACAAATTACGTCATCGGGTATTTTGACGTCATTGTAAACTTTGAGGTGCAAGGCCCCGTTCCACAAGGTGATCGTACTGTAGCGCAACGAGAGTCTTTAGTCTAAGTTAAATTATGTGAGTTGTGATAGCCTTAGCACTACGATAATTTTGTAGGACGAACGCCTGAATTCTAAAGGTGGACCATTGTATGATATTAAATTCATACGTTTCAACTTTTGACGTGTTTGAAGTATTATTCTGTTAAACTCAATTGGATTATGCCATGGATCGTGTAGGTGTCAGCCTATTTACACTCAATAGTATAATTCTAAAAACATTATAAATGACAAGTAATAAATAAAATACTAAACTCGCTCTCGTGTAAAACCAATTTTATGAAACTCGTGAATAGTTGTGGTATCTGACTCGCTTTCGCTCGTCAGATACCAGAACTATTCACTCGTTTCATAAAATTGGTATTACACGGGAGCTCGTTTAGTATTCTATATTTATGATCACTTTACCCTCGCACGTATTTCTCCACTATCTCACAGCCGGACCACTTGTTACGTTCCCTTGAAAACATACATCTGCTACGCCACCCCCAAACCCCTCACCCTCACCAACCCATGGTCATCATAGTAAGTTAAGCCATGACTTTGCAACTCGCCTTGTCAGCATCGTCTCGGCTCCGTCAAGGAGTGATTGGTTTAACGACGCTTACTCCAAGTTGACTCTATCAGCATTCACAAGCGCATAATAAAGAAACGCAACACCAGCTTTATACTCACATAGTTTTACTTACTCTCAGCCCATCTATCAATACAGGACAGGATCAGACTGGCCAGACTCGTCACTAAATAGGGAAAACTTAAAACGATTTGGATTCGACTCGATCGATTGCAAACCGCGATCTCCTCTCCTAATGTTAGGGTATCATTTTATGGTGTTCGGGCCTGGCCTGTCTTTATCACATGTCACAATACCTCATTTTAATTAGATAAAAGTTACATCTGACCATGAACTCATGTGTGTTGTAACCGAAAAAATACCGAAGCCTACGTGCCAGATTGTTCATAACTCCGGGTGCTAAAAATGAAACATAACTTGCATCTCTGCTTGTTTCATTAACTAATGGACGATAAAATGGAACCAATCCAATGATAAATATGAAATGTCAAATATACACTTGTGATAAATGTGAAATGTCTTTTATCTATTAATTCCTTTCGAACTAAAGGTTCTCTGTCACTTTGTATCTCTAATGCAACTCCTCATTGCAGCTATAACGGTTTTATTTGTTACCATTTTCTAATGTTTTTGAGACGCATTTTAACCTTCTAATAATACTGACTCCGAGCCGACTAGTCCTTGTTTTAGCCCCTTAAAACCGAACGCCAGGCATGATAACAACACGTACCATCTTTTAACGTCTCTTGGTATTGACAAGGAAAAAAGATTTAATACATATTTCGAAATTATCTTAGATATAAAAAGGATACTAACATCCGAAACTTATACTTTACACCATAATTTTCCGGGGGGAAACTACACAAAAATTATATAATAAATAGGATATTTCATGTGTCTCGTGAAATATCATGTTTCTCTCATCTCGTGAAGTATGTGTGTGTGTGTGTGGGGGGGGGGGGGGGAGGGAATGTAACAATATAATGGCGCCGCTATACTTTCTACTTGCGGAATTTGTCGTTTTAGTTCTTTTTCGAGGTGCTGAAATCACATATGATGGTCCGAATGTTTCGATCACTTTTACCGAGAATTTAGCAACATCGACGTTGATTGGTTCATTTACCTGACGGGACTTTCGTTGGCGCTGAACCTCAGATCCTCGAGCAGAGAGGTATCACATCGGAGTAAAACTTTAACGAGACAGCGTAATGTTGCCAGATGGTTCGTATCTCGTATCCCATGCGGGAAAGTTACTACGTTCTCTGTACCGTATTCACGTCAGTAATTAAAAGTAAGCATAACAAGAATGATTTTAGTAGGAACGTCAGAGACGGAATTGTTGTGAACCCTACACTTGTACTGAAAGAGTGAGTGAGCGCGTTTGGTTTAGCTTTGGACAGTATTCCAGTTATGTCACCGCCTGTCAGCCTAATGTGGGAGGAAAGCCCGAAGTGATGCAGTCTTAGACGTTAACCCACAATCACGGGCATGGTGCTGACAAACCTAGAAACATAATCAGGGATAATAGGGATTCGAACCCACGATCATAACTTTCTAGCAATCCTAAGGGAAGCTGCATGGGAACAGCGAATTGCGGCGCCTTAGACGACAAAAACAGTGCATAAATAATCAGGAGAGGTGTATCGACCACAGACCTTTAAACAAACATTTAAAAAAAGAGCAACGAGAGTCAGAGGGATTAGTGTTAAAGATGGTATATGCTGGATATTCCTGGACAGTGTCTGCCGCTACAGCTATGTCTGCGTTACGTATATTAACATCGAGGAGAGTTAACGTGTCTAAATATAAATGTGACCAACGTTCAACTCCAAATGACACAAAAAACCAACATGAAGTAAATAATATATGTTTATTACCCATATGTTTCAAGAAGAGCCAACTAATGTGAATCCAGACCAAACAAACATGGCCGAATTATTCCAGGACGTAATGCAGGCGGCATTGTTGACATATGACACACACAGGATTGGCTACGCCATTTGCCATGATGACGCAGTTTATACTGTCATTGTTGAAGTCTTGTTGCAATGTAAGCTTGCACGTATTCAATACAGAAACTATTTCTTTCAGGGCAGCTAATATCACAGAGTGGATGACAGAAATATTATATTTCGTACTCGTGTTTCGTGAAATCATTATGACAGTCACACTTCTGTGATTACGTATATGTACTTGGTCCAACTTAATACCAAACTTTCTTATCAAGAATTAATATGCAAAATATTCATCAGCATGGCGTCATGATAAAGTCAGCCTCCATGTCATGCCTTGTGCCAGCTGCTGTAAGACTTTCCCTTCACGAGTTTGGCTGTGTGTCGGTTCTCGTGCGTCATTTCCCACTTCTCCATATGGGGGCCCTGGATCGTGGTTTCGAAGGCATCGTCCTACAACACATAGGGTTAATATACTACGACACTTTCAATATGCCGGGTCATCTACCATTATCACCAAACGTGGTTTGGCCTAGTTTGTTCGTTACGCCATTTGTCTATAAGTGAAACATTATTTACCGATTTTAAGATTAGATTTTAAGAAGTATGTTATGTTACCTGAAAGAACCTTTAGATAAGGTCGGTTCATGATGGAACACACGAAGCCATTAAAAAGTGGTCAAATGTCACAAATGTTATATTTGCGATAACACTTCCTGAGTAAAGTAAAGATTCTAGCCCCATCCGGACTTGCATATTTACACTTGTCAGAGGGGTACACAAAGTACGTGATCTAGACAACCAGTTGTCGGACTTTCATTTTAGAAAGGGTTAGATCGCTGACTTTGTGTGCTGGAGATTAGGTGCCTCACTCTGGCAGTGTGGCTTCGATACCGGATAGGACTCAACCCCCCAAAAGTACTAGAATCTGTACTTCACAAAAGAGTTCTTTTAGCAATAATCCAGCAATATCACGATGGGGCACATCAGAAATGGGATTCACACATTGTACCCATGTCGGGAATCGAACCGCGTCTTCAGCGTGACGAGCGAACGCTGTAACCACTAGGCTACCCGACCGCCCCACTTTACAAAGGAAGCGTTATCCCAAATATAACATTTGTTACGGTTCATGATAGGTCTACAAGCAGTTTTTGTAAAGCACTTAGATTTACTGAACGAATAAGTCTTATCCCCGTTTCCAATGGGACTCATGAGTCATATGGGTACTCGTCAGCTTGACGTAAGCTATCTAATCATACAACCTGTCATGGACTACACAATAAGCAATTGTTAAAAAGCAGATTTGAAGATAGACATTACATTTCAAGGATGATTATTTTGATAAGGTTATGTGGAAATATAAATCATTCACACAAAAATCATTATTCTAATGTGTAATTGGGGAAATATTGAAAAGATGTTCGAATTGGATTTTTATAATTGCGCCTAATTGAAAAAAGGCTGTTTACGGCCACTACATAATCAGTTTTGTACAAGCAGTTTTGTTTTGCGAGTTGTGGCATTAAACACAAATATATGTTCCTTGTTTGCGATATTTTTTTTTCCTGTGCTCATATGGTCTCTCTCAAAATACTTTTATCCTTTTTCACCTTATTCACCTTTTCATGACACCATATTTTGTTTCAATGGGACCCCAAGTATGTTTACTATATCGGCATGTTCATGTTTACTATGTTTACTATGTTTCCATGTTCAAGTGTTTGTTTTCTATGTTTCAATGCTACAATAACCTGTATGTTTACAATGTTTCAATGTTCACCAGTACGTTTACAATGTTGCCATGTTCACCTGCATGTTTACAATGTTTCCATGTTCACCTGTATGTTTACACTGTTGCCATGTTCATGTATGTTTACAATGTTTCCATGGTCATGTATGTTTACTATGTTTCCATGGTCACCTGCATGTTTACTATGTTTCCGTGTTCACCTGTAAGTTTACAATGTTTCCACATTCACCTGTATGCTTACTATGTTACAAAGAGAGAGAGAGAGAGAGAGAGACACACACACACACACACACACACACACACACACACACACACACACACACACACACACACACACACACCCCTCTACGATTGAACAATAACCTCCAGTGTCCTAGGATTACTATCGATACCTTTTATAAGTAATATTCACTCTTTCCTTCTTCGTATTATTCAAACCAGACTAAATAAACAATACCTCTTTCTCTTCGTTCAACACTTCTTTGGCGGTTTCGTGTCTGTCCACAGACTCAAATGGCGACCAGTCAATCTTGTGGTCAGGCTTGGATGGATCTCTCATCAGAATCCCCTCCTTCAGGCCGTAGAAGCCGTAAGGTTTAGCGGGATCCTGCCAACGCAGGTCCAAGCTCCATCGGATCTCGTTGGAAACATTCGGCAGACTGCATAAAATTAATATTTATACCGTTATTTCCAAAATTAAGCTAATATGTCAATTGAGTTATATGGTTAAACGTATGTATTATGTATTCGCATGTATGTATATCAATAATTATAATTATAATACAATGCGTTACCTTGGTAAGTACTACGTTACCTTCTATGGGGGATCATGTTGTTGATCAAAAGCATCCCGCCGTAGGGAATTGGGCACAGTTTGATGTCTTTGTCCAGATCCACACCTGGAACAATACAGCAGTGTCTGATATCAACTCACTGGCACTCACCTTGGCACTCAGCTGACACTCGGTCATGACAAAACCCAACTTGTGATGTTCTGTCGGTGTAACATGATTCACAAGTCGGTATTACACAAATTTAACTCGCCTGACTTACCTTTGGTATATCGACGTTGTCCTTGCACAAATTCTGTTCATGTAATGTTGTGTTTATGGTAGTCAAGAAGGCTGCTGTCACAAGCGTTAAAGGTGTCGAAAGTATACTCGTTTCTGTTACCCCTCTACACAGATAACACTGGCAATTATCCAGAAGCATTTACCCAAGGGGTGATTTTGAACCGTTTTGATAAATGAGAAACCTATATTAAGGAGGATGTAGAGATATTTGACTTTTGTATATTTGTCCCTACTAATTACATTTTACAATTGCCAAGGAGTGAAAACGTGTTACTAGTATAGGATATTTCTTAGGTGCATTGATGAATGTAGTACCCTCCATGTCCTTTTGAATGCATACAATATTCACATACAATATTCACCAGTGAATGGGTATCGTATATGGATCAGTGTTTGTAAAGATAATACAATACGTAACGACAGTTAAACATATGTCTTTCCTAATATACATATTTAATTCAGCGCAATAAGAATGGGATTCCCATCTTACCCAGAGTCTTCACCATCTCCTCCTCTGCAAGTTCCACATACCACGTGTCCGCCCAGCAGCACGTGTGACGACAGATGCGACCTGGTCGGTGACCGCCGGATACGACCTGGAAACCAAGGAGGTTTGAATTACACCAAACAGTGAACGACATGTGTAGTGCATTGGTTTACTAACTTTTCCCGAATATCTTTGTTGGAAATGAATGAGTGGGTGACTTGGGTTTAAGCTTTGAGTAGTATCCTAGCATATCACGACGTGGGATGTAAAGGCCGAAGTGATGCAGGTCTCGGACGTTTACCACTTTGGTGAAACGACGAGCACGGGTATGGTGCTAACAAACCTAGAAACATAATCAGGGCGAACCGGGATGGGAATTTCATACATTTCTGGCGTGCCGAATGGACAACGGGTTTGATTGACGCTTTATACAGTATTTCAATTATACCATGGCGTGTCAAACTAATGCATGAGGAAAGGCCAATGGTTCTGTTTTAGTGAAGCCCATGATCACGGACTGATTGGGTGAGGGTCGGAACTGAAGGATTTGGACCCATGACAAGCGGACCTAGTTTGTTTGTTTGAGACAATCCAGTGATTGACATCAATGAAAGCAATTCGGATACGATGACATGCATCAACCAAGTTCCTCACCACTCGATCCCGTTAGTTGCCTCTTACGGCAAGTATGGGTTGCTGAAGACTTATTCTCTACCTGGATCTTCACAGGTCGATTAGTACATAGTATACAGTCTACATGCATGATATTTAAAGCTATGTGTCGTTACTAACCTCCATGCATCCATTTTGAGCATTGGCATCTAGAAGCGGAACCCAAGCTGTTGGTTGCAGGACTTTGTAAGACTCGTTGTCAAGGTAACCAGAATCTTAAATGAGAACAAATCGTCTTATATCGTTATCAACATCAGCATTGTTGGAACGATCTGAAAAAAATGTGTATTAAATAAAGCAAAAAGTGAGTTCGTTGTAAGGTTACTATCTGATGAGATGCAGCCTCTATTCACCTTGATGCCACGGCACAGTAGTGGCGTTGTTCTTTGGTGTTTTTGTCCGCAGGTTCCAAACTGGATGTCCGGCTATTTTGGGTCCAATCAGTTGTTCAACCAAATTCAAGAGTCGGTCATTGCTCCAAACTGCACGGAAGGCCTATCATTCGAAAGAAAAGTAGTCATGAGGGAGTGCGTTGGATTTGACGCCGCTTTGAACAGTATTCCAGTCATACACAGCGTGTCAACTTAATGTGGGGGGAAAGCCCGAAGTGATGAATGTGTCAGACGTTTAGCATTTTGATGAAACCCACAAGCACGGGTAATGTGCTCACAAACCTAGAAACATAATCGGGGCGAACCGGTATTCTAAGCCACAATCACAGGTTTCTGGCGTGCCCAAGGAACGCAACCCTGCGGCGCCTTAGACGACTAGGCCACCGGTGCTCCCAATTCGTAATGAACACATTGTTAATTATAATCGTAATACTGAAAAGAACCATTGTTCAAGAATGGTTTTAATCGAATTTTGATATCCACGTACCGGAGGTAGTTTCCCTGCTTTATGTAAGAGTATATTGGCACCGGGAAACTCTTTCTCAATACACGACAAGCGCTCAAACAACCCTTTGTCCTCGTATAAATCTGAAAAGATACATACATGTATTAAATTGTTTGTCTTTTTGTTTGTTTGTTTGTTTGTTTAACGCCACACTCAGCAATATTCCAGCTTTATGACGGTAGTCTGTAAATAATCGAGTCTGGATGATACAATCCAGTGATTGGTGTCATAAGCATCGATCCACGCAATTGGGATACGATGAAATGCATCAACCAAGTCAGCGAGCCAGACCACCCAATCCTGTTAGTCGCCTCTTACAAGCATAGTCGCCTGTTATGGCAGGCATGGGTTGCTGAAGACCTATTCTCGCCCGGATCTTCACGGCTCGAATTAATTTGTTATGGGATCAGACAGAAAGGATAGATGAACGGATTTTATATTATTGTTGAACATGAATTTGTCAATCTCGATAGCGAAAAAAGCATTGTGAATTGGAACATTTTAAAAATAGAACCACGTGTTTCCTCTGTAGAAATAACATACTTTTAATCTTTCCTCCTTTGTACAACTTCTGAGCGAGTTCTTCAACTTGTTTCCCTATGGCCTCTCTGCAAGGATCCAGTTCCTCCTTGGAGAAGAACTTCTCCACTATCAGATAACCCTGGAGCATATCAATATCTTTTAGAACAGATCATCGCTATAATGATTCTATTTCGTCTCCATTGTGAAGTAAATGTTGGGGATCGTGCATATTTCGGGGGGATATTTTTATGTAATCTCAGTATGCTCAGTCTTCACTACCAAAATATATCCCTGCAAGTATTCATGATCCTACCTTTTTGTATTCAGTATATACAGAACTCATCAAAGAACGGAAAAAAACACAAAGATAATGTGAGTGAGTGAGTGAGTGAGGTTATTTCCTACCCAGAAACCACTTAATACAAACAAAATTATGTAGCTAATTATCTTTTCAATCAAACACAGCCTTTTTCAATGTGTATTACTTCGTTAAAAAGAAAAAAAATGATAAATTACTTTACACACTAAATAAAGGTAGAATCATTTTATCCTCAAACATTTTACATACTATACAAAACATTTACCTTGTCAAAGAAATGATCAACTTGAGCCTTTGTGAGTTGTCCTGGCTTTGCTTCAGTTGGCTGGGGTGGAGCCACGGTGAAAGCTTCGGGGTAAGCTTCGTCGCAATCTCCAGGGTAGCGCTTTGCCGTCGTCGACATGATTGTTCCTCAGCCGCCACAGGGTAAATACCGTGATACGACGTTGTAACAAGTAATAACCGAGTGACAGGCAGGCAGGTGATAGGCTGGGTGTTTATAGTTTATCACTAATTATATGACCTTGAACGAATCACATTCCTCAAGTACCTCGATAGCTACTTTTAGACACTGCTCGCTCTGTATGAATGTTCCTTGACGAAGCCGTTGCGAAAAGCCCAAAGAATTGCTGATCCAGAGTAGAGAATATTTATCACTTCAAAGATGAAGTCATTTGCGTCCGAATTAACCAAGATGGTATAAAGAGTTCATGTTATATCAACATGTTTTATATACTCGTGAATGTCGCGTACGTGCGTGACAGAGCGTTAGGGAGGTAACCTACTTTTTACACTAATGATACCCTAGTTTTTTTATGATCACTTTACCCTCGCACGCATTTCTCCACTATCTCACAGCCGGACCACTTGTTACGTTCCCTTGAAAACATACGTCTGCTACCCCCTCCAACCCCCTATTTCAAGTTAATAGATCCGTGTTGGTGATGTCTCTGAAAACTGGTTGTGTTTTAAAAACATCATATCAGTGGGTTAATATGAAGAAACTGTTGCTTACAAGTAATTTATTTAATAAACTAAATCAATTCACCAGTAGCATCTCCCCCAGCCGTGATATGGCTTGAAAATTGCTAAAAGAGGCGTAAAAACATATTAATTCAAAACCAGTAACAGCAGTACATTATTGGGGAGGACGTGGACGTTTTAGAGGGTGCTGTTGATGTCAAAGCCTCTATAAGTTATCACAGAGCTATGTATAAACAGTGGAGTGCATTTTTCAACAGACATCATTTACCGATGACGTGTGGTGCCGTAATAGAGGCTGTGGTAAACTGAATGCAGTCATAGCAACCCATGGGCGGATACAGAGGGGGGTGGGGGGGGTGGGGGGGGGGGGGGGTGCTGTATCCGCCCATGCAACCCATAACTAAAGGGATTTTTCTGCCTGTATGAATGTCGATAAGTCTTGTGACTTTTTGTTTGTTTGAAGTTTTGAGTATATCAAGTGATATATTCCAGGGAAAACGGTCGGAGTTCGCACAAATCATAAAACCATGGTTCAATTCAGAACATAGTCGGGAGTGCACGAATAGGCAGACATGACATAACATGACCAGGAAAAGCAAAACCACCCATTAGTTATACATGTAGTTTATTAGAAATAAAGATAAACTTATAAAATGATGCGCAAAAGAAATGGGTTTTTTATCAAATTTGTATGATTAATTTCAGAGCTTTACACAAAATCAGAATCCCCCAATGGAAACTACTATGCTACGTCGTGAAACATCCAAGAACGACTTCCTGCATTCCTGTGTTGAGTGAGTGAGTGAGTATGGTTTTACGCCGCTTTTAGCAATATTCCAGCAATATCACGGCGGGGGACACCAGAAATGGGCTTCACACATTGTACCCATATCGGGAATCGAACCCGGGTCTTCGGCGTGACGAGCCAACGCTTTAACCACTAGGCTACCCGACCGCCCTCCTGTGTTGAGACTTAACAATACTGATGAAAGTCCATCTCTGTATTGACAAGGAGGTGAGTTTAGGTGAATGGTGGTTAAGGTCACGCCTAAGATTATTTCACTAATATAGCGACGTGCATGTGTGTGTGTGTGTGTGTGTGTGTGTGTCTGTCTGTCTGTCTGTTCTTACCAGTCCGGACTATTGCCGATTGCATGGTGCTGGCCCAGTTTAACATGAATGCCGAACTCAGACACAGTTTACTGACTCCGAGCCGACTGGTCCTCGTTTTAGCCCCTTAATACCGAACGTCAGGCAGGATAACAACAAGTATCATCTTTTAACGTCTCTTGGTATTGACAAGGAAAATAGATTTAATACATATTTCGAATTTATCTTAGATATAAAGAAATACTCACATCCGAAACTTACTAATTTTTCAAATCGGACAATTCACAATTTGACAAGTTGAAGACATAATTATGCAACAAATTAGATATAATGAAATCCCTTCCCCTGCCACAGATTGATGAAAGAAACAGTGAATTTTATAAGCAAAGTGTTATGCTTATCGTTTAATATCTCAGGACGACCTTTTACTTATCTCAAATAGTACATATTAACATTATGCCATTATATATAAAATGATGACAATTATCGGGGTACAGTTTTGTTGCTAAATATTTGAAACAGGTGTAGTTGTATTTTGTTCAGAAACTGGAAACTCAGAAGCTTCTGTATATCAGTTAATTGAGTGAGTGAGTGAGTGAGTGAGTGAGTGAGTATGGTTTTACGCTGCTTTTAGCAATATTCCAGCAATATCACGGCGGGGGACACCAGAAATGGCTTCACACATTGTACCCATGTCGGGAATCGAACCCGGGTCTTAGGCGTGACGAGCCAACGCTTTAATCACTAGGCTACCCGACCGCCCCTATATCAGTTAATTGAGTTACATGTGTGAAGCCATAGAAAACAAAGAACGCTGTGGCATATATAAATGGAAAAACAAGCCGACACCTAACAGTGTTGGTAAATGACTCTGAAAACACTGTATTTGAACGTGGGCGTTCCACAAGGCTCAGTTCTTGGTCCGTTCCTATTAATTGTCTATATAAATATCCTTAAATAATAAATATAAATATACCTGATTATTTTAACTGTTTTATAAAATTATTTACCAATATTAATGCCGCCTCCCTTAAACGAGCATCAAAAGATATTCTTTTCTCAAAAAGCGTTTGAATCAAATTTTGAAAGTATAACTGATCGGGCCATGCGGTGGCTGACATACAATGTCGCGTTTTGTCGTGTCAGTGTCCTAGATTCGTGGATTCTAATCTTAGAATCGGCCTGGTTATTACACTTGGTTTGTCAGCACTATACCCATTCACGTTCACCATGGTAAACAGTGGAAACCGTCTCCCATCTTCGTCACTTTGGGAGGTCCTCCCATATGATGAATGCCTACTGCTATGTATCTGCACCACATAATTGTGTTCACCGCGAAACTCGACATACGACACTTTCAGTTAATGTCGCCAAAATGAATCAGATTCTAATGCCCTGTCATCAGAAAGAGGTGTTAATATTGGAAATAATTCACGTTTTCTTTTATATATATATATATATATATTTTATATATATATAAAAGAAACGTGAATTATTTCAAATTTTACAAGTCGCGTATTGCTTACGGTGAGAGTAGGGCTGCATCCCTCTATAAGCTTAATTTGCTTGTTTGTTGTTTAACGCTGCACTCAGCAATATTCCAGCTATATGATCCAGTGATTGGCAACATGATCATCGATCTACGCAATTGAGATACGATGACATGCATCAACCAGGTCAGCGAGCCGGACCACCCGATCCTGTCAGTCGCCTTTTACGGCAAGCATAGGTTGCTGAATGCCTATTCTAACCCAGATCTACACGGGTATTTAATCCTTTGTAACTGTGATGACCTGACTGCATAATTGTTATCTCGTTTCGTGACGCCATAGCTCTGTATGACATCATCAATGGCATCTCGCTGCATGTTTTTATACGTTTGATACAAAATAAAAGAGAAATGGGGATGTTTCCTTATAGCTGAATGTTTTATCAGTAGGTGGTTATTTTTTTTCATGACGTTAATTACTACTAATTTTCCATTTATACAAAACTGAAAAGTGATTTACCCATGTGTCCCTATAGTAAAGGCTGAATTTGGCACAGCAGATTGCGCCAAGGTCAATACATTGCACACTGGCCTTTCACCATTGAGAAGTATAAATTAGGTCGTGTAGATTTTACAGTCCTTATTTCTGAAAAGGTTACTCTGAATTCATAACAATGGACATCGTTCATGTGACATGTGGTATAACTGAAGAACTGTTAACGCGCTCATCTATGTACTTGTGTACATTTGTTTATTCTATCTTGAAATAAAGTTGAAAATATATTATCAGTTCCATGACAATATCAACAGTGAGCATGAACTGAGAACATGAGATAGAAGATAGATAACTTTATCATATAATGGACAGTGTTATCTTTGCGATATACCGAACAAGTAAATATGCAAATGAGGTCACAGCGGGAACTACTCTTAATGATTTCTTGGCAATGTTATCTAAATATACTCTGATGGATATAATTCCCAACAAGTCATGTGTGTGTGTGTGTGTGTGTGTGTGTGTGTGTGTGTGTGTGTGTGTGTGTGTGTGTGTGTGTGTGTGTGTGTGTGTGTGTGTGTGTGTGTGTGTGTGTGTGTGTGTGTGTGTGTGTGTCCTTCTCTGTGTGTGTGTGTGTGTGCTTCTGTGTGTATGTGTGTGTCTGTGTATGTCTGTGTGACTGTGTATGTCTGTGCTTTTTCGGGCAAACATGTATACAAATCATTTACCTCTCATTGATACAAGAAGCTGTTCTCTTAAACATCGTACACAAAAGTGACTTCAGTAACTGAAAATACGTCTTAAACATCGGGGTGGCCCAGTCGTCCAATGCGCCGCCATTCGCTGTGCAAAATTGCGTCCCTTGGGCACACCAAAAACCTATGATTGTTGGTTTGAATCCCGGTTCGCCCTAATATGTTCCTAGGTTTGTCAGCACCCATTTAACGTGGTAAACATCCAAGGCCTGTGTCACTTGGGACTTTCCTCACACATCAAGCTGACACGCCGTGATATAACTGGAATACTGTTCAAAGTGGCATTAATGTTACATCGAATAATTTAAGAGAGGCAAAATTCATTTTTAAATGATATTATGATAAAGGGAATATTACTCTCCAATGTTTGCAGGATCGCATAAGGCATAATAAATATTTTCTTATTCTGAGTAATAGTATACGATAATATATCATACTGAAACGCGCTTGTCTGATAACCTCTATGTGTTGAAATGTTGTATATTTGGGTTTTTTTAATGTTAATTTTAAAATGCACCAATTGTCACGAGTGAACACGAACGCTCTAACAATATACAATGTTCTGGAGGAAGGCGTGTGCGATAAAGACAATGCATTAGTTGTGGACAAGTGTCGTTTATAGAGTGTTTATCCCAGATAACGACGGCGACGACCTTAACTGAGATTCAACACCCTTGGATGTTATCTCCACGTGTGCTTTTCATGACACGGCAGATGACCATGATACTGTTCCTGGACAACAATGAACATATTACTTTGTGAGGTTATTTAGAACAGGTGATGTGAATGTGTGTGTGCGCGCGCGTGCGTGCGTGTGTATGTGTCGCTAATTGGGCTAGTCCGGACGTATGCTAGTTTT